AAGAGTTGTCTCGCTCGCAGCCGCAGTGGCTCCGTGAGCCAAAGATAGAGTGGCGATATCATTAGATCCGAGTACAGACGAAGGGAGCAGACCCACGTTGATTCCGAGCAGACTGGTCGCAGCAACGTTCAAGCATAGAACATCTGAACATGTTGTGGTAGCACCTCCATCGGAAGCCGTGATAGTTATAGGCTGAGCAAGGCTCGTTGCAGTGGGAGCACCAGCCAAACTAGCACCAAGTGCTAGCGATCCCATGTTGTTGTTACCCAACAGGGAAGTAGGGAGAGCTCCAGCGCTACTAAGCCCCAAGTATGATGTTGCAGCTGTATGCAGGCAGAATACGTCTGAGCATGTAGTTGTAGCGGATCCGTCCGTGGCTGTGATCACTACAGGCTCGGCAAGACCAGTCTGCGAAGGGACAAGGAGTGTGCCCAGATCATTACCAAGCACCGAGGAGGGGATCAACCCAGCGTCGATTCCTAGGAGAGATGACGCCGCATTATGAACGCACATGGCATCTGTGCATACCGTAGTCGTTTTGCCATCTGTGGCGACGATTGTGACGTGCTCTGAGAGACTGGTCGCTGTGGGTGCGGCGGTCACACCCAGAGAAAGAGTTCCCAGATTGTTTCCACCAAGTACTGAAGTGGGTATAAGCCCAACAGAAACCGAGAGAAGGTTCGATGCCGCAACTGAGAGGCAAACAACATCAGTACAAGTCGAAGTCGGACCTCCATTGCTGCCAGAGATTGTCACGGGTGTGGCTAGTGTAGTGGCAGATGGGGTGATGGCGGCAGTGGGAATCACGCCAAGACTTGCACTCAGTAAACCTGTCGCGGCAACATTCAAACATGCAAGATCAGTACAAGTAGTCTGAACCCCACTTGTAGATACAACGATGGGTCTGGATAGCGTACTAGCTGCTTGGCTACCTCCAAGACCAAGAGACAGGCTTATAAGGCCGTCGCTTGAGGAAGGTAGAGCCCCGACACCTAGTCCTAGACCACCGACTTGTGCGCTCAGGCAAAGAAGATCTGAGCATGTTGTGGTTGCAGAAGTCACAGGAGCCGAACTCGTGGACGCAGCTACGGCAAAGGATGATACGATGGAGGTTGCATGACCCGAAAGACTTGCAGTTCCCGAAGTCATAACCGAGGCCATCGAGGAGACAATCGAGCCGACATTACCAGGAATGGCAGCCGCGTTTGAGAGAACGCTAGCCAGAGAAGATAACGATGTCTGAGCCGTTTGGCTCGGGTCATTGGCAATGACTGATACATGAGATGCCAAAGAAGCCACAGCGGCGGGATCTGTTCGTATACTTGAGGCGGTAAGCAGTGACGATATAGCGGCGGTGTTTGAGCTGGGCCCTGTAACGCCACTGAGGGCATTCGAGATCTGGGCACCAAGACTGGTGGGCAATGCAGTCGCCTGAGACAAAACGGAGTTCAGAGAAGAGACTGCTTGGGTGTTGCTCGTTGCGATTGGATTTGCCAGAACACTTGAAATTAAAGACATCGCACTGGAAGTATGGCCATCGACTACGGCAGCAACCGAATTCAATCCAGTAGGGGCAATGCTGACTGACACACCAACTGATGCGCTGGCCGAAGCCAGAGGCTGTGTAGCAGACGACGAACGGCTAGTAGAGGCCGCAGCTGACGATACACTGCTCGCCGAGGTCGCAGCTAATGATGCACGGCTGGTTGAGGCTGTAGTCGAGGCACCTGCACCTCCGAGTCCGATAGATAGGAGAGCAGAACTCTGTGCAACACCAAGCCCGAGGGCTCCTAGGAGAGTCGTTCCAGCATTGCCACCAATAAGAGCGCGTTTCTCGAGATACCCCTGTTCATGGTCGTCGATAAGTGGGCTGTATGGGCCCGCAGGAGCGGCGATAGTGGTCGCCGCCAAAGCAGACAAGGAGGTTACGGTCAAAAACCGCATGGCGAAGTTTGGTGAGTGTACCCAGAAGAAATGAAGGCAAGAAAAAGACCCTGCTCATTAATGTTATTGGGCTGTTCGGGGTGAGGTGCACTTGAAGGTATTTGTATATTGCTTGTTAGTTGGTGGTTTGAGAACGAAAAAATGTAATCATGATCACGATATAGCCAAGGAGATGATCGTTCGAAGGATGAGACTGGCAGGTACCCAGTATCCGGTATCCGTTACAAGATCCCCACAGTACTTCATCTCGCTATCAGGCGATAAAGTGGAGACTGCGCGATGGAGGAGCATAATGGATGCTGTCTCGATGGCCGATCGTCACCAGTGGATTGTCAAAGTGATTGGAGTGAGAGCTTCTCAAAGATCTTATGTCCTTGGACATACTGCTCTTCACCACACTGTTCCCACGTGCATCAGCAGAAAACACGTGCGGCCTACCATAAGGAAACGATTTGCAACATGCGACTAAAGCAGGGGAAGGAGAACAGGAACGACTTGACGAACCACTAACCGAGAGCAACCGTATCTGTTGTCAGCACCTTAGTATGACTGATCTTCGCCGCCATCGACGTGATCATGTACGTTGGCCCAAACTACTTACGCGGTACTGTATATGCATTGTAATACAATGCAACCGAAGATCCATCATAGATCTCTTGATACGGGATGAGTCGGAGGTTGTTATTTCCAAGCAAGGTTAACAATAGGCTTAGGGTTGCAACGGCAACACTATTAGACGGTCTGGTGGCGCACACATTTGACCCTGTGGCACCATCCGGATAGATTGGTTGGTCACGTAAACGCACTTGAGCAGGTATATCGGCTGTCGTATACGGGTTGCGTGTCATGTTTACTTCTCTGATCCGAAGCATTTCTAGCTTGATCTAGTTCTTGGCAGGCCGAAACAGGCCAAGTAGAGACATCTTGAAGGATGACTATAGCTTGCGGCCGATACTCTGCTCAAATCATCGATGCGGAGCATGTTGATCGCTAGAAGCGCTGATTGCATGAGAAAGCATCGAGGAGGATACACTCACTCAGAACGACAAATCCGTTATGGGTCAAGGTTGCCTTGTAAGGTTGAGAACCGTAGATTTGGGGCAGACCAACCACCAACGCTCCTTGATAGATCCTTCTTGGCTCTCTGACGTTCGCATCAGGATTGAGATTCTCTTGGCGAATAAGGTGTATAACAACAGCGTGTCAGCGGTGAGGTGGAAGCATGTTCGACGATGTGTGAAGTGGCTGGCTCAAGAAAGGTGCTGGGTGCTGCTGTCAACTTCACTCGCGTCAAAGAGATTGTAGAGCAAGGCATGTGTCAAGCCAGAGAAACCATTGTAGATGGAGCCGGGTCCGTTCATGGCGACATTAGACCCGGATCTGCATGCCGAGAGAACGTTTCAACGTGTGCTTTCCGAAATTGGGGTCTATCACAGTATAGGATAGTCGTGTCTTGAATCCTCCTATAGTGATCTTTGAGGTTCCCATGAACATAGACCACCACTTGTATCATGATGATGTAAATGGAAAGTAGCGTAGACTGTATAGGTCGCAAAAGTTCTGGGGACCGAGATCGATACCCAGATGACCGTTACGCGTCCTCCACAAGATGCAACTGTAGATGTCAATGGCAGATGATAGCGAACACTTCCTGTAGAGCATTGCACTATTGTCTTGTGCATAACACAGTGACGTATCCTGTTGGGAAGGAGCCTCTTCTCACAACGCTTGATGGTGAACACCAAGGAACGTTAGACGTTCAAGCATGAACGGACGAGGAGTTCCTCGGTCGACAAACACGCCGGAATAACAATGATCCGGTTTCGTGGATTTCATCAGGCTCACGTGATCATCAGCCATGGTTTCCGGGTGGAGCCTGCGCCGTAACTTTATGTTGACCTCTTTGCTCGACAATAATACGTGGTCGACATTCTGGAAATAAATTCTGGTCTGGCTGAAGTCGAAATCTCCACCTGCCTCGTTAATAGAACCCTCTGTTGACCACAGTCTTGACTTACGACAGCTCGGCTCGACCGGGGGTGTGGTATGCTCCACTCTACTCCAATCCACATCGATATGCAAGGACCTCACGTACCGACAAGCGTTCAACTCGTTCACATATTCAAAGTTGAACGCTCTTGGACCCGATAAGCAAAAGAACATGTAGCTCGAGGCAGTAAGTTGAGAACTAAGGTTTCGTTCACGTGTCTATTCGGTTGCCTCGCCAGTGTGCATTTAATAGTTCTCCAGAGCCTGGAAGTCGGCTTCGTCAAGCTTGACTTTAAGCATTTCAAAGAGTGCATCTTGACCCATTACTGTTTCTAGGCGAGCCACCATTTCACCCAGTCGAGCTTTCTTGGCCTTTTCTCTGATCTTCTTAGCCTTCCGTTGCTTAAAGAAGGAGGGGTCGACGGGGAGGCCATCTGTGAGGCGTCTGTGCTCGGCCTTGGATAGAACCCTAAATCAAAGGTTATCGGGTGGTCAACATAACGAGTGGGATCGACTGCTTACTTGCGGATGCGCAACTCCTTCATGACAGCTTTAGCCTCGTTCTTGATAGCATCTTGGTCAAGGCCAGTATCCATGGCAGTGATCCGGGCACACATGATTGGGACATTGCACTGTCTCAGGTCGAACAAGGGCTCCTTTTGGAGAAAGTCGCAGATGTCAAGGGCGCTGACGGTGGTGATCTGACCGTCAGACATTGTCTGGTGGTTTTTTGATGATGATGAGGATGGTGTTAAGGTAACTAATGGTTTGAGAAGATGAAGCGAGGTTAATGTGCGTTGGATGGTTGTGAAATGTGGGTGTGACAAGCTTGGTTCGAGAGTGACGCCTTTGCGATCGTGGATGAGAGTGAACTGGGTGTTGGGGTTGCGGTTGGCAAGAGCTACAGTCATTTATGGAAGGAGGTGCGATCTGTAGAGATCCAGCATCGGCTTTCACTCAACAAACTTCCGAGGGCAAGTAAATACCAACTCGGCGCAAAACCACAACACCTTACTGCTTACAGCACTTTGTTCATTCTTCATATTTGGTCTGGACACTCTGCCAAGATGTACACACCGACTCATTCATCACCAAGACTAGAGCTTCGTCCTAAGCGGGTCAAGGCCGAACACGCAATCATGGATGCCAACAGACTCGTACACAAAGAAGACTATCCGGCTGGGTTACGTCTGTACACCAGACTCCTCGACGAAACAAGCCATCCAGCCTACTATCTCAACCGCGCCTTGTGCTATGTCGCCATGGGTCAGCCTCACCTTGCTGTCAACGATGCTCTAAGAGCGTACATGATGGCTCAGTCGATTCTTGATGCAACTCGTAGCAAAGGAGATGTCAACGATCACATCCGTAGAATCGACGCCCGTATCCTCACCTACACCGGTACGTGCCAACGGGATGCACCTCATCATCATCGTACTTTTGGGTGGAGCTAAGACAACTTCGAACCACCTATTTTACTCGACTCGATGCTGACTCAGAACATGTGAAACTCTGTACAAGCAAGAAGCTAATCCTTTGTTCAGNACGATTGCGCTGCTGCGTTGGCTCGTGATGAGAAATGGTGCACAGCACCATCAACAATGTTCGAACTCGAACACCAAAACTTCAAGCTGGCAAGAATGACCATTGTCAAGGAAGAGTTCGAAGATCAGAATGTTGAGAAGAAGGTGTTTACCCCAGCACCTTTTGATTTGAAATACAAAGCTCTGTTTCGCTTGGTGGATGCTCTTTCCAGATGCGGGCGCGGTCCAGCATACAATGCTCTACATCTTCTCGGTGACATCCTCATGGAAGACGCTGGTGGTGCGAACAAGAAAGCCTTCCAGCCTTTTGTCCGTCAAGAACTCGATGCGCTCGCCAAACACGTACAGGACAAGCTGCTTGACGACGTTATCGAGGGCAAGATGGCCGCAGCAGATCTCCAATTAACTCAGACGGGATTCAGCCTCTTGAGCAGTGCCCACTATGGCTTTGCTGAGCGCCCGATCAACTACAACATTCTCAACAACTATATACTGACGATTGACTCCGACTCAATTGTTCATTACGAATACAAGTTTGGCATGCCAGCAGCGCTAGCAGCTACTCAGGATGTCTTCGAAGGCATGGTGTTGTTCACCGAGAGCCTTCCATTTGTCGTCTCGACAGCAAACACACCAGATCAATCAAGGCTTGCGATCATGTGTGACGCCTGTGGGACAGATCTGCAGATGCCGGCACCTTTGGTTCTGCGCGTCTTGGTTGAAGAACTGAAGCAGGCAGGAGCAGAGTTGGACGCAAAGAGAAATGCGAGAGCAGCAAAANGGGCAGCTCGGGCCAGGTCTTCTTCAGTCAACCATCGCCGCACAGTCGCGGTGGATACTCCACTAGGAACACCACCACGTTCAGGATCCACCGACAAAGACAGAGACACAGATTTCGAGCAGAGAATCCCTCAGGCAGAGGGGAGAGATTACGGCGAAGTCGGAGGTGACCAGTTTGATGAGGACTGGAACTCTGAATCGTCGAGCGACAAGACTGACACATGCTCGGATCATACGGCCCCTACCACTCCAGTGCGTGGCAGAATTACATCAAGACCTGGTATCTTCGAGACTTCAGACGTTCAAATCTGCCGTTATGGTAAAGAGAAGCAACGTGAGAACTTTTCCTTTTGCTCGGTTGATTGCTTCGAACTAGCAAAGGCCACTTACCATGACAGTATTTGTGGATCGCACATTGAAGACTATCTCCGCAAGTCTATAATTCAAGTAGAGAATTCAGGACTTCCAAGTGTCGACACTCAGAAGCTTGTTTTACTACTTCTTGTCCGGGTTCTTGGATGGGCATACGCCACATCAACTGATCCTCTGGATTTGCCTGTTATTCAGTTGTTCATGGCATCTCCTCGTCGTCCATCTTTGAAGGACGAATTATCGATTCCATGGTCTTTTCACAACAACGTCATGCGTCCCTATCAGATGTACCAGGCCATGGACGGACGTGGAGATGCCCCTAAATCGGTCACCAACCCCGACTACTCTGATGGTAGCATAATCAACACTATCATCAGTCTCATCCAGCGCCATATCGTCATCTGCGACAAGGTTCTTTGGACCAAGACTTATGACGAGGATGGTTACCATGAGCAAACATACCGCTACTCGGATAAGGAACATACCGACGAGGACGAAAGCACCTTGTTTGGTCGACTGCATCCTTTGTGTGATCTTGTCCCTTTGGTGCCAAAGCCTGAAGATGCGAATGTTGAGCTCGTGGATTTGGGTGGTGGCCAGATCATTTGCTTGCCCATATTCACCAACCGGGCAAAAAACATCGACTCTGTACAATGCATCAAGAAAGGCACTCGTCTATTACTTCACAGCCCAGCTCCTCGTTTCGCCACCAACGAAGAACGCGTGACCTACGCCAAGGTGGAAGATTACGGTAAGGGAGGTACGATGATGGACGCGGAGAGAGATGAAAGTATGCTTGAAGAATCCGACACAGAAGGTGAACTGCAAACCGAAGAGCAGGAAGAAGAGTATAGCGAATATCTTGATGAGGAGACTTACGGTGCCGACGACGAATACATGGCTGATGCTGAGTTCGAGATTGATGAGGACGACGAGGAGATGATGAATTTCTAGGAGGATGTTCTGGAACATGAAGAGATGACTAAGAAGAAGCGAGCTGAAGACCATCAAACTTGGCTTGAGGACAACTGGTCCCGCGGGCTGGCAGCAGAAAGAGGAATGAGGACTGCTAGCTTTTGAGATATTGAATTAGTTTTATTATCAGGAAGAATTGGAATCATACCCTACCATCGGAAGTGGCATGTGCAATGACGTGAATTTGTGAGAGCAGACTCCTTCGCAGAGAGCCGACATCTTGACATGAACGAGTGTGCTGGTTCATGACCAAGGAAAGAGTAGTCACCAAGTTCCTTCCTCCACAAACATCATGCAGCACAAACCTCGGCAATTCCCAACCTTCTATCATGCTCCATTCTGGACAATCAATGCCGTCTCAATTCAATCACCTCGCCTACACCTCAAACACCATCACACTATTCCCGCCAATCCGGAATCTCCTCTTCTCTCCACTGCACCCACAACTTGGAAACACACACTCCGCTATTCCCAGAAACCAGGCAACCATATTAGTGCCCCTCTAGAGCCATTGAGCTAGGTGTCTGCCGGCCTTTGACCCAGATCCACGGGTCCGCAAAAAGGAAAAACAAAAGAACCATGACAAGCGGGGGCAGCATCGGAACCCTGCACCGGCAATACTGGATCACTGCTCACAGCTCATCAGACGTCAGAAAGAAAGCAAGAGAATATCGTCAGCTCTGCAGCAATATTCAAAAACATTGCAAGAACGAAACTCAGCAAAAGGTAGGAGAAACAGGCAAGGGTCTTACAGCAGCGGAAAAGTAACCTTTGTCGGTGTTACTGTTGGTGGTGGGCCGATGCAAGTGCCCAGTCTTGCGGGTAAGTGCAGGAGTGTCTATGCTTTGTAAGGTGGGTGTGAGATGAGGAGGTAGGCGATTGGTCGGGGGTGGTGCGGAGAGCCCTTTCTGCGGTGCAACAACCGTGCTCTGGGTCCCGGGGATTTGGGTGGGCATCATTCGGGATTGAGTTACGTACGCCGGGTATGGAAGTCTTGGGAGGCTCTGTGGCGATCTGGGGAGTGCGAGTCTTTGTCTCGAGTTCTATGAAACTAATGAAAACAACACTGAAAAGGGGTGCCTGAATCGAAGAAAGAGAGCAACAAGGACATGCAGATGGAGCATGAGTAAACAGTAGAAGTATGAGAAAGAGAAGAGAAGAGGATAATAAGGAAAAGAGAAGGATAACAAGGGGTATCATCGCAAACCGTCCCATGCGGAATAGTGAAAGATTCCAAAAGCGAACGAAGATTTCCCAGGTCTGCGTCTTCCATAACGTCTAGTACAAATGAAACCTCCTGTCTTGCGCGAAGCAACGTGCTCAATGCATACCTGAGTGCCATTGCTGCTGATGTTGCTGAGCCTGTTGCTGACCATGATGCAGCTGGTGATAAGGCTGGATCGTACATTGGTGTTGGGTCCAAGCCAGATTGGCATCCTGCATCGGCACATGCTGCTGATTGAAGGGCTGCTGCAGATGCGTCCTCTGCATTCCGCCATTCGGCATCACCTCCTGCGAGCTTTCAGCAAAAGGCATCGGCGCATGAATGGCAGTCATGACCTGCTCCTCCTGCTGAGTTGATGGCTCACCATCGCCTGGAACAAACACTTGACGAAGCCATCCCTCTTCGATCAGACGATTGCTGCTCAAAGCCCAACGTTGGTTCTTGCCTCGCAGCAACTCCATCATGTCTTTGCCGAAGATCCCCGTATGCTTCCTTCTGAAGTGCTCGGCACCACCATAACTAGTGCCGTACTGATGGCCAGTCTTGCATCTCTCACAGTTGCGCATCAAGCGATCCGGGCTCAGGTCAAAACACTTCCACACCTTCTTATGCTTGGTGTGCTTCTGTGCGTAGTGACGGGCGAGCTCATGCTCTCCACGGAATCCGCGTGAGTAGTCCTTACTATCGCGGCAAGCTTCACAGAAGAGGCGTGTCCTAGTACTGTTGGTTCGAGCCGGCCTTTTTGGTTGGCCTGTGTCTGTCTCCCTGGTTTGTCGTACCTTTCTTGGCCTGCCTGGGGTGGAATGATCATGGGGCTGTGTATGACACGACTGAGGAACTAGAACTTCAGGGTCCGAGAGAGGCGAACGATGAACAGGGACATGAGAGACTGTATCAGAATCCGTGGGCGATGACATAGAGTCATTGACTTCAAGGTCGCCGAATATATACTCAAACTGCTGCACAGTTTCGTCTGAGTTGCTGGTGGCACATGCGGGGAGCTGAAGAGGCATGAAGACACTTCCAATATTGTTGAGTAATCCGCTGGACGCAGGGGGCTGGAAGGGCGAGAAAGGTATCGAGGGAGGCTCTTGGTCCCAAACTTCAGAAAAGTCGCCAGAGTCTGATCTATGTAGACTTGGCGTAGCGCTATCGTCGAAGCCGCTTGTCTCCGAGGTCATATCGCTCGAGGAAAGCATGTCGGGCTCGTACCATCCCTCGTGACGACGGTGGTATTGTCCAGACCACCGTGCTCCAGCAAGAGGAACTGTCGCACCGGTAGGTATCCGAGACCAAGCTTGTGTATATACAACTTGTCCACTCTGTGGATCGTCGTTGTCCATGGGGTTGTTGTAGATCATGCCACCATTGTAGGTGCTATAGTACCCAAGGTTTGAACGATCCTGACTCATACTGTCCCTTGGCTAGTCGGAGACCAGACAAAGATCGAAGAAGAGAAGTCGAGATAGCAGACATCCAAAATATATTAGGCGAGGCAATGGGGAATAGGTCGGCGGGAAGCCAGATTTATACCACGAGGTGGCCCGTAGACGATACCCCTCGCGGAACACTTCCAGAAAGCACGTTCTGGACAATGTCAAAGTGCCAGCACACGTTTTAGCCGGACCTGGCGTCGGGGAGTGGGCGGCAGGCGCTACCCTCCAAGATGGTGTAAAGAAAACAGAAATTCTGGCGGCTGATCTTGGCAGGAACAGTGATATCGGGTCGCTGCGTAAAAGGTCGCGAGAAGCGGCAACGTTTGAGTCTCAGCGTCGTACAGCATAAAGGAAGAGGAGTCAGGAAGGTATCGTGGCCGATTCCTGTTCCCCGGCCGAATGATGACTCGAGAGTTAAACATGCAGCGATCATCCGAGTGGCTGCTTCTGTGAGTGCTGATTTGCTCAAGTATGCGCCAGCTGATCGCATGCGTGGAAACTGGCCCCCGTCTGTCGGCGTTTGAGAGTGCGTGTTTCCCTGCTTGGTCACGCGGCGATTTAGTGGTGATATTGTCCCGAACTCGGGACCATGGAAGCTATTGCAGTCAATGCATCTGTATTCTCTACCGATCGGATGTTATATGGAGATTCCGTCGCGAAATCTGTAAGCGTGGACATTCGCATGAGATGTGGAAGCCCTGTCATGGTTGTTGTTCAGCATATGTCACTACCAGTGAGTGTGAAGACGGAAGGGTGAAAAAGAACGACGTGTATTACACACGAGAGGAGGATGGTGCATTGATTTGTGTATAAGGAAACGCCACGACCTGCAGCCCTACCCGACAGAACCGATGCTTGATTACAACTCTGTGTCAAAGTCTTCATTGCTCACCAACATGTCTTTCTCCCATTCAAGTCTTGTAATACGTGCATGACAAACATTTCTTTCTGCCTCAAGGCTTTCAATGGTGGCTTGAAGCTCAGCAATCTTGGCTTCGCGTGCCTTGAGAGCAAGACGAGTTATTTCTCTGCCCTTCACGACCCCCNNCTGCGTACGTAGCTCGTGACGAGTCAAGACTTCTCGAAGTTTCGATGTCAAGCTCGCTGGCAGTTTGACGCTGGAGTCGTTCAGGGCGGCGAAGACGTCCTCATTGAGTGTGGATCGGAGAGGCGATGTATCTGCTGACGGGTCGCGAAAGCGCGAGGGACTTGGAGTGACCTGCGGTGTCAAGGCACCGTGTTGTACAACACTCAGTTTGGAACTTAACGACGTAGGAAGTGATGGCCGAGTAGATTGCTTGGAAGGAGTTACTTTCGAAGAGACTGTGGATGGTACCTGGGCAGATGGATCTAGCCATGGCAACTTCCTGTGCACGCTAGTCCCTGGTGTAGCGAGACCGTCGAATTTGATTGCCTTGTGTGGTGTCTCTGGTGCGTCAAGCAACTCAACTTCTTCTTGGCCTGATAGAGACCAAGGGAACGAATCGTGGTCAGTATCAGCATCATCACCAAGGCCGGCGTCAGAGAATGGTCGCTTCAGAGTGCTGCTGGGATGGCTCAGTGTTGACGTGCTATTCGGAGATGACTGCATTGTCTGGGACGATTGATGTATGGGGGACAATGGCTTATCCGCCGTACTTTTGGGTTCGGTCCTAGAGTTGCTCAGGAGAGCAGCCTCCTCCCGTAGTCTTGCATCTGGATCCTGCCAAAGAAAGAAGCCGCACTTTCTGCCGTTTCCATTCTGGCAGGTGTAGAACCATCTGCCTTTNAAGAAGTCAGTTGTGTCATTCATAATCATACGCAGGGACACTGGGTAGACACCTTTGTTTGCACTTTCTTTCTTCACCTGAAAGCGTTCAGCAGGAAGGCGAGGGTTACAGTCACAGTCGCAGTGCCATATTCCATCTGCAAACAGACCTGTCAGCTTTTGCCGACCAGGTCGGCGGGTGAATGTGCCGCGGCGACTTCCAGCACCTCCTCTGTTGCTGTTGTTGGCCGCCGGAGACGTCGTTTGTGCATCGTTCTTGGGCACTTTCTTGAACATTGAGGCCATGATATATCGATAGATGAAAGATGCTGCCCACTTGCAGTCTGGCCCGATATCAAGCTACAAGTATGCGCGCAATTTGTGTTACATGGTTGAGGAGTGAAAGCGGGAGTGACGAAGGCGGTCTCTACAAAGGGCTAATCTCCATAGCAACGGCAAGCCGAGACGGTCAACCTCGACTCACTCCACGTGCTATCGTCATAAGCTGTGACGATTAGCGCCTTCGAGTTTTGTGTAAATCCATCGAAGACAGTTCTAGTGAGCCTTCCTTCAACACTACAGTCCATCAAGTTCTGCTCGTGCAACCATCAAGGTTCCATCAAGTCACGCGGCGCGCATCAACGATGAATTCCCGCCGTGATGACGCACGTATTGTACCGTCGTCGAGTTCCTCTACAAAGCACGACAGCGACCTTCACGTATACATCCTTGCAAGGCTTCAGCCTATCCAGGACAGTCTCGACGGTCTTTAAGACTCGCAGCAGAAGCTGCTCAAGGACCTCAGAGAGTTCAACAGCCAACAGCGTCACAATGCAGACAACAAAATGTTGTTGTTCCCAACAATATGCAGATCGGTTTAGAGTCTTGTCCAATATGCTATGGCCCATCGTGCCTAAGCCACGGTGTGGAGCGAGATGACAATTCTCAAGGAACATTGTATATCTGTACGGTTATACACAGCGGAATGAAGAGCACCAAACAGGAGGAGATCATAAAGGCAAGATGGGTGCCTGTAGATAGCCGAGCAATCTAAACCCAAAAGTCTCATGTCTGATTCTTGTTTAACCTTCATCATTCTGAATCATGAGCACAACCTATTATCGTCATCAACACACCGAGGACCATATGTATGTAGTCGAGCGAGTTTGAGATGGGGCATCGCTTCGGAGAGTGCGACGGTGGGATCTGTTCCCACGAGCGCTTAGCTGCATGTATCAGCAACTCATCCAAGGTGTACGCACAGTCCGTACCATGGGTCACTGGAGATATCGCCTCGGCTCGAGCACCATACAGCATCCATATGCCTGCCGCTTAACCGTATTGGCGCGCTCTTATCCCGCGAGATCGTTCCTAAAACGCACACTGTATCCCATGACGAGACAGTGATTATCTCACCGGTCGCCATGTGCACTGTACCGGTGCTGTATAGAGGTACACGTGAGCACGTAGAAGAAAGTAGTCCAATCAACATGACACCCGGATGCATGAATCTGTATGAGTTGCAGCAAGCGAGATGTTGTATCCCACGGCCAGCGGCTCTCGCCTGCTCAGTTGCATACAGACTCACCAGACAGAGCAGAATGTCCTCTGGGCCATTGGGTGTATGCATTGCGGGAGTGCACCTTGGTGTGTTCCGGAGGCTTAGCGTGGATGCCTGATATCTGAAGTCTATGACGGAAAGGAGGTGCCGAAATTGTAGGTATACCTTCAAGATTTTGAACGCATGGGATGGAGTGCTAAGGGTAGGGGTTCCCACTGCTGGGTTCGTGGCTTTGAGCTCGAAACGCTTCTCGAAGGCGGTTCGAGCTGCCGGCTGTATCGGTAGCATATCCGTCAAGCCCTTTTTCGTGCGAGCCATCTTGAAGGATAAAGGTGCCATGACGCATCACGACAGATCTTCACGTGGCATCATTTGGGTTCGTTCATCTCACCGCCACGTCTCAGGAACTCGGCAGAGTGATGATCAGAATCGGTAGGCATGCAGAGGTTTCGCGGACGGGCCGGGAAGTTAGTAGACGTACATGCACATCGCGTCGATGGCTGTGCGGGGCTACAAGCCTACAACTATGGCTGTCCTGGCGCATAATGGCAATCTCCTGCGAGGTTGGTTTCTGCAACTATCTGATCCTCATCAGGACATGAGAGGCGCGTCAAGTGATTGATAAGCCTGCATTGAAAAGCATGGCGACTGGCGACCTCGGCGTGTAATTATGCATCTCGCTGCGGCATGACTGCTTGCACGATGCAACCTGCAAAGACGTGGGTAGTCGAAGTACGAGCTAAGCAAATGGTTGGCTTGACGTTGGCAAATGAATAATCGAGGAGTAGACACCGAGAACCCGCTTCAGCTTTGTGTGGCAAGATCATTGTTGCCAGAGGGACCCTGTTCTGTAAATGATGGGTACCGCTGGCTCGTCTGCGGGCCTGTATTGCTCGGACTTGGACCAGTGTTGCTCCCAGCATCAGGGTCTGTCTGGCATCTTCATCATGAGATGAATGTGCTGGCGGTCGTGACAAAGCGCCATTTTATCCATCGCCATGATAACAACGCCAGACTTTGATGGAGACCAAATGAAACGCGACCCTCCATTCGGGCGGCACCAGATCTAGACAGAAGAAGAAAAGCAGAAAACCATACTGCTAGGCGTACGTTCACTGGATCGGATGCTTTGCTCGTAGACCGTAGTAGTGATTCTCACAGACAGAAAACCGAATGTAGCGTCTGATCACGAGACTCGCGGCCCCAAAGTCGAGGCGTCTTCGAAGTTCGAAAAAAGACCTCCGAGCGCCAAGCTCGAGCAGACAGTGTTTCTCTCGCCGCGCCAACTTTGGAAGTCACTTCCGTACAATCTTTCGTTTGATCAACAATTCAATTCATATACCGTAAATATGTGAGTACGCGACGGGCGCACTCAGAAGTGGCGCACGCCTAACAACATCTCAGGTTCGCTCTTCGCCGCGCCGCAGCTCGCAGCTTCGTCTCGTCGCCTCTCAAGGCTCGCACATTCGTCACCCAGACACCCACTGGACTTCGTCAAACGCAAAAATGGCAGATGCCTGTCTTCCAAAGGCGATCCGCCAGCGAGGAAGCATCGCCTGTCCAGGAGAAGACCACTGGCGAGACCATCCCCACCGAGCCCACCGAGACTGAGCAGGCCATGAAGGAGGATGCTGTCACGTCCGAAGCGCAAGCAGAGCAAGAGCCCAACGTCGTCGAGAAGTCGGTCCCCGAAGCAGCCGGTGAGCAGCCCTCGATGGTCGAGCAGGTCAAGGAGAAGGTCCAGGATGCCGCATCAACCGTCACCAACGCAGCCGAAGGTCTCCTCGGAAAGAGCGCTCGCGACGCAGCTGTCGGAACACACAAAGACCCCAAGCCGAGCAGAATCCTCTACGTTGGCAACCTCTTCTTCGAGATCAAGAGCGCCGACCTCGAGCGCGAGTTCTCCAGCTATGGTCAAGTCGTGAACGCACGTGTGGCCGAAGATGCCCGCGGTCTGAGCAGAGGGTATGTTATGGAAGTCCAAGACTGATGAGACGACGACGACTAACGTCGATCGACAGATNTTGGTTTCGTCGAATTCAGCTCGCTCCAGGACGCAGAGAACGCACAAAAGAACCTGAACCAGAAGGCTCTGGCTGGCCGCAACATGGCAGTGCAGTTCCATCTCCGCCGCGAGCCCCGTAACTCTTCGGACAATAGAAAGGTGCAGGTCAATAAACCCAGCAAGACTCTGTTCATCGGAAACATGTCCTTCCAGATGTCCGACAAGGATCTCAACGACCTGTTCCGCAACATCACAAACGTCCTAGATGTCAGAGTCGCTGTCGACCGCCGCTCAGGTCAGCCCCGAGGCTTCTGCCACGCCGACTTCATCGACGTCCCCAGCGCACAAGCAGCCAAGGAGGTGCTCGAGAAGAAGGAAATCTACGGCAGACAACTTCGTGTCGACTACAGCCGCTCGGCCGCTACCTCGAATGACGGAGATCTCTAGATTCGAAAGTCCCAGAAGCATTGTACTATAGCCAAGGCGTTGATGAGGTGTTGACTGGTTGATGGACATATATTGTATTATTCTATGCTACTACCTTACTCTCAATCCCCTGCAGACATGTGATTCGCAACCTCGGCATGTGGAAGACCCCGCCAAGGCCAAGTTCCCCACAGTCTTCGCCGCCCTCGGCCGCTTGCTTGCCGGCGGAAGTGGCATTGGACATTGTCGACCTTGAATTCTTCTGTTACGTTGCTGAACAATCAGCTTGGTCCCCGTCGTCCTCGCCTCTTACTTCCACCGTCCAACTTCTTCGACTATCACTATCACCACAGGACCGCACCTCGAGCCTCCTACCAGACACATCTACCAGCACCACACCATGTCGTTTCTTGGCGGGGCAGAGTGCTCGACGGCGGGCAACCCACTGAGCCAGTTCACAAAGCACGTACAGGATGACAAGTCGCTACAAAGGGATCGTCTCGTAGGCAGGGGCCCCGGAGGCATGGAGAGCATGCGAAGTCAGATGGGAGCCCCGCAAGACTCTGTAAGCACACGAGACCACGACCACCCACAGCAGATTGCTGACCACACGACAAGANTGATGGACGACTTCATGCAACAACCCGCACACCTCGGCCCTGCCTTCCAAGACTCGCCCTTTGCCATGGACCAGATGCGCCGCGAACTCGACCAGGCAGCTTCCNCCGCACCTGCTCACTGGGCCGCCGAGTTCGAACCTCAAATGTCCGACCAGGCTGGCCCTGCATTTGCCCACCAGAACAATGGAGCCTTCAACCCTCAGGACTTTGCTCGCTTCCAGCAAACATCAGCCGCGAGGACGGCCAGTCCGCTCGGCAATGTCCAACAAACACCCATGTCACGCTATCAGTCACCCATGCAATACGGTGGCATGTACGGCAACGGCATGGGTATGAGAATGGGCATGGGAGGTATGGGAATGACTGGCATGGGCATGAATGGCATGCAAACGCCGCAAGACCAGCAACAACAATCCAAGGGCAAAGAACGCATGGTCGAGCTGGACGACAAGGACTGGGAAGCTCAATTCGCCGAGCTAGACGCCCCACAAGAACAACAGGACGCTCAGCTCGATGCAGAGGCTAATGCCGCCATGGAGGCAGAGCTGAACGCCATGGACAGGTCAGTTGATCCCGGTCAGAGTGAAACGCTGTTCGGCGACTTCGAGTCGGTATGGCAGGGTATCCAAGCTGAGACGACCCAAAACAGAGACTTTGTCACGACCGATGCCTTCGGCGACGCAAACGACCGGTTCGACCAATGGGATGGCTTTGACGGCCTCAACACACATCGCGATCCCTCGCTAGGCGATTACATGTTCGAAGACGACAACCCCTTCGCCGAACTAGCCAACCCTTACGATGAGGGCATCAAGATCATGCGTGAAGGTGGCAACCTCTCACTCGCTGCTCTAGCCTTCGAGGCCGCTGTACAGAAAGATGCAGACCACATGGGTGCTTGGACAGCTCTCGGTCAAGCCCAAGCACAGAATGAGAAGGAATCACCAGCCATCCGTGCTCTGGAACATGCTTTGAAACTCGATCCCAACAACCTGGAAGCTCTGATGGGGTTGGCTGTATCATACACAAACGAAGGTTACGATAGCACAGCTTACCGAACACTTGAACGCTGGGTCGCCACGAAATATCCCTCCCTAATGAACACCCCTCTCTCCTCTCAGGACGATGAGATTGGCTTCACTGACCGTCACGCCCTGCATGAAAAAGTGACAGACTTGTTCATCCAAGCCGCGCAACTATCTCCGCATGGCGAGCAGATGGACCCTGACGTTCAGGTCGGCTTGGGCGTCCTCTTCTATGGCGCCGAAGAGTACGACAAGGCGGTCGATTGCTTTGGTGCCGCCCTGGCCTCAACCGAAGAAGGCAGCACAAATCGACAAGAAGAGTTGCATCTTCTCTGGAACCGTCTCGGTGCCACACTCGCAAATTCTGGCAGATCGGAAGAGGCCATCGATGCCTACTCCCGTGCGCTGGAGATGCGACCCAACTTTGTCAGAGCACGCTACAATCTAGGTGTATCGTGTATAAACATTGGGTGTTATGAAGAAGCGGCACAGCACCTGCTCGGTGCTTTGGCAATGCACCGCATCACGGAGAAAGAGGGCTTGGAGAAGGCACGACAGGTGGTCGGCGACAATAACATGACTGACGCGAAGCTGGAAGCCATGATCACTCAAAACCAGAGCACAAATCTATATGACACGCTGAGGAGAGTGTTTGCGCAAATGGAGCGCAGAGATCTACAAGAGCTTGTTGGCCCCGGCATGAACCTCGAGGACATGAGGCAGCATTTCGAGTTCTAGAAGGATGGAAGGGATTCGTTAGTCGTGTTCAGCGGTCCGAGGGCAATGATATTTTCTCATGGTCGGGCTGAGAGCTGGGACTGGCCCATGTCATGAAAAGTTGAAACTCTGATGGCAGTGGACTTGTCGATCAAGTCATGACTACATGTACATTCTGTGCGCCTAGATTGCGTTCGCTTCACGACGGTCATGAACATAGACATCTCTTTTACAAGCATCTTATTTGGCTGCAAGCGAGTATCGATCTTGAGTTCAGCCGCCCTCGCTCGGCACAGGCCCTTTGGGCCCTGAAGATCGACGTCCTCGGTGACAAGAGACAGGGTCACTCTTCGGAGTGGATACGGAGTAGGGAGGCACTAGTCGGCGATGGCAGGTTCCCAACCCCAGCCAGCGTCACTACTGCCTAGAGGCTAGAGTGCGCCGAGTCGCAAAGGAATCCATGTTCCTTCCGCTCTCAACCTGCTCCCGTCTTCCATCTCTCTCCCTCCAGCTCTTCTCTTCTCGCTCGACTCGACGTGCACCCTGACAGCGTCTGACAGCGGAACGGCAGTTCTCGAGCTTCAACAAACCTTAACCGACGTCTGGACCCTCATCTAGCCATCTCTTCCCTCTGACTTGGTTCAACCTTCCCCGCGAAATAGCAGCCGCGCGCAACAAGATTTCCTCCGCAGAGAAGCCCTGCAGATACTCTCTACCCCGCCGCCCGTTTCACCATATCCACCCTCTCGTCGTCGCACTCTCGCACCACTTGATGGACGTAGCTGTCCTGCAACAAGTCTGAACCCGAACCTGCTCCTGCCGACCCCGCCATGAGCAGCAGCGTCCAGCGTTTCTTGGGCAGACGGGATCGCCGATCAAAAGTACTTCTACCCTTTCCTGCCTCCTCTGATTCTGTCAACATTGCGACTCCTGCTGACCGCGGCCTCTCTCTCGCTTTGCAGAATCTCCCCGACGCAGGCGCTTTTGGTGGCCTTTTCGTTCCCGAAGACAAGAAGAAGCCCGAGAAAGAGGATGAGAAGAGGGTGAGCTTTCCTCTGCGACCCGCCAATCCCCTATACCCTTGCTGAGACTAGACGCGTTCACAGATCAAGGCAATTCTCGCTCGGCTGCAGAAATATGGAATCACTACCTTCACCGAAGCAAATGTCAACTACGCGTTGCAAGCTACAAACTCGGCGGGCAATGGCGACGAAGCCATGCGGTTGCTGCTCCTCCTCGAGGATACGTACGAAGGCTTGGTCAAGATGTACGACCCCTCGACCAAATTGCTTGGAGCGGAGAACCGCAACGGCGTGACCTGTTACCTCGATGCTCTCCTCTTTGCCATGTTCGCGCGCCTTGACAGCTTCGAGGCCATGCTATACAACTCGTTTGATGACCTCCCTCGGAAGAAATTGGCCGGTCTATTGCGTCTATGGGTCAACATGCTGCGCTCTGGCAGACTCATCACTCGAGACATTGTACGTGTTGGCTGTCCGAAGACGGTTCCCTCGTCACCGCTGACCTCTCCGTCCAGANCAAAATACCTGCAAGACTCGCTCGCCGAATGTGGTTGGGAATCAGCAGCCGAGCTGTGTCAGCAAGACACTTCCGAAGCTTTTACCTTCATTACTGGTCAGTTAGAGCTCCCACTACTCACCCTCAAGATGGACCTGTTCCACACCGGCAAGGAAGACCCAGCCGATGACCACAAGTTTGTCAACGAACGCCTGCTCGAGGTTGCGGTTGCTACGGAACCGCCCGAGGGAAGCACCGTCGTTACTCTCGAAGACTGCCTGGAAAACTACTTCAACAACCGCATCGAAGTCAAACGTCATCTTGACCGACGCAATACGCTGCAGTCCGTAAGGTCCAACGAAGCACTCCGCCGGATCAACTCGTGTGAAAAAGGTGGAGCTATGCACGTCGAGACGGTCGAGTACTTTGACCAGGCAGTCACACCAAGACCGGAACCTAGTACTCCAGTCAAATCGCCTTCCTCCACACCTAGCACGCCGATCAAGTCTCCCCTCGATAAGATCAGACCCGGTGTGAATAGAAAGCGTGCCGATAGCATCTTCAGTCAGCGAAGAGTGGCAGAGTCAAAATCGGACGAGAAGAAGAGACCGGATGATGCGAAACATACTTCCGGACGGCCGCGTAAGAACTCGGTTCGCACCGAGGTTTTGATGCCTGCCTGGCAGTTCTTCAAACTACTTCCATGGTATACTGAGAACATCGTCCCTACCAGCGACGCCCAGGTCGCTGCCCATTTCTCCAGGAAGCGCCCAATGCTCGGCATCGCTCTCAAGAGATATCAATACTCCAACACGGGCGTCGCGAGTCGTCTGGACACCTTTATTGACATCCCTCTGGAGATCGCTGTGCCTAGCTTTGTGTCTGACGACGAGATGGAAGACCATAGCCCGCTTGTTGGAAACTTCAAGCTTGTTCTTCAATCTGTCGTCTGTCATCGTGGTGTGTCGGTCAATTCGGGTCATTATGTTTCACTGGTCCGAGGACGTGCTGCCAATGCTCAAACCACTGCTCAAAGTGTTGACGAGCGCTCTGATCGTCCCGACACTGCTGAGAGCACCGAAGAAGAAGACCCTTGGATGTTGTTTGATGACCTCGCCAGAGAACGCGTCACCTACATCGACATCAATCAAAAGCTAAAGGAGGAATGCCCCTATCTGCTGTTCTACCAGGTGCAGCCCATCGATGAAGAACTCGTACCCGATGCGCCTCCAACTTACGATGAGGCCATGTCACGTCATCCCTCAGATTCGCTCGAGTATTCTCCTGAGAAACTCAAGAAAATCGGCAGCGATGAAAATGACATGGTTTTGGTCGAGTCTTCCTCACCAACATCACCTAACGGACTGACGGGTACCGAGACGGTTGACTGGACAGTGTCTTCTAACAGAACAAGTCTAGACATACGTGGAAGGACAAGTCTGGATGCACGTCGCAGCAGCATGGCGGACGACGGTAGCGCCGCTGGCAGTCAAGCCACCACTTCGGTACCATCGACGCCAATCGACGAGTCGCGAGGTAGCTTCCTTGGTATTCCGTCTAGAAGAGGTAGCAAGGTCAGCACCAAGAAGACACCAAAATCGCGCCCAGGCTCTACGGATGGCGGATCTCGGTTCAGTCTGAACATGAGCAAACTCACTAGTCGTGTAAGCCGGACAGATCTCACCAACCTCGCCTCGGCAGCCGAACAGGATGAGGATCTGGCCCATGGCAAAGACACTGAAGGGCCGCCGACGGTCAGTGGTAGCGAGGCGTCTGTCGAGAGTCTCAAGAATCTTGATGCCAAGATGGCCGAAAAGGCGGAGAAAGAGCGCATTGGCAGAAGCAAGGTCAGGAAGGATCGAGGTGATAAAGAAGGACATTTCCATCGCAAGCGGAAAACAGAGAAACCGGACAGGGAGTGCGTCGTCATGTAAGGCGGACAACTCGACGATGAGTTCAAGTCGTTTGCTCATTTCATTGATACAATTGCATAGCGTGGGCTTTGGTTGGAGGATGGACGTTTTTCAGCGAGGATTGGTTCTTTTGCACGCATGGCGTTTAGGAATTGGAAGCGGCTCTTTGCTGAAGGAAGCTGCGTTACGGAACGATCCACTGTGGATACCTGGTTCATATGCAGTCTCATTAATTGTACAAAGTCAGAAATGTGTGGTTTTCCTGCGAACATGTTCACCAAAAGACATTGCTGGTCTCCCATTGGTCACTGGCGATGCCCCACTTGATGTTACGAGAGGGGCCATTGCCCCACAGAGCTGTAACACGGGGATAGCATCACCATCAATGTTGCAAGACGGTCAAGGTCGCAAGGCCCTGTGATGATTCGTATCATGGAGCCCCACGAACCCATGCCGCCATGATCTGAGAGCCCCCACAAGGTGGTGGTTCGGATTGCAACCGATACAACTGCCGTTCCCAGATGCGAGCACATTAGTTATATGTCCCCAGAGCCCTTGTCTCTTCTTTGACCACATAGGAACTCGGATACACATAGCACACTCATACGCCATAACCATCACAATGCCCGCACCATTGACGGAACGCAAGGCCGCTACAGACCCTACCAAGGTCTTCCACTACACGGACTTGCAGCGCAAGAAGCCTACCCGAGAGAACGATCCATACACATACATGCACGGCTGGAACAACAGACATCAATCTGAGGTTATCCCTGGTACCTTGCCAGTAGCCCAGAACAATCCACAGGAAGTCCGCTTCGGCCTGTACACCGAGGGCATCACGTACAGTGCATTCGCCGCACCGCGTGCTCACAACTATAGCACCTACATGTACCGCGTGCGACCTGCAGCAGCTCACAGTATGCGATTCTCCAGTCTGTACGTCTAAGTGTGCGAGCTGACATTATCCANNGATGGCTACAAGAAGATCGAATCCAAGGCACACATACAGAATTGCTTCCTGAGCCTCAACCCCAAAGTCGAGACCCTACCCGAACAAGCAGAATGGGGACCTTTCCCTCTCCCTCAGGACTCGGAAAAGATAGATTTTGTCGATGGCCTACACACTCTGGGTGGCTCTGGCGATCCCAATCTGAGAGAAGGCATGGCTCTGTACGTCTATGCCATCAATGCATCCATGGAAAAGAGAGCATTCTGCAACACAGATGGTGACTTTCTCATCTGCGCTCAGCAAGGGAATCTAGACATCCAAACTGAGTTTGGAATGATATTCTTGCAGCCGGGAGAGATTTGTGTCATTCAGAGAGGTGTGAGATTCAGGATTGCTCTTGGGCCTGGAGTGCAAAAGGCCAGAGGTTATATCACAGAGGTGTGGGGTAGTATGTGGGAGTTGCCTGATCTGGGCCCTTTGGGTGGTCATGGTCTTGCCAATCCCAGAGACTTCTTGTACCCTATTGCTCACATTGATGATGAGCTGAGTGGAGACTGGGAAGTCGTCAACAAGAACAATGGAAGGTACAACTGCCTGGAGCAGGACCACAGCCCCTTTGACTTGGTCGCTTGGCATGGCAATGTCGTTCCCTACAAGGTACATCTATTTCTTCTCTGGCATCATTGCGTATCCTCGCTAACACGATCTTCAGNNTATGACCTGACCAAGTTTGCCTCGCAAAACGCAACCAGCATCGACCACACAGACCCCTCGGTCAACACCGTTCTCACCGCCAAGTCTCGCGACCCCAACACCCCTCTCGCCGACTTCCTCTGGTTCGGCCCAAGATGGGATGTAGCATCCAACACCTTCCGCCTGCCCTACTTCCACAGAAACTCCGCTTCGGAATTTCTGGCCTGTTTATACGGCGAAGGCCTTGGCAGAAGCGACGATTTCCAACCCGGCGGCGGCAGTTTCGAGGGAGGCCACACACCACATGGTGGGTTTTCAGATGCCTACGTGGATGAAATGCGCATTCAGCAGAGCGAGCCGAGGAAGATTTTGGAGGGCCAGATGACCATCATGGTGGAGAGTTCGAGGACTTTTCTGTGGACCGAGTATGCGAGGGTTGGGTGTGGTACTATCAATACGCGTGGCACGGATCCCAAGGTTTGGGATACTTTGCCCGATCGCTTCTCTGACAATCCCGAGGCCAAAGCCTTGCTGAAGAGGGTCAAGGAAGATAAGAAGTTGATGGAGGAGAGGAGCAAGATTTACTATGATGATGCAGCGCTCAAGGAGTTGCTGCAAGGCAAGACGAACGGTCACTGAGGCATATGACTCTATGATGAAACTAGTGTTTTCTGTTCTGTGGCACGGAAATGCAAGCGTTCGCAAGATCTAATGCATTTTAAATCGTCACTCCAAAGTCCCTATTCAAGATCAAGATCTCTTGTCTCATCTGATACCGCTCCAGCATAAGAGACGATTCAGGCAGTTTAATTCGAGACAGCATTCGAGATCTGTACAATCGAGTCAATTTCTTCGGGAGAAGTCCTTCCCCATCCACACTCGGTCGCAACGCCAAAACTATCGAGCACCTCAGAAGCAGCCTTGATCCTGCGCTCTGTACCCTCCAGATCGTTGGCGTGCACAAGACCAAGATAGATATCGGTATCACCCTTGACAGTTTGTAAATGCTTCAGAGAAGCAAAGTACGCTGCATCATCTCTGTCCTTGGGCACAGGCATGTGGATATAATCAACACGTCTGTCGACCTTGCTCAAAAGCTCTTTGGCCATATCAACCATCAAATCCATATCTTTGGGCTGAGTAAAGTGCTGGTGTCCGATATCGCCGTAGCAAAAGTGGAAGCCCATGTCGATGGTGGGATTGACTGCCGCAGTCAATTTAAGCCAGCGGTCTAGGATTCCTTGCTTGAGAGGAGAAAACCAAGGTTGTACCCAGGCGCCCTCGAGGAGAGCAAATTCGAGAGGAACATCCCATTGAATAGCCAGCTCCTGCTCCGGGATGTTCTTGGTGATATTCTCCACCGCTCTGAGGATGGCGCGCTCATAGACAGGCTCGATTGCGGTCTTGTAATCGCCCACGATGAACGGCGATACAAAAGTCAATGGCGATGGCAGACACACCTGAAACTTGACTTCCTTGGGAATCATACCCTCTTCCTTCAGTTTTTCGAACACCGGGTAGGACTCGAGCGCCTCGGTGTCATAATCGGTCGACATACCCTCTAGCTTTTCGGCTGCTTCTCTGATCTTTTCTTCGGGCACAGGGATATCTTCGAATTTGCCGTTTTGGCCAAATTGACTGACGACTTCGGGGTAGGCGCCGAATTTGTACATTTGCCAGCCGACGAAAAAGTTGCGCTGGCCAGTCTCTCCGTCGGGGATGTACTTGAGACGGCTGCCGAGTGCTGGAGCCAGTCTGCGCAAAACGTCTTCCGTGTCCTTACCGGGCACACTGCCAACAAGCAGGACACCTCTGACGTGAGATTTTCCGGTAGACATGTTTCTCTGCTTGTCTTTCGACCTGTGTTGAGGCCGAGAGATGTTCGAGGAAGAGAGGAAGAGGTAGAGGTGGGTTGAGGAGGGATCCAAGCAAGGGACTTCTTAGCTACCGAGTGCGAGGTGCTGGACGTGAACCGAGCTGCATACCGCTGGCTTGGGTCACAATTGTGGTGATAGATTGCTCTTGCAGATTCTTGGCGGCGCCTCGAGGAAGATGCAGCCGAGCGGATAATGTGTGAACGTGCATCGCGACGATCGACACTACCTTTCGTGGAAATTGACTTGCAGAGTGTTATGATGCTTGCAAGAAGAAGACGAGTCTTTTCAACCTGAATGTCACGAGAGGAGGGCTTCAAGGATGCAGGATGGCGAGTCGTATCCGCAAGTACAAGTGGCGTCGTGAGCCGGGACGTCGTCCACACTTGAGCGCTGCACAATTCAGCAGAGCACTGGAGATGCTGCCTCTGGAACAAGAAGAATGTTAATGATAAGATGGCTGCCTGTAACCAGCCTCGCCGGCTTGATGATGAGCAATCAGGAAGGTCAACGAACGAATCAGGGTCGTGCAGACAACACAGCGGGAAGGCCCCACATTCGGCAGTTCCTTCCAGAGACGTCAGCACCACAACTTCTCCACCTCCTCTTATGGCAGCGACGTTCAAGAAGTCGGCCCTGAAACTGCCCTTGCTATTGCCCGTAAGATCTGTATGTTCTGCTGGCCGAAACGTTGCAAATTCCAAACATCTTCACATCTCCACCAAACAAGAGGAACCTTTTGTCCATCACATAACTCAAACAACCCATCCAGCATGAGCAAAACCCAACAATACCCCTGGCCAAATGGCAAACGCGCCTGCATCAGCCTGACAATGGACAATATGGGCGAAGCAGCCGACCTCCACCGCGGTCTTTGGCCCAAAGACAAGCCCGTAGGCTCTCACATTTCCGTAACCGAGAAGCTGCCTTTGATGCTGGATTTGCTCGACAAATACCACATTCCAGCCACTTATTTTGTCGAGGGCTGGAATTGTCCTGTCTACACGGAAACTATCCAACATGTCCAGCAACGAGGCCATGAGATTGGGTTTCATGCCTACCAGCACGAGGTCTGGAAGAATCTTGATGCGGAGACCGAGGTTGGAAATCTAAACAAGAGTGTCGAGGGTGCCGAAGCTATTGGTGTGCATTACAAGGGATTCAGACCGCCGGGTGGGTTGGTCACTGATCGCACATTGGATCTCTTGAAGCAGAAGGGGATGAACTATCTATCGCCAGCAGCCGAGCGTCCAGCTTTGGTGGATGGTGTGGCGATGGTGCCCTTTCAGTGGGAGAGCATCGATGCATACTTTTACATGGCTTCCACAGCTGCGTTAAGGATGGGAAAGGGCGACACCGAGGAGCCACTGTCACCGCAAGTCTTGAAGGAACGTCTTATCAAGAGGATAGACGAGGTCGTGGCAGAGGGCGGATATCTAGCTTTGTTGTTCCATCCTTTCCTTCAGACCGAGGACGAGAAACTGAAGGTCATGGAAGAAGTACTCCAATACATTGTAAGCAAAACGGAGGACGCTTGGATAGCACAGTGCAAAGACGTCGCGAACTGGATACTTCAGAACCCAGATTCATTTGGCAACGATCCCGGCTGGGACAAGGCAGAGTGGAAGAAGAATTAGAACACGTATCTTGTTCAGTCAGATCAACCATCCGTACTGTAATTACATGACTATTCACTTTTCAAAGAGACTCTTCCAACACATCAGACATGATGTGCAGAATCCGTGACAGCGTCCGTGGTTTCCACGTTCCGATTCCATCCATCAAATGCGCAAAGTCCAGCAGCGTCCGTCTCGCAGTCTGGAACCCGCTGGTAGCAACAACACCGTTGATCGAAACAGGACCTCCTGCCTCAATGAATGCACGGGTCACATTCGAAGCATGCGAAGACTCAAACATCATGTTCGGGCTGTTTCCAGGAGAGCTTTCCGCCATACCCGCGTTGCCGACGACGGTCCAATCGACATCATCCATCAGTTCGTACGGCGGACGCGCAGACTCGTTTCCAGAACTGGGGACAGTAAAGAGATACAAGCCGAGGACAAGAGCAGAGCAGAACAGGGCTGACATGGAGTTGAGCGTAATGCTCTCCGAAACTTTGCGGTTACTCAGCAGTTTGAATGATTGTGCGGCATGAATACAAGCACGGCGCGCAGAAGACGTGCGAGCCCAATCTTCCACATCGGCCAGAGCTTTACCAGCTGGACCGGCCCCCGCTCGACCTGCTGCAAGTTCGAAGATCTGCATGTTGGAGTTTAGTGTCAAGCATAGGTTGTGCCATAGAAGAAGAGAATTGAGGTCAGCAGTCTTGGCCGAGCCTGTGATGACAGGTGCAAGTGCCAGTGTGGTCTGCACTAGAGATCGCGCTCTGAGATCGTCTTGATATGTCTCCCATGGTATCAGGTGATCGTGTCTGTCCCATTCGTCCGTAGGTAGGAAGTGTCGATGCTGAGCATCACATACACCAAGTTTTATGGCCGAAAGCAAAGAGTATTGTCCGGGAGCGTCAAGAGGAGGGTCAAGCAATATTACTGTGTCCAAAGCCCCTTCGAGATGGAACGTGCGAGGCTTGATCATAGGCATGGATATCCTTTTCCCCATCTGTTGCAGCTGAATCCAGCGCTGTGCAGATTCTGCGCGAAAGAGTATATCATCGCATGGAAGACATAGCTGCAGTGTCTCCGGTCGTATTACTGGGCTCACCGAGGAGTTTGCAGAGAACCACCAATCGGTAGTTAACAATGCTACGATAAGCCTACGAAAATCCTGGTCAGTATGCAGAACACTAGATACACGAGCTTTGTCTTACCTTTTGGCGCTCTCAATGCGAGCCCAGGTTAGCCATCGCGAATTTTTGTCGCCGATATTAGTGATCGTATCTTCAACATCAATGTCGTCGACACAGAACAACCCTTGCCTCTGTGCTGTNCTGAGATTTGGTCAGTCGGGTACCTCATGCTTGTTCTCGCCACTTACGGCTATCAGTGTTGCATAGAGAGTCTGTGATTGTGCCAATCGATCATTGTCNCTACAAGCATATTCAGCACCTGAGCCATATACGGAGACTTATATACTCACTCCTGAGAAAGCAGCTAGACACAAGGTCAGAAAGCCAGCCGCGAAAATGGCCAAACGCGCATGTGGAGCCGAAGGGGTCATCGCATTAAGTGCTAGATCACCATGTATTTTTCGCAACAAGTTNCTACTCGACGTCAGCAACATTCACTTGATGCTCACAATGCCTGTATCTAAGCAAGTTGATGCAAGATAGTAAACACTTACTGTAAACGCATTGGAGATGAAGTTGCCGCCATTGCTCGATTCCAATGCACTGAGTCCGAGCATGCACATAGCATAGAGTAAAGGAAGAGGAGTGTTGGATGCATCGAAAGTCGCAACGTGGATGAAAGGAGCGATTGGATGGAAACGTCGAAAGTAATGATCCAAGCAGATCTCAAGTACCTCTGCAGGAGGGAAGTTACCAGGTCGTTTGGCGGCAGAGCCTCCCGGCTGTAACACATGTGCGCCAAATTCAGCCTCTAATCGTGAGCGCAATGCTGAATTTACGCCCCAGCGGCTATCCGACTTTTCTCGAGTCTGCGAAGCACCAATGGAGAACAGGTTTGGTCCCGGGCTGCGCACGATATCGGACCAGAGTGATGGATTGAGATGGTGAGTGCCATTGTTCTTGGCCAACCAACAGTTTTCCACTCGTGCAAAACGCTCATTTGGTATGTTCCCTGTTGATGCCGTATCACTGGTCTCCGATGTTGCTGCTCGGTGCACAGGCGGGTGTGCTGGCTCATATTTGGGGTCAGATGTATATGGTGCGCTGCTCATATCCGGCAATGCCATAGAACCGTAACCCAGATCGTTGTCCGCTTGTGCCAGCCAAAATTGTAGCATGTCTTGAGACTGTCCGGGTGAATTTACAGGTAATCCCCCTACTCCAAATGGGTCTGACATCAAACCGTCTATGTGAGCATGGTCCATCGATACCAGTTGTGGGTCGTATGCATGAGGTGGCATTGCGGGTGTTGATCCGTTCGGTGGAAATTCTACTGGTGTAAATTCAGGTCCAGCATAGGTATGCGTTGGCGTGAGTTGAGTCAATGAACCGTGCTGTTGCGGGCTCATATTATATTGTTGATGTACCAGAGATATGTCAGGCATAGACATGTGACGGGAGTGTGCCATACTTGGATCAGCGTAGGACCGCTGTTGAGCGAAGTTCGGTCTTTCGGTAGGGTTGAAAGAGGCATGCGAATTCATGCCTTCTTCTAGAATTGGTCTCATGGATGCACTTGAAGGCGATGCCCTAGCAATGCCGACTAATGAGTTGGCTGCGTCCCCACGTTCATCGGACGCTTGCTGGTTGTGTAGCTTGCTATGGCGAAAAAGCACATCACTGTGCAGAAGTGTCAATACGGCAGTCGCGACTNNCCACAGCTTGACCACCTACCTCCGTGAGAAGCGTTTTTTACATGTCACGCACTCGTAGGGTCGCTCTTTCGTANNTCTAGTCCGGACAGTCAGACGTGCAAACACGACGAGTATGTGTTCTCGTTGAGACTCACGGGACCTCTGATGCCGGAGGTAATGTTCCGCCNNTGTATCATGTCAGTAAAAGACATGGGAGAGCTATGACCTTCGTGTTTGAACCTTTGTGAAATTCCGATCGCATATCGAGCATCTGCGCAGAACCATACCTCGTACTCGAGTAGACCAGGGTTATGCTCTCCAACTTCTCGGCCCACAGTCAGGGTTGTTTTGCACGGCTTGAGAAGTGGATGGACCCCGCCCCCACTTTGATCGCCCTGACTCAAGGATACAGTCAGACTTGGAGATACCCTTGACAATTCAGCACGGTACGCGAGCGATCACACGATTCTGAGACGAGGCAATACAGATTCTAGCAAGAAACACAGGTTCGATGAGCGAAACAGAAGCGGCGAAACTAAGGTGAAGTTGGAAAGTGACGGCGGACTTTACGGATTCGATCGGCCCGAAGTTGCGGAGCAAATCTTCTCCATTGTGATTGGTTGAATACAGTCATCTACTAACCATAATTATACATATTTACTGAAACAACAAAAAGGAGCAAATCAACTTGGCAAACGCGCGCGCAGATCTGATCAGGATCTATGTGGAAATCCTCGAGAATTGCATGTCGTGTGTGATACTGCCAAATTTCATCTCCCAGAGATCTCTCAAGTAATTTGACCGTGGAAGCCATGGTGCCTTGTTTCCAGCTTTTGGAAGATTGCCCTCTGCTTTGACGATATATGTGGAACTGAGGTCAAGGATCGACTGGTCTTGCATGTTTGAGTTCTGGTCCACTCGAGGTACGGCCTGCGACAGGCCTTTCTTGTCCATGTGGTTCAGTAGGCGAGTGACGAATTGCGCAGTAGCGTCTGAGCCCAGAGTCCAGGATGCATTCGTGTAGCCAAGGACAACAGCAGCGTTGGGAACGTCCTCAATCATAGCACCTTTCCAGAGATGCTTGTGCGGTAACTCAACAGGTTCGTTGTCGACGGACAGTTTGGTTCCTCCTGCCATGATGAGCTTCAAACCGGTAGCAGTAACAATAATGTCAGGAGTCAAGACACGACCGGAGCCTTCCAGATGGATACTCTTCTCTGTGACTTGCTTGATGTGAGCTGTGACGACCTCGGCCTGTCCGTCCTTGATTGCTTTGTAGAAGTCTCCATCTGGGGAGGCGCATAAGCGTTGGTCCCATGGCCCGTAGCTCGGATCAAAATTAGGCTTTATAGGATAGCCCTCTGGAAGCTGGGATGCAGCTCCCTTCTGCAAAAGTTTCCGCGCGCGGTCTGGAAAAGCTTTGCAGAACTTGAAGAAGAGGAATGGCAAGACCAAGAACTGGAAGCGTCTAAGCTTGGATGTCCAGCTGAGAGGAAGGAACCTGGCAGGCCAGTACGAGAGATTGTCCCTTTGAGGCACTGCGGCGATGTATGTCGGGCTTCGTTGAAGCATGATGACCTTGTTTGTCTTCTTAGCTATATTGGGAAGAAGAGTCACGGCAGTAGCTCCGCTACCAACCTAGAAATAGACCTTTGTCAGTGTGGTTACAGTGTGTAACTATAGGCTGTCACTTACGATCACAACGTCTTTGTTCTCGTAATCCAGGTCTTCTGGCCAGAACTGTGGGTGAATAACTTTCCCTTGAAAGTTCTCAATCCCAGGGATTTTAGCAGGCATGGCTTCGTTGTAGTCATAGTAACCTGTACAGAAAACAACAAATCGAGAGCGCATGTTCGTTTGCCCCTCTGGCGTGTCGACTGAGAAACTCCAGTTCTGTTGATCTGTCGACCAGTTTGCAGAGACAAGTTTGTGGCGGTAGCGGATATGTTTATCAATCCCGAAAGTGTTTGCAGCGTCGGTCAGATATTGCTTGATGGATGCTCCATCTGCCATCGTGCGGTATTGCTTCCATGGATAGAACTCGAAACCGAATGTGTACATGTCAGAATCGCTTCGGATTCCAGGATATTTGAAGAGATCCCATGTGCCACCGAGCGAGTCTCTAGCCTCAAGAATTGCATACGACTGGTTAGGTGATTGCTCTTGCAATCGGTATGCCACGTTGATACCCGATATACCAGCTCCGATGATCAGACAGTCGTAGAAGTTTGGGTTGTCGTTCTTTGTAACCATGGTGGAGGTGGCCCTTCTTCGAGGCTGCTGTGTAGCAGTGGCGAGAATCGTTTCGGGATGGAATAGATGCGTGCACTATATTTGAAAACACGATGAGGTTAACAGGCGATACTAAGGTCCTGATATAGGCCTCTGAGTACGATATGCAGGCCGCAATGGGCAGCCGTCTATGTGTCGGTCATAGGGGTCTGATCGAGGGGTAGCCCTTGCATCCAAACCTTGTTTGCGACCGTTAGATGTGCCGAGTATCTCGGAGTTTTATATGATGACTGACCTCTCGAACAAGTCCAACTTGCGAATACGTTTGTACGATGTGCAACTTTCGAATCATTCCTGTATCAGACGAATGGCCATGACCATGCTGTGTATGAATCCAGCATACTGGACCTAGGGAGGCGTCTCTCCCATGTTGACACTTCCAGACGTCATACCAAATGATTGTCACCTTGCAGCTTTGCCCTCGTAGTACTTCCACTGTAGCCTTTCACAAGCGACTTTACAACAGATACAGCTGTAGGTATGTTGGAATATGGTATGGACCAAGTCGAGGCGGATGAGAGCACGCAAGAAAATGTTTCCCCGCTTTTGCATTTCGCCCTGCCCATATTGTTGATCTCGTAGATCATTGTTGCTTGAATAGACCTTCTTCCTCGGGTGCAAGCAACAACGACCAAAATGGCCTCGGCAGACAAACACATCAAGGCATGGACATTTACACACGAAGGCTATCCCAAAGCTCTACACAGGTCGACCTTGCCAACACCCTCGGGACCAGCGGCAACGGAACTTCATGTCCGAGTCAAAGCAGCAGCACTTAATCCTGTGGATATACAGTTGATGAACCTTCCCATATGGAGATATCTGCCTGATTCTCTTGTTACTTCCGACAAAGGTATTGGTGAAGACTTTTCGGGTATTGTCGAAGCCGCTGGCAAAGACAGTGGGTTTGATGTGGGCGATGNNGAGTGAGTTACTGTATATATTGCTGGAGCGCGAATACAGAACGTATGTTGACGTACTTGGTAGGTCTACGGGATCACATTCACCCTTACAAGTGGGACACTACAGGATCTGATCGCTATAGACACAAAGTCTAGCGTTGTAGTAAGAAAGCCTCGAGATATGAACTGGGAACAGGCTGCTGCATTGCCATTAGTCTGGTTAACAGGTACTCTCAGCTCATCACATATTATGATACTCTTGCTAAACAAAGAAANNGCACGCACAACAATCGCCAGTGTCGAAGCTCATATTCAGGGTAGTGGTCGGCTGGCTGTGTTGGGAGGAAGTTCCGCTGTGGGCATGTACGTGGTTCAACTTGCCAATCAGCGAGGGTGGGAAGTGCTCACTACTTGCTCCTCCCGCAATACTGAACTCGTGAAGTCGATGGGTGCAACATCTGTTGCCGACTACAACACGAGTGACGTGGCACAAGCTGTGCGGGAATTTGGCCCAGCTGCCATTATCGACTGCGTTGGCGGCATATCGTGCATAGGTCTAGCAAAGAGATACGTTACCATCGTGGGCGACAAGACAGGACGTGACAGCATGGGTGGAGCAGCGATATACCTCTGGAACCCCAGGATGGTTATCAGAACGTTACTTGGAAGGATAGGCTTAGCGAAAAGCTACGATTGTGTCAACCTGAAGTTTCGCAAAGAATGGCTAGAGGAAACGCTGAGTCTCGACCGCAGCAAAATTGTTCTTGACAGCACATGGAAGTTTGAGCAGGCAGGAGAGGCTTTCGCAAAGTTGAACACTGGACGAGCAAGAGGGAAAGTAGTGGTCAGTATGAGTGTATAATACATAGCATAACCCAACGATTACTCAACCTTGATGTTCATGTCCTTGGGGTCGATATCGACTGTGCCCTCGAGCTTCTTGCCTTGAAGCACAGCCTTCATGAGAGTTTGTAGTCGTGTCACGGCTTCTTCGTCGATCTGGTAGTGTACAACGAGGCGACCACCTCCGAGCCTCAGGCCAACTTTCTCACCGGCTGCAATGAAGTCGGGAACACTGATTCCAGCAGCGTCTAGATCCAGCCAGCACATATTGGTCTCGACAGGGTTCGAGGTCTTACCGCCCAATTCCTCCCACATCGCAGCAATCTGGCGTGCTCTGTCATGGCTGGCGGCCAACTTGCCTCCAAGATAAGTGTCTTCAACCGCGACACGAGCAGCAGCGGTGACGACGCCTGCCTGGCGCAAGCCACCGCCAATGCTCTTTCTGATCCATCGGGCTCGCTCGCGGAACTGCTTTGTTCCTACGAGTATACTGCCAATGGGTGCACCCAGGCCTTTGCTGAAACAGAGAGAGATGGAATCGAAACAAGCACAATAGTCTTGGAGAGAGCCAGCGCCCGAGGCAACGGCCTCCCACAGCCTAGCACCATCGAGATGCATGATTATACCGTTTTCTTTAGCCCAAGCACTGATGCGCTGGAACTCTTGGAGAGGAGTCACAATGCCGTTGAGGGTGTTTTCCATACTGAGGACTTTTGTCGGACAAGCGTGGATATCATTGCTTATAACAGCATATTTTTTGATGTCTTCCAAGGTCAGGTACTTGTTGTTCGCGGGCACGACGGCCTGAATCAGAGCACCGCACATGCTGGCGACACCACCAGCTTCCCACTGCACAATGTGGGATCGATGGTCGGTGAGGACAGCATGAGGAGGGGCCAAGAGCTGTGTACGCAAGGCAACCTGATTGCCCATGGTACCTGACAAGACGAACAGAGCGGCCTCTTTGCCGGTCAAGTCGGCAATGAAAGTCTCGAGGTCGTTGGACGTTGGATCTTCCATAAAGACATCGTCTTGGAGCGTGGTTGCGGCAATGGCTTCGAGCATGCGAGTCGTCGGGCGAGTCATGACATCTGAGCGAAAGTCGAAGGCGGCACCTCCAGGGGCTGACCAGTTGTTGGTGTTGGTGTGGCCATTGCTAAGATGCTTTGCCATCTTCTCGACACCTTGTTGTGTAATGGCGGCTGCCATGCTTCTTTGTTGACTTTGGGTGAGAGCTAGACGAGCTCGTGAGCTGCGGTGGAAGGCGTGACGTATCGTCGATGGACTGGCAGAGCGGGCAGCGAGTCGAATGCTGGGAATGGTCAAGGGCATGTCGCCCGGGTACGTTATCTTGCTCACATTTGTGCTCTCTGCTTGCTCATGACCGACCTCCCCTCGTCGTCTTGCTGATTAGGAAGGTCCCACGGCTAAACATGCCGCCAAGCTCTAGGCTCCACCTTGTCCTTGCTCGACAGCACCTGCCGTTCCTTCTTCCACTTTCTTTGTTTGCCCTCGTCCAAGCGTCACCTTGCCTCGACAGTCGTGTCTTGAATCAAGCTTGTCGTACCTGATCTGACCTATGCTTGAAGTATTTGAAGCCTTGTGCTCAGGTCGAACATCGACAGCCATCGCTGTGCTTTTCTTGACAGCTCTGCACTACCATCTGACGAAACCATCCCGCCTCCCAAGATTGCACATAGCTTCTCAAGGGGTTGCTGACCATCATGCCTACTCCCATGGATTCCAAATTGCCCTTCTTGTGCTCCTACATGCTACAAATCCAAACAGCTGGACCACACAGGGTTGTGCAGAAGACCTGTATCTAATTCAGTCCTCTGGTACCTGCTTGAGGACACAGCCTACGCCATAATGGGCCTATAATGTCATCTAATGTGCAAACGATGATCGGCTCCATACAGTGGTATATTCCACACGAGTGCAAATCCTGGGCTTGGCCATGGTCTGGTTGATCCTTTCCCTTGCTACACCACTCGGCTCCTTGCAGCATACATGCTGCTCGCGAACATTCCACCCGTTGTGCCTCGATACGTCTGAAAAGAGGCCGCAGGCATGACAAGTCTGTAAGTTGGGCCAAGGTAGGAGCGCCCGAGACATAAGAGCGTCAGGTCCTGCCCCATATCTCGACCTATTTGTTCAGCTCATCGACTACTGCACCAACTACAGCAAATCATCCAAAACCTCAACCCTACCTTGCCAACATCCTCATCAAACCTATTCGTCATCGCAATCTACCAAAGCAACAAAATAACCACCATGCACTTCATCACCTACACCACACTCAGCCTCCTCGCCCTAGCCACCTCGGCAACCGCAACCTTCGCCCAAGTCAACAACAACTGCCCCATCCCAATCTGGATCACCATCACAAACGCCACCCAGCAACCAAGCCAATACGCCGTCCCCATAAACGGCACCTACCTCCAAGGCCGCAGCGGTATCGGCAATGCCTTTGGCCTAAGCAAAACTTCCGCCTACTTTTCTCCTCAAACACCCAAATGGACTTTGGGCTTTACAGACTCGCCTCAGGATGGCTTGCTGTACTGGTCCGTTATCAATGCTGATGGTGATGCATTTGCTGGTTTGGCTTGGCGGGTTTCGTTTTCCGATCCGGCGTGCCCAGCCATGACTGCTTATGATGGGGGTATTGTACACACCTGTGCCATTACTGCCAATCTCACTGTTACCCTGTGTTAGGCGCCAGAAGCGGTGTCACTCCTGGGAGATTGGCGTTGGTACCATGTGCCCAGTGGACTGTTGAAGACTTTGTATTCTGCTTTTGGATGGTTGGGTTACCTTTTTGTTTGAGACGCAGCTTGACTGTGACTGACAACTTGGGGGTTAGCTTGAGCACTTCACAATCCTTTTACACTTCCTATGTTCAAACACCGAGTATTCATACACAAGCAGTCATATACGTATCCCATCATCTCTGTCTCTTTCTTAACAGTATCAAGAGCGCATAAGCTAGCACTCGGTACGCTGTACCAATGACAAGAACCAGAGCCAGATCTTTGCCGAACTCACCCAACGTGAAACCTATGGTCTGAGTCGCAAGATCTACGTCCCACAAGAAGGCCCTCGGACTCACCATCTTTGTCCAATAGGCTTCAGTAAACCACACGCCAGGACTCAACCTCCAAAACCATTCCATGTGCCACTCCTTGACCTTGGACAACGGAGGCGCGACACCGCCCAGTACACCAAGAATCAGACTGAGTAGTACAGCCAACAAAGGACCGTCTTCCCTCTTTACCAACGTAGAGACCACACTGCTCAAACCATAGATGGAATAGAAGTATACCAGGTTCGCAGCGTACATGTCTTGAAAACTCATCAATGGGGTTGCCAAAACGCCGATCATGACTGTATAGTGCAGCGCAGCAATGGTGATGCGAGGGAACGTGCTTATTACTTTTCCGATATAGTAGGCGCTCTTGCTGTGGCCGGATGAAGACTCGCGTTGGAAGATGAGTGCTTCTTCGCCAAAAACCCAGACGCCGGGTGCGGATGAGGCCAATCCAATAGCCATGGCAGATAGCAGACCGAGCTGTGGTGCCGATTTGTAATCAACAGCGCTGGACATCTGAGTGAATGGTGGATGATAGATACCACTGAACAGGTGACCGTTCGAGCTGTAAGCAGACAGACCAATGACGAGTCCGGCGAGTGCAGCTACAAAAACCTCGAAGAAGAAACTCGTGCGATTGCGGACCTGCTGCAGCGAAGCACGTTTGGCACAATAATACATTTGAGCACGCCACGAAGCCCCTCTGGCTTTCATGGTCTCGTGTAACGATTGATCGTGCTCTGCGGTCGATCGCATAGAATTCATTGACAACCTTGTGTCTCCTGAATCGCCTAAGGCAAATGACGTTCGCTTGTTCGACTCTACGAATTGACCGCTCTCGTACCAGAATCTGATGAGAAGATTAGTGTCTCCACCAAACTTCTTAGAGTCGGACGAGTATTGACGTCCGTTACCGGTTATGATATCCATAATTATGTCTGCCGGGTTGCTGCGTAGCGGAAACTGGTAGCCAAGATCTTCAAAATAGGGTACCACATCTTGGGTAGCGCCCGCGTAGATTTGACTTCCGTTGGCAAGCAATAATAGCTGGTCAAAGTCCACAAAGATATCCTCACGAGGCTGGTGAATAATCGCGATTACGGTGACACCAAGTCGCGATATGGCCTTCAGAAGTCGCATGATCGAAGCTGCTGAAGTCGCATCCAATCCACTGGTTGGCTCATCTAGGTACAAGGCTTGCGGCGCGGCCGCGAGTTCTATACCTACACTCGCACGCTTGCGCTGGCCTCCCGATATGATTGGCTTCCGGACATCGCCAACTAGCGAGTTCTGGACATGTGTAAGGGAAAGGCAAGCAATCAGGGAGTCCACATAATCTTGAATGGCTCTGTCATTCCATGATGAGGGCAGTCTCATTCGTGCAGAGTGCAAGATGTTCTCCCGAACTGTAAGTTCTGGGAGGACGATATCGTCTTGGGAGACCATACCGACCAGCTTCTTATACTTCTTCATGTCTTTGATGATTCCGTTAATTTTGAGTGTGCCTGCGCTCGACTTGCCTCGTATCGGTGCCCTTACGAGCGTCGATTTGCCTGCACCTGAGCCACCCATGATGCCGGTCATGGTACCTCTGGGAATTGAGCCAGTGATGTTGTGAAGAATTTCCAAGTTTTGACGAGTCTTGAAAGACAATCCCTCGAAGTCGAAAGATAAGCCGAGCTCCTTTGTATGTATGACGCGAGAGAGATAGATCAGAAACTTCTGCATGGCGGGCTCTTGAGAGCAATCCTCAGTGTCGGCATCGTCAGAGATATCAGAGATGGATCTGCCTCTAGTCTTGGGTTCTTGTGAAGTGGGGGAAGCTGGTGAAATATGTAGAGGTGAAACTTCGGCTATCGTGACCGAATAGCGAGGTGACATGTCCAGACCTCGCAGTGCCTCTCGATCGTCTCCTGTGACTTTCATGTCGACTCTGGAATAATTTGGTTTGTTACGCTTCCGCCACTTTGAATAAGCTAGCCCAGCGACCAGTAAAGAGAATAGGACGCAATCGATAGCGATGACAACGTAAAGAGGCAAGAGGGGAATCTGATGAGCGCTCGCCCATGGGCAGTATGCACCTGTGTCACATTTGATGGGCTCAAAACTACCTTGAGGACAGAAAGTGCCAGCATCGCATGGTATACGTGTTTTGCCGCCAGGTGGGCAATATGAACCNTTGAGCACATTAGTGACTATTTTGTGGTGGCTGAGACATGACTAGATACCTCCAGGACATATCAGAGGTTCCAGAAGGCCTTGAGCAACACATGTTCCTTGATTGGCACGCTGGACAGCACATTGCCAGGTCGGAGGACACATCTGTGGTGGATGCTCGTCATTGGAATTCGGANNCCTAGTTCGGTGAGCCATGATTTGCTCGAGGTAATGTTTGAGCAGCATACAGTAAAAGCCTAACAAACAAGTGTCATTGTTTGCCATAGCGATCGGAAGCGATCCTCGGTTGTAACAACCCGTCTGGGGTCCTTCGAGTGAGTAGGACCATTTGTTGAATTGTATCGACGTCATGTCATTGAGTATAGCTGGGTCAGTATAGGCGCGAGGAAACATGGTCGCGTAGCCGGGCGTTGCAGCATGGTCAGGCATGTTCAAAGGTTCGGAAGTTTGACGGCAGTGAGCAATAGAGTAGGAAGTGAAACAACCGAGACAAGAGCAGAGCAGAGATCAGAAGGATGAGGAGAAAGAAAAGAATATATTGAAGGTCGGGTCATCCGGACTGGCGGCCTCAGGAGAAGCAAGCAAGCTACCACATCTGATGGGATTTGGTCTATGGTGCTCGCAGGGTTGTGGAGGCCGCGGACGCATCTTGGGATGGTAGCGGCCGTTGTTGATTTGCGTCGTCTGGCAAAAGCGAAGTAATTGGACATGATCCTTCGAAGCTATGAATGGAATACGGCCTTAGCAGAAGGATGTAGGCAGAAACACCAGGCGTGGTGAGGTAATGACATGTCTGGGCATTCCTTGGGAGGTCGGAGGGCGTTGCAGTCTGCGTATGAAAGCAGAAAGGTCAAGGCAAGAAACATGGACAGACGACTGGTGAAGATATCGAGAGTGGAGCTCAGGATCACTGGTGGGTGATGTATGAGTCGGAGTGTCGTTCGTAGCCGCATCGTGTGCCAAAGTTTAAAACGCATATAACCATTGGAATGCACGATCATATCAGGCAACAGGATCATGTCCACAAGGAGCCAACATTTCAGTGGCTCTCTTTGGCCGCTCCTCTGCTCCGAAAGACATTTGTGCCTTTTTGAAGCGTACACCACGTTCTACGGCTTGGTGGGAAGGAGGTGCCCCCGAGTGGTGGAGGTCGCGGAAGGAGCGCAGTGACCACCTGTCCACCCTGATTGCTGCGTCGTCATCCACCAGCACCAGCAGCGGCACACTCTCGTCCGTCACACTCCAACATGAGGAGCTTTTGGGCCTTGCCCGCTCTTCTGCGCGTGGCAGTTGCTGCGCAGAAGTCGTTCAGCGTGCAAGACGATGTTCTCGCCTTCCCTCAGGTACAGAGACACCGCTGCCCATCCACCTAAACATACCATCTGATTGCTCTGCAGTTCTCGGTCAACTTCCCCGAAGGCCATGTTTCCACCCTGCAGGCTCAGGAGAAACTCGAATCCATTTCCGACGACCCTGACCTCTCCCACTTGGACACGGATCCACCGAATCCCGACAAGCCGCAATATGACCACGAGGAACTCGTCCTAGCAAACCAACACTACTTGTGTCAGATTCCACGCCTGCTCGACCAGCCGCCTTCATCACAGCCCAACGAGACGCTCTCCAAGCAGGACCACGAGAAAGAGCTGGCTCGCGCAAACACAAGGGGCTGGCAGTTGCTCAAGGGAATGCAAGGCAATTGCATCTACTACTGGAGCGGCTGGTGGAGCTACAGATATTGCTACGCCCAGGGTGTCAAGCAGTTCCATCAACTACCGCCCTCTCAAGGCGTCCCTGCTTACCCTCCTGTCGAGGACCCTGCTGTACCCGGTTTCATGCTTGGTGCTGTCCCAGATCAACCGCACCACGATGATCAAGAACCTCTCGCCGACGAAAAAGCTGTAGGCAAGCTCGAGACGCGTGGCGAGAGCAGATATCTTGTACAGCGCCTCGCTGGCGGCACTACCTGCGACTTGACCGGCAGAGAGCGACGCATCGAAGTCCAATTCCATTGCAACCCAGCCACCGCAGACCGCATCTCACTCATCAAGGAGGTCGCGACCTGCGCCTATCTCATGGTTATCCAGACTCCACGTCTCTGCAACGACGTCGCTTTCCAGCCTCCCCAAAAAGACCGCGCAAACGAAGTCGCCTGCTCTCCTATTCTCGATCAAGATCAAGTCTCTGAGTATGAAGCTGCTCTTGCCGCTGCTTCCGACATTCTCGCTAACGACATACCCAATCCATTGGCTGGCTCGCAGTCCAAGGCCCCTGTGGTTATTGGTGGTATTTCCGTCGGTGCTCACAAGTGGGTCCCCGAAGGCAGCAAGATTGAGAAGTCGTCCATTGTGGGAGGCACTAAGGACAAGTTTGTCGAGACCATCGCCGACAGCTTCGGCAGGGCCATGTCTGCAGACGACCTCAAGAGGCTCGGCCTTGGTGATGCAAAGAGTGTCGAGGCGTTAAAGAAAGAACTGGAAAAGATCGCAGGCGGTCAAGGCTGGGAGCTCAAAGTATTCGACACGCCAGACGGACGAGAATATAGAGGTGTTCTGCTGGGCGATGAGGATTCAGACCCGGTTCAGAAGGAAGACGCCCAGGCGACCGGGGCGAAGAAAGTCGAGTCCAAGCCTGGCGACGATGCACCCTCTGACGACCAGAAGGCAGAGGGTACTGAAGAGACGTACAAAGACGAGCTTTGAGTTGGATTTTTCTCGCTTACTCATTCATTGCATTGTGAATTTTATGATACCACTGAGTTATTGATTGTTTTCCATTGTAACAGGAGTCAACTCTGATCTCTTCCTTTCCCATACACTGAACCTCGCCTTAGTAATCTTGCAGGGGTGACTATACCAAGTAGACGTGTCGTCGCAACAACCTCCCGTACGCAGAGATGACTCGACTGGGACTGCCATTTCGAGAAAGTGTGGAGTCGGGCAAGCTCGTTTTTTGCCCTGAAGTAGAGAAGTATCGCGCATCATGCGTCTTGACCATGGACTCTTGTCAGCGGTGGGAGCTGGTTCTTCTTCCTCTTCTCCTCTAATCTTGCCACTTCTTGCTCTGCTCCAGTGCACTTACATACTCATCAATAGCACGTAGCTGTGTTGTCGTGTGGTCCACCTCGCAAATACCATCGTCACTGCACCCGACGCTTGCCCTGGGCGCTAGGATGGTCAAGGCTTGACACTACGAACACCATCTTGACACAGTTTTTCGATGAGCTCCTTGAGAAGTTGCCTTATGCTGGAGACCGCGACAACCCATCCAACAGATTGCAAATATGCAGCAATCAACGTTGTCTTCTAGGATTAGAGAATCTGCGGCAGGACTAACAAAAGATATACTTTCGAGCAGCGGCTATGGCGCTTTGGAAACGACAAACCAGCTCGCAACGCTGAGAAGTGCTCATAAACTCTCTTCCAGCACATCCCGTGGAACATTATCGTCGCCACAACTGCCTAGGCCATCGAGTAACCGAAAACATACTGGAAATGGATCCTTATGGGACACAAGCCTCCATTTCGGCCTCAACACGGCGACGGATGTTGACGAAGAACTTTCTGGTTTTTTGTTGCAAGAATGCAACATGAGAAACGCGAGTTCATCGAGCTCACGATCTGGATCAAGCTTGGATGTATCACTGATTTGTGGAGATGATACCGAGCCCTGGAAGAGAGACCACCTTAGGAGAAACGACAGCTTTGAGCCTGAACTATCCAGATCGAAACAAAAGTCACCGGCAGATTGGTGGCATCCAAAGGAGGAGCTATCGCAGCAGAGTATCGACTGTGAAGACTCGAAACTCCAATCTATAAATTGGGACAACTATCTAAAACAGTCCTTCAGTAAGACGAACGGGGTCAACTTCCAAGAGCAGTCCACAAGGAAACACATCAGCGAAAACACTATTAGAAGTACCTATGGTATGGAATCGCAACGGCGGAAAGAAAGGACCCTCAGTAGGCTACACCTTATCTTCTCGCAGATGCCCGCCGCAACACAATCCCAGAACGCTGCAGGGCAGAGGCAGGTAGACTCGCTCGAGTCTTCTTACAACCAACTGTGTGGAGGAGAAGACGCGCAGGAGTGGGCCGAGTTCGAAGCGTCTTTGTTTCGTACTTATAGTGGTCAAACGCAAACCCTCGGGCAGGACCTCTTCCAAAGCCAACATCACGAACAGGGTTCGGCCATGATCGCAGGGAGGCAAGCAACATTAGGAGACAGCCTCCATGAAGATGATACGTTGCAACATTCTGAGCCGTCAACGAATGCTTTACTACAGCAGGAACAAGCACTGGCAAACAAAGGTGGAGAACAGTCGAAGAGAGAGGAATCCATGGTCGAGTTTCATTGCCCATGGATTGACTGTCATAGCGTAAGTCTTCGCCAGATGGAACACTACGTGAACGTTGCTGAAAGGAACGACAGANGATTCCAGATGTGTACCGAATACAGTCGGAATACGGATGACCCAGACTCTCTCCCATGCGCGCATACCGGTTGTGAGCTCGAGTTTGCTACTGAAGAAGTGTGGCGCAAGCACGTTTCTATTGCTCACCACAATTTGCTTCCTAGACCTCAGCCGATCGGTGAATTCGATATGGAAGCTGCTTGGGAGAAAATTCAGGCCTAGACGAGCACTGTAACTTAAACCAGTATGCATACTGGGAACCTGTAGTGCCAATGATCGTGAAGAGATGGAAGGACAGTTGCATTGATGGTATCGAAGGCATAATCGTCTATGTTTGGGCATAAGAACATTTCGGAATAGTAAATGATATGAGTCTTTTGTGGTTGGTGCGTTGAACGGGCTGCCAGCGGATTAAGCAGCGGGGCCGCCCTTCTTGCCGCCGACCGAGTAGTCGCCCAAGAAGTCTGGGTCGTTTTCGAACTCCTCCTTGAGNCTGTGGATAATAACGTCAGTGGACACGCTTCGACGGTAGAAGACATGAGTGAATGAACTTACAATATCAAGACCACCGACCAGCTCGCCACCGACCCAAACTTGAGGGAAGGTAGGCCAGTCTGCAAACTCCTTGAGGCCCTGTCTCACATCGTCATCGGCCAGGATGTTGAAGAAGCCATAACGGACGCCCTTTTCTCTAAGAAGGCTGACGGTCTGGCGCGAGAAACCACACTGGGGCGCAGAGGGNGTTCCCTTCATGAAGAGCATGACGGGGGCGGCCTTGACCAGCTCGCCGAGTCTGTTGTTCAATTCCTCCTTGGTCGTCTCGGGGTTGGCCTCGGAAGCCGAGTACTCGGGAGCGGTGGCTTGGTCGTTTGCTGAGGGTGCGTAGGCTGCCAGGTCCTTTGCGCTGCCTCCCTCTGGCTTGTTGACGAGCTGTGCCGGAGGCAGACCTGCGCCGCCGGGGTTGCCACTGCCGGAACCGACATGCTTCTCGACGGCAGCGCGCACGCGAGAGGCGTCTCCACCAGAGATGGTCTCGAGGACTTTGCCGGCCTTCTGGATAACAATGTATGGGACTTGGGTGACGTCGTAGTGCTCGCTGACCTCGCTGAGTTCTTCGGCGTCAAGGGCGAGGAAAGAAATGGTGGGCGGCGAAGTGGCCGTGTAGGTCGAGGCGAGAGTGGACAGGACGGTTGACATCTGCTTGCATGGTTCGGCCCATGGAGCGTGGAAGTAGATGAGCAGTGTGCTCGACTCTGGGAGGTTGTTGGTGTAGTTGGCAAAGTCGGCGTCCGACGCGACCTCTGTCAGCGAGCAGGGATTTGATGCGGCCATTGTGCGATGTGTGTGAGGTAGTGTTCAAGAATGGTGTGAAGCGTCTTGGTTGTCCTGCTGTGTCTGGTCGGTCTTGTGCTGTCTCTGGTTTCTTGCTCAGTCGCTTTTGTCGCGCGACCGGCCAGCCCAATCTTTGGTGGGGCCAAAATGCCGTCACCTATCTTGCTGTCACTACGACCCTGCTTGATCATCAGTCATCAACTTTTTGCATCCGCGAAATCGCTTCATGGAGGGAGGGTAACCGTGGAAGATGGTCGAATTCCATCCAGAATCCAACAACATGAACCAGGTCGCGTGTCGATTTGGGTGCAGCGTGTAATCATCCTGCTCTGGTAGGATCTGGGCAGAACTTGGACCAAATCTCCAGTGCTACAAACTTCCAACCCATCCTCCGCAACATGTCTCTACCAAATGATCCGACAGAAAGTAGGCCATCGAGTGCATGGTAATCCTGACCATGCGAGAATGAGGAGATTGCTCTCGAATCATCAAGAATAGAAAACAGGCGAGGAACGAGGCACTCTCTATTCTGTTTATCTGATACAAGAGAATCATTTGACACGGCCTACCTCTCACGATCCACGATCGCCACCGCGACAAGAAGCAAGAAGCCACCATGTGTCTGTTTTCGTAGCGTCTGCTCGAAAGTCCAACCAGAGGGTTCTCTCAAGCAGATCGACTGTCGGAATCTCTCAGTGGGCAGCAGCAATCTCGTTGGGTTGAGGTGAAAGGCTCGCTTCGATTCAGCCACCGAACATATGACCAGATCACAAAGTGCAGAAGCCAATATCCTCACAAGCGACTGGTTGCGTGATGAATCGACCGACGAAGGCTGTGGGACGGCATGACTAACTGCAAACCTGAGCGCCACCAATGCATCGCAGTAGGACAGTGGTTGGGAACCAGGACGCCAGCAGAGGCGCAGTAATGACTACCGCAAAGCAAGGACTGCATCCTATATACCAGCAGCCTGGATAAGTTGTCGTCACACAATGGTGTTCAGTCTACGATTGCAGCTCAGGCACAGGCGGTTGTCATGCTCTTGGGCCAGCATTACTCACATGGGTCGTTGAAGCATTGGATTCAAGGGTCAAGCAACGGATGTACGCGTAGGCGTTCCTGAACTAGGCGAGATAGCCCGCCTGTCGCGCACTTTTAGCGTCACGACCACCAAGACGTCGCCTGGCTGTGCTCATGGCGAATTTCTACATTCGTCAACAGAGACGCGTATCCCGTGCGTGCGCAGCAGTCAAGCTCAGAGGTAAGACGGATGAGAATAGAGGTGATTGTTTGCGTTCTAGCCGAAATTTGTTACTCTCACTCATGAAACTGCGATGCAGCTTTCGACAGGGTTCCTTGCATCAAGGCGGGCCACCACGATGCTAGAGCCTTCTAGGGAATGGGGAACATGCACCAATTGCATCTCCGTTGGCCTTTGCAACTTTGGCGGCCAGCCACGCAACATGCAGCACCGGACACTAACAATCTTGTTTGGAGCTTGTTTGGACACGCCAAAGGGGGACGTAAACCTTCTATTTCCAGTCTAGGCTCTGACAACTGCGTGTTTCTCCATCGCCATAAAACCCCTGGCCCTCACTGACTATCAAGTACTCTCACTCATTCCTCGAATTCCGTCTTTCGCTCTTGCATTCCTCTTGCAAATTACTCTCGCTACATATCCAACCAAGACTCTTTCACTATTCTCAACTACACCAAACTCTAATATCAACTTCCATCAACAACAACAATAACAATCACCAACATGCGTACCGTCTTCTTCGTTAGCGCTTTGGCCGGCACCGCCTTCGCCGGCATTGTCACCCAGATCTCAGATGGTCAGATCCAAGTAAGCTTCTCATTCTATCTCAGTCCACTGATGGTAGTCACCACCAAACAAAAGAACCTTGGACTAACAACATATACCTAGGCACCCGTTACTGAAGCTGCTACTTCTGTGGTTGCATCCTCGGCACCCAGCGCCGTTGCTTCCATCTCTTCTGCAGTTGTCGAGTCAGTCTCGAGCGCCGTGGCATCAAGTGCTGTTGCTTCTTCCATCTCCTCGGCTGTCGAATCGAGCGCTGAGGTCGCCCCTGCTGCTACATCTTCGGCCCTCTCTACTCGCATGCCCGTTCCTATTGTCAACGCCACTACAGACACATCAGTCCCCGCCGTCAGAACTGCTCCTGCAGCTGCCGTCCCCTCGGCCGGTGTGAGCACTGTCGTCGCTGGTGGTAACTCGACCAACGGCACTGTCTCTACCCAGAGCTTGAAGGCATCTTCCACTCTTGCTTCTTCTACCAAGAGCGGCAAGGCCTCTGGAACTGCTGGATCTACTGCCAGCGCATCTGCCTCTGGTAACGCTGCTACCAGCGTCCACCAGACTACCACTGGCATGATCGGTGCCCTCTTCATTGGTGCCATTGGTTACCTCGCTCTTTAAGCGGTCAACCACTCATCCATCCGAGCCTTTTCCTGTCGAACGCTGCATCGGCATAGGATAGCAGGAAGACTTTTGCCGTACTTTTTTTTGCTGGTTAATCGGGGCGTGGCGTACACTGCAAGGGACTGGACTTATGGTTAATGGCTTTTCTTCTGTGTGGAAAGCTGACAGGAGCAACACTGACTCCCTTCTTACTACATCAATCCTCTTTGGGATTCTTCTTTGGCTTGCAAGACTGAATAGAGCAATGCACAAACAAAACTGAACTTCACACCATCCAATATCTTGACTTTGAGATTGCCCATACCTCTGTAGACTGTGTGTCCCACCGCATCTGAATTGAATCTGTTATGTCAATCGTAATGTCCGAAACACAGATCAGTATATTTGCCGACCCTATGGTTCACGCTCGTCTGGTATACACAGCTATACTTATCGTCGCCTACTACAAATTCAATGTCCTGTAACATTCTTGTGACAGTGATACTGCCATGCCAGTCTTTCTTTTGCCCGCACAACGGCAACAGCGACGATCCTTGGACATCCAGAGATGCGATCTTTCCAATCTTGACCACTTGTGCTTTTGTTCACGTCTCAAGCCTGGACACAGGACAAGTCTTGCTGGGCATGCAAGTCCAATTTTTGACGATTTCACCTTTTCTACAAGAAAATTCGCGACCACCGCACGTGACCAAGGTCGCGGCACTCACGTGGAAGGTATGAGCTTACCGCTTTTGTCTAGTCAGGGCTCTCGTAAACGCTCTTGTTCTGCCGACTCTCGAGAGATGTGAAGCAATTTTGTCTCTCGTAAATCCCCTTTGAACATCATGAAATACAAAGACTTCACCGGGACCCTGGAAGTGACTTTAATTATCGTCAAGGATGTCCGCACCGAGGACAGGGTGATCCTTGACTCAGATGTCGGCACATAACAACTGAGCGGCCTGGGATGCCTCTGCCATGAAGGTCTTCCAGGACCAGATTTGTGATAGCCATTTGGTGAAGGGGAGCACGAGGTTTGGTCGCTCAGATACGTGCTCGTGGAGTAGCCAGTTGTATCAAAGCTGCGTCCGCGTCTACAGATCTGCAAACGAGACAGACATCAGATGCTCTTCAGAGGCAAGAACATGCTGATCTAGCTCTGTAGCCGGGAAGTGTCATCTTCGCCCAAGTGCCAGAGCGATTTGCTCGTATGATCTGGACTAGGGTCATGGACAGCTCAAGCTCTCATGATCTGCTGCTCTTTGAAGAGGTGGAGCTCGAGGATATGAACGGTTTGGAGGAGATGGACGGGCGTGATGTCTCCAGAGGCATATCTTGCTTGTTCTGGGCTTTGGATACAGTTGGCCTGCGTTTGGCTGAGAGTTTTTGCTGTGCCTGGGCTTCTGCAAAGGCCGTACCGGATGGTTCTTTGAGGAAAACGGATCCCAGCAGACGACCAACGACTTTCTTTTTGTCGTCCTCCGCATTTCCAGTGTGCTGGCCTGTTGTGTGTTTTGGTTTAGTGTGGCTGGTGGGCATGATGCTGAACTCAAACTTGTGATAGACGTTATGAAGGTAGAACAGAAATTAATTTCGAGTCGGGGGATACTCTGTCTCTGAGATTCTAGTACGCTAGCCATCTGGCAAGGATCTGAGAGTACAAGGATGCTGTTACAGCTGAAGCCGCCACGCCAGCAAGCCATCCGACCCGCTGGCTTTCAGGCTGTGCTTCAGTGAAGAATGACATCGAAGCGAGGTTCGCGGACATTGCGCTAGAAGAACGCATCTATCTAAAGTAGTCAGTCACGTTTTGACATATTGTTATCGTGTTGATATCTCGAATCCTAACGGGGAATAATTTGCTCTTCAAAAGATCGTTCGTTACGATGCATCTCGATGTCTTGACGGACCGGCTGAGCCCTTTTACTGGTTCCCTGAACATTAACAATGACCATGCAAAGAAAAAGTATTGCCAGGCTTGTCTTGGTGTGTCGTGGCATCTGAAGTGGCTGTCAGACCCATGTGGGATGTTCCTGGGGACCACTAAGAGATCAAATGCATACTCGAGTACATGGAACACTTAGACGCAGCCTGCATCTACCAATACACCGACTACTCTGGCAGACCACAACACCCATCACTTTGGAGAAGGTGTTAGTAGTACAAGCAGCTGGTCCGGTCCATCGTTGCAGATAGTAGAAGATCGTTTCAAGTCATGGTGCCTTGGACAAGTATAGATGTTGTTCTGTTTGTTGTTTGTTGACAAGCTAATCAGGACACATGGACCGTATCCAGATCGAGGATCGTGAAAAACCGCTTCTACTGCATATCTACTTGGCTGGCGAACATTTTTGTGAGAAGAGCTCTGAGTTCATTTGGAGTTTTGTCAGGGAAAGACTACATCGTCGTAGGTTCCCCGTTCCTTCGTCAAATTGAGACGACTTCATCCACGGAAATCAAACTTTCCAAGTAGGCATGGCCATACGTACAGTCCATTCGGTTACGGTAGTATCCCATGTCTCAATCTCCCGATCGAGGCCTGCCTGCTGAAGGCCGTCTGTGATCACGGTGCGGCCTTTGGTACTGAGATTCTTGAGACGATCGCGAATGACGACGAGAGGCTTGGTCAGTTTAGCGATGGCAAGCAGACCCTCATTGATGGCAGTGAGAGCATCACCAGAACGGCCTTGGTTGATCAGGACTGCTGAGACCTCCTCCTGGGAACGAGCAAATTCCATAGCAGACTCGACGACTTCCTTGCATCTGCGGAATTCTCTCTTGATCGGGTCGATGGCAGTTGATACTGCGACACTGGCATTGATGTTGTGAATCTGAGTGTTGAGTTTTTGGAAGGCAGCATCCACGGTGAAAGTCAATTCACGAGTTTTGATGAGGTTGGTACGGAAGTTGTTGAGATCTTCTGTCGTGAGATACCTGTCTATGTCAAAATCTGGTCGGTTGCAAGTAAACCCGAGACGCTAGCATACTTGTGGCTCACTAGAGGGCTTTCTCCTTGGGTGCCATGTCGACGATTGATCTTCATCCGAGTAACAATTGCTAGGATAAGCGATGGGTGATGCTTAGCCCTGGGTGTGTCAACAACAATGCGCAGTGCTCATATCAAGTCAATGATCAAGCGCTTACCTCCACGATGACTGGTTGGTTCGTATGTCAAGACCCAAGGTGGTGGACTGAGTAATAGAGTCCAAGGAACAGTGTGTCGAGAAGCGCAACTATAACAAGGTAAAGAGAGGCTCCAATAAGAACCCTCCCTCGACTGTGATGGTGAAAATAGCGAGAAAAGTGAGCAGCCTACTGTGGTAGAGAAGTGACAACACTGCACTTGAACCTTTCTGAAGCGAGCGAGACTATGTACCTACTCTTCCAGACGCTTCCAATCACATTGAAGACGAAGTTCGTGGAGATGTGAACATACGCTGTTTGTAGAATAATTACATTAGCTTGAGAGGCGGCAAGCTATATTATGCCTCTTTTGATATTCAAAGCATATTGGTCGATGACAAAGATCGAAGAACATCCAAGTAAAGAGGGAAGAAGACCACAAATGGGTTCGACACCTTCTAGACTTTGTTTGTTGTGCCTTTCCATGGCTCTCCATAGTCTAGTGACTTCTTGAGGGTTGCCAGTCTCTCACCTTTGCCAACCCATCTCTCTTCGAGCCACTCTGCAATCTCCCCATCCGTCTCGGGCAGAGTGCTCAACTCAAAGCGTTGAACATGAGCATACATGCGATGTCTCTGCGCCAGGTTGGGTTGAAAGACGGTTTTGAAGAAGGAGGGCGGTGACATGAACTTGTCATCCTCGGCGTAAGCGATCGTAATGTCATACACAGCTTTGACATGAGGCGTCTTGCGCAATTGCTGAACAGTAGCGACAAAGCCCTTTACGCGAGGATGTAAAGTGTACTGAGGGGATGACTTGCCGTTGGCTTCACACCAACGGACAGCTTCCGCGTGTTTCTTTGGCCTATACCTTGTTCCTTCGCTGAAAGAGACAAGCCCTNNGAAAAGTTAGTTATCTCCATACAATCGCATAAACTTGTGAGAACGAGACATACAAATAGGCCAGCCTCCTTTTTTGATGCCACTGAACAGCCGTTCCATCTCGTCTTTATCCTCGGCCCACTTGCGACTGACTAGCGGCATGCCCATGGCCAACAGGCCCCATCCCAGTACAGGGACCCATTTGAGAGCGTTCTTCGCGAACCATCGACAGCGGCCCAACATGCCGGCGCGAATGGCCAAGGCTTGAATAAGGTAGAAATCCGACCATTCTATGTGATTTGCGACGACGATTGCACTTTCGCCAGCCGGCAGTTCATCTCCAGCCAAGATGATGTCTGCACCGTTCGAGTCTTCGCAGATGCGCTGCACTCCACGCCATACCGATTCGGCAATAGTAGAGGCTAAATGGTAGGTGTAGGTAGGAAAGACGAACGCGAATGGCAGCAGGCAGGACAGCAGGACGTCAGCGATCACGACGTGGGCTAACCAGGGTCCAAAAGTCAGAAAAACAAAGCGTAAAACCAGGAACAAGCAAGCAACGATTTGCCTGTTCAGGGATGCCATTGATTGCCAAGGAGCTTTCAAAACACAAGTGCTGGCTGGCTGCGTCGGCGGTAAGCAGGAGGGTTACGTTGTTGGAGCGTCACCGCGCTGGCCTCGGTCAAGATGTGAAGAGAAGGATAGAGAGATCCGGCGGGACGGCTCGCACAGGCGACGGGCGCGACATGGAGGCACGGAAAAGGGCAAACACTAGATCGTTTTTGGTTGGACGATCGCTGGTCGCCGACCTCGACTCCACTCTGGCACAACATGGCCACCATCTCATCTCTCTCTCTTCTGCCATGACCACTCGCTTTTTCCTTTCTACCATTTCTCGAGCGAGCGCTATTACCGCGTCAACCCTTTGACACACAACACAACAGAAGCAGGTGTGGGTTGAGCAGCTTCTGCAGCAACCGCAACGTCTGAGGCGTCCTGTCGTCCTGAGACTTATCTGTCTTGTCTCTTCCTGGCTCGCGCCGGACAAAACGGTTGACATCTTCCGTTGTCCCTCAGCGCCCATCACCTGCCCTGCCACGGATTCGGCCGAGTCCTTTGGTGTGATCGCGTTCGCGTCGCGCAAGAAGAGGAGTTTGCACGTATATCCATCTTGACCCCCCATACAGCACTTTGATCCATATTGTCCTGTGCAAATGTTCTAAAAAAGTTGCTGTAAGTTGCACGGCCGTCTGTCCCCCAGTTGCACTCAAACTGTCCTCTGGCGTTCATGGAAAAGCTTCCTCGTCTCGCATGACAAATGTACCTGGACCTCGCGGATCTCTCCGTGCTAGTCTTCAGATCGTCATTGATCTGTTCATAACGACTGACTTCTCCGCCAGCGTTCCAGACCGCCGCGATTCGCCAGCGCCTCTTCGATAGTCAAATCTTCTGTACCGACAGTCTTGCGCTAGACATGTCGGCGCCTAACGCTGGTCCCCAGGCACCGAGTAGTGCTCACGATCTGGGTACGTTTCCACGTTTTATGTATATCATCAAGCCTCCCCTCCCATCAACCCCAGTTTTGTTCCCTTCCTGCCCCTCCTTGCGTCTTGTCACAACCCATTTTGCGTGCACCATGGCTCAGGTCTCGATGCAATCCATGTCGCCGGATGAGCCACTTGCAGACAATAATGCAGCGCTGATGTATACATCCCCAGAGAGCCAGCATTCTTCTGAGAGAAGTCCGCTCTCGAACTTTGGCTTCTTGAAGAACCTCGGCCTTGATAAGAAGCAAACAAAAGGTATGCGAGGCTCGACAAACTCTGCAGCAAACCTCTTTGTCTCTTACGCAGAAGCAGATGGAGCAGCCCCAAAACGACGCGGGCCCAAGCCTGACAGCAAACCTGCCTTGACTCGTAGACAGGAACTAAACAGACAGGCCCAAAGGTATGCCTCGATGATGCTCGTCTTACTCTTGTCATCCCATGCCTAACTGTTCCAANGGACGCACCGAGAACGCAAGGAAATGTACATCAAGGCTCTCGAACACGAAGTCCTTCGTCTCAAGGAACTCTACGGATCTAGCGTCTCCGATCGTGACGCTGTTGTCAGTGAGAACAAGCGTCTCAAGGAACTCCTTCTAGCCCACGGCATCCCACTCGACAGCCTGCAATCACTTCCGGCTATGCGCGGCATGCCTGCTTCGTACAACGGCAGCTCTAGCGGCAGCATTTCTGGCAGCTATCGTCAAGATTCCAGCACTGCCGGCTTCAGTCCTCCTCCCCTCCGCTCTCAGGATTCCAAGCCCATGGCTAGCGCCGGTCAATTGCCCACGCAGCGTCTGGATTACGATCAGATTGGCATTGATTTTGTTTTGACGTACGACTCCCAAGGCCAGCCTCTGAACAGGGCAGCTTATCCCTCACCCCCGCCGAATCAATAATTCCAATCGTTGCCCCACTGCCGCTATTGTATCGTCTCGCGATTGGGCTGACGTCGTCCTTTGCGTAGTCTCGAACGGCCTTGTATGGATCACATGCAATACCTCGTGGTCCGCTCACACAATCCCGAAGGACAGCCCTTCCACCATCCCATGGAGAGGCCCGATGATACAGAGTACGATCACATGTGCGGGCATGCATTGATGGCGACATGCCCTCCGGCGTCACATATCATGAACAAGCCTGGAGACCCATACGGCCACAGGATGCCAGATCTGAAGGCTCCAGATCTCATGAAGTTGCTGGATCTCAGCGCGCAATTGCCCCTTGAGGGTGAGCTCACGCCCGTCATGGCGTGGATGCTGCTTCTGCAGAACAGCAGGGTCTCTGAGATGACAGTTCAAGACTTTGAGCTCGTCAAGGCTGACCTTGCTGGAAAGGTCAGATGCTACGNNGGTAAGTGGGCAGCCATGGTGAAGGTGATGGGAATTGGTTGCTAAAAGTCTCGCAGTTTCGGAGCCGTTCTGGAAGAGTTCGAAGTACGTGACGCTCTTAGCAACCTCTTCATTGCAAAGGAGAACATGTCGCTTGGCCAGGTTGCCATGCCTCAACAGATTGAGGCCTATTGATCAGTCATGGGAACGGCGTTGACGGGGTTTGGGTTGAGAGAAAAGGAGGCAATCGAGATTTGTCGTGCAGCGATTGACTATGATCGGTCTATATACCTGGTAGTTATTTTGGAATAATTGGCAATCACAATACGTATCACATGTGATTGCTAAAAATATGTGTTCTTGGAGCTGAAACGGACCATGATACCCCACAGAAAGCTGCGCGTAACCACGTCACAGAGGGGGGCCAGGACCCCTCGAAATAAACACTCGTCCTGCCCTCCCAAGACACTTGACAAGCAAGCAAGACAGCAAGACTCTAGACAGACATCGACATGGCCTCAGCACACGACCTTAGTGCATGGGACAAGGACGGCAGAGTGTTCCTTTTCACGTCCTTGACGGCCGGCTCGTCACACATCATCACGGCAACATCTCGTATCGAGACAATCCTCAATGCCAACAGAATCCCCTTCATGGCCATTGACACGGCGACGAACGAACTGGCCAAGCGTCTCTGGGGCCGCCGATCTGCGGGCAAGAAGCTTCCTGCTCTGGTCAAAGAGGGCTATGTGATAGCTGTACGTCTCGGCCTGGAACATGGCCATTACCTACTGACGCTACTGCATCTAGNNGACCTCGACGAAGTCGAAGAATGGAACGAGTTTGGCGAGATCAAAGAGAACATTGGCGACATAGCACCTGCCACTTCCGCCCCTGCGCCAGGCGGTGAAGCAGTAACCACCCGAGCCACCATGCATCCCACCACCCAACCGCCAACCCAACTTCCACTCAAGCCTAGCGGGACCGCCGCGAACAAATCAGCCGACGACAAGAACGAACCCCTGCAGTCACCTATGGCCAATCTGTCCATGAAGGAAGCTGCCACCCAGGCCGCCAGTATAGGTGCTGCACGCAAGGGTCCTACCNCCGGCATCAACGATACCAAGGTCGCTCCAGTCAAGTCGAGTTTGGCCGAAGCAGATGTCTCCATCAAGCCCGAGACGATGAATTCGTCTTCTGATACCAAAGTTGAGAGCATTCGCACCGCCGAAGACACGGCCGCCCAAGCCTCACATGCGCCACCACCTTTGAACACAGCAGAGCCACCGGCTGCACCGTCATCTGTACCTCTAGCAGCCGTCGAGTCGAACGACACCTCCGCCACAGCCACTCCTGCCGGCTCTATCCAGCAAAAGCACAGAGGAAGCAGTATCAGCATCGCAGACCCGGAGGACATCAAAGAGCTCGAGAGATCCATTGCCATACCTGAAGCCGAGAATGAGGACGAAGAGCAGCCAAAGACACAAGATCAAGAGGCTGCTGTTGCCGAAAAGGCATCAGTAAGTGTTCAAGATTAATGCTTTTAGTTCACATATTGAGTTGTTTTTCCAGCCTGCATGTTGTATAGCCTCCTGAATTGTTTTGTTGAAAGGCAAATGATATTAATATGCACAGAAATATCCCTGACCAAGCATGCCATGTACAAGCATTGTTCCGTCCTCCAAGCACATCCATCCTGAACTTCGACTCGTGAGCTAAGCGCTCCTCTCCCCAGCGTATCTACTTCTCAGCTTCCCATCTTCAGAAGTCAACTCGGGAGCAGGTATGATGCTCACATAGGACATCTCCGAGGACTTGGTAGAGTCGGCCGGTGGGTTTGCGTTCTTCCACCATTGAGTGTGCTCGTTTCTTCCGTCTCTGACTGCGTAACCTGCTCTTCTTCCCTTCCTGGAGCAGGTGAAGCGGAACAAAATCCACAAAGTTATTGCGAGAGCGACCAGGCTGACTACGCTGAATGTGATGATGATGGCCAGAGCGGCCTTGGAGACGTGGATGGGCTCTGAAGATGCCCCGAGATTGAATGTCTGGATTGGCGTGGCCATGACTGTAGGCTTGGATGGTGCTTGTATGTACGGGTCAGAGTCGTCCACTGCTATATCGAGGGATAGAGTCGTCTGCTAGTCGGAGTTTTCGGTAAAAGTCTGCATAGCAAGTGGTACTCGAAGGTGGGACAGTGCATTGAAGTAAAGCCTGTGAAGTGCCAAGTTCTTGATACAAAGAGGACAAAGAATTGTGACATAGGCGCCTCGAGGCACATGTTCCATACGTTTTTCAAGACATGGCCTTGGATCACACGATTTGTTGCACCATGTGCCAAAACCTGTTGGCTGAGACAGCAAGCTATGAGCAGCCGTTTAGTGTCTTGCTGCATAACGCGAAAGAGCAAAAGGTGTAGTCCAACGCAGGATGCAAGAGATGGAACAAAGAACTTACATGCCTCCTGAGAAAGCAGCGACAGCCGGAAACGGAAGGCTCTTTGCACAGAAGTATAACTACGATAGCTCTGAGGATTGAAAAGAGTGGCAGCGTAGTCACAGACAGCCAAAGAGAGAATGTGCTATCACAAACTGTACATCTTCACGACATGCGGGCATTCGTGTATGAGCGAGTGGCCGTTGATCATGTGCAGACATGCATCCATCTCGCCGATATCGACACAATCGTCAGGTTGCGAGTTGAAGACACATCCATATCAATGCAACAAGATCGAAAGTCTCTGCTGGGCGTGCCAGCGTCGACGAAGCGAGCTTCTGGGGCAGCTTGAGCAACAGCAGGTGGTGCGATACGACGAATGGCAGTGGAAGGTCAGCTATAGTGCACCGCAAGCGATGCTGGCCGAAAAGGACGCAATCGACAGGAAGGTCGAGAAGCACGCAGAAAAGATAGCAGCGAAGAAGGAAAAGAGCAAGTCGGGAAGGGTGTCGTGGAGGAAGAGCAACAAGAAGTAAGGCGCGACGTGTGATTGGTCGGACGCGGGCTGTACCGCTGTGCCGGACGTCGCGCGCATCGCTCGGTGCAGTGACGGCCATCGACACCGACGACGACGACGACGACGACGACGAAGGAAGACAACGAGCAATTCGTGCAACAAGCTACATACAACCAATTCACAAATCGCCCAAGATGCCGACACCCGAGTCGATCCAGTTCCGCATGCAAAAGCCCAAGGTGCCGCCAACCTTTGAGGGCGTCGACTACGACAACAACTTGCAGCTCAAGGCAGCCCAGGATGCCGTCCTGCGCGAGCAATGGGTCCAGAGCATGATGGCCCGCCTACTGAGAGAGGAGATGGGCAAGTGCTACTACCGCGAGGGTGTCAACCACCTCGAGAAGTGCGGCCACCTCAGAGGTGCGTATCCCTGTGCCTCCTTCCGGACGTCTATTTCATTCGAGCGAGATTCAAGTCTGACACTCGACANNGAGCGCTACCTCGAGCAACTGAAGCACTCCAAGGTCAAGGGTTACCTCTTCGAGCAACAAAACACCACCCCCAGCAGCTCATAAACATCACACCTCCATCCGACTCTCGTCAAACTCTCTCCGTCTCGCTGCAACCCGCCGACCGACTACCTTCTCCTCCCTCCGTGTCGGCCACCTTCTCTTTTTCTTTTCTCTTGCGCGCACATCATACCATCACATTCTATCGCCGAGCAGCCACCTAACTCGCTCGCACCTGTACACTTGAGATTTCTAGCGAAATGCACGCGTCCAAAGGATCAGGTCAAAGGCAGGCACAAGAAGTCAACACGTTTGCAAATGTATACATGACTCCGAAATTCCCCCCCTGTATCCCAATCGTCCGCTCTCAATATCATCATGACTCCTTCTTCTCCTCATTGTCCTTTTCCGTCCCTGTGATTTCCTTCTTTTTGGACTTTAGGAACGAAAAGGCTCCGGACACGCCGTCCTTGAACTTCTCCCAGTTATTGCGGTTGAGCCTGTTGCTCAACTGGCGGTAGTTGTACATCTCGCCCCAGCAGTCTCTGCCCCACTCGCAACCTGCCATGTTGACGACAAAGTCACGGTCGTGTTCGTGATAGTGGATGTTCATGTCCTCTCCATTGTCGCCGCAGGCGCCAGGTGGGAAGCTGTTGACCTTGCGCTGAGGAATGAAGGCAAGGTGAGGCCGCACCCACGGCTGGTTGGTGTACATGTACTCCAGTGCGTCTTGCTCCTTGTGTTCCCACTCCATGTGCTTTTGTTCATAACCCACGGGGTCCCACCAGATATCGAGGAGGCGGTCTGTCCAGGCCGAGCGCTTGACAAAGAAGGAACCAAGGTTGAAGCCACCACAGTCCTGGGGCACGATCAGGTTGATCGAATCCGGCTTGCCGTCTCCGATGGGCGACAGACTTTCGGGATCGAGATGGGCTGCGGTCGGGGGATGTGAGATGTTGAGGGGNTTGTAGAAATTGATGTCGCGGTAGACGTTGTCGTTCAAGTTGTTGAAGATGTGCTGTTGCAACGAGTACGACGGCTCCATGATGAACGTGTTGAGGTCCAGCCACCAGAANCCTGCAGCAATCAGTAAACTGTTGTTCACCATGCGAATCAAGACTCACCACTCGGCCTGCGGGTACTTGCGCATGGCGTTGCGAATTGTGTCGACCTTCTCCCAGCTCTCTCTCCACTCGTGTGCGTAGCGTTTCTTTGTGCTCATATCGACAATTTCCAACTCATAACCCCAGCGGTGCACGTAGTTTTTCTTGTTGCGCACACTGTCGCGCTCAATTGCCCACTCGCGAGGCCCCTTCCACTCCATGACTCCTCCTCCCATGTTGGCTGCCAGAATGACGACGAATTTGCTGCCGCCGCCCAGCCACGAGCTTCTTCGGTACCAGTAATGTAAAGCTGTTNNTCATCGTGTCAGCAAGCTGAGATGCAGTCCTGTCCTGTCGGCGGCTGACGTACGGGTGGTATAGAAACAAAGAACAAGCAACAAGAAGACCAGGACCAGGACGAATCGAGACTTTGATCTAAGCATATGGCGACCGAGCATCGACTTGACGCTGGCAAGGTAGCCTCCTCGTGCAGGAGCCCATCTGCCTCTGCCCGCCTTCTCCTTTTCGGCCTGACGCTCGTCCTTGGGGCCATTGTTGAAGAAGGGTAGGCTCGCCGAGATTTTGCGCATGTGTTTGCCAAAGAAGCCTGAGGCGGCGTCTTGATATGCTGGGTATCCGTTGACCTGATGGCTTCTTGCTTGAGCAGAGGCCCAGGTGACCGAGTGGTTCTGGCTGTAGGACGTCACGGGNGTGGAGCTTCTGCTCTGGGCAAAGTTGGCATTGAGTCCAGGACTGGCCCAGCCGCCGCCTCGTTTGGGTGAAGGAGAGCGTGAGAGCGACATGGTGGGTGGTCGAGTGGTGTGTGGACGTGGACGTGACGGTGGACGCGGACGTGGACGTGGACGGGCTGTGTGGTCGGGTTCAGGGCTAGCGCATGGCGGACGATGGCCAGAAAGAAAGAGGGCGCCGGACTGACGGTGCTGGGACGGAGCGTCGCAGGAGGATGGTCGAGCAGATGCAGCGTCGGGAAAGAAAAGCACACTCAACGGTCAAACAAAGAGAGGGCCAGGGGCTGCCTGTTCTCGCTGCAGCTACGTTTAGCTTTTGGGCGGTACTCGTACTTTGGGGGCTCCCTGCCAGATTGATGGCCTTGGCGGAGCCTGTGCGATGTGCGACGAACCACTCCAGCGCTCCTTCCCCTGCACACTCGGTAGTCAGCTCTTGTCCATGTCGCCGACCTGGCCAGCTCAACGTCCTTGCTCTCTTACCAGACGTCTGCCCGCTGTTGGCTCTCCAATTCGGCGCTATACAGGCCATAGAAATTCCATGCCTCCTATCTGGACCCTGAACTATCTGTGAACCCTTTCTTTCCTTGCTCCTCTGTGTCGGCAGTCATACGAGATACTGTGAAACTTGATCAATTGGCCATCTCGTGACGCTGATCCAGACTACCTACCGTCTGGTCGATCGTGCTAGCCTCACAAGTTCCAGCCAGGAAGCAGCGACCGCAGCCAGTGCCGTCTGTATAACAACTTTGAGAATCTAACAAGCCGTCTTGACGACAACAAACAAGCAACCATCCAAACTATCCAACCCGTTCGAGACATCACTCCCACTCTTCCTACGCACATACTTGCACATGCTCAGAAACATGCCACCTCGCCCACATGACCCTTTCAATGATGCACCGCGGCGTCCTGCATCGCGCGCAACAAACCACTTGCACGACACATACAGTTCTGGAGGCCACGCCCTGCGCGCTAACTCGGCCGCACGCAGCCTCTTTGCTCCAACTCTCTCACGACGTCCGACTGCGACTGGTCCATCCTCGACGCATCTGAACGAATTGGTCCTCGAAGACTCGGATGACGCAGGAGACAGGATGAGCAGGCGTGCTGCCGCTGCTAGTAGGGCGACCCGGACCAGACGAGCCAGAGCAGCCACCGAGACAACCATTGAACCCGACGAAGAAACCCAGCCCGAGCCTCTTGGAGATATGGTCGTGAGAGACGAAAGAGGCAATTATTTGCATGAGGTTCCCCCTCTAGGCGAGCAAATCAATAGCGCAGAGGATGAAGGTCTGATCTGCGATTTTGTCTTTGGTCCAACCTCATTCTGACAAGCTTCAGACCTCGAAGACGAACGACGTCTGACGGCTCTCGTACAAGAATATTGGGCATCTGGCACTGCCGCCGGTGGAAGGAACAGCAAGAGATGGGACGAGCATGGTCCGTCTCTCTCTTTATATCTACCTTTGCTAGCTGACCAATAATCTCAGNAGCTCGAAAGACCTAAAGCAGAAGTCATGACACGACTACGAGACTCCGTCGGCAAGACGCTGATCAACGAGCAGTGGCTGTATGAGCCGAGTGATTACATGAAGGCATTGTTAGTCGAGAACCACGGACGCGTATGATCACCTTTGGTTCTATTCTTACACACCTCCTATCATCAAGAAACCTCACAAACTAGGAATAGACAAGTCGATGACTTCTTTCAATATTCAAGTGTTCTCGGTCAGTTGGTTACATTTACCAAACTAGTATGTCAAGTTTTCTTGTCCAACCATTAATCGCTGAGTTCAAATGCGTCATCGGCTGTGCCAGTCCCTGCCTTGATGTTTTTATTGCTGACATTGTTGGCAGACATGTCCGATCCCTCTTCATCCTCATCGTCTTCTTCGTCGTAATCATCGAGCCCCTCTTCTTCCTCTTCGAGATCTTCTTCGTCATAGATCTCCTCGTCTTCGAAGTCTTCAGGATTTTGAGCGTAACCTCCTATATAATCCCCGGCCTCATCGTCAGCTTCCTCGCTGTCCTCCTCGTCGTCATCATCATCAACATCGTCGGCGAATGCTTCCGTATTGATCATGTCGTTGACCCCGAATGTACTCTGGTCGGAGCGTTGGACATGTTGCAGGTCCTCGGTTTCATCATCCGATTCTAGCTCAACGTACTCGTTGATCGCGTTCTGAGCCAGGGTTTCGAGATTGTTTCCGTGTCCAATAGCTTCTGGTTCGGAAACTGCCTCGTCAACAGACTCGGTCAAGAAAGTTGGCTCGTACTGCCATGCAGAGTCTTCAGGCGCTTTATGTAGAGCAGCTAATTGAGCCATACTGTCAGTCGCTTGGGTCTCTTGTCCGCCCAATTGAGCAGGAAGAGGAGAACTTTGGGTCTTCATCGTAGACAGAGCCATCAAGCTTTTTCCAGCTGAACGACTGGGAGACTGAGATGCTCTAGGGGTTGAATGTTGTGACGGACTCCTTGATCTAGACTCAATCTTCTGTCTCGCCTTCTCGATTGCTAGGTTGTACTGTGCTCGTGGCACGAACCGACTTTCTCGCAATCGATAGGCGGGAACATCGGGTGACGCTGCACCAGGTCTTGTGGAGCGTAGATGAGCTAGTTCACGCGCGCGTTCCATCGAAGGCGATGCTAGGGAGCGGACCGCTTCTTCTTTGCGTCTAGTGTCGTCTTTCCGGATCTCTGACCTGTACCATGTGCTTGAGTCTACCATCGCTTGTCTGGCCGCTCGCGCGCGGGCAAAAGCTCTTCGTCTTCTCGCCGCGCCTGAGAAAGCATCTCGGTTCCTGCCGAACGACCACTGTGGGATGTCGTAATCGTACTTGTCGGAGCGAGCGGACGTGTAGAGCCCGAAGAACGGATCTCTGCGACCGATGGCGGTGTTTGCGATTTCTTGTTAGGTGGTTGTGCTTCTGTTTGAGCCTCTTCGCTGTCCTCTCTTAGGCGTTTCTTGGCTTGAGATGCAGAACTCATATCTCCTGCAGGGTTGATACCCAAGGCCTTCAAGCGGAAATAGTTCGACCGAGAAGGTGTACTGGATATAGCAGGTCGGTTTCGAGAGCCAAGCATACTGAAGCCGAGGAAGTTGGAGCGTGGAGTGGCGGTCGGCTGTTTTCTCCTAGGCGTTTCGAGGTCGACCACATCCAGACCCTTCAACCTCTTGTTCCCATATATACTGCTGTTTGTCGCTTGGTCCGTGTCTTCCTCAAGAGGGGTCTGAGCGTTGAATCGGGACGTTTGGTTGTTCTGATAATCCCGGAGGCTCGCGCCCGACTGCGCAGTTGACCTTGTAGACTTGAGAAAATCATCCACAGCATCTTTTTCGGCAGCGAGCTTCCTCTTTAGCTCGCGCGCACTCTGATCCTTCTTGGCACGTTTGCGACGTTCTCTACCCTGTCGGGCCAGTCTTCTTCGCCAACAGATTTCGCGCCATCTTCTGCCAAATCTGTAGGAAAGAGTCTCTCTCCTGAAGGTATCTGCAAGCTCCCGGATACTCTCCATATATAACTCATCATAGACTCCCATAACTGTTTGACGAGCATGGTATTCAACAAACTGTCTAATCAACCCTCTGTCGGCATCCATGACAACTTCTCGAGCGAGCTGTTCAAGTATCTCATCTTTGGATTTCGTGGGCTTTGGTAGTGGAACGACAGGAGTATGCGATACTGGATCAACAGAAGACTGGAATAGCGATGCAGTCGGAGCCTTTGGTGTCGTGCTTTCGATTTTGTTATCCAGTGAAAATGACTGTGACAAGGGACTTGGCTTTTTGGGCTGAGAGGGCTGACTGAAATTGAACTGTGAAAGCTTGGATCCGAAAAGAGATGCATTGACCGCCTGTACTTCAGGGGTGCCATTGACTATAGCTGGAGAAGATGCATCCTGAGTAAAAGCAGGCGCTTCACTCGGGAAGGGTGCAGGTTTGCTGAAAAGAGAGGCAGGAGGTTGTGTTGGTTCGGTCGATTGTTGCATTGGCTTTGGTGAATTGCTGGCATCATCCGTCACAGGAGAGAAGCTGAAAGGGCTTTTTGAAGAGACTGGTGGCGACTGTGAAGGCTGTGAGGTTGTTTGTGATGTAGAGGAGAAGCTGAATGGAGGATTTGATGGCGACTGGACTGAAGAAGCTTGGATCACGGATGATGACGGAGCGGGAATAGATGCGGTTTGCTGACCGGCGGTTGAGACAGGAGTGCCCCATAGTGGAGGACCACTGGAAGTGTTTGTGAATTCAGATGTCCTTGCTTGTGTGGGTAGGGGTTTTAGCGAGGCCTTGCCATTAGTAGCAGTAGGTTTTGTGAAAGAGAACAAACTGGCTGACGACTCGGACGATTGTTCAGGACTAGTGACAGTCTCGGGGATGACGGCGACTTTTGCGGAAGTGAAGGGGTTCGAAGATGGGCTGAGACCTTCATTCTTAGATTGCTGGCCAAAGATTGAAGCGAATGGAGACGCAGAAGCGGGAGTTGATGCCTCTGGGGGAATTGGCTTGACGGACGGCTTTCCAAAGCTGAAGCCAGTTGATGCTGAAGGCTGGCCGAAGCCAGAACTCGTTGGCTTTGGCTGAGAGACGAGAGACAGCGGTTGAGCTTCTTCTGGCGGTTTGATCGAATTGAAGGGACTTGCGAAAGGCGATGACGACACGGCTGCTGTTCCAAAAGCTGGTTTAGATGGGCCTTGTGGGATGAAGAGAGAATCGGGGTCCTCCTCGGTCTGGCTATCTTCCGCCTGATCTTCTGCATGGTCCTCCATCTGACTGTCATAACTGACATCGATCAGACCAGAGTTTTGCGCTTCTGCTACAGTACAACCGTCTATGACAGCAGAAAGATTACGGCCCATTCGCTTCGCCTCGACCAAGTCTTCCGAGAAAGTCTGATGATCTAAGCCGGGAGTCTCTACGGGGAAGGTTTTACCCTTGACCGAATCCAGGTCCAAGCAATCCTCTCCACCAGAATTGGACGCTTTGAAGACGAAGCCAAAATGCTGACAGAAAGTCTCGGTCTGTTCGTTGTCATCGAAACCGAGAATACGGGTCATCAGGGATAGAGTGAACTCGAAAACCTGGCCTTTGAATCCACGCCAGATCGCATTCAAAGCCGTGCGCCGTACAAGCTTGAAGTAAATCTCCGAAACACAGGCCATGAGGTAGGAGACTTTGTTGGAACGAACAAGGTCGAAAAATTGAGCCCAGTCTTCTCGTGCGACCGAGTAGACAGCCCGAGGTTTCAGTGGTCCCTGAGGGTCCACGATATTTGAAGCTGCAGAGTTAAGATCGAGGGCAATCTTCACGCGCCTATCAGACTTGACAGAGATGGGCCAGGTATTGACCCTTTCCTCCAGATCGGGTGTCGGGTCCTGAGCTTGGAAAATGATGAGGTATGCGCGGAACTCGGCTTCGTTCTTGCACTCGACGCGGCCACGCGAGTCATCGTAATATTGCATCAACGATAATAGTGTACGGTCCAGCTGCTCTCGCTCTTGGTACCAGTCGTACTTGTCGTAAGGCTTGTCTGGGATGGCGAGCTGATGCAGAGACAGAATGTGGAAGCGGGCAATACGTTCGTAGCACTCGATAGCGATGGCGACGTCGGCAGGCTTTGTGATCTGTTGAATGGAGAAGTCGTTGCGAATGGCGCGAGTCCGGTCCCAGACAAAGTGGTGCACGCTGCCCAATGACTCGGCATTGGCAACCATTTCATCGAAGAGATAGTCGACTGTCAATTTGAGGGTGCTGGGAGGGCGCAAGTCTGAAGGTAGTTGCTCGTCAATGCCAGCTGCGGCGCGTCTGAACTTCTTTACCATGCGATGCTCGGCGGGAGCACCTTGGTCGTCGAGCTCAGGGCCCCACACATCCTTTTGCACGACCCGCTCCAGACGTTCAAACTCTGGACACATGTCCGGACAGGTTCCTACGGGGGTGATGGCCTCGGCCAGAGTGCGCGGCTTGTCGGGATCGGCCAGGAAGCCTTGGGCGATGGCGTGGATGCGTTCTTGTTCGCGCCGCTTCTTGAGCTGCACCGTGCGTCAGAGAATATCAGCCATGGAATGGTGGGAGGGATCGTACAGCCTGGAAGCGGTCGGCGAACGAGGACGGAGACGAGGACGAGACATTGCTCGATTGTGCTGGCGCTTGGACTTGGGCGGACGCGGCGAAGGGCGAAGGTGTTGGCGCAGCTGTTGTCTTTCCACGTCCTCGGCCTCCTCCTCGTGGGGCATTGCTACCGCGGAGTGTGCCCCTGCCTCCTCTTTCACTCGCGCCTCTCGTCTGGGCATTGAAGCGGACTTGGTTGTTTCCTCTGGCGCGTGGAGCGAAGGACGGACGCGTTGTCTTTGGACCAGCTGGGGCTCCGAATGGTGATGAGCCGCGACCGCGACTGCTGCCTCCTCTGCCTCCACTGACGAACGACATGGCTGCCGCTGTGTCGCTATGTTTGACAGAGCATCGAGTGTTGTCGACCGCCGCCTCTCTTTGATGTTGGCAGCGTTACAATTCCGACGCGCTGCTTTCAGATGTTACTGTGAACAGAGTCCGCATTGGGGAGCACCCTTGGACCACTCGTACGTACGCCAAGCTTTCGCGAAATAGTGCTTTCTCCCTCACTGCCTACCTAGTCATCGCTTTTGTCTTCTGATACCCACCATCACTATTGTTCACATGCCTCGAGCCAATTCTGATTAAACCTCGTCATCTAAATTCGCTATCTGCTGTTGCCCGATATCTCCCATTCTTTGACGTTTCTCGTTATCCTTCGTACCGATCGTCAACTATGTTCAACCATGTCCATAACAAAAGAAAATCTCATCTCCAAAGAGGATGGAACATCAACATTAAACAAACACCACTAGCTGTGCAGGCAATCATCGTCTCAAGGAGTCTCCGCGTGTCTGGTTCGTTCGCGGAGCCACATGCAATTTCGTCAAAATCGTCAGTCTCGTTGATGTCGTGCTTGTCATCACCGTTGCCGTTCTTCTCTTCATCCAAAAACCAAATCATCTCTTTTCAATGCCACCCGGTATACATCTCCTGGTGCTGAGTACCCGTGTATCCGGCTTGGTTGTGCTGCTCAAAGGGATCATGGACGTAATGCATCCTGGAGTCTTGGAACATTGCGTGTTGATTATCACTGGCCGCTGATACTATCGGCTGTACAAAAGACGCCGACATGGCCATCTGGTGCATGTTTCCAAAACCAGCGGGGTGAGATACTGCTTCCGTCATCGTTTTGTCAGGAAGCGTTGCTGGTTGAAATGGCCTGAACCCATGACGATAGTCGCTCCAAGGTTGGTTGCTGATGGTCACTGCGGGCAACTGACCTTGGCTATGCCCCACAGATGTTTCTCCGTACCATGGAGTAGGAGTTCCAGCATACTGGGGCTGCTGATACACATCTGGTGTTCTCTGAGCCATCGCCGTGTTGCCACCCCATGATGGTTCATAGTAGTCCATATCATCACTGGGTGGTACTGATCCAAGCGGAACTGTCATACACTCATCTGCAGGGTCGAATTTCAACTCTGGACCATGGCTAGCACCGGCCATCACCACGTCGTCCGTTGGAAAACATCCGTCGAAAGGCACCTGCTCGACCTTGGCCTCCTTGATGAGCTCGACTACAGAGTACGAGGATGCCGATTTGGAGTCGTCTGCTTGTTCCTCGGATTCTGGTGACATCGCACAATTTTCTAAATGAGAGTTGGTGCGTGCCATCGTGGCTGAATCCATAGCAGGCGAGTCTTCTTCGTCGTCACTGTCGGCGTGATCGCTCTGGCTTGCCGATACTGCTGCTTGAGAGCCTGCTGGGACCCAACCAGCACCAGCGGTATAGCTTCTTGTCTGATTCGCGGGACCTGTGGCATAGTCAGATATGATGAGTCTGATGGAAGAGCGTGTTAACGTACCCACTCGGTAGCGCATCATTTGCTCGTCTTCAGCAACCTTGTAGATCTGGTTCAAGTACCTTCTTCGCATAGCCGCCTTGTCAGGGTTACTTCCTTGCACTTCCTCCAGCTTGTTGACCGGAAAGGCATCTCTCAAGAATCCAACCCAGTTGCGATCCTTGATTTTCTGAGGGACTTCTGAGCCTTTGCCGTTGGAGTCGAGCCAGTTTTGCTCAGTCCAATGCAGCCTAAGGAGATGGACCAGGAGGTGAGTTCGTTCTGTCAAGAGTCAGCTGATATGTATCGTGTTCTTCAGTAGAGGAACGCACCAGTCTTTNCTGGTATGATCGGGTTCTTTGTGTCGGCATAACTTGACGTCGGGCCAGAAACTCGGGATCCTTGGAGGACCATCGTGACGTGGTCGACGACGCTTTTGACTTTGGTCTGGCCGTGGGTTGCTGTCGACATACGGGAAGTTTGCTTGCTTCTTTGGACAGATGGCTTTAATCCATGCCTTGGCGATGACTTTGGTTGCAAGTTGTTGGATTTGTGTGAAGCGCATTTTCAAAAANTGAACCACCTCGTCCTGGTTGGCAATGTGCAGTGTGATCTGCATGTTGCTATGGTTCGACCAGGCTTCCTCGTTCTCTTCATCAGAAGATTCTGCAGAGGTGATTGCCTTGCACTTTGATGTGTTTTGTTGGTTATTAGCATGTCGCTGTGCCGACTCTTCTTCGATCTGCAGGATTCCTATTCTCTCATCAGACACCAGTGCTCTACAAAGTCCAAGACAGAAGACGTACTCGCTNGCTCGAGGGTTTACCACCGTTTCGGAGGCTGTGGGCTGCGACGGGCCATCATTGTTGACACAGACCTGGTAAAAGCTATCCAGGACATGAGGGGGCAGACTATCCAGTCTGTTCGCCACATACTTCTTCTTACTCACAGCCGAAGGATCATCACGTTCCAGCGTGGGGTTTCTTGAATGATTCAGCGAGAGAGCTTTATCTCGAGACGATGTTATAGAGCGATACTGGAACTATCAGTGGTTTGAAACATGAAACATAAAAGAGTTGCTTACCGAAACGCCAGAAGCTGAAGCTTTGCTCGGCTGCTTACCAACCCCAGCATGTCTGTCGTTCCTATTGACAGGCCGAGAGCTCGAGACCATGTTTGAATTACCAAGAGACCTCTTATAGCATAGAGCTCCACCCCTGTAGAGAGATGCAAGGGACTGATCAGTTTTCTCCGCAACTAACAAAAAGTCAAAACGGACGTTAGCGGGACGATGATCTCGGGAACGGATTAAGCTCACCCTCGTGCGGCCAAAACTGCCAGGTGTTTGGCTTTTCCTAGCGTGTGTCGCAGCTGAGCTTTGTTCGACTACGACTGGTCAGCCAGAGGGGATGGAGAAGGGGCGCTTCTGTTCGAAACCGAAATTGACGACAAGGAGACCAAAATGTGACGAAAACTTGTAAGACGAGGACGTGAGACAGAAGGAGCTCCTTTTGGGAGGAGTCGGACACCCCGAGGCTCGCTCAACGCCACCAGGCAATGATGGATTGATGGGCGTGACAGGCAAAGAAACGGCAGCACAAGGGAAAAAAGTGTCGACTAACCGGAACGATAGGCTGAGAATGCCACGATCTGGTGCGGGGTTCAGGCAAATTGAAGGCTGACCTCGGTGGTGTCTTCACGCGGCACTACAACAACAGCTGTCACTTGCCTTGTTTGCCGACCGGAGGAATGATTCGAGAAGGAAGCAAAAACAGATGAGCAAGAAAACAAGACGACGAAAAGACGGAATCAGGATTCAAGGTCCCTCCCAAGGGCGGCTCCGAAGGACTTAATAGATTCAACAAGAGATGGCAATAACGATAGATCCCAAATCCATCAGTCTGGTTTCGTCCAGATACTAAATCACCCTGGATTCCGCTTCTTCGCGCGAGACCAGCAAGATGCAAATGCATTGTCCTGCTGGATCGACCCCCGATAATCTCTGCTGCCAAACTCGGCTCCTAGATTGGCCAAACGCCTCGCGAATCGCTTGACCTTTCGTCACGCTTGGTCCCTTTCTGATCGATGCGAAGAGCATGCCTGCAGGCCCCGTCTTCACAGCGGTCAGTTCCGATCTGCAGACCGAGTTCCGGGTGGGAACATTTCCTCGCCTGGATCTGGCGCAAGCCTCGATCTGTCGTTGAGAGACAGCAGCAAGGTCCGGGCTTGATGATGTTTGCTCAGTGTCGTTACACGACAGGAAGATGGCCGGTTGAATTCCGTCAAGACCCTGGGGTCCTGCACAGCAGACCCCATAAGCCGCGCCGCCCCGATGCACACTCCACCAGAGCCATGCTGTTTCGGGAAGCACTAGCGCTCGAACCCCGGTTCACTCTAAGAGATCTATCGTCTGCATCTGTAGACGACACAGTCGTTCGGTCTTACGAGAGCATTTGTTTCATGATTCACAACTCTTGCTTGTCCTGGTTGAAGCTCTGCGGGTCGGGCCACAGCCGTCTCCCCTTGGTGCTGTACACAAACTTTGCGAGATCTCAGCCGCATCTCGGGAGTCGCCCCGGTTAGCACTCCCTTGCAGCGGACATGGTGCATTTAATATGGGTTCCAGCAGAGAGGCGTCTGTAGAGACAATGCTCCAACAATGAGAACAAAACGACGGACAGGCGCTTTCAGAAAAAAGACACGAAGAAGTATGCTTGGGCGGTCACCAGGCGACTAACGTGACAGACACATAACAGCTGTCAATTGTCCCCCTGCATGGGGGAATTGTTGTCTAGTGCAACGGAGCTCTATGCAAAGCCACCAACTATTCCGCTGCGCTGCTGGTATCGACACTTCCAAGCAGACCGGCCTCCCGCACCAACTCATAGAACAGGCCCTTCTTNTTGACCAATTCGGAGGGCGTATCGAACTCGGCCACACGTCCGTGGTCAAGTACCACGATGCGGTCACTGTCAAGGATCGTGTTGATGCGGTGCGCAATCGTAATGATCGTCCGATCCTTGAACATATTGCTTCTCAGTGTGGTCTGCAACAATGCATCCGTCTCCACATCAACAGCGGCNCTGGAATGAAACACATTAGCAAGTTGAAACACGGCGACAAAGATAAATCAAGAACTCACGGTTGCTTCATCAAGCACCAAGATGTTGCTCGGCGTCAACAACGCACGCGCCAATGAGACTAGTTGACGCTGGCCTTGGCTCAGGTTAGATCCACCTTCATGGATCTGAGCATCAAGTCCGCCGGACATGCTCGACACGTGATCTCTCAGACGCGCATGATCNTGACCAGTTCGTTAGTGGTTACAAGGCAAGGCACGAGGTTTCAGCATACCTAGAGCGCTCCAAAGCTCGGTGTCATCATGGACATGACCTGGATCCAGATTATCGCGAATGGTGCCTTCGAAGAGGGCAGCATCTTGTGGAATGATGGCAAGTCTTCTTCTCAAATCCAACAAACCAATGGAGCTCGTGCTCAAATCATCTATCGTGATATCGCCTTCGGTAGGCTCTATGATGCGGAACAAAGCAAGAGTCAAGGAACTCTTTCCAGCACCTGTTCGACCTACAACACCAATTTTTTCGTGTGACTTGATGCTGAGGTTGACATTCTTCAAGACCAAATCCAGTCCCTCGCGGTATCTGGTGCTGTAGTTGTTGAACGAAACTGCACCCTTGGAAGGCCAGCTAACCGGCGGTCTGTGCTTTGAGATAATCTCGGGTGCTTCGCTGGGGAGACGTGCGTACTCGAGGACACGTTCGACCGAGACAATGTTGGTTTCCACCTCGACCGTTTGGCGTACAATCCAGTTGAGCGACTGAGTGATCTGCAAGGCATAGGACATCGATAGACCAACAATGCCGGCAGATATTTTACTTCCTGTTGAAACCGAGATAATGGCGAAGCCAGCGGCAGCAAGGATGATGACGGATCCGATGAACTCAAGACGAACTGCTAGCCAGCGGTTTGCGTTGATGGAAGGGAAGTATGCTCTGAGGTTCGCATCCACGCGCCATTCGTTCTCCATGGCAAAGCGCTTGCTTTGGTGGTAAGCGCGGATCGTGCTGATACCACTCAGAGATTCCTGGAAGTGAGCATAGACTGGACTGCGGCTGATACTGTCCAGACGCTTTAGTTCACGTGATGTCCGGAGATAGTACCTTTGGATATAGAGGTAGACTCCACCCAATGGCACAATCAACGCGATAAAAGCCGGGGTTGACATTGAGATGACGACCAGAGTGAAGAGAGCTNNGCGATAGTCAATCAATATACGCATGTTACTTGCATTAGTAGTCGAACACCACATACCTCGAGCCGAATTGACAAACAGCATGTTGAAGGTACGNACTATCGAATCAGGTCAGCTCACCGATCCAGCAGACTGACACATGCCAAACACTTACGCCAAGACTTCATCAATGCGGTAAATGTCACTGNNCGAAGAGGTGAGATCAGTATTGAACCCGGTGATTGGAACAGTGCACGTGCGAAATTGTGACATATCGGCACTTGGCGGAACACAACATCAAAGAGATGCAGGGACAAGAAGAGCCACTTACCTTGAGAAGCGGTTTAGAATACGTCCGGCGGGGGTCGTCTCGAAGAAGGTCATAGGTGATCTGAAGATAGCATATGCCATTCGTTCGTGAAGCTTACGCGAGGCNCTGCAGATGATGAAATGTTAGCGTCACGGCCCGGCACGCAAGTATGATGCACCCACCTCAATTGAGCAGAAGATCCACAGGATGAGTGTCTGCACGACAACCAGGGCAGCGGAGCCAATACCAAAGGCAAAGTAGATGCCGATGTACTTTCCAACGTGAGGATTACCGCCATATCTGCCGTTGATCTCGGACCAATTTTTGAGCCAGACACTGCCACCTATCGGAATGGTTAGCTAGATAGGCATATTATCACGAACCGGAAAACACTAACCAATTTGAGCGGTCTGGGCCCCGACCAAGGTGACGAGGTAGATGGCGACAGCGACCAGATTGCTAGTCTTGGCATATTCGGAGTAGACAGACCATTTGACCTTACCCTGCTCGGAAAATTCCTTGTTTTGCTTTNNGCTTTTGAGACCGGCGGTGCCTTCTTCATCTGTGAGCTTACCGCGGGGCCCAGCGAAACTCGCAGTACTCGCACGACGTAAGGAGAGCCCGCTCGCCCTGCGTGCTGGGCGACCACCACCGGTACTGATGGGAGCGAGTTGAGTCTCGCCTTCTTCGGCTTGCGTGATCTCCAGTTCGCCTTGAGCGGAGTCTGGATCGGTTTCGAAGACAGTGGCCGAGTCGTCGCTGTCCGGGGTCTCGCTTTGCGACTCATTCTGAGACTCTTCGTTGCTGGCTGTCTTTATGAGCTGAGATATCTCGCCCTTCATAGCCATCAGTTGCTCGTAGGTGCCACGTTCCAAGATGCGACCTTCACGCAAAAGAACAATGTAATTGGCTTCCATCAGAACGGGAAGAGAATTCGTAGCCAGGATTCTCGTCCTTCCATTGAGAAGACCATTAGGGCCCAGAACGTTGTCGATGAGATGTCTTCCGACATGCTGGTCAACGGCCGATAGGACATCATCAAGGAGGTAAACGTCTGCTCTAGCATAGACAGCTCTGGCAAGGGTCAGACGAGCTTTCTGTCCGCCGGACAAGGAAATACCGCGTTCACCGACCTCGGTTTGGTCGCCATCTGGTAGAGATGCGAAATCTTCCTTCAGAGCACAAGCATGAACGGTCTTTTCGTAGAACTGAGGATCCCAACGATAACCGAAGACAATGTTCTCCCTAACGCTAGCATTCATAACCCATGGAGATTGAGCAACATATGCCACCTTTCCACGCAAGACAACCTCACCCTTGATCTTGTAAAGATCACCCAAGAGGGTCTGCAAGAAGGAAGACTTGCCGGCTCCAACACGGCCAACAACGCAAGAAAGCTCGCCCTTGTGAGCGGAGAAGGAGATGTTCTCAAGAGCATTACGAGTGTCGTTGCTGTTCCAGGTGAAGGTCGCATCCCGGATACGGACTGCTTCCTCGCCACGCTCGGTTACGGCGTCGTATTTGAGCACGGCGTCACGTTGCAACTCGGGCGCAACGAAGAAGTCGGTCAAACGATTGACAGCAACGCTTGCTTCGATGATGGAGGTAATAACCATAGGCAGGATGGCCAGAGGGAAAGTAAGGAGATTGAAGAGCGTCAATGCAGGGAACACAATATCTGTTGTAAGCGCTTTGTTGCCGGTGAGAACGAAGACTGCAAAGGTTGAGCAGGATACAAAAAAAGGAGTAGTTGACCAGGTGAAGTTGGCCAGGGCCATGGATGCACCAATTTTTCGAAGAGTGTTTAGCTCCAAGTCGTTACGAATATAGTTCAGCTTGTTCATGAAGGCAGTAGTCCAGGCGTAGAGCTTGATAGACTTCATGTTGCTCAGAATTTCAGTCATCAAACGCGTTCTTGAGTCCTTGTTTTTCATCTGCTTCTTTTGCAAATTCTTGGAAATACGTGCAATGACGCCGTTGATGGGAATCATCGCAATCATAGCGCCAACACCAGCGAACATACTCAGTCCTACAAGCTGGTAGAGCGAGATCATACACAGCGTAATCTGGAAAGGCGCAGACCACAGCTGCATACCATACTGCGCGAGATCTTGCAGACGCTGAGTATCAACAGCCATGTAATTGACAATGTCTCCGGTAGACTTTGATGCTCTGCCCTCATTAGAGAGACGCATTGACTTGTGGTAAATAGCAGCGGTCAATGATGAACGAATGCGCATGCCAGTCTCAAAGGCTCTTTGAAAATACTGGTGCAGTGCAAGCGTCTGAGAGACTGATACAGCGAACATGGAAAGAGCAATGGCAGCTCCTCGAATTGGAGGCTGGGGATTTTCGGTACGGTAGGAATCGACGAACGAGATCAGGAGACGTAAGAGTTGAGGCTGAGCAAAGGCCAGTATATCCGAGATGGTCTTGATCATTGCACCACGAACATATGGACCACCAAAGCCACGAGCCAAGGCGATCCAGAGGCTTGGCTTCTTCTTCTTCTCCAGCTCTTGCTCCCATGCATCGTTGAAGGCCTGAGTGGTTGCGGCGGTTGTGTCTCTTTTACGAAGGTTCCATAGCTCGTCCTGGGTCAAGAAGTTCTTGTAGCCATACTTCATCATTGGGGTCATCCAGGAGAAGGTGAGAATGGAGAAGACATTAGCATACTCCATAGGGCACTCGTCTTCATCTCCAAGAGCGTCGTAGTCGCTCAGGCGTTTGGGCACAAGCCACTCAAGACCGAATTCGAGAGCGGCCAACGCGACACTGACGGCAAAGGTGACAAAGTAAGGAAGTTCGGAGCGGTATAGCTGTTGCGAGACCAGAGAGCGCATCTTGACGGCGTATGCAACAAGGAGCAACAGCCAGAAGACCAGGACAACTCCATTGGCCTGACGCGATCGCCAGTGTTCAATGTACTGGATGTAGAAGATGAGGGCGATGGAGGCGAGATTCAGGACGGTGGCCCAGAAACGGAAGTCGCCAGCCCAGACGCTGCCAAAGTTGACGATCTGGAAGACACCTTGGAGGATGGTAGTGGCGCAAAGAGCGGCAAGAACGGACAACTTGGTGTAGAAATGCCAATCTTGCTTGACGGGCTGGGGGCTGCATTTCTTCAAGAGGTAGTAGATTGCACCGGGTCCGAAGACGAGGCCAAAGACAGAGACGGAGGCTATCCAGACATCGAGGAAGCAGGGCGTAAAGTCATAGCGAAAAGGGCTGATGGGACCCCATCCTTCAGCATTGCGGCATAGTGGCTGACGCTGGCTCGAAACGCCGAGGTAATGCAAGCCGACTGGAGACTGCAACACCGTCTGGTATGCGGCCGGGTCGCGCATGGGTGCTCGATGGAGGTCGTGTGATGGCGATACAGAGGCTTGTCGACCGGTGGACAGAAAGAAGGAAGAGAGGGCAGCTGCAACTGCCGTCAGATCCCATCGATCTTCTGCTAGTGACGATTACTCGGTCCACTCAGGAACCGTTAAAAAGCTTGGCCTCGTGGTACATCCGAAAAAGCCGTTTATATCCGGTCTTGCTGGTTGATAACAGCGAAACAAACGTCTTCAACTAACTCGAGAGCGGATTGAATGTTCTAAGTGTAAATACTGCATTAGTATCACGACGGGAAGCAGCATCTCTAGAGTCAGGAAGAAGTAAATGCCAATATGCAACCTCGACAAAGTTATATCTATAGTACTGGCTGATTATTCAATGTATCAACTCAAATGACCACTGTCTCAATCCAGTGCGGGTGCGGGAGCTGGTGCTGCTTCTACTCTTCTGCTGGCGGGCTTTTGACCACCTGAGCCGCCTCCTCCCATAAACGAACTCATCATGTCGAACAGCGGGTTGCTCTGGCTAGGAATCTTGATGCCGAAATACATTTCTCCAACCTGAGCAAGCGCCTCATTCCAGTTTCCAGCATCCTTGATGTACGAAGCGTAGTGGCTTTTGAGCTGTTTGAAAACATCGGCGGACCCTTTCTCAATGGCCAGTAGGAGGAGGCCGAGGAAGTTGAGCAACGGAAGGCTAGGATAAACACGCAGATCAGACGAGACTGAACCGACTTCTTGCACACTAAGGCCAGGATTTGACGACGACAACTTGGATGTGAAAAGCAGGAAGGCCTTGTTTGCGGCACGGAGATTTCCAACCAGCAGGTAGGGGAACACGACCCGAGCGGCGTAGTGCGGAGCAGTCGAAGGCTCGTCCGATGCGTACCAGTTGTATTCGAGCGAGGCGAAGGTTGCTGCCGAGTCTGCGGATCCGAGCGTGAGATGTTTTTCTGCTTCGAGGGCCTCACCATCTTCTNNCGATCGTTAGCCGTCTAGTCTAGGCCTGGCTTTATGGTAAGACGTACCCTCGGCATAGAGTGTGCCTATAACGTGGTGGAGTTCAGGATCTCCAGCAGGATACTCGCCGAACTTTGACGACCATCTACAGCCTAGTCAGCTTGGTGAAGTGCTTGATAACTAGCCGATATATGTACCCNNAATCACCTCTCCAGCAAATCTCTTCCTCGTGGGCTCTCCTTCAGGGAACTCGCGTAGCAGACTCAAGAGGCGTGCCTTGTTTGTTGTGTCGGGCTTCAGTTCGGCCTTGCCGTAGACATCCATGAGGAACATGCATAGGTCACCTCCGGAACCTCCCTGTCCGGCGTTCAGGAGCATGGAGGCACCCGACGCGAGGAGGTCCACTGCAGAGGCCCAGTCGCTTGATTTTGTGTAGCGCGATGCGATGACGCGCAGCTGTTGATGAGCTTCGTAGAATTGGCCTTCTTTGACCCTAGAGCTGCTGTCAGCGACCTCCTATGAACGACAACAGTGGACACTCACTTTNTCTTGCTGTCGCGCAAGCGTCTTCTGGATCTTGGTCGACATGGTGTTGTAGTGAGATGTCGAATTATGAATGCTGTCCAAAGTTTGTTCCTCGAGAAGGAGGCAGCGAATCTGATGTCAGTTCGCAAGCTCTCCAGACGACCCCGCACTCCGCTTCAATCACCAATCCGTCCGTTTCACATCCTACCTTCTAACATTGCACTTGCAAGCATGAACCTTTAGCCCTACCTAACCATATTGCTGTGATAGGCTGACTCGGAGAGAGATCATATGGCGGGTAGCGGGTCTTTCTGGCCAGAAAATGGCAGTTTGGGATCGTGAGTACAACTTGACTGTGTAATCTAACTGGTTCAGAAGGTGAACACAATGAACAGCATCCTGTATCTTCTGCTGATGATATTTCTATGGAGTTGTTGGGACTCGCCACCGATTCGTTCCTCATGGTAACATCTTCATTCTCGCGAGAAGCTGTAGTTGGCCGTCGCTGGCGGAAAGATGCCTGTATAGCGTATCTCTGCCACTACAGGACTCATAGCACTAGGCGTGAGATCCCTCTCGTAGGGTATCGTCCTCGTACTCGGGTTACGGATATGCTGTCCAGGGTGACGTCCCTCTGATGTGTCCGACTCCAAGAAAGCAGCTTCAGTGTCTTGCGCCCAGCCTTGATACGCATCCGAAGCATAGGTGCTCTTTGCACCATGCAGATCTTCCGTGCTGAGCGACCATTCGTCTTTGCCCTCTGGCGAAGAAGCACGGGAAGGCGGCTGGCCATAAATTTCTGGTTGCGTGCGTACAGTTCCTGACTTCCAGAACTTGTAGGCATCAATGCCGGAGATGATCGCTGCAACCGAGAAGAAAATGCTAAGTCCCATCAGTCAAGCGTTCGAAAACAGTCGATACTGTACTGACCACAATGCTACACCGGTACCGGTCGTGGCTTTTGCAAGGTTACAAGTTAATGTTGATCCAAAAGCAAAGGTTGAGCAAGACGCATCGCTTGCGTTCAACTTTTTATCGACAGCGCCTTTCTGCATGCCCTTCGCTGTCCATGCACAAGTAGAAGCGAACGCCGAGATCCAGAAAATCGTGAAAACTAAGTCGATGGCGAAGAAGATGTATGGATTAGCCAGACGCCATAGCCTTGTCCAGCAAGGTACTATGCACTGGTACATTAAAGCAGGCATGGTAAGGAAACACNNTGAAAGACGTCAGTTTGAAGGTCCCACTATGTGATCGGTGTACTCGAGTCCTACCAGAGCAAAACACCACTGCACCCGGCTGTCATTATTTCCCTTTTCCGATAGTATTGCCAGTGTCATACATCCTGTGATAAAGGTGAGGATTGCTTGGAGAAGATGAACAGCAATCTTCAGCTTGTTGAGGGGNTTTTGTGGAATCCACATGGCGGATAGGCGCCTGAGTGGGGGATGGTATCCTGAGTCACGGTATAAAGCTTTCGAATAAGCAAGAAGGGGGACAGAGGTTGAAGTACTGGGAGATGGATCCTTTTCTCATACAACAGGTGGACAGCAAAACAAGTTCTTAGGGCTGGACCACCGAGCAAGCTGCAGATCTTAGAGGGAACTCGTAATAAAACTATGGTCTCACCGTAAGTACGTCTCAGCTCGTTATATTAACACAGATCTGAGGCTCTTGAGTGGATGGCAATCATGTTTACTGAGCCATGCTAAGTGATCGACGCGGCCGTTGGCTGGGGACTCCGAGCGCCACGCAAGAACAGCCGGCTTGGCCAGCCAGCCATCACCAACACACGAGCTGCGCGATCGATTGAGTTGTCTTTTTGTGCCGCTCGTACTCGTTGGAACACTGCAGATTGGCAGGACCCATGCGAGAATAGCCAGGGGAACTATCATCATTTACAAAGGCTCATAGAGTCAGTCACTTCGTGTACGGGAAGCGGTCCGAGATTGATCTGCACGTCGATTATGTCTCGCATCAGCTCGTTCGAAACGCGTTTCAGATTCCGTCTCGCGTGGGATGCTTTTCTGAGCTTCGGTTTCAGCAGTACAAAGGCAGAGAAGGCTGCATCAGACAAGCGGATCTCCCAATCGTATTTGCGAGATGCATCTGTGATTCACACGGCAAATCGACAATCTCAACAACCCTCTAGCTTATAGGTCGAGATGGCTATCCTCGAGCACATTCTAAATGAGGCAATTGTTGCGCTTTGTCCCCTGCCAAAACCGGCATGACATTATCCTCGAGCAGAACAGGTTAACGTGTTGCTACTGATTTCTTTGCCAGATCTGCTCATACGAAAGTCACCTTCCGCGATACAGCGCAGGACCAGACAACAATGTCGTAGCGTATGAGGCGATTTTGGTGAAGGTAGTATACAAGGATGAAAAATCAGGGTATCATTCGAGAACCATTGAAGGTGAGGAGCAGTCGTTATGCGCAGGGTCGAAGGAGTCGGTAGGTACAGCGTCAGGAGCAGGCTCATTGTGATGGTTTTGCCATTGACTTCCGCCTCTTGATATCGTCTCGGAACCTCAAAATGCAAGGGGGGCCTTCTAGCCTCTGTTATCCTGCGCCCGAACGCCATGCAAATCCAACAAACAATCGCAGTAGTGGGTAGTCGTCTTCTCTGGTGTCGACCGAATCAAGCAAGTGCTTTCTTCTCCACAGCGGCCTCAATTTCCTTCATGAGACCAATAAGCTTCTCCACGCCCTCCTTGTCTGGACCAGCAGATTCGAAGTCAACAGCCTCTTTGATAACATCTAGAGCCTCATCAAGACGACCCTGTTCCTTGAGAGCAACAGTGCGTCTCCACCATCCCTTGGTGTTGGCGACCTTCTTCAATTCGGTGCTACAGAAAGCGTCGAGGGCAGCCTCGGGCCACATTTGCTGAACCATGTATGCTTGAGCGCGGTTGTTGTACAGTTGACTGAGCTCCTCGCGCACGAGACCGGCAGGTTCCCAGACAGGACGCTTGATGGCCATGTCAATGGCGAGGCCGTACATGCGGACAGCGTCGGGGTATGTGCCCTTCTTGAAAGAGGCGTTGCCGCTCTCCTTGAGCTTGGTGATTTGTGCAGATCGCTTGGGATTGACGGGAACGGGCGGTGGAGGAATGCCTAGGGGTCCTTCCAGGTCTGTGATGAATGAACGATGGAGCGCATTGAGGGCGTTCAGTTCGGCTTCGAGTGCGCCTGATGACGAGTTTGAGGAGATGGCCTTTGTGTTGGGGTCGATGGCCAGCGGCAGTTGTACGAATGTGTCTGGTCCCTCCATGATGTGTGTTCGAGGTAGGTAGTGTGTGTGATTGACTGTATGAGAATGCGAACAAGTGGAAGGGTCCCTTGGAGGTGGTGGGGACACGGTTGCTTGCTGGTCGGTACGGCTGCACCCGCTTGCCGCGTCCATATAAATTCCAACAATCTTCACCCGCGAGCCACCCTTGGACTTGGATGATGAGCATATGATGCGATCAGTTAAAAGCCTCTCTGGATTTCTCTACATTCAGAAAGCACTGTCTCATCAGGTTCTGGCAAGATTTCGTCGAGAAATCATAATATATACTTCAAAGCTTTTTTTTTTTAAAGAGCTCCATTGCATCTGCTATTTAGATGTCACCCATTCAGGCCTCGTATCAATACTAGCGCTCTAGCTACTACTCTTTTGTCCGCCGTTTCAAGTTAATACTCTGGCCCTACTCTTCATGGCGTAGCAAAGTGTCTATCCATCTTACCTAGCTTAACTCGGTCCGGATGAGGTCGGAGAAGGAATGTCTCAATTAGCTATACTGTGGTAGCTCTTGTAGTCATCGCTGCCCACCTGACTCTGGTGATGTCCTTGGGCTCCTCTGCCGAGGCAAACTCTCTTATGAAAGTAAGTGGTATTGGCCGGTGTATATGAAGATACTCGAGTACTGGGTTGTACTTCAGCGGCGAGTGTATCTCTCAGTCAGCGCCTTTCATGCCCTCGTACGACTGGTAGAAGCGAGGCAGGTAGAATTTAGTGTTTTCGTATACCAAGAAGGTCACGCAAGTCGAGGGAAGGACGCGTACGATATTGGGCCCAAGACTAGCAGTCATTTGATTAGCAAATGATCATCAACCACAGAGTCGAAAAACGTACCCTTTGTAAAAGCCTTTCAGCCCTTCCTTTCGAAAGACCTGTCTGACAACGTCTCTTACACCCTTGTATCGGGAGTCGGCGTCGTAGGTCTGAAGACGTGCTCTNACGACCTGATAGGGGTATGTGACACTGCCAGCAAACATTTTGCTGGTGGCACTAAGTAACAAGAAATCCAAATTGGTGAGGTTCTCCCTGCCACCACGGCTTGTGCTCCAGTGGTTTTTGAGTTGTTCGTATGCCATGAACTGTATGGCACCGTGGCTGACACCGAAGAGTGAAGGTATGAGCCCTCGATAGAACCCCTTTAGACCTTCTGTTTTCCAGAGATGTGTTGTTCCTTGACGGATCGACTTGTATGCTCCTGGGGCATCACGCGAGGTGGACAGCATGCGGGTTTTGATGACCCATATCGGATTGGTGCACAGCGCAGTCAGAATACCAGACGCACCAGAGGCGAGGAAATAATCGTAAGAGGTCAGGACGTCTGGGTTTCCTCGAGCGGTCTTGATCAGATCTTTGATGTTGCCGTACCTAGATCACAGTTGTCAGCGAAGGCCGACAAGACGGAGGTCCAAACAGGCTCACCAGAGGAAGTACAAGGCCCAACTGACGGAGTTCCCGACCATGTTGGGCATAAGGCCGCGGTACAACGCTGAGTAACCACCCTCATTTCTGACAATGTTCTTGACTATGCGCACTGAATCACCCAGATGGCTGGTTGTGCTCGGATCCACNTGCACGGGGCCTAGTTTAGCATACGACCAGATCTCCAGATGATCAGAGTAAGACACACCCTGCAGGCGTGTTTTAACAACGTCGAACGGGTGAACAACCAGAGTCGAAATTATTCCGGCGCTGAAACCAGCGACCGTCTCTATGAGCGAAGGAGACAAGCCAGCACCAGCCTGTCTTCCCTCGATCGGAGGGTAGACGCGAGGCATTGTCGATTGCTGCAATCTGTGGTGGTCATCTGGGAAGGAGGTGGGCGGTGACATTGCCGAGTAACATGCAACTCTGCATTGATGCAGCGGACGCGCTTTGCGCGCTCCATCAACACCGAGGCTCGTCATTGGAGTGGGGAAGACGCTAATGACTAGCTGCCGCAGTAAGATCTAGCGATAACGACTCGTGTATCATCATGGTGGAGGGCCAGGTCTTACAGGCAATTCGTGGAAGACAGTTCGATGTAGAGACGTTTCTCAGCGTGCGAAGATGAGCAAACTGAGCAGAGACATATGTCTCAGGAGGTGTGCTTTGACAAAAGAAAGCATCGACTGAGTGTAAGTTCTTCCACATGACATGACATGTACCAATGGTTGACGAGGCGACAGTAAGCAAAACATCTGAAGCATCGCATACAGCTTCGGTTTTCAAAGGGGTGTTGGGAGAGCGCAAAGAAAAATGGAATTGATTGATTCCGTGACATTTTGACCAATGCCTTATAAGGCCTGGTGATGCTCTATATATACAGGCAAACGCTCCCATGAACGTGTGTCCAGAATCAGATGGCAAATGCTCACATGAATGAGCATGTGTGGATATCTTGCGGCACGGCGTCGCTGGTACAGTGGATATGATTATGGCAGAGCGGACCAATGTCTTCCTCGTTTCAGCATCCAGCGAGCAGGTCGGAATGCCGGTAAAGTTGATTGTAGCCCCTATTAACGCCCGAATGACAGTAACTGAAAAGCGAGTCGTAAATCAAGCGGCAATGCCGTGGTGGTCCTTGGCGTGGGCAGCGTCTCCGTGGCCGTGGTGGTCGTCGCTGAGGAAGACGGCTTCGTAGGCGAGGTAGCCGGCGAAGGCGACAGTGGCGATACCGAGACCGGGGAAGGAGCCCTTGAATCTGTTCCAGCGCGAGAAGGGACCGGTGTATCTCCAGGCCTCGCTGTCGGATTGCGTCAGACAGGGATTGGGTCACGGCGGGTGGTCTAGACGTACTATNCTGGCCCAAGGGTCGTTTCTGGGCTGGCCGGAGGCGGCAGCGAACTTTTGGGGGTCGAAACCAGTGAGATTGGGACGAGGAGCCATGATATGCGGTCGGACGATGGGTTGCTGCTGGATGTTGGTAGCGGATGCGAGGCAGCTCTCGCGACGTCCAAGTTGGCGGGCGGCTACTTCCGCGCCCGCGTCTCGGTATGCATCCCACGATTCCCAGCACCACCAGACCGACCACTGCACGCCCGCCATACAGCTACGACACCCCGAGATCCTCAGCCGCCCCTCCTGCTCTCACACCCTCGATCTGCTTTACTCCCCTCCTCGTCTGCCGATAGCGCCAGACACCGGTGCGCGGTCCACAATGCCGCCAGCAGTTGGGCGCATGCATGCGAGCCACATGTCGAATCCCTTCGTGCATCTCAATCCAGCCCACTCCGTCCCACAGTCGCATTACCAGCAACAACAGCACTCGCTACCGCAACCTCTGACACGGCCTTCGAACTACGCCGGCGTGAACGGCTTCGCTCCCCCGACCTCCAATGTCGCGCTACAAAACGCATATGCCAGCGCTGGCGCCCTAGCTGGAGCAAATGCTGCACAAGGAGTCGGTGGAGGCACAGGACTGGGCAGCGAGGCCGCCTATCGGGGCTTTGCACACGGCGCTGCTCTTCAGCAGCAGCAAGCCCACCAGGCCGAGGCCGCCCAACTAGGCCTCAAATCCGGTCTGGCAGGAAGGATACGTGAAGTCTGGGCCCACAACCTCGAGCACGAGATGGTTCTGCTGCGCCAGCTCATCACGAAATACCCCTATGTGAGCATGGTATGTTGCTGCACGCCCTGAGTCTACCACTCTCTCGCACGCCGCTAACACGATGGCATCCAGGACGCCGAGTTTCCTGGTATTGTCGCGCGACCTATCGGTAACTTCGAAAACAAGGCCTCGTATCACTACCAAACTCTCCGCTGCAACGTCGATCTCCTCAAGCCCATCCAGCTGGGCATCACTATCTGGACTGCAGACGGCGAGCTACCCNCTCAACAACCTGACCCATCGCTCTTCCCCAAACTTCCAAACAATCTGGTCGTGTGTCCCTGCACGTGGTCCTTCAACTTCCGTTTCTCTCTCGACCACGACATGTACGCAGAAGGGTCCATTGAGCTTCTGAAAAAGGCAGGACTCGATTTTGCCAAGCACCAAGAACAGGGTATCGACCTCAATGCCTTTGGTGCTGCTCTGACCACCTCGGGCCTGACGTTCGTTGATGATGTCAATTGGCTCTCATTCCACTCAGGATACGACTTTGGATACTTGATCAAGCTGCTGACTAACGCTCCGCTGCCTGAGAACGAGACAGAGTTCCGCGATCTTGTCAACATATACTTCCCCAAGCTCTGGGACATTAAATTCTTATTACGACACGCTCAGCGTACCTTGGCTCCGCAAAATCGTCTCAGCCCCACCGCCTCGACTGTCATCAACACTCTGGGCCAAAAGTCCGGCTTGCAAGATCTTGCAGAAGAGCTTGGTTGCGTGCGCCAGGGTGCTCCTCATACTGGCGGTTCAGACGCGTGGCTGACTGGCTCGGTATTCTGGGCCATGCGCAACAAGATCTTCGACGGTCACGCACCCCTTGAATTGGCCGACCAGATATATGGTCTGCATGGCGTCGGTCCGCCAGCAAGCGCTGCCTTCAGAGACGAATTTCTCCAGAGCCAAGGTCACCAAACCNCCCAGACCAACGGCGCTCTCAACTTCCACACAGGTCACACACCCACCACTCACCAAGCGCCGAGTACTCCGACCACCTCTCATGCTGCCATATCAGGTACCCCAAGATCTTCCCATCATTCTCAGCACGGCTCGCTAACCCCTGCAGGCGGTGTTTTCGGCAACTTTCAATACGCCAAATAGTACTTCGGTGCGCGAGCTTGATCTTTAGCGGCTGTCATGGTGTCTAGGCGTACAGCGTTACCTGGGAGTTGGCCATATCGAGACGGCCTTTTGCTGTTTTGCTTGTTTCAAGGTCAAAGGTTTGAGGCATCGGGTGCCACTTTCTTTAATGCATGACACGTCTCACGAATCCTAACCGTAAGGTTTCATTGAACACCAGCTTCTTTTTCGTTTCTCATGTTGATGCCTCTTTCTTATACATCGTTCCATGACAACACGTAGCTATTGTACACTTGAATCACAAGTATCCTTTTGTACATTTTTTGTACGCTACCACCATTCAATTCATGATGTCAATCTGAAATTTCCCTCGGTTGTGTTTTCAATCGTCTATCATATTGTACTAGCTAACAGTCGCTCCTTCCTAAGCCTGTGAGGTCATAGGTACTGCCAGTTGGCTTGACTGTACATATACTTTTGGCCATCAAATCACTTGCCACAACAATCATTGCTTCCACCCTTGGTCTTGTCGGCAAATGCCAATCTACTGACACTGTCAACAACGCCCTTGATACCGCCCTTACCGGCTGCCATCTGTGTGGGTGTGGTTGAGTAGCTTGGAGGCACATCCATACAAGGATTTTGGGTGAAGAAGTTGCGAGGTCGAAGCAACACAGTCATAGGCTCAGCAGGCATGATAGGATAGTCTTCAGGCGCGGGGAAGTGGCTGACTCCAAAATTGTGCCACAGGACNCTAGGACATCGAATTAGCATATGTACTTGTGCCCGCAAACTGGTCCAACTTACTACATCCTCCTGCTCCAAATTTGCATCTGGCTCCTCTGCTATCCAAGCAGGGATACCTTGCGAAGGCTCACCAGAAGTCTGAGGTACATGGCGTCCAGCAGGATGAATTTGGTCGTCCGTGTACTTGGTGACATGAACAGCGTGTCTGGCGAAACCTGCTCTCTTCCAAACAAGACTGCCCTCCTTGGGCAGCAGAGGTGGGACTTCTCGGCTGACGAGCTTGTATGAGACTGGCTTCTTCGAATAAGGGTTGATCTTGCTGGTGTTGGCCATGTCCCAGGTGCGGCTGGTGTTACCGTCGTAATCGCTCATGGCAGTGGCAGGGGTCTTAAGTGCCGTCTTTTTGGCATAGAAGGCGTTACCGTAGTAGTTCTCTGCGCTGCCAACTTCGCCATCACCTCGGACTGCATCGGCTTGGAAGATGGTGTTGTTTGGTCCATCAATGTTGGGGTCTAGACGCAAGCAGAACAGATGTTGATGATTGTGGGCGTTAACCCCTGGATATACTTCTGTACCCCAGGGAGCGGCCGATTCTCCAGGGTTGAGGGCGTAGGTGTTCAAGATGCCAGTCAGCTTGATCTCGAGCTGGATAGTACCATCTTGCATGAACATCCAGTATACACAGTACTCGTAGTTGGCTGCAGTGAAGATTTGTGAAATGATGAGCTTGCGGCCGCGAGTCACTGTGCATGATTCGTCGCGGAAGTCGGTGTGCTTGAATAGGATACCTGCATCTTCTTCGTGGATACAAATGGCGTTCTTGATGGTCTGCGCGTCGCCTGCTCTGTTGACAAAATCGGCGTCCATGTAGTGAATGGCACCCTTGCAGTCACAACCAAGCGTCAAGCTGTTGGTCATATAACCAGCGCCATACTCTCCAAGATCAAACGCATGTTTTCTTTGGTGCGGGAATTCTGGATTTCCATATGGTACNTGGCAAGGGTATTAGTAAGGGATAGTCAGATCGGTCTAGTGGTTTAGAGGGCAATAAAACTTACCTACCATCTCAGCCAGCGACATTCTGTAGAAGATGGGTCTGACGTTGCCTCTGTCATTGAAGTTGATGTTGCTCAAGACGATACCTTCACGGTAGTTGAACCCGACATGAACAGACCAGTTCTGCCACTTGAGAGTACGTCCGTCTAGATCGAAAGACACACCTTGGGGTTGCGAAATCTCAATTGGCTTCACGTCGGTCCTGAGACCAATCTCTTTTTGAATGGCCTCGCCGTGGAAGTTACTAGGCGGCGCTTGGTTGAGTTGTCTCCTGACCTTTGGAATGTCGATGTGTATAATTTCCTGCGTATCTGCGTTGAATATAGGGCAGAAATCCAGAGGATATGTGTACTGGCTGTCATCGGGATGAGGGCGATAGTACATCAGAGCTTGCTGAAGACGAACGTTGCTTCCGAATCGTTCGTCGTAGCCGATAGTCCACGGATCACAATAGACTTTATGCATGTCTTCTGGAGGAATACCCACGACGCCACACTGTTCGATGACCTTGGGATCTGTGCGGACGACTTTTTCAACAGTGTTCAGGTCTTCCATGGTGATCNNTAGATTCGGTCAGTGCCGCCACCACATTTCTTGTTGCAGTAGACTCACCAACGGCTGGACACCTTCTGTAAGCTTCCAGGTCAACATCTTCTTTTCTTCGAGGTCAACAGTGCCGTCAAATACTTTGCTTCCCCTGCCAATCGCGACGATGTCTGCTACACGATGAGGCCTCTCGACAGTATCGGGTGAAGCCAGCCAGGCCAGCATTTGCTTCTTCCTAGGCTCCCAGAGAGTGACAGCATTGAAGAAGACATCGTTGTGCTCCTTGCGAACAATTTCAACTGCCTCCTTGATTTCACTGCTTGAGAGAGGATCCAAGGGATGAGGTGGTGGCAACTGGCCAGTCAGCTGAGCTGTCATTTGCTTGACTCTTTCCAGGACCATTGTGTCGAGCTTGCGGGATAGGGATAAAGACGTGAATAATGTGTGGTCTGAACAAAACGAGAATTTAAACGCTGAGACTGGAGAGCTCTGTTATATACACACGAGACATCCTAGGAGCTCTGGCAGTACAGACGGGCTATGCAGGCTTACCATTGCCCCACGTTCAGCAGCCCACCATCAGTATGCGACAAGTACACGCACGTCGCACGATAAGAGAAAAGGATGGAGTTCCTACAAGGAGTATAGCGTGCGACTCCGCGCGCGGAGATTCCAGGGTTCAGACGGCTAGATTTACCTAAAGAAAGCGAGATAAGCGTGATATCGGGTTGAACTACCTTCAGTATAGTCGCCGAACCGCTATGATAGAGTAGTCGGAGTTGCTGAGGATGAACACAACTATATGGCGGTGCTTAGGTGGTAGGCGGTCGTAGAGATGATTCAAATTACGCATATGATGATTGAGGACAGACATTAAAATGACTAATTGTGATTCCCGGCGTATCCATGTGCTGTACAAAAGGTACTTCGATGCGATTTTCTACTCTCATGGCACTTCTCAGGGACTGATTCACCGCTCCATTGTAGCCTGGGATAGTGACAAAGTGCAAGACCAAAACATGAGAATGTCGAGTTGGTGAATTTGCTCGAAGTAGAAGATTGCTCCGTTCGGCCGAAAAGTCTCGGCCGAGAACCAGGGAGACGTTCTCACTCTCGACGCGATCAGGTCATCGCGACATTGCTATGTTGACGGTTTTGTGTCCCAGCAATACATCCTTGCATTATTACACTACATCGACACGGAAAAGACATGGAGCACGAGCGTTCGCCTGATGGAGAGCTGGGTCCTGACAGGAAGCGCCGTCGCAAGGTCCTTTCTTGTACGGATTGCCGCAGAAGGAAAGTTCAATGCGACAGAGCTCTCCCCGTGTGTGGGAGGTGCGAGAAGGCTGGCAAGCCGTGCTCGTATGAAGACGATAGCCCCTCTCAGCATGCTTCTATCGGGCAGAGTTCATCTTTCATTCCGCGACAACAATCCGTGACTGTCAGCAGGGATGTTTGGGATGATCTTTTTAACAGACTCCTACACCAGGAGCGGGTAATCGAGCGCTTGCAGACTGCTTATGCAAGTCCTGCCACTCCTGCCACAGTATCAATCGCCACACCTTATGGTCATGGAGCTGTCGAGACCCCTGGTGGCACTAGCGACTCCGCTGCAAAAGAAAGGATATTGTTTCGAGGGAAAGGATTCAAGACGACATTCTATGGTCCATCGGATCCCAGGAGTGCGATGACACTTGTAAGCTGATTCCAGATATTTCTTTGTTTCTGCTGTTTCGTAAACTATCGTCAAGTACTCTTTTTTTCAGCTTCATGCTGTGGCAGAGCTATCTGTGATTGATTCTGTGCTTGAAAGTGTTCGCATACAACACTGACTGAATCCTTGCTACAGAATGCTCATAACTTCTTTCGGGAAGAGATCTCCCGCAACCCGGAACTTGTGCGTTGTAGGAGAGATGTAGCGAAGCTACGTGAAGTTAAAAAGACGCTGGATAAGCAAGAAGTGCTCTCACCGCATAAACCTCTGATCGCCTATCTTCCCGAACGAATCAAAGTTGATCTGCTGGTCAGGATTTATCTGGACAACGTTGATTGCACTTATGCAATACTCCACTTTCCTAGTTTTCATCGAGAGTATGAGGCAATGTGGCGGGACCCGCTCAATGCGAAATCTGGTTTCGTGGCTACCGTGTTATTGATGATGGCATGTTGCCAATGTCTTATTCAGGGTCAACCACAAACCTACATGGCCGACAGTCCAGTTTCCCGTGAAACAGCCATAACTTTGATCCGCGTATGCGAGTCTTGGATCGCTCGATCAAGCCCAAAGCACACAGACTTGGCGTGGTTTCAAGTCCAGTGCCTTCTTTTGATCGCCAAACAGACCCATCAGGTGAAAGTCAAGCGACGATGGGTCGAATCTGGAAACCTGCTTCGGATCGCCATATCTGCTGGTATGCATAGAGACCCAGAACTGCTGCAGAAGAAAACATTGTCCTCGGTCTTTGAGCATGAAATGAGAAGAAGAATATGGGCTTTCATTGTTGAATGGGATTTGCAAACATCTGTCGACAGGGGTATGCCAGCAACTTCCTCGGACGTCGCAAGTGACATTGGTCCTCCCTCAAATTTGCACGACACAGATTTCGATGAATCGACCGTCGTTATGCGGACATCCAGATCTCTCACTGAGATGACAAAGATGACATTCATGTGTCTATCCTCTCGAAGTCGAGGCCTCAGAAGGAAGATCATAACTATGTTCAACCAGCCTTTACATCAGGTGTCGTTCGAAGAGGTGTTGGCCTCTACACAAGAACTCGAGTTGAGTCTAGCCTCCTTACCTCACTGGGCCGGGGACAGGCTCAGAGACTTGACAGCATATGATCAAAGCATTGCGCTGCTTCATATTCAGCTGGAGCAGTTTCTTGTCATTCTACATGCTCTGCATGCTCGTCAGGCTGTGACTAAGACGCACATCAATTTCTCCAAGCAGGCATTCAAATCTGCCGCTGTCTCCATTGTAGACAAACTTTCCGAGCTGTCGACCAAAGGTTTTAGATTCCTATTGATGGTGCGATCGGATATTCAAAGAGTCTTCACCAGCACACTGGCGCTAGGAAACACTGATGACAAGGACCTATGTACGCAAGATCTGCGTAGCTTAGTCCAGCCCTTCCTTGAACTTGCAGAAAAGGTCCTTGACCTGTTCGAGGAGAAGATCTTGAGCACCGGTGGTATCCAGTGGACTCACGCCTTTGTGATTTTCGACATGCTTGTATGCAAGATCAGTCCACTCGGCCAAAACATACCGTCTCGACCCGGCAGTGGCAGGCTCTACAGTATCTGCAAAAAGATCATGGACCATCAAGATCCAGAGTTCTCAGTTAGGATCGCGGCCTTGAAAGACTCTGTACCGACTCCGACAAAGATCAAGCAACGGATCGACGGCAAGACAGCTGCGTCCATGGAAAGCGACGGGACTCGGCAGGCAGTTACCACCGATAACGACTTCGTCTCAGACTTCAGCTATTCCGATATGCTGGACTGGAACTTTGATGATTGGATATTATACACCGACACATTCTGGTCGCCACAAAACATGACCCTTCCATCATTATCAGAGCAGATTCCGAATTAGTAGTGCTTAATGTAGTCAATAAACCCACTATTCATATGCAACAACATCCATGGATTCTCTTTAGTGTTGGGCCATCAGATGGATGAACCGATTCTACTGAGAGTTTGTCCAGATGTAGACTTGAGTCCTTTTGCTGATTGTGTGACCCTGTTCGTGATGTTCAATCCACCTCAGCATACCTTGTTCGAGCCAAAGTCCCCTTGGCTACATGCAAGACATCTTTGACGCCTTTTTGACCTGTAGGACGTCGATGGAGCTGTCCTGTGTGTTCGTGGTCGGATGAACGAGCAAATCACAAACTCATGAGCAGGACCGACTTCGATTGTTTAAAGGTAAGCACTCTTCTACCACGTCATGTGTGTCATGAAACTGGTAGTTGGATAGGTTTTAGCATTAGCTGTACACAGGGACATGTATCTTCACCTTGTTAGATATTATATCCTCGGTTCCTGGGTTGTAGTTGGCAGCGTGTTCAAGGCAATGATCAGTCGGAGGGATCTAGTCGGGTAGACTTCGGGAGCTGAGCGAATCTGCTTCTGGACGAACAGCTACCGCGTTCAGGCCCGAGAAGAAATGCAATACAAACAACTTGCTGTCAGTTATGAGACGCAGAAGGCTGAAGACAATCAAGAGCCGGTGTTTTGGTAAGGTAGCACGCAGATCTCTCTGGGACGATAACAAGGAGCATGTCCGCAACCAGACATTATTCACAACCATCGGGCGCTGGAGAGCCTTGATAACAAAGAATGTTCAGCCCTGCTCCACAAGGACCAAAACACCAGATACTCAGAACCTCGAGGACACTGATATACACAAGTAGGTGGCGCGGCTTCGGTTTGCACTGATGCTCTATATGGTACGAGGACCGGGACGATGCCTCAGTTATGGCTACCAACAGCCATATGCCCGTAGTGTTTGACTTGCAGCGAACAGATTACAAAACCACATCGACACCGGATGCTCGGACAGGCGAACATGTGGCTTGAAACAGTGGCAGACTCCGGCCTCCTACATTCTTCGCTGTCGAGCATGCCTGCACCAAAGCCCAGCGCCAAGGACTGGATCGTATCAGGGAACGGTTGGCGTTCGGTTGGCAACAAACCCTGAGCTGATGGAATCATCCCAAGCAGAACAGCAGAACGGCCCCCACCCTCTCAGCTTCGACGCGTTTGCCTTTCTATTCCACGACCCAACTTTTGCCAACTCGACCACAACCATCGAATAACACGCCAAGACACGCGTATAATAGGTCGCATCCCTTCGAACAACCCAACAAGACGCGCGAACGAACAAAACAGCAGACATGCCTGGTGGAAAGGGTACGGAAACATCATCTTCACATCGCGTGTCCCAGCCCAAGCCGTCTCTTTTGCTGACGAGAGCTCGCAACCTACAGGAAAGACTGGCGGTAAGACTGGTGGCAAGGCAGGCGATTCCAGCAAGACACAAAAGTCGCACTCGGCAAAGGCTGGCNTTGCAGGTATGTCCCCTTCTCCTGCCTTTCTTTGCGAGCAAGCAACCCATGACGCGTCAAACCGAGTCTTACCTATTTGCTTCCAACAGTTCCCCTGCGGTCGTGTCAAGCGTTTCCTCAAGTCGCACTCGCAGAACAAGATGCGCGTCGCCGCAAAGGCCGCCGTCTACGTCACCGCCGTCCTCGAATACCTGACGGCCGAAGTCCTCGAGCTTGCCGGCAACGCCGCAAAGGATCTCAAGGTCAAGCGCATCACCNCCCGTCACCTTCAGCTCGCCATCCGTGGTGACGAGGAGCTCGACACCCTTATCCGCGCCACCATCGCCTTTGGTGGTGTACTCCCATCCATCAACCGCGCTCTGTTGCTCAAGGTCGAACAGAAGAAGGGAAAGAAGGATGTGGCATAGATGTCGGACATGGCTTGATAACGACAAGACGTGTCTGTACCGTGTGTCGCGCTGTTTGCTTTTGGGGCTTTGGAATTGATGACTGGCTTTTACGGGTTTCATTTTTTTTTGCTGTTTGTTCTGGTTTCTTCTCTCTACACACCTCGTCCCTCCTTCGGTCCTGCGCCTTGTTGCATCTAATTGAGATGCTGTGAGGCTCAGCCGAACGGCAAGACTCGCCTTGCTGGACTTCTCTTTCTCACACTTTATGTCTCGGCGCCGGCAGGAGACAGGCATGATGGCCTGCAAACCATGGGGTGGATGTAGCAACTAGTTGCATGATTCCGAAGTATTCTTGTTTTGTTTTCCTATACCCTTAATTTCTTTTCCACAATCCTCATTGCTTCTGTTGTAGAGCATTCTCCCAACTGCCTAGCCACCTCCAGGACCTGACGACCTTGTCCAGACCGCTCAGTGCGTCGTCAACAGCGGCCTGGCCGCGTTTGCCCGAAAACTCGACAAANAACATGTAATGCCAGGGTGCCTCTCCGCTTGGGCGAGGGTTGATGCTGGTCAAGTTGATGCCATGAGTCTTGAAGACGGCCAAGGCATCGGCCAGCGCTCCTGCATCAGTGTGAGAAACGGTGAATGAGAGCAGCGATTTGTATGTTCGAGTGTGCAATTGACCATTCTCCTTGTCGGAAGAAAGAGACGTGTCCTCGAGACTTCTTCTCCGGATGATGAAGAAACGTGTAGCATTGTCCTTTTCGTCCTCAATGTCGCGTGCCAGGAAACCCAAACCGGTCATCTGCGCCGCGATTCCACTGCTGATTGCGGCCGTCGTATTTGTCTCATCGGCTGCCACGAGTTCTGCTGCTCGGGAAGTGGATGAAACGTCCTGACGCTCAACACCCTTGAGATAACAAGACAAGAAAGTCTTGCATTGTCCCCAAGCTTGTGGATGCGAATATAGCTTCTTGATATGCGAGAGGGAAGTCAATGGAGCTGCACGCGAGTTGCTGGGATTAGGGTTGCCTGGGATGGGTGTCGCGTGGCCAGAACTGCTTGGGCTTTTGGTTCCCTCCTGGAGTGCCTTGGTTGGTACGGATGCATGTCCTTGACCAGAAGCTGCGGAATGACCGAGCAAGCAGTGATGTACTTCAACATAGCGCTCGCCGCAAACCACAATATCTGGGTGTCTTGCACTCTGGTCGGCAAAGAGATCCAACGTGAAAACTACAGATCCATTGGTCGAGTTTTCGAATGGGACAACACCAAACCCGGCTTTTCCAGATTGCACCTGGCTAAAGACATCTTCAATCGTTGTCTGTGGCGAAAAGGTGTAGTTGTCCGAGTCAAAAGCGCTTAATGTTGCCTGGNNTCTAAACATGAGCCTCATGTATCAATGAATTGTGACACTTCGTGTTGGAACAGTGCACCTCGGCCTTGATGGAGTGTGATCGAAGTCCAATGCGACATTGTCCATTTACCAATGGTCAAAACCTCACGTTCCCAGCTACGGGCGGCAGCCAAAGGTGATGTATCTTACCTGATGTGTATATGAGGCTTTGGGGCCCAGGTAGGCAACCTGCTCGTGCGACTGCATCTCTGCACGTATGCACCTTTCCGAATCCTTCAGTTATCGTCGACTTCAGCAAAGCATTTCCAGTGGTAACCAGGAGTCCGGAAGGGCAATTGATACAATAGAATAGGTTTGTAGGTACAGCAATTGTTGATGATGACCACGCCGAGGTCGGCTTTTGAAAGTCGTTGTTGGAAGCTTCTTGCCGTTCCGCGATGATCTTTCCTACCAGCCGGTGGACATACACAAATACACAAAATATGCACGCACAGCTATCGTATCATCATGTTTTGGGTTCCCATTGTATGCTATAGTATTACAACGATCGATCGTGCACGTGGTCCAGCGTTCTAACGATAGAAACTACAAGTAGAGACCCTCGGGCTCGCCCTCGCTCTTGGTCTTGAGCACGCTCTCTCTCGCCTGTCTGAAATCGGCCATGTTCACTCTCATTCTGCGCTCTCTCAATGCCATGAGACCGGCTTCACTGCACATGGCACGGATATCAGCGCCTGAAAGATCATCCTTCTGGTTAATAAACTCTTCAAGCTCGACATCTTCAGCCAGAGACATCTTGGATGTATGGAGGGTGAAGATCTTGCGTTTGGTGTTTTCTNNGGAACAGACAGTTAGCTTCAAGACAAACAATCGATTATCAAAGAATGACTTACGGTCTGGGTTCTCGAACAGAATTTTGCGGTCGATACGACCAGGTCTGATAAGGGCAGGATCCAATGTGTCGATCTTGTTGGTGGCCATGATGACCTTGACATCACCACGATCATCGAAACCATCGAGCTGGTTCAGAAGCTCAAGCATAGTACGTTGAATCTCGCGCTCACCGCCAGAGGTGGACTCATAACGCTTTGTACCAACAGCATCAATCTCATCGATGAAGACAATACTGGGCGCGTGCTCAGCGGCGACCTGGAAGAGCTGTCTCACGAGTCTAGGGCCATCGCCCAAGTATTTCTGGATCAGTTCACTACCGACGATACGCAAGAAGGTCGCGCTGGTTTGGTTTGCGACGGCCTTGGCAAGTAGTGTTTTTCCTGTTCCGGGGGCACCGTAGAGGATGACACCCTTTGGCGGCTTGATGCCCATCTCCTCGTACAGCTCGGGATGGAGTAGGGGCAATTCGACAGCTTCACGAACTTCTTGAATCTGCTGTTCCAGGCCACCAATGTCGGCATATGATTCGGTAGGGGCCTTGTCGAGCTTCATGACTGAGACGAGAGGGTCGGCGTCGTCTGTCAAGACACCAACGACCGAGACGGATTTGTGATGCAGAAGAACGCTGGCGCCAGGCTCAAGCAAGTCCTTGTCGACAAAGGACATGATGCTGACGTAGTATTCGGGACCCGTGGCAGACGAAACGATGGCGTGGTCGTCGTCGATGAGCTCCTCGAGGTTTCCGACGCCCATGGGGCTGCCTCTCATATCGTCGACGCGGCTTCTCTCGTCGGCGTTGCGGTCCAGAGCATCGCTGTCGGCAGGGGCGGACGAAGGCTGTTGGGCGGTTGCAGCTCTAGCCTTGCGCAGTCTCTCCTGGTTCTCGACGTATTCCTCCTCTAGCAACAGATGGTCGTGGATGCGCTGCATGCGCAGGTATCGGAGCTTGCAGCGGGCGGTCGGGTAGATGTTGGGGAGTTTGGCGGCAGCATTCGGACCGGCCTGCTTTCTCTTCTTGCGGCCGATGCGAGTGGTGGGCTGTGGCGGAGGCTCGTACTTGGGCTTGTCCTTCTGCGAGAATGTAAGCAGGAGNTTGGGTCTAGACGGGTCGAGGTAATGGTACCTTGGGATCCTTCTTGTCCTTGTTGTCACCTCCCTGACCGGGAGGACCGCCTCCAAGGCCAGACTGGTTGGCACCCTGTGTGATGGTCAGCACGATGGGAAGAGGGTCGGACAAGGCGACGGAGGCGTACCATGATTGATGCGGAGGCTGGCTACAGTGGCTGAAGAGCGGCGGAAGGAGGTTGCGTCTTGAGTCGAGATTCCAGAGGCTGGATGAACAGCGGATACAAGGACAGAGTCGATGAGTTGGAAGGTGAGGGTGGATGGATGGCGAAGGGATGGGCGGAGGGTGGTGTGCTGGGAGCTGATTGTGTCTGCGATGATGATGCACGCCGCCGGGTCAAAGCTCACCGTGTTGCAAGTCCACGCCGTCCGTGACATGTGCCTCTTGTCAACTCGACAAGACTCTTTTGACTTCCTTTGATCTGTGGCACAGATACTTGTATCACATCTGACAGCTGCTCTTCCATGCCCTCTGGCCTCACTATCCCGACCAAGTCTCTGTCTATATACCCGCTCGACTCGCTCCTTCACTCGGCTCCGGACTCGAACTATACCTTACTTCCGACTCTGATCAGATTAATCGCTTCCTGAGCCAACCTACACTAGGACCCAGCCTCATGGCGGCGAACAGAAACCGCCGCCTGGTCAAGGAGATTCAGGACGTCCAANAAGACTCTCACTCGGGCGTCTCGCTCGAGCCGCTGAACAAGGCACAAACCGGCTCCGACACTCTCGATGATTTGACACATTTCAAGGGCCTCTTCCGTGGGCCGCCCGACACTCCCTACCACGGTGCTACCTACCATGTCGACATCAAGATCCCCAACGACTATCCTTTTCAGCCACCCGTCATGAAGTTCACCACAAAGATCTGGCACCCAAACATCTCGAGTGTTACTGTGTGTTAGACCGCTGTGTCTGTCGACTTCTTCTTTTGCTAACCTTGCGCTCAGGGTGCCATCTGCCTCGACACTCTGGGCTCGGCCTGGTCTCCCGTCCTTACCCTCAAGTCCGCCCTCATATCTCTCCAGTCACTACTATCCTCCCCCCGAANNCCAANNAAAGATCCCCAAGACGCAGAGGTCGCTCGCATGCTCATCACAAATCCCAAAGAGTTTGAACACGTCGCTCGTGAGTGGGCAATCAAATACGCCGGTGCTCCCCAAGGTCCTCCCGGCTCGGAAAGCGCCGGCGCAGAGGGAAGTGGAGGTGTCACCGAAGAGACACTGAAACACAAGGACGACCAGAAACGGGAGAAGGCAGAAGCCGCAAAACTTGCCCAGTATGCTGCCGTCTACCACTCGGTACATCGACACAGATCGCTGACATGCGCTACAGGTNATCACGGTTACAACAAGTCTCTGGTGGACCGCTTCTCTGCCATGGGCTTCGACGTTCCAACCGTGGTTGCCGCCTTTGAGTTTACTGGTATTGACAAGAACGACGGCGAAGACTACGAGCTCGAGGAGGAGTACATGGGCGACATTACCGCAAGGCTGTTTGGCGAGGCATGATCAGCCCGAGAACTCTTCATCCTACTCTTTTCCCCAACTGCCATGTCTTTGTGAGAAGAATATGCAGGTTACGCGAACACGACATTATGATGCTGTACCACTCAATTCCAAGCACCAAGTACGGCTTTGGCTCATCCGGCTGAAGGGCTTGCTTTTCCACCCCATATCAGATAGGTACATACGTATTCTTTTACAGATAGCAAATGAAACCAACTATCATCTTACATCCTTCACCTTTACGTTTGCTGCACATGTTGTTTGGGAAAAGGGTACTGGTGGCCCCATTAATGTACACAAGGATGCTGTCTAGCAACATGTCGACCTCCTTCTTGTTCTTGACGTGTGCTCCGCGCTCAAATGCTAGACCATGTCCAGTATTCGCAAGGTAGATCTGCGGTGACGCTATCGCGCAAACACCTTCACCACACCGTCGCCCCCTGCACTGACGACATATCTGCCGTCCTGGCTCCACACCACACTGCAAACACCTTCGCCTCTCATGGGTCGGTGCGACGTGATGTCTTGCGTGCACTGTCTCTTCTCAAGCGACCAAAACCGGATCGATGCGTCGTGGCCAGCCGAGACCGCCTCTCTACCGTCCTTGGATAACGACAGCGATGAGATGGCCGAGGGGTGTGCGAGCATTGTGTATGTGCATTGACCTGANTGCAAATTAGCAAAACCAACCTCATGAAGCTTCCATCGAAAACCCAACTTACCACTGTTCGCATCGAAGAACCTGATATATCGATCCTCATGGCCACTGACAATCACGCCCTCGACACCCTGCGCTGAGCCTGTCGGTCCAGCACCCACGGATTCCTCTTGATCCGCTCTGTCCATGTAGGTGGATCCTGTTTCCAGGCCAAGTGATGCACTGCTAGTGGCAACCACGGTGTTGATGCTTGTAGCCATGGTTCCATCACATGTCTCGTTACTGGCCATTCCAATGATCTCCTCACCAGTGCGGGTATCGAAGATAAGAACACTCGAGTCGGTATATGAGACGACGAAATTCTCGCCAGATGGGCTGAGAGGAGAAATGCAAGTAGGCGCAGCACTTGAAGCGGAATCGCGCTGGATGCTGTGAACAAGCGTATAATGGAATGGTGTACTTGTAGCCACATTGGGCTGAGGCGAACTGGGATGGTTGCTGCCAGACGTGACAGAATGACGACGGCTACCACCACGTCGCGAACCTGCTTGCGGAGAAACCAGCTGCGGTGGAGCACTGACAGACCAAATCTTGACAGTGCCATCTGCAGAACCTGTAGCGAGCAAGATGCGGTCAGGTCCGCCGTAGTTTGAACCTTGAGAACCAAACACGGATGCGACAGTTCCAGGTAGGAGACAGACGGTCCAGACAGCATCCGTGTGGCCTTCTAGAGTAGCCTTCGGGTCAACTCGTCCACGTTCCCAAACACGTACCGTGGCGTCTTGGCCACCGGAGAAGATCCATCCGTCTCCTGATACACGACCGCCGGTGGAGAAGCTGGTCGAAGGGCACGCCGCGAGAGATGTAACGACACCATCATGACCACGGTGGGTAAAGTAGCAAGCAATGTCCAGATCGTTGTTTGCGTTGTTCTGGAAGTTGCTGTAGCTGGCAGGTATGATCCAGCGTTTGATGGTACCGTCATCGCCAGCTGTGCAGATTTCAGGCTCAGAAGGGCTACCACCACCCGTAAAGATGACCGAGCGGACAACATCAAGATGGCCACGGAGAGCAAACTTGACCTTGAATTGAGAAGGATCAGTCTTTGCAGAAAGCTCTGAGCCACTGTCATGAAGATCGTGGGAACCGGAGCTTCTTCTTCTGGCCATGCCTTGCGAGCCCGACGATCTGCGACGGCCTGAACCGGTACGAGGAGGAGATCTAGAAGGGGGTTTGCAGCACTTGGAAATAGATCGGTANTCAGGTCTACGGGGTGGTTGGGGTAGTTCGGCAGGAGGTTGATCTGGCAGAGGTTGCTGGTCATCGAAGTTCCAGCCATCAGCCGAAGAGTCCTGAGTAACCATAGAGCGTGGAGCGGCGTCCGGAGTCGAGGCTACAGGGCGGCCGTAAGAATCATACGAATGTGTGACCTGCTCTACAGGCTCTTCCAGCGGTACAGACTGAGATTGTGGAGGCTGGGGTAGGGTATGGGTAGGAGGTTGTGCGGGNGGCATGGACAGAGCAAGGTGACGCTTCTGGTCCTCGGCGGACATGTTGACCGCAGGCTGCAGCTGTACATGAGCAGAAGGAGGGTACGCCCTGCCAGCGCGACGCAGGTAGAGCTCATCGAGAGACACTGGAGGATCGGGTAGGCCAGTGTACGAAGCCGAAGGGTTCTGCAGTGACAAGTGAGGCGGCGGAGGGTGTGGTGGGGANGTAAGCAGATACTGGACTTCGTGGAGGCATCGGTCCAGGAATTTCTTTGATTTGTCTCGGTATTGCTGCTTGTCGGGGGTCGTGTCGAGGAAGGAATTGTGGACGTCGTGGGATGCTAGACGTGACGGGTCAGCTGGAGGGCCTTGTGCGACTCGAGTCGGTCGAGACTGACGCCTGGAAGAGTGCGAGACGGCACTGTCTGGTTGCAAGGGCGCATTGGGGTCGCTGCCCTTCTTCCTTCGTTCCTGTTTGAGGGCGCTTTCGAGCATGCGCACTTGTCGTTCGAGCTGCTCGTTGATCCTCTTCGCATGGCGGCACTCGCCCTCGTGCTTTGCGATCTTGGCCTTCATCTCGGCGCGCTCAATGTCCCATGCGTTCCGGGCTCGCTCGTGGTTGTGCCATTCGATCTGGAGGAAGCGCATAACGCCTGGGTTGGGTCGCTAGCGTCAGCCAGGCGCGGGCAGATGGGCGTAGAGGTCAGACATACCCTGCAACGTGTATTCGGCACCCTGGGGCCCGTGATGGTCGTTCGCTTGGGCGGCATTCGCGGCGTTGTTGAGCATGCCGCCCGTTTGTTGGTATGCCATGGCGGCCGGTCTCGTGCTACCTCTGCCTCGAGCGCGCTCTCGTCGTCGCTCTCTCCTGCTCTGTCGTGGGTGCGGCGCTTCAGGATGTCTTGAGCATTGGCGAGTTGCTGGTGCTGCCTGGCGCGTGCCGGTGTGGGCTCAGCTCGGAGAGTCGTCGTCGGCGGCGGTGGTGCAATGACATGGACGAGTTAACACATGCTCCCAAACCACCGCTCCGCCCACGCACGTCCACAAAGCACATACGTCGGCTAAACTTCAAGCTCTCCGCAACATAGGTAATAATCCCCCCCTTGTTTATCAATTTGTTTCAGGCTTATCAACTGACATTGAGCATCTCCTTGGGAAAGTAATCTTTTGGCCATTTCAAGCGTGATTGTGGTTTGCGCTGTACGATGACAGAATCACGCGTCCAGCTTTTCTACCTAGACGTACAATGCACGCGCACAACTATATGCCGCGCTCGTGCTCGTGCTTAGCTCTCTATTCCTCCTTGGCACCACCACGGCCGGCCTTCTCGGCAGCCTCGATGCTCTTCTTGTCGGTCTTGATATCACCGGCACCTTGCATGCCCATCAGACCGCCAGAGGCCTTCCAGGGTCTCTTGAGCTCGCCAACTGCCGGCTGTCCGAACAGGTGAACCTTGACCAGGTTGCCCTCAAAGGCGCCCTTAAGGGGGATGATGGACTGGATGAGGAGAGGGTTGGTGTACTGGAAGTAGAGGTGCATGACGGCCATCATGCCAACACCCATGACCTGGCTCTTGAACAAGCCGCGGAGCTGCTGAGTGTCGTATGCGTGCACAGTCGTGGTGACGGGCTTGGGCTCCTCGGTCGATCCCATGGGTGCGGGCTCAACGTACTTGATGACGGTGAGATCTGCCCGTCCAGTTAGCTCGAGGCTTCTTTGTCTTGGTGTCGCGCTGCCCTGTTGCTACTGACCCTTCTTCTTGTTGATCTGCGCCTGCACGTAGAGGTAGATGCCGGCGATGATGAGGTTGGACACAATGTAGAGTGCGCGAACTCCCATCAGGACGTTGGGCTCCTCGAAAGGCACCTTCTTGGAAACCTGCATCATGAANCCTGCCGCCTAGTCAATTTTCGCGTCCAGCCCATCTCCAGATGTGTCGCGTGCGTACAGGATGATGACCAGGTTGGTCACTTGGGGGTTGAGAGCCATCTTGACGTTTCTTGCGGTGTTGCGATTTGACGGACTGGCAAGGATCGAGTGTTTGATGGAAGGGCTGGGGAAGAAAGAGCGAGCGTGGATTCCTTATGAACACGTCGGCTGCTGCCGCTTCACGCTTGAACTGTTAGCGGGGCTGGACCCTACCAATTTCACCTAGCCCGCCCACTCTACGTTCTTCCAAGCACTTCTATCGCTTGGTATATCACGCATTTGCTCCTTATCAGACTCGGCTCAAACAAACTTGTCATGGAAACTGTGATGTCTTGCTACGACGATTCTGCCCAACATCTCTTTATCTTTCACTAGCCAATTCCAGTATATGAGCATCCTCTACCACATGGAACGACTCGTCGAAGATCACAACAAGGCCACCACCATCACGGCGCCGGTGATGAACCACCAGAGTTCCGACCTGCCGACGGACTTGAAGCCTGTGTTCGATGCAAGAAGAGATGGGGAGCTCGGAGTTCGCGTAGCCGTGATTGATGCAGTTGCTAACGAGCTTACTGATCCTCTCGTTGAGCTTGGAGTCACAATGCTCGTCGTCGCATTCGACGATGTCCCGTTACTACCAACACCGCTTCCAACCACGCTGGTACCACTGGCGCCTAACAGATTGAACTCGGCGACTGTTGCGCCCAACTCGTCGCCTGTTGCTTGACATCCGCTAATCTCAAGTGTGACATACTGGCCAGACCAGATAGGAGTCGAGAACCTGAAGTAAGACATATTACCCGTATACTCCTGGACGACATCATTGGTAGCGGCATTGTATGGCATCGAGATCGTAATGTCAGTGAAGGCTGCCGTTCGGATATTCGTCGAACTACCATTCGATCCACTAGTAGAGTTGTAGACGAGGACGCGAGCTGCTGCCGGTGGACGGCTGCCCCAGTCAAACGACACGCCGGTCAATGGTTGGTAGTCTACATTCTGCATATCGACTGTCAGAGATGCAGGCTGACGGGTTCTGGGTTGCCAACGAGTACTGGCCGCTCCATCGACAGCTGCAAGAGGGAATTGTCCTGGTTGATACTCTCCTTCTGAAGTCACAGGCAAGCATTGGACGAGGTTTCCTGCCGTAGTGATGTTGTCGAAGTATATACGGTTCTCGATCGTGATCGTCTGTCCTAGTGCTATGCTGATGTTACGACCTTCTTCGATGGAGAAGCCGATGGCGATGGGCATGGATTGATTGGCGTAAATGTCACTACTGTTTGGTGGTAGGTAGGCGGATACGTCCGTCCGAGTGAGATTGGTGTGAGTGTAGTTCATGGTAGCCTTGATTCCTGCTCCTCCAAAGATCACGGTGCGGAGGTTGACATACGGAATTTGAGGCGGTAGAGCTGGCTGAAGAATAAGTTGATCCTCCACCACTCGAGCGCCGAGCCAGCCCATTGGGCCGACCTGGTGCCAGCCACCAGCGCCAGTCATAAAAGGGAATGCCGGATTCGTGCCACCGTTGATCGTGAAATTGTCGACCTGCTGTTCGGAGAACTGATACCAGGGTGCGCGTGTATATGCTTTGAATCCATTCAATGCGTATGTAAACGAGGAACAACCTGATGGGGAGAGTGCGTTGGCGGAGATCGAGTAGAGACTGTAAGTCATCGCAGGTCCATCGGGAGATTGCTTAACAGCATACNNTGCGTATCGTTAGCATACGTCTAATGGGCACTCTAAACCAATACGCACGTAGTCCAACGAGGTGAGCTTGTCTTCTCTGGTATAGTTCTCGGAGCTGTAATCTAGAGGATAGTTGATCAGATCAATATCGTCTTGCTTGATTACTGCCGTGTTGTTCGCGCCACGAAACTCTGTCAAGATTCCAGACGGTGCAAAAGGCAAGGCAACATTCCCTGCAATCGACGACCAGTTGGCTTCAACCTCCAACGAGAACTCTTCAGAGTATCCTTGAGTCCACTCGATAATCTTGGCGACCGAGGCCAGTGTGTAAGCACCATCAGGAACCTGATTTGCGTACTCNTGTGTGCGTTTTAGCTCAGTACTATCTGTATATATCAAGTCGTACTTACCATCTGGATCAGTCAGATTAGCAATCGAATAACCGTTGACCGTCTGGTTGTACTCTACCAGCTCGGAAAACATTTGCACGATCGCATCGTTGACAGGGATAGCTTGACTCTTAAACCAGCTGTCATCTCCAGTGACTCTCCAGTAGAGCAAATTGTTGAGGAAAATGTCACTGTTTAGGTGGTATTGGTAATCGACGCAAGGCCCAGTACCAGTGCAGTTACCAAAACGGCCACTTGTCCAAGGATATATTATAGCCTCGCTTGAGAAGTCGTTCTCCCGAGCGTTGATTGCTGCTTGTGGTGACAGCATAACGCGATATTTGGGGATCTGAGCCGCATACTTAGGATGCGAGACAGAGACTCCTGGCGACATGAAGATATCGGCATCCCAAAAGACGAGGCCAGCATAAGAATCTGAGCCGAGTCCACCTACGCTGATGGACCAGTGATTCAAGTCACTTCCATCCTCGGGCAGAAGGTTTTGAAGTAGGTAATGAGCATTGGCCTTTGAGATGATTTGCATGTCGATAACGTTCTGATCTTCTGGAAGCGAACCATCGGGGAGAGTGTAATCGTCGACCATGTCCTCTGTAAGAATTTCGGCCCATGCTTGCGAACTACCTCTGAACAGCTCATCAAAGCCAGCCTGAGAAGCCTGCAAAGATGCGTCTTGAGCAACGGATTGTGGATCATTAAAACCATCAGAAGAAGCAATACCGACGTACTTCGAGATGGTGACAGTAGCACCAGCTTCTAATGCCACGTTCCAGGATTGCCCAATGGTGCTATCGTTTGATGGAAGATAAAAGCTCGAAGAAGCGTTTGCGCGAGACGCGACATCGAGACCTGGCCCTTCGATTGTCGAGAAGATCCATGCAGTGATATTTCCCAGCCAATGCGGTGACACTGCGGAATATATCGTACTAGAATTGTCCAGCATACCTGTGGAATGGGGATCAGATCGAACGGCACCTCGTCCATCAATCAAATCTGTAATAGTAGCATTAATCGAGGAGGAAGGTGTCACGGCTAGTCGAATTGCAGCTACGTTCGGCTGGGAGCGATCCATGAACATCTCGTAAGAGACAGACAAACTGGTGTTTGGGCTTGGAGTCCAGGTGTAGTTCCATGTCTGGAGTCCGTTTTTCAGCGATCTTGTGGACTTGAAGTCGGAGATGGTGGCACTGTCCACTGATGCATTCAACACGGCACCTTCGACTGCGAGGATGAGGTTAGGCCAGTTGGGAACACCAGCAATCACACTCTCTCCACCCTTCAAAAGCAGTTCTGGGAAATTGGTTCTTGTGGTGTTTTTCTGAGAGTTAAAGAAGCCCGAAACGGTACAGAAGGTTTGTCTGGGATTGTCCAAAGGCCAGCCGTTGATCGGAAGATTGCCACCATCAGGATTGGTCAAGTTGACATCTGCCTCGAAGAAGGGGCCGGCAGCAGCGAGTGCGCAGCCNCATGTATCTACGTACTGTTCAGTTCATTTCACTCTGGAGTGACCGATCTCTGGGAATTGAACATACCCATTGCCCATTGGCGCACGAGACTGATATTGACCCTGGATCAGGCTATCTGTGCTCAACTCCCAGCCCTCATTGTCCCAATTCGTAAATGTCGACGGAATGGAGAAGTCGGCATACTGGGCCGAACAATAGGGCAGAACCGCCAGCAAACCAGGCAGCAAAGCTCGCATACCAGCCATCTTGGAGAGAAGAATACAGGAACGGCTCAAAGGTTTCGAGACATGGCGTTCTTATAGCATAAAGATGCATGCCTCCACCCATGGTGCATTGCCGATATTATTGCGGGGGATCATGCATGATGCACGTCATGGTGGTTCCCCCAAGCTTGGTCCTCGGGACGGAAAGCCAGGTGTGGAGAAAAGACTCCAGGTTCGCTCTGCAATTCGCGCAGTCGAACCTTCCATCAATTTAGTGTGTACCTAGGTAGCTATGGAAATGCACAGTGCTATTGAGAAGCAAGGCATTATCCACTGCGAGGCAGCATCTTAGCGATTCTCCCTAGCTACCTTTTACTCTTGTGTATTTCCCCAGTGGGGTGGAGCTCCAGACTTTAGCACATGGGGAGGGATCACCGACACCGGACGCGGCATCATACGATATGTAGCTTATATCCGTTTTCCTCACAGAACCTAGTCCAACTTGGCGTGTGTAGTTCGCAAGCCACGTTCCAAGAAGGTGACAAAATGCGACAGGGAATGGATGACTTCGTGTCCACCCCTCACTCGTCGAATGGCTGGGAGAAGCTCAGAACCTGGCCTGAGCCCATTGCGACCAGCCTGCTCCGCATGTCGTCTGCCAAAGCAGAGAGTTGCTGATCGTTGGCTAGATCTTGTTGCAACTTGCTAAAGTCACAACGTCCAACCCAAGTACCGATGCCGTGCTGCAGCACGTTTCTAGCTCTGGCGGGGTCAGCGCCAACGATACCCATGGATCCATGCAAAGTCATCCTCTCCGCTCCGCTAAGGTAGACGCCTCTGTGTAGGATGTTGTTGTTGTAGAAGATGATATCGCCGGCATTCATTTTGACGACCATTTGTCCTGGCATGTTGTCTTCGAAGGGACCCGCACATCGTTCTTCTTCTGTTCTTGATCGTACGTGGGAGCCTGGTACGACGACCAGAGACTGATCAGGATACAATGCCAAGTTCCATTGAGCGTGAAGCATGGGCTCCTGCAGACGATACAACTCCTCTTGAGCCGACGCTCCCGGGCCAATGTCGTCCCGATGCCACCGAAGAGCAAAGTCCGCATCAGGACGGATCAAGAGGTTGTATAGTTCGAGCACTAGATCGGCAGGGCTGCATTGTAAGATCTCGGTCACGGCGGTGATGATGTAAGACGCAAAATACGAGGCAGCAAATATTTCGTGGTGAGGGAGATCCGGATGCATCAGGTGCTGCACACCCCATATACCTCTCGAGATATCCGAATCCCAGGGAGGGAATTGTNNCTACAGGCAAGGGTACAGTTAGCATGCTCCTCATGTGAGACTATCGCCTGAAGCAGTTGAAGAGCTGTATCTGATGGCTGTTGGCCTGCATCCTTGCCTTACGTACTTGGGAAGAGTTCTAACATAAGGCCAGCCACCTGTTCGTGCTAATTGAGCGACATCTTGACAAGCAGCTCTCAGAGCTTCGAGTTGATCTGCCGAAAGGACTGAAGGAATTCGAACAAAGCCATCCTGGGCTAGCTGATCACGCAAGCTCAGTGGCATTGCAGCACGATGGTGGTTGTAGAGAACAAGAGACCAAGGTAAAGTGTGGAGGTATGTGCTACTTATCAGAGCGAGGTGAGCACAAGGTCACCTGAAACTATGGCCATCTGAATTTGAAGATCTTCGAGTTGCCCAACGTCCTCTGCCGAAGCTATTTAAGAGGGACTGAGCTTAGGTGCAGACATATCCCCGAGACGATTACTTTAGTTGTGGGGATATGGTCAGAACAAACTCGTAGCTGTCGTTCCAGATGTAGGATGAATACATCAAAGCGGAAAGAAATCATTGAGCTTGTAGTCATACTGGCAAGTCAAGGACAGGGTGTCATCACCGACCCCACCAGGGGAAGCTTCGACCCTTCGACCGTCATAGTCGGTCACTGCTTTGGTCATACAACAAACACGCGACTTTGCATGAACAACCGACGACGTACTGAGCTTCGCAAAAGGCCCTACGAACACACACCTGCAGTCGCTTGTCACGCCCAAAGTCAGCTCTGGCTTCACAGCAGCCATGGACGCGTTTCAAGCCGTCTCGGGCTACGTCAGCAAGATGGTATCGACTGGAGATGGTGCTACCGCCTCTAACGCTGCTAAGATGAAGATACTGCTGCTGGACAGCGATACTGTGGGTCGCGCAACCATGTATGATAGCCTGCCGCTAATGCTCGGTCCAGNNGTCTCGGTCGTGTCATCAGCAACAACGCAGTCCGCTCTCCTGAACCACCAAGTCTACCTGACCGATCGCTTGGACAACCACAACAGGGAAAAGATGCGCCACCTCCGTTGCCTCTGTTTCGTACGTCCCTCGCCCGACAGCATTCAATTCCTCATAGACGAATTTCGAGACCCCAAATACGGCGAATATCACATCTNNGTACGTCCTATCTAGCAACCGCCATGGAACGATCTTCTGACTGATACAAGGTCAGACTTTAGCAACATAGTCAAGAAATCCTCCCTTGAACGCCTTGCAGAAGCCGATGACCACGAGGTCGTCAAAGCCGTCCACGAATGTTTCGCCGATTACTTGGTCGTCAATCCTGACCTTACCTCGCTCGCCCTCGAACACCGCCTCTGGAGCTCAAACCCCGACATGTGGAACCAGGACCCCCTCTCGAGGACCACCGAGGGTGTCATCGCTCTGCTCTTGTCTCTGAAGAAACGACCTATGATCCGTTTCCAGAAGAACAGTCTACTCGCANAAAAGTTAGCCACAGAGGTCCGATACCAGATGACTCAGGAGGAACAACTCTTCGACTTCCGAAAGACCGACACTGCCCCCATACTGCTCATTGTCGACCGAAGAGATGACCCTGTGACCCCATTGCTAACCCAGTGGACCTACCAAGCCATGGTACATGAACTCTTGGGCATAAAGAATGGCAGAGTCAATCTCAGCCACGTGCCAGACGTTCGTCCAGAGTTCAAGGTGCGATATACGCCCTTCTATACCACTCTCTCGAGTTTACTAACCCCGTCTAGGNAAATCTTCATCAGCCAAGATCAGGATCCATTCTTCAAAAAGAACATGTATCTCAATTTCGGAGATCTCGGTCAGAATGCCAAAGATTATGTCGAGCAATTTGCTTCAAAGCAACAGTCGAGCCACAAGCTTGAGTCTATCGAGGACATGAAGCGTTTTGTAGAAGACTACCCAGAGTTCCGACGCCTTTCAGGAAATGTTACCAAGCACGTCACTTTAGTCACCGAACTGAGTCGCAGAGTTGGAGAGGAGAACTTGCTGGATATCAGCGAGCTGGAACAAAGCCTTGCTTGCAACGAGAACCACTCCAATGACTTGAAGACCCTGCAGCGTCTCATACAGGACCCAAAAACACCTCCAGACAACAAGCTTCGCTTAGTGGCCATCTACTCTCTTCGCTATGCTTCTCACCCTTCAAATTCAACACCAGCACTCATGGACCTCCTAGCGGTAGCCGGTGGTCTCTCCCGCCATCGGATCAACCTGATACCCAAACTTCTTACCTATGCGCATTCTTTGCAGTCATTGCCGCAGACTGGTGCTATTCCGGATCTCTTCCAACCATCCTCGATATTCCAGGGCGCTCGAGAGCGCTTCAACAGAGGTCTTGGTGGTGTGGAGAACGTATATACGCAGCACTCGCCACGGTTAGAGACAACGATACAGGACTTGATCAAGGGCCGTCTGCGAGACAATCAATATCCTTTTGTTGAAGGTGGAGGCACCACACGAGACAAGCCGCAAGATATCATTGTGTTTATGATTGGCGGTGCAACCTACGAGGAGGCAAAGATGGTTGCGCAGGTCAATGCTAGTAGCCCTGGTGTTAGAGTGGTGTTGGGAGGCACATCAATTCACAACAGCACTAGCTTCCTGGACGAGGTTGAAGAAGCCGTCGACAGTTGGCCAGAAGCACCACCAACCAGCGCAGCAGGCAGATTGAGAAAGGAGGTCGGTAGAGGATGATACGTTCTGCTTGCCAAAGGACGATACGGGGACTCAGCTGTCGAGAATAGTATCTACTATCACAAACGAGAGGATAGGAGACTTTATATCTGGTCGACGTCTACCTGTTGAACATATGAGGAGATCCAAAATGCAACGCACAGTAATCATGTGGCGAGAAGCGATCACCAAGAGCTTTGTGTCTCGGGCCAGTTGATGAGCTGTAACAATTCAAGCATGGGGTCTCAAAGATGGTAATTAACTGGAAATAGAAGAGCTCACGCAAGGCTCGATCTCAAAGGAGTTGTCTCGCACGCCATCATATTTTGACCCATTCCAAACACTGTCTAGCGCTAATCTGTACCTGCGTTGGGCTTTTTGGCAGCAGCTTCCAGCCTCCTCTGCTCACGCAAAGCGCCTAGTTTGCGAGCGGCTTCATCAATGATGTCCTTACTTATCGCCATGGCATCCATAGCAGCGCGGTTGCCTGCCTCGACCTTGTTTTGGCCCTCACCAGAGCCAAGCAGTTGTTTCTCGTACCCCCAGCCCGTGAGGAATAAGCTGATGAAATACCGCTGCATGTGCTTGGTCTGTTCCATTGGCCTGTTCTCGAGATATTCGAGCTTGACGTCCTTGCCGACAATCTTCTGTTGGAGTTCCTGTTTTGCGTTCTGATTGTACTCGTTGAAAGTCGCTCCGCCTTCTGCGCTTATCGGACCAAATTCTCTAAGCAGAATGGGTGCCCAGAGCTCTGTGAGCCAAGATTCTGCACGCTTGAACCCGTCCACAGGATCAGAAAGGATAATAGCAGCGATGTAGGCTTCGAAAACATCGGCTAAGATCTTTCCGGAGGCCTTTGCGAGCTCGCGTTCGCCATCTCCAGCCTTCAGACGGTTCTGGAAGTTGTAGGCCATGCTGAATTGGGTCAAAGTGTCATTCTTCACCAGGCGCTCGCGTATCTGTGCTTGACGACCAGCGGCAAGATGAGGATAGCGTGAGAAGATTAGGCGAGTAGCAATGACCTCCAGATAAGCATCTCCCAGGAACTCCAGGCGTTCGTATGTCATGTCGCCGACTGCAGAAGTGCGATCGTGTTGACTGCTGGACTTGTGGACGAAAGGTGCCCGCGAGTAAGGACCATCGGGGACTTGAGGTAGTGTTGGCAGAGAGAACTGTTGGGTCGTGGATGAGAAAGACGTGGCTGGGTTGTGAGAGCTCACTTCGGCGCCTGTGACGGTAGAAGGCTGGAATAAGTCCAAAGAAGCGGTAGCTGTATTGACCGAAGAGAAAGATTTAGATAACTTGACGGCACTCTCGTACGCTTCATGGCCAAGAAGCTCTCTTGAGCTATCTCGACGATTGACCAGTGCCTTGAGCAGTGATTCCAGATGTTTGGTGGAGTCAGGTAGCGGAGCCGTCTGCTGGCTTAGTTGTGAGTTCTTGGAGTGTCGAGGCTGAGAGTGTAGATTTCGGGGCCGATGATCCGAGTAGCCATCGTGTCCATAGCTCCTCGGTCTCTTTGCAGCAGAATGTTCGTCGTTTGGATAGGCGCGTTTCATGTTTTGGGATGGGTTTGTTGATAATGGAAGTTGACAAAAGTTGCATCGACATGTGAAAAGAAACATGATCATGATCATGCACGAGGATCATAAAGCCCGAGCGACGGATCGGCCCGCACAAGGCTGCGCTTCTGGTGCCGGATAAGCCCTAGCATCCGAAACAATTTCCGTGCAACATTTGTTCCAAGGTCAATCACCATGTGACCTCGGAGCATCCAAAGATGCTGGCAACAAGAACATTCGCCCGGGCGCGGCCGGCCTTTCAGTCGCCCAGCCTACGCACATTCTCATCAAGCCCGATCAATGCCAAGTTGAAGCTCGCGTACGACTTCTATGAAGCCGAGAAGCCCGAAACCAAGAAGGATCCCATTGTCTTTGTCCATGGCCTCTTCGGATCCAAGAAGAACAACCGGAGCATGAGCAAGTAGGCACAGATGAAAGCATCCATATTCTCCACAGCTAACCTGGCCCAGANNGTGTTTGCTCGTGATCTGAACCGCCCCGTCTACGCCATTGTATCTCACCCTGCCGAAACGTCTGCGACCACCACCTCTGATAGCACCTGTCCAGNNGACTTGCGCAACCACGGCGAATCACCCCATGACCCGAGGCACGACTACACCGCTCTCGCCGAGGATGTCGAGGGTTTCCTGCAAGAACACAAGATTGAGCGTCCTGCTCTGATCGGCCACTCCATGTACGTCTTGCACGACTACACCACCCTCAGATGCCGTGGATCAATGTTGACTGTGAACAAGGNNGGCGCCAAAACAGTCATGACAGTTGCTTTGCGCGGTAAAGTGCCCATCGCCAGTCTGATCCCCGTCGACAACGCACCTGTCGACGCAGCCTTGAAGAGCGACTTTGGCAAGTACGTACAGGGCATGCGCAAGATTGCCGACGCAAACGTAACAAAGCAGTCCGAGGCCGACGCTATCCTGGCCGAGTTCGAGTCCAACGTCGGAGTGCGTCAGTTCCTACTTACCAATCTCGCCCGCGGCAAGGATGGAATCCAGAGGTTCCGTATTCCTGTCAAGTACCTGGCGAACGCTCTCGACAACATGGCCGACTTCCCCTTCACCGACCCAGAAGAGGCGCGATGGGCGGGCCCGGCTCTGTTTGTTAGAGGCACCAAGAGCCATTATGTGGCTGATGAGACACTGCCCATCATTGGAAGATTCTTCCCAAGATTCGAGATTGCAGATGTCGACAGCGGTCATTGGGTCATCAGCGAGAAGCCTCAGGAGTTCAGAAACGGTATGTCGAAACGCCGTATATGGATACGTCATGAGCTGATTTATGTGATTANNGCTGTCGTTGAGTTTTTGCAGGACAAAGAGTAGATTTAGCATGTGACAATCAATTCCATTCGAACAATAGACTGTGTTACAGATCACTAGAGGATTCGTGCAGGCAGGAGAATTGTGGAGGGTGTGAATGTGCGTGGTATCATAAAAATTGAAATTGGAAAATTCGGAAGGCTTTTGACGATTCTTTTTTTGCCATGAAAAGTAGCTAACACGAAGATGCCTAGAGCATTCCTTTTCCACGTCGAACGCCGGGCAGCAACGTGTCACGCAGACCCCAACCCATCTTGTCCCATTCATCAAATGCTTACACGCTCTCGAGGACGGTCTCCTTGAACTCGCGCTCAACNCTGTAACGGGTCAGTATTGGACAGAGGGTGTAGTGAAATGTCGGGGCTGAACACACCTTCTGGCCGGACTCGTCGGTGTTGGACTCGCCGTGGAGGTTGAGGAGAGCACCGAGGTCGAACTTGGGTGCCTTGAGGAGCTTGACCTTGCGGACGTGGACGTTCTGGAGAGGGTAGATGCCCTGGGTGGACTTCTCGATCTCGCGGCCGATGACCTCGGGGATGAGCTTCTGGGTAAGCTGGGCGAGNGTGCAGCTGCTGGCCTCACGCTGCATGATGTCGGTCATCTTCTTGCGGATTTGTCTGATTTGCGAGCTGCGGGCGTATGTGGTCTTCTTGATCTGGTTGGGGCGTCTCTTGGTGAAGGCGATGCAGAACAGACGGAGGAGGTAGTCATCGGTGGTCTTGACGACGACGTTGGCCTCAATCAGGGACTGCCACTTGCGGACGAGCGAGCGCAGCTTGTCGGAGGTGAAGTCGAGACCGTGGAAGTTGGTCAGGCAGTTCTTGCCCTGAACCTCGTCGACTCTCAGGCGGACCTTGCGGAAGGAGTGGTCCTCATCCTTCTGGAGATCGGCGAGCGAAACCTCGAAGATACGGCCCTTGAGAGCGTCGTTGGCGTTCTTGAGACCGGTGGTGCGGTTGACGAGGGTCTTGCCAACNACTTGGAGTGTGTTAGTAAAAGTTTTTTCGTTCCGTCCAGTGGCGGGCGCAGATCGGATTGGCGTATGAACGTACTCTCTGATGGCGAAGGTGGAAGGGGCCTTGAGGTTGTACCAGTCCTTCTTGGCGAAGCTATAGGCGAAGTCGTGTCAGTCAAAAGGCTCGTGTATTGGTATGCGCGCAGGCATGGTGTGTGTGTTGATGGGGGCCATGGGCCTCGATGTCGGGTGGTGCAGCGAATCGTCCTCACTCACGGGNTCGGTGCGCTTCTTCAAGCCCTTCTTGCCCTTTGACAATCTCTTGTTCTTGCCGACAGCCATGTTTGCGTCTCTGTATGGCAATTAAAGATGGTGTGGAAAAGGTCGTCGCGTTCAAAAGAAAGGTCCAACCAAAGTGCGCAACTTCCTTGAATGAATTTGGTTGTGCGGCGTCGCTTCCCTGGGTTTTCCCGTGATCGCCAAGACCGACGAAAAAGCTCGGCCCTTCGGTGCCCTTCTCCAGCCATCCTCCAACCACTTCACTATTGTCATTCGACCTATTAGTACTGATGTTGTAGAAGGAAATGTCCACTTCCCCGACACTCTCATCGATCAAACGAGTCTCTGATGTCTCGAGAAATTTACAAAGGTGGGGGACGATGCTGCCGTATTTGCTCTGCCTGGCCTCCACAGAATCATTGGACCCTGACCAGCATCAACTACAGCATCAACTACTTGAATATCTTCTTATCGAGATTTCTCTTCCCTATGTGCAAAAGTATGTGATTCATGTAATTGTCACAATACACAACAGGCTTCGGAAACCGGTTGATATCTACCGAGGCGCTAGAATTCAAAGACTCTCTTTGGCTACATCTTGGATACAAAAACCTTCACGCCTTTTCATAGTCAACAGCCCGATTCATGGCGCCTTGGAAAGGAAGAAGGTTATTGACTTTGTACACTGGGAGATTGTACAGAGGTTTTACAGTATATCGCCAATGAACATTGTTGCAGCATAATGCAGAGTACTTCACTGTCTTCCGAGTACTTGTTCGTAGCGGTCACGCTTCTCTAGAAAATGGTAGAGAAACAAGGCAATGAACTTTGACCATGTATCCTGCGTCTCTTAGATTGCCTGATCGTGTGAAAAACATGCCGTAATAAGCAATATCACGCCGACGTGTTCGTTTCACATCCTAAAGATTGTTGAGTTGAATTGTAGTTTCGACATGAGCCTTGTAGCCTCCTGATCCCCATGACCCCATCCAGCGGCGCCTATGATAAACTCCAGTAAAACCCAATGCCGAGAAAGCAAGACGCCAGGAATCCCATAATGAGCTTCTTGTCCAACCTCGACCCAAGTCCAGTATTCAGTCCTTGCCTTTCACGTCCTCGCTGAGCGCGCGAAGAGCGCGAGACCCAGCCGCAATCCAGAGGATACGGTGTTATCGAGTTTCCAGAGGTGTTCCCGATAGTGTTGTGACCGTCGCGACTCTCCTACATGACAATGCAGTTCTTGCCCTCCTTGGGCTGACCAGCTTCCTGGCCCTTCTCGATCTCGGCGACCATACCCTCAAAGGCCTTGCCGACATTCTCATTGAATCTGGCGCTTGCTTCTGTCCAACCGCAATTAAGTTCCTCGGCCAGCTTTCGGCCATCTTCAGCCTTGACTTGACGTTGCTCCGGTCGAAGATCGGACTTGTTACCGACAATGATCAATGGGACGGACTCGGCACCCTACAGTGTCATGTCAGAGAAGTTTGAATTGACAGGCGATTGGGTTGGGCATACCATGTGGTTCAGAATCTTGTCGCGGATGATTCTCACCATCTCGAAGCTCTGCTTGCTCCCGACGCTGTAGACAATCATGTATCCATGAATGCCAATGAAGTGCTTGCTGTTCAGAATGGTATATTCGTCCNNTTTGGAACTTGACTATCAGCATGACTCTCATGATGCTTCCATGATCTCGTCGAAGCGTACCTGTCCAGCTGTGTCGATGATTTCTACAGCAAAGTCTTGGTTCTTGTGCTTGATGACCTTGGAGAAGGTGTTCTCAATGGTGGGGTAGTATGAATCGACGAAGTGACCGTCGACGAACTGCACGGTCATCGAGCTCTTGCCNTGAGACGTGTCAGTTTCTGGCTTCAGTCGTGGCATGGCTATCAACGACGTACCCACGGATCTGCTGCCGACGATGGCCATCTTTCGCTGCTTCTGTTGTGGGGGCATTGTGTCCGGGCTCTTTCTGTTGCAACGCGACGAGTGCGGCGGTGCGTTACAATCCAAGTGTGAAGTGGTCGATTCAATGAGAGGCAAGCTGATTGATTCGTGTCACTGTTATGATGAAGTGCAGGATTCGTGGTATCGTTGGTCGTCTCGTGTCCAGGGCAAAGGCTTTGATGGCGCAGGAGCGTGTTGTAGTGGCAAGCGTCTGCTGTGAGCTGCAGGTGGCAGAAGGGACCTCGTTCTCGTTATACTCCCTACGTTAGGTTTCGAACTAGTCGGCGATGATCTGCTCTTTTGGATGAACAAAACAAGTCTGGGGCCTCGCAGCCGATTGGCGGCGCTACTGGGGGAGCGGTGACGAAAGTCTAACCGCTTGTTTGTAGTCAGGACAGGACTCCATTACTCGATCGAAATTGCACTCTTGCTCACCATCGTTTATATGTTCTGTGAGTACCGTCTATTTTACCATCATATGCTTATGCTTGTGGTTCACTTTTCTATTGTCGCTCACCTTGGCTCGACTTCACCTGGTCGTTGAGCACTGCAAGCCTGATACACTGTTCAACGTGCTTATACGACGTTTCGATTATCTAATGGGATACGTTCTAATGGGTATCATGCTGGCTGTTGCCATGTCTCATCTTCTGTTGCTTACACACCATCGCGTAGACGAGCGACGAGAGCCTGGAGCTTCTGCGTAAATCCTGACGATATATCTCCCTTCTCCTCTGCGATTTGGCTATCCACTTGTTGGCTCATGAGAGCGATACCTTCGACAGCATCCACAAGGGCGTTTGCATTGCCGCCTGGCAGCCAGTTACTTACCTGTGCCCTGATAGCCCTGTCCAAGCAGATGTATCCGAGGAGAACTGATAGCCAAGCATACGGAATGTTGGCTTGCATCTCTTCTTCCGACTGACTCTCGGCCGCTTTCTTCTGACCTTTGATGAAAATATCCACTAGTGCAGCAAGCCCTTCATCTTTGACGAAAGCAGCGCGTTCGCGTGCAAGCGCACTCACTCTGGTCAGATTGATCATCAGTCCGAGAGCGAGAACCAAAAGATCATAGTCGGAGCCCAGCTCCACTTCGACCGTCGTCTTGCGCGAGTTGAAGCCATCAATGATCAACGACACAATCAGCTGTATAGTATGAGGTTCACAGAACACACTGCTATTGTCTTTGTTGTCGTTGGTCACAGAACAGCAAAATTGTAGGGCAAGTTCCTGTGAACGGTTTGGCATACTAAGGAACTGGGGCAGAGCGGCTGCAAGTTGTCTAAGTGTTTCGACTGACCAAACGTCCGATGATGCGCTGTCCACGTCGACAGTAGTAGCGGCCTCGAGAGCAGATAGTGCCCGATTGGTAATTGCTTGTGAGACATGTTCAGACCCGGATGCATGGCTGGTGGCTAAGCTGACGAGCTTGGATGCGGTATGGGAAGAAAGGATGGTGCCACTGTGCTTGTTGCACCTGTGGGCCACAGCTATGCAGTTGATGCTCAGAAGAGCGATCGAACTAGGAGACAGATACTCCGGTGAGCACTCTTCCCAGTTGTCAGCAGACTTGACCTTTTCCATCAGCTCAAGGTAATCAGACTGTGCCACCTTGGACATGTTGCTTTTTCTGTCTCGTGCGATCTGGTTGATATCCTTGGTTTCGTCCAGATATGAGGCGAGGAAGTCCATAACACCTCCCTGGAGAAGTGTAGCGGACGCCTGTGCTATCCGGGTAAGAATGACACACAGCAACATATCAGCTAGCACATCCATGCCAGCATACTGGAATTGAGCAACTATGCTCGCATCAAACCCATTTTCGATGAAGCGAGAAACGAAATCACTGTCGGTAAGTGTACCACAGAGCTCCATGAGTGCCATGCGCCTTTGCGATCGAGTTGATGGCTTTGGGCTCTTGATATCGTCAACAAGACGTGTAACATCGTCCAGAAATCTGCTCTTGTGCCCGGCTGCCCGAAGATCGTGTATGCTTCGAATGCCTTGTAAAGACTCTTCGTCCGACTCGTTGTTGGCACTAGCCTTGGACTTTGACGTCGTTCTCGGAGAAACTTTGATTCGTCGGGCGCTTGCTATGGGCCGTTCAGTCGCGTCAATGGGCAGATCACCAAAGATCATGTCTTCGAGACTGTCCTGCAAATATGTTCGCGACCGAGCGTAGGTCACCTTGTTGATGCTTTGGCTAGTTGATGATAGCTGTGGTTGTTCTTGGCTGTGCGACTGAGAGCGCTGCGTAACTTCGTGGGGACCAGACTGTGCGGAAGTTCTTGATGCTTCTAGGTTGGAAGTTCCTTCCAGCGGCTCATTTTCTTCATCCTCGGAGCTCTCGTCGCTACTGCGAGCAGAAACAGCCTTTCCTTTCAGACGATCGACAATACGAGCCTTGGTTGCGCCCGAAATTGGAGCCTTGTGAGCCTGTGGTGTTGATACATCTGGCCGAGTCAGACTACGGTTCGACCCGAAATGTATGGAACTGAGAGTCGAGTTTTGGACGCCTTCGTCGGGAGGATCTGAGAGAAGCAGCTCGTGCCACAGCTTCTTCTGCTTTGGTGTTGTGGAAATGCTCGATATCGTATCTGCCGGACTGGTTGGTGAAGCGACCACTGGAGATAGCGGACAGACAGACTTTGCGAATGAACCCGCGGAGTGTGTTGCCCGCATCGCATAACGATCGGTTTCGTGCGACGATGGAGCTGAGGTAGGAGAAGTTTTGACAGCAACTTGCCTCCTAGAGCGGCGCAGGTGGGCAGAGTCACCAGCGATCTTCTCAGTCTCTGGTCTAACCTGCTGTGTCTTGATGGCCTTTGCGATAGGCCGGACGACCGAGGACTGGACGGCCTGTGATATGGTTCTTTTGCGCTTGCGCGGTGAGGCGGAATCTAGATCACCATTGCCGGGGCCATTGGCATCGTCGCCAGCAGCGACTGGACTTGTCTTGGCCAGAGAGTGATAGGACTTCTTCGACTTGGAGGGTATGGGCTTTGCTTCATCGTCAGACACTGGTACGTCGAATTCATCGTCTGCATCCTTAGTCGTTCTGATGGCACTAGCAGTTGGTCGCTTCAGCTTGGAGGGCGAAGTGGTGTTCTTGGACTCGTCGTAAAAGGATCTCGCACTGGTTGCTGAGAAGGTCGGGTTGCGCGCAGGTCTCCCATAGGTAACAACAGGTCTCTTGCGACGGTCACCATTGGCATAGCTCGCTGGGAGTGTCGTCATGGCGAGAAGCGGCTGGTAGGAGCTGGAACTGGAATAGAAAAGTTGATTCAGAAGAAAGAGTGTATCATTAGATTGAGAGAATTCAAGGTGGCTGTTGAGATGACATTTGAGAAGAGGAGGGTGTTTTTGAAACTCTGGTCGTTCGACTCGGCAAGTGGAGTTGTTGACGGCAGTGATGGCGGTGTGCGGGGGGGATTAGATACGATGCTTCATAGTGTAGTTGGAGGCGATTGGTGATGCGACAAGAACCATGTGAAGCGGGTTTCGATGCGATCAGACGGGCATGGTTGGTAAAGGATGGCGCAAACGGACATCCACAAAGTTGCAGGTCGCCACGACAAGCCAAACGACGGGGTGACGAGGGCGCTTCAGTTCTTTGGACGACGGTCGGCGACAGGGTCCTTTCAGCCTCTAGCGGCAGGGCAACCACTCACTTGGAAGTTGGCCGCTCTGCGGGGCACACGACACTGGTGCTCGGACGCCGCAACTGATAAGAAAGTTCCTATCCACTTATCAGCTCCCACTCCGTCCCTTGACCGATACCTGTCTTGCTCCTACCTCTTGCTCTCTTCTTGCTCCTTCTCTTTTGCTCCTCTTCTGCTGCTGCACCATGTCAGACAAGGCCGCCCCTTCCCAATGCCTGGGTCCAAACTACCGCTCCGAGGGTGAAAAGCCCACAGCGACCGTATCGAAGAAAGTCCGCCATGACAACGTCCACGTCCTACCGCAGACGCCCCAGCTCATTGCTCTGCTGACGTAGGTGTGTCCCTTGTTGAAGACGTCCCGAGCCACTCCCCGCCAACTCCTTGAGCAGTNNATGATCCGCGACCACCGCACCAACCGTGCCGATTTCATCTTCTACTCGAACCGCATCATCCGTCTGCTGGTCGAAGAAGGTCTGAACCACCTACCCGTCATCCAGCAAGAGATCACCACGCCCGTCGGCCGTCATTACAATGGTGTCAAGTTTGAGGGAAAGATCTGCGGTGTCAGCATCATGCGCGCCGGCGAATCCATGGAGCAGGGCCTCCGTGATTGCTGCAGAAGCGTACGCATCGGCAAGATCCTGATCCAGAGAGACGAGGAGACGAGCCAGCCTCGTCTTTTCTACGAGAAGCTGCCCGAAGACATCAAGGACAGATGGGTCCTCTTATTAGACCCCATGCTCGCTACCGGTGCGCACCAACTTACATCCTCGTTTGTCCTCACTGACGTGCATCTAGGCGGGTCTGCTCTGATGGCTGTCGAGGTACTGAGACAAAAGGGTGTGCCGGAGGATCGCATCCTCTTCCTCAATCTCATCGCCAGCCCAGAAGGTGCCGACAACTTTGCAGAGAAGTTCCCCAAGGTGAGAATCGTCACCGCCTTCATCGATGAAGGCTTGGATGAGAAGAAGTACGTCAAAATCGGTTCCTCGTTTTGAAAAAGGTGCTAATCGTGTGACTNNAGCTACATCGTCCCAGGTCTCGGAGACTTTGGAGATCGATTCTACACCCTTTAGAGTTGGTTATTGGCCAAGTCTGCCCTCCATAGTACAGGCGCTTATCACCCTAGGCTCAATCCATATTATGAATCCCATGCTATGCACTTCTGTGTCAATCCGTGTGTTGCGCCAAGCGCCTTGGTGTATCGTGCCGTAAACTCCTCTCCGTATCAAAGCTCGGAGGCCCCCGGGCTGTAAACCTGCCGCTCGCTTTGTGTGCTCGCGCGGTGCTGAATATTGCTCTTTGTCCCGTTTGCGTTTTTACTCTTCGGCGTACTCTGCCTCTGCGTCAAGCTCGTCGTCGTCGATGAAGCCGTCGTCGGCTGCGGTATTGGCGGCAGTGCCTTGAGCGGTCTGCGAGCGTGATTGTGATGCAGTACCACTGTACATGTCTCTTCTCGGCTGCGAAGTGCCGGACTGTTTGGCTACAGAATCACAAGCATCCACCCACTCATAGTAAACATCGATAGGTGCGCTGAGGTCTGTAAGAGAGACGTTGTTAGACCCTCCGCACGTTGCGACTCTTCTCTTTATTCCTCGGGACGTACAATTGACAACACATTGGAATGTTTGGCCGCAGACCTTGCAGGTCAGTTCGCCTGTGCTGGCCTTCTTGTCGATCTTGACCGAGACTGAGTTCTCGTGGTTGCAGAACAGGCATTGGAAGGTAGTAGATAGTGCCTCGCGCNNTGTCGCGGTATTAGTCGTGTGCTCGATGGGCTCAAGTGCTACATGCGGTGTGCGCACCTTCTTCTTGCCCTCTGGCTTGCTCGCTGACTTGCGTTTACCCTGATTCGTATGAGCTTGTGTCGCTTTGTCTCGAACAGACTGGATTATTACCATGATAGATGTGTCTGATGTGCGTGAGTGAGTCGCAAGTTCGAACAAAGTTTCGCAAGGTTCAAATGGATGAGAAACCGACACCCTGACGTCGCGTCACACATCGGCGTTTAGGCTCGTTGCCGCCGTGATTTTCACATGCCTGCCTCTGCGAGGGGCAACACAGCCACCCCACTTGGTCTCATGGCATGTACAAGTATTCAAAACAACAAACTCTTTAGGGATGCTTGTGCGACTAAAGGGGTGTGTTGCTCAGAGATCTGAAGACTCTAAACTAGGGTGTGATCAATCCCTTCTTGTGTCATGGTCCAAGGAGCGAATGTTGACTGGGGTGATAAGAGTCGGAGCTGAGCGGTCGGCCGTTGGTCCTGCCTTCTCTCGTCGCTTGAACACGTGTGTTATCTACTCGGTCTAACTATCCTTGGTGGCCGTATCTACACGTACAGTAGTGGACCTTGCCCGAGGGCATGATCGCCTGTGGGATATGAGGAAGGCAGGTACCCGATATCCATTAGGTGACCTTATCGTGATCACATGTCCCTCAATCGCGGGGAATGATCATCACAAGTAGTCGGCAACCTTTCTTATATCAAGACACAGGCACACCCAATTTCTGATCTCTATCTCTCTGGATATAATTATTGGTACCCCCAGCAACTAACAACCTCTTCTAAACCATGGAAAAGACCAACGGCACCGGCGGTAGATGCTGCCGTTCTGCAAGAAATCCTAGCCAGTCTCAAAACCATCCAGCACGAGAACACTCATCTTGCTGCTGCTGTTGATGCCATCAACGGCCGAGTCAATATTCTTGCTGGAGTCAAGCAAGTGAAAGACTTGACTGTTGATCCTACTGCTGTTGAACACAACAAGCAGCATCAGGCAGATCCTGTGGTTCACACTGATCCCGAGAGTACACCTTCAAGTCCCAATCTGCCGACCGCACCAGATACTGGTCGTAGATCGAGTATGACCTCCAAAATCATTCTTACCTCATACCCAGGTCAGGCCGGTGTTGATCCTCTGCCTATGGATTGGGGCAACAAGGACCCATCCCTTCGAGGTCCCGTGGTTGTTTCCAAGAAACCCAAGCTCAATTCGAAGACGTAATGCTATTGGCGCACACGGCGGTTCCTACGCGATATGTACGTATACTCAACCTCTTTCCGTTCTGTCTCATGTCAATCTTGTCGCTGGCGTACATGTCCTGTCAATGTTATGGCCATTCCCTTTTCGTATACTTGACTGTTCCGAGACGTGGTCTCTCGAACGTTGATGTCCGAAGGGTCCTGTAGGAGCTAGACACACCGCTGGGATCCGGTTCATCATACACTCTAGGGTTTATGCTAATCGCCGTTCTACATGCAGATAATGCCCTCGCAGTAGCGAGCAAGAATCTCAATACTGACCACCGACCGGACTTTACGAACACCGAGCCAGCTGCCAATATTGGACCATTCCCTCAGTGGTCAGATCCCAGGAAGATTGTTGCCATGGATCCGTTAGGTAAGTGACGCGGCGATAACGAGATCTAGCTGTCACACTCCAATGCTATTCAAGCAGCTAGCAGCATGCGGCGAGAATCTATCTCTGCTACTCGATGCTGGACGACGCTTTCCAATGTGACAGGGTAGATCCTAATGCTTGTTGTGATTTTGTGGCCGTGTATGGATTTTTATATAGAAACCATGCTGACTGTACACTTACTTGGCAGGTCATCTTTCCCCTTGGCTATTCAAAGATATCATCCAAAAGAAGATGTCGATATACGGCCAACAATCGCGATCACGAAAGCACACATGAAGGTCCCTGAACTTGAAGAGAGTGTCAAAGCAGGTAGACTGGTACCAGATGGCAAGATATGTCTCAACGCATCAGGAGAACTTGCAGTGACGAAGTTTGCTGTGGAGCCAGTTTGGTACCTGCCTGGAGTTGCGGAACGATTCGGTATTGACGAAGGGACTCTCAGACGTTCTCTGTTCGAGCAAACCGGAGGTTCATACCCTGAGCTCATCACGCGAGGAGACATCAAGACTTTCTTGCCTCCAATTGGAGGACTGACTGTGTACTGCTTCGGTGATCCTGCAAAAATGTCTGACCCCAACGTCAAGCTTGCTCTACGTATTCACGACGAATGTAATGGTAAGTCAGGCTCTCAATAAAGGCCTCCAACCTTCTGGATGATACTTTGTAATGCGACCATTGTTGCAGTATACCATTGGTCGTACAAGAAACATGCTAATTGTATCATTAACCTCTAGGCTCAGATGTGTTCGGCTCAGACATCTGTACATGCCGACCTTATCTGACGTTTGGTATCGAAGAAGCAGTCAAAGAGGCTCAAAAGGGTGGTTCAGGAGTTGTCATATATTTCCGCAAGGAAGGCAGGGCTCTTGGAGAGGTTGGTACCTCAATGAACTCGTTACATTGTAAGAGGATGCTGACAGCCACAGGTCACCAAATATCTTGTATACAACGCAAGAAAACGTGGCGCCGACCGTGCAAGCGAATACTTCAAACGTACTGAGAATATTGCCGGCGTGAAGGACATGCGCTTCCAAGTGGGAATTCATCGCTTGTCCGTTCACGACGATCCAGACTGACATGACAAATCCAGGCGCTTATGCCAGATATCTTGCATTGGCTCGGTATCACCAAAATTGATCGAATGTTTGTGTTTCTCCATCCATCTTCTTTTCTACTTCCAAAGCAGACATCTTGCTAACACTGTTTTGCTTTAGGTTGAGCATGTCGAAGTAAGTCGATGGCCCCCTCCTGATTTTGTCCCATAAATCTACTGATTTTATCGAATGTGCGTGGCTAACTGACGGTGTAGTATGAAAGTAAGTCTCCTGCTCCTTCGAGCCGTGTAACTGTTCTCATGAGAAGAATATCCTTAGTCCTTCGCCAAACCCATGATCTCATAGCTGACGACTTCTGTAGCACGATGCCATCGTTGAACAGGGCATTCCGATTCACGAGCGAGTTGAGCTGCCTGACGAAATGATCCCTGCCGACAGCAGAGTAGAGATTGATGCCAAGATAGCTGCAGGATATTTCACCAACGGCAGCGTGATGACGATGGACGAGCTGTCGAACGTTCAAGGTCGCGCTTGGGAGGATGTCGATGTAAGCGTGTACAGCTTTGGTTATGACACTCTGCTGACCGTTTCTCTAGCACTGATCACAGCCCACAAGTCTTTTTCTTTCTCAATTTTGCTGATTCACGTCCCAGGATGGTTATGGAATTATATGCATGCATGATGGGGTACATCATCTTCGCGTTGACCGGATCTCTCCTGCATTGGTACCTCTCAACCGCTGGTTTCCTGCTAGAAAAGGAATGTAGACTTGTTCTCTTAGAAGTACAACATGGCTTACTCATTTCATTCCGCTCATTCGATCTTCTCCTACATTAGTGTCCAGACACAAGATGAGCAACGTGAGCTGTGAAAACGCAAGGCCCTCTCTTGCCGTAAAGTCGCAATCAGTGAGACTTTCTCGAGCCACTGTGCTCTTCGCGAGCAGCTCCGCTTGCTACGAAAGGATTGTGCATCTTCAGCATGTGAGTAGGTTTGACCTTCTCTAGTATGGGATCGCTGCGTGAATTACCGACTCGGGCAGGCGATTTGCCGTAGGAACGGCCCGCCAGCAGACTCCACGCACATCGCAGGTTGCATGGGACATTGGGACGGCAGCCATGTGTAGGGGAATCAGAATGCGTGCTCATCCGATCGATGTTTACCCAGTACATGCAACAGGAAATGCGCTGGCACGCTTTCTTCAAGCCTCCGACCGTGCCCCAGTATCGGTCTCTTCACACTGCTTCGACTCGTAGGACTGTTCGCATATTTATCCATGCGACCGGGCAACGATATACTGCTCTGCATGATTTAGGCGAGGCTCATCAGGCCGCTACAGTACACCGAGGTGTCATCTGCCTGATTGCGAGCCACATAAACTCGAACACGTCGGTGAGATTGTGGGGTCGATAAAACAAAGCACATAACAACAGCAACGACCTCAACCATGTTCACCCAGGTGTCCTAGAGTTGCGCGAACACTTGCTAGTAAGCGGATCCGAAATGCCCCATACGCAGAGGAAACGGTCACAGCCACAGCCACACCGCTGGGCGGGCGCGCTGGGCGGAACATCGGCCGTCCCTGCAAGTCTGCCAGGTTCCTGGGTCAAGATTGGGCACCGTTACTATGCTGTGGGTTGTTAGCCCCATTTCTGGTGGTGGCCTGTCAGTGTGGTGGGATCGAGGTACAGTGGCCGCGGGTACTTAACGGTCTGGCCGATGAGCAAGAGGGCATTCCGCGAATGGGCTCCATAGGCTCAAGTCAAAGCCATCATCCACGTAGATAGACTGACTAGCAGGCAACTATCGACTCAGGAAAGGTTCACGCAACCAGTGCTGAAGAGGCCCCTGTGTAGAGCTAGGCCCCGCAGGTACGCGAGGCGTCACCATGACTGTGCGGTACTGTCTCCTCGGTCTTCTCTACCGGAGAGTATACAAAGCAGCGCCACCCAACTACGTCCCCCTCACTTGCCAGCCCAATCCTTGAATTTCTTGTATCTCTCACGCGACCTCGGACAAATTGCTACTATTTGATATAGTCTCGAGTCCTCTCTGAACAAACACAGAGCCCTTCAAGAGTAGACCGACATTTACATTGATTATCATAACCATCTCTACCTCTCAAATCGTCTATTATGGCTAGGGAATCTCAACGCTCGTCGTCGTCATCATCATCAACATCCAGCATATTCATTCGCGGACCTTTCACAAGATCAACCACCAGCCCGCCATCTCTAAATAGGCAGAACTCGCATACTGCCCGTCAGGAATGCAGTGTATCGCCACAAGGCGGAGCGACCTCTCTTNTGTTCAAGGTGGCATCTGCTTCTCTTAGGACTTCTCCCAGAAACAGTCCACCAACGTCTCCAAGGCAGTGTCCTGTGGATGTGCAAGAAGTGCAGTGGGATGTGCTAAGCCGTCGACTATCCGAAAACCGGCATGGTGAGCAACTCCGATAAATAGTGATCAAGCATAGTATTGACGCAAAACAGNAGGGCTATGTCAGCTTTCCGGATTTTGACCGCTTGTGTGAGCCTAACGACCATAAGTCCGGACGTGATGGCCCTCAAGATGGTTGAAGGGAGGATTTGTCACGATGCCTCAAGAGGCAATTGAAGTAACCATCGTCGCCATGAGTCCAACCAGAACGGCATGTCAGCCTCTTGCAAACCACTCCCAAGAGGCTTGCTCAAGAAGCATTGTGAAAGCAGCTTCTCTCCGGCCATCACAGAACCAAAGTGGCCGGGAGGCTAGTTCGTTGCGAGTACACAGACAAGTGATGGCTCGCGTGAGCTTTCTGGATCAAGGCGTGTTCAAGAGTGTCTTGACCAATGGCACAAGTCATGTGAGAAATCAAGCCCGAACGATGACTAAAGGGTGCGGTTGCAGGAAGAAAGATGCTGGCGAACGAAGCAGTAGGAGTGGGAAGGCCTGGGTTGTGACTTCAGAGCGCGAGAGGATCGGATGGTTTTAAGCAGTTACTGTACCCAGCATAGAAGTAAAGGAACATTGCAAGTTTCGTGGAGAAGGTCCTCGATGCCAGATGATACGGCGTGTTGGCAACGTGCTGACGTTGTTGACGTTGACAACGTTGACTCGGACAAGGGCGACGCATGAGTCAAGTTTTGGGACCCCTCCAGGCGCAAACGAAAGAGAAGGCTGAGCTGTCCACCAAACTTGATCAAACACTCAATACGCACAACCATGTTGGACATCAACGACTTTATCGCCGAGCGCGGCGGCGACGTGANNAAAAAGATCAAGGAGAGTCAGCGTAGACGCCACGCTCCCGAAGAGGTCGTCGACGAGGTCATTCATATGTTCGAGGACCACAGAAAATGTGGGTTGTCTCGTGTCACTGCGTGTCCAGTGAGTGCTGCTGACACCGTCTCTCTGTACAGCCNNCAATATGCCGCCAACCAGATCAAGACCGAGATCAACGCACTGCAGAAAGAGATTGGACAGATCAAGAAGGCCAAGGGCAACGCCGACGATTTGCTCAAGAAAAAGGACGAGCTGCAGGTCCGTCACAAGCAGCAGGAGGAGACGACCAAGGACATGCACGCTGCTCTGCTCAAGAAGGCAAAGTCGATTGGCAACTACGTCCACGACTCTGTGCCCATCAGCGACAACGAGGACAACAACCAATTGATCCGTGACTGGACCCCTGAGGGCGTCGAGGTCGCCAAGAAGGACTGCCTGTCCCACCACGAGGTGCTCACCCGTCTGGACGGCTACGATCCCGAGCGCGGTGTCAAGGTCGCTGGCCACAGAGGCTACTGCTTGACTGGCTACGGTCTCTTCCTCAACCTCGCCCTGATCAACTATGGTCTCGAGTTTCTGTTCAACAAGGGCTACAAGCCCAACATGCCTCCTTTCTTCATGAACCGCGAAGCTATGGCAAAGACTGCCCAGCTCGAGCAGTTCGACGAGGAATTGTACAAGGTCACCGAGGATGGCTCCAAGGATACCGACAAGTACCTGATCGCAACCTCCGAGCAGCCCCTGTCCGCTCTCCACGAGGCCGAGTGGCTACAAGACAAGGACCTGCCCATCAAGTACGCTGGTTACAGCACCTGCTTCAGAAAAGAGGCCGGTTCTCACGGCAAGGATGCCTGGGGCATCTTCCGTGTCCACCAGTTCGAGAAGGTAATCGGGTTCATCTGAAACTTCGCTGTCATGCTCAGACTAACTAAATCTACCTCTAGANTCGAGCAGTTCATTTTCTGCAAGCCCGAAGAATCATGGGAGCACTTCGACCGCATGATCGACACCTCCGAAGAGTTCTACAAGTCCCTCGGCCTTCCCTACCGCGTCGTCGCCATTGTTTCTGGTGCTCTCAACAACGCCGCCTCGAAGAAGTATGATCTCGAGGCTTGGTTCNCCTTCCAGGGCGAGTACAAGGAGCTTGTTTCATGCTCCAACTGTCTCGATTACCAGACCCGCGAGCTCGAGATTCGTTATGGCCAGAAGAAGCAGACCGACTCGAGCTACCAAAAGTCTTATGTCCACGCCCTCAACTCTACCCTCTGTGCTACCGAGAGAGCTTTGTGCTGTGTCCTTGAGAACTACCAGACCGAGGATGGCATCAACGTTCCCAAGGTCTTGCAGAAGTATATTCCTGGCCAGCCCGAGTTCCTTCCCTTCACCAAGGAGCTTCCCAAGGACTCTACCAGCTTGAAGGCCAAGGGTGAGGCAAAGACTAAGGGAGGTGCTGCTCCTAAGCTTCCTGCTACCGGAGAACTGGCCGACCGCACCAAGAAATAAAGAAGATACCCTACGAAAAATGACGAACCCCATCTCAGCGTGGTGTTGAGCAAATCAAACAAGCAATTCACTACGAGTTTCTCTCTACGTATTTGGTCTGATGTTTTCGTCGTATTCCAGTCGGTCGATTACCGATCATTTACATAGAATCACGATCATTCATGTTAAGAGGGTAACCCTGTCTCCGTAGTATATATCTTACGACGACCACGAAACACTCAGTGGTCTGGGCTATAACACGTACAATTCCGTGGATATGATGACACTAGATTAGGCATTACATCTGTGGCCACCCAACGTGGCCCATAAGGATGTGCTTGGTCAACGATTAACATGCAACTCACGATACGAAATGTGAGCAACAGAAACATGTAGCGTTCCCAGTGGACAAGACATACCTACAGAAGCAAGTGGAGAGCAGTCTATCGAGTGAAGACAAAACTCTCTCCGCTTAAGTTTGGCAGGACTTTTATTGTTGAGAATACAGTGCCATCCGGATCTAGAAGGTAGACAGGGGAACATATTCGGAGACACTGTTTGATGCTCACCAGCCGCGGAAAAAACAAAGGTACTGTACCTTGAGCATATGTGAAATCGAGTCGTGCGTAATGCTTTGCGCATGTAAGTGTTCTATACAGTAAACTTATGGTCAACCACCTATCTATAAAAAGCAGGCAAGCATTCATCTGCCTCCTTAGCCTCAAATGCGCATGCTTTCTGCGATGAGCTTGTACTCCTTTCTCTTCTTTTGGTGACTCGGTCGCAGTCTGGCGTTGGCCTTGCCGATCCACTTGGCAAGAGGAGGGAAAACAACTCTTTCGGCAAGATACGAACAGGCAAATCCTCCGGTAGCGAGCACCAGAATGAAGATACGGAAGCTTGATGACATATCAGTCAGCTCCATCAGGCTGACAAGCCATGGAGCGGGGTCGAACAGCATATAGGCCGATACGCCAACTGCTACTACCATGGTGATAACGAAAGGCACTNNATAGATCTGTTAGTGGATGTCCTCGTTTGCACCTGGCAATCTAGACTTACGGTTCTGTGTCATGGATTGTCTGAAAGGAGGGCCGACACTGAGCACAATGGCGGAAAGTATGTACTGGAAGCAAGAGATCAGGAAGAGAGTTGTGTTTTGCGAGTTCTCCGAGTTCGAGTGTTCCTTGTCCAAGACTGGTGGCTGATACCAAGGTTGGCGTTGCACAATCTCCCAACCAACAAGTTGAGTCAAGACGCAAATGACAATCTGACCAAGTAGTGGGGTGAGGATTTTGCGCGAGACCAAGCTAGCGGTAGGTCTCTTCTTGGAGAGGACAGGGTAGGGACCGGTCCAGCCCATAAAAATGGCGATGGGAAGAATGAGGGCTAGATCGATGAACAGGAACTGGAAATCTCCAAGGTTAGACGCAGAAGCATAGAGGAAGCTCACAGAAGTGAACTGGATAGCCGAGTACAAGGACATGTACTTGAAACAGCTAAAACTTGTAACAAGCGCTCCTCTTCCTTCGCGAATCACCTCTGGTACACAAGAGATATCGAAAACGCGGCTGGTAAACGGCGCAGCAACCGAAGCTTCAGCCTCCGACAATGAAATGCCCACGTCGGCAGCTTTGAGAGCGCCACAGTCATTGGCACCGTCGCCACAGAAGCCACAGCAGTAATCAATGCTCTGAAGTTTCTCCACGAGTTCGTGCTTCTCGTCGGGCGACATACGCGCAAAGACTTGACCACAGACTAGCATCTCACGAAGAACCTTTGGCGAAGCAAAGTCAACAAGCCAGCGGAAAACATCACCACTGACTGCGATGGAATAATTGCGCAAGTTTGAGACGTCGTATGGCAAAGAGGAGTCGTGTTCGGCAGGCGGAGGCAAAGGTTTGAGGGTGTTGTCGTCTAGTTGATATGCTGGGTTATCCACACTTTCCCAGCTCAGACGGGAAAGTGCTGTACGTGAATCACCCTCGACGAAGTGAGGGACGAAACAATGAGCAGATCTATCGATCAAGTTGCACTCTCTGGCGACACTGATAGCAGTCAAAATGTTGTCTCCCGTGCACATAACGGTACGGATGTTGGCATCGCGGAGCTCCTCGATGATACCAGTCGTAGTGGGCTTGAGCTTGTTCTCGAAAATGATGAAACCGACAAACTCAAGGTTAGACTCGGCCTCCTCGCGCTTCATCTTTTGGACCTTCAACCAGTTGAGTTTGAAGATGTGTTTGGTTGCGCAAGCGATGACACGGAAACCACGGTGCGTATAGTAGCTAAGCAGCTCTTCATAGTCTGGTGGGAAGCTATCGGGACGGCAAATTTCCTTCATACACTCAGGAGCACCCTTGACGTAAACATTGCCGCTGGGGTCGCCAAACTGACGGACAATAACACTTGCACGTCTCAGCTGAGAAACGAATTCGAAAGATTTCAGCACTCCGAGTTCGATTGCTCGCTTGTTGTTGGGAGAGTTTTCATCTTCATCAAGGTCAAGTTCCATGCCAGGTGGGGGACGGGCTACGGATGGCGACAGGGAGTTTTGCTCATCTTCGTCGGTCGCACCAGGTCGTTCAGATCCCTCTTCGTATTGCCAGCCAGTGAACTGGAACATCTTGAGATCCAGAGGGTCACCAACAAACTCGTCGTCAACGATCCGCAAAGAGTGGCAGGTAGCCATAGTGTACAGGATCGCCTTGTTTGCATTGTAGTCGACAGTAGGGTCGCGCTCGTAGGTTGCACCAGGTAAAAGTGCAGTAGAATCGGTGAGAATGTCGCTGAATCTGTTCGCAGGTCTGTGTACCACGCGAGTGCCCAGTACATCGAGGCCGTCCTCGGTCAAGGTACCGGTCTTGTCGAAACAGACCACGTCGAGCTTACCACCAACGTTTACTCTTTGAGGACTGATGCAGAAGATGAACTTCTTCTTCAATCTGGACAGAGCAAAATTGGTGCCGATTGTCAGAGTGGCGGGTAGCGCAGGAGGAACAACGATGGTGATCAAGTCCAGAGCTCGGACGACGATGAGATGCCATTCAAGGCCGAGACGAACGAAATTGATGAACGAAGCCACGAAGCCAACCATGGCTATACCGGCCATGACCGCGATGTAGCGGAAGGAGTCTCGATAGAACTTGAATCCGGAAGGCTTGGGGAAAAGCATGGAGCGAACCAATGCACCTTTGGTGGTGTTGAAGCCAGTGCGAACGACTAGAGCCAGAGCAGCGGCTTCATCACTCTTGTCTTCTTGAGGTCTGCGAGCACGAATAATCTTGGTACCGCTAAACAAGAAGTTCCTTGCAACCTCAGGGTGGATGGAAGAAGCACTGAGATCAAGGAGTTCCAGTGACTCATTGGTGGTTGGGACTTTCGAGACCGGAACAGATTCTCCAGTAAGCATACTCTCGTTGACTATGCAGTCACCAGAAAGCAGAAGACTGTCACAAGGGAACTGTGTGAGGTTGGGATCCGTGATCTCGTAGACGTCTCCGGGGACCAGATCACTGGACTGGACATAGCGCCAGAATCCACTTCTAAGAACGCGGATATCGCACTCGAAGCGTGAGATCTCACGAAGACGTGCCATAGTTGCTCTAGTTTCGATGAGAGTCGAAGCGATACTCACGATCGAGATGATGAAGATACAGGCGGCGTAGTAGTAGTACTCATCCACAGACCAAAGCACCAGACTGGCGATCTGGAAGATGTAGAAGGGATGCAGAGCTTCGTCAACGAGGAGCTGACCGATCGACTTCTGCTCGATGTCGATCATATTCTTGCCGAAAATACGCTCGCGGGTTTCTTGCTCCTCACCGTCGATACCGGCACGTATGGTGACTACATCTGTCCAAGCAGGGTCTTGCCAGGTGTTTCCAAGAATGAACTTGTCCTTGAACGGGTGGAAGCAGAAACGAATATAGCGGTAGTCCATGATGCGGAGCTCGTCAAGAATTGGGTCGTTGTATTCATCGAATTCGCGCATCTTGCCCTTACCTGGCATGCCGAAGACCGAAGAAAGAGGCATGTCAAAACTCTGCTTGCTTAGCTGCTGGACAACCATTTCGTTCCATTGGTTTTCAATAACCAGCCAGTCACACTTATGCAGAGGGGTTGGGGAGCCAGTCAATCGTACGCGCCATCGGGGCAACCAGCGGAACAACAGAAAGCCAAGTCCAAGAGTGCAGAAGGAGATGCAGAGATAGATGGCGTAACCCAGGACAGAAGTCTTGAAACCAGCAACGACAATAGTCATATCCTCGTTCTGGATGTATATCTTCTGGCTCATCCTTCCGCCTGAGCCATAACCACTTCGAACGCTTCGGTCCGTATCCGAGGAGCGTCGACGTCGCAAAAGTGGACTGCGTGCCGATGATCGAGAATAGCCTGATGACTTGCGACTGTGTAAAGAGGGTCGATCGTTAGATTCCAGGTCCATCTCAGGCTCGGCAAAAGCATGGCCGTCCTCGGCATCAGCACGACCTTCCTCAATCTCAGCTTCCTCGTCGATGATAGCTTCTTCCTGGAGCCATTCCTCGTCCGAGATATCGCGGTCCTCGTCCTCATCGTCGTAGTAGGTAAAGCTTGTAGTCGAGTCTGCGCGTGAACGGCGGTGGGCAAAGGAGCTGTTGGCAGTAGGCACACTCTCGGACATGGGGCCTGAGAATATCTCGTCGTTGGCCATGCCGACATTGCTGAGGAAACTAACCCTGCTTCTGTGAGTACGAGCGGCATAGCGACTTGGCTACGAGGTACACTTACTCGCTCATGTTGGACTCGCGCCGATAAAAGTTATGGCGGCGGCTGGCCGTGTCGTCGTCGACAGTGACGGACGAACGCCGGCGACTGCGCGAACCGGTGCGCTCCATGAGGCCTGTTGTTTGTCGTAGCAGAGCGGCAGCAATGATCACTACTCGTGGGCAAGCAAGAGAGCAGACAAAGTCACGACGAGCAAAAAGAAAGCATTTCCAGCAAAGTCGCGCGGCAGACGGGTCGGCGGGCTGAATGACGATAGGCCTTCCTGTTCAGGAAATAATCCGGGGCCATCGTTTATTCAGAGCCGAAGCCTCCACAGGACGCGCTCTGTGCGCAATTCGACATTCACGCTCTCACGCCTCATGGCCTCAGTCATGAACGCATGGAACAGATGCCATGTTTAGCACGATCCTGTCCCTATTGACCTGGCCCATTCATGTAGCTTTGTCGACCATTTCTAGCATTCGTTATTCGTATGTACAAATCACCATCTGAACCATTTCACGCTGTAGCTGCAGTTGAATTTGGAACGTGAAATTTTTCGAGACGACGGGGACCAGTTAATCTCATCATGGCTATTGCGCCATGCCGGGAGGCTTTTGCGATTCTTTCGTGGACATGAAACTAGTCGGCAGCTTCCCTTCCCAGACTGAGAAAACGCCTTCCTTTTGAACCACTGGCTTTGTCATAGAGGCCAGGTTGACTGCAAACCAACACCGCTGCGACACTTGATCATGCTCGTTATCCCATCGAATCCGTCTTTGCCGCACTTATATCGAGGAAGGGTAAAGCATGACGCGGACGGTGGCACCGAACGAACGGGGAGGGAGGTTGTTGCGGAACTGAGCGCGGACGACACCAGAGTTGCCNTGTAAGTTTTGCGTCAGATGTGCTCCTTGACTCTTTCTGCTGTCCTGGGCATATGTACCGTGAGCGCGGGTGACCTTGCCCCACATGACTCTGATCTTGGAGCCGCGGACCTCCTTGGAGGCGCGGTAGACGAAGGCGACCTTCTTTCCGAGGTAGAAGCTGGCGGCCTTGGAGTCGTCGACACCCTCAATCTTGATCAAGCTGGTGTTGGGGTTGGTGTTGCGCTTGCCTCTCTGGTAGCTGAGGTGACGTCCCCTATGCGANTAGAGGTCAATATGGATTCTTTGCGCTGTGCGTCGCCTGCTTTGCCGTGGACCAAGGTGTTGTGTTTTAGGACATTGTTCGATGTGTACGGATCGTGATCGGTTCGTATGCAGCGAGGGAGTCGTAGAGGAAGGCGTGGCAGCGATTTGGGCTCTTTACTTACTTGACGTAGACTGGGATGTGTTAGCAGACATTTCTTTCGACACATTCAACATTCATCTGGCTGGCGGCATCTTCGCACGACCAGACTCCAGACTTGAGGGAAACTCACGGCGGTGACCTTGCTCGGATGGCATTTTGTGTCGATTTTGATTGTCCCGGCGAGTGTCGAGTAGGTGTTGTCGGTCGTCTCACGGTTAGTCGCTCCGTTCAGTGGAAGGGAATTCGAGCAGGCCGATTTCGTGTGGGCGTCAAAGTGCGCCGAGGACTTAGCCGGCTAGCGTCTTGGCGTTGAAGCCGCAACTCAAGTCTTTCTCACTCGCGCGCCTCATGCACAATGTTGCCCTCTCAATCGCTGCCGTTTCCTGTGAACATGTGGCTTTCGTTACATTGACACATATTAGTGTGTGACGACGACTGATCACCTGCCCCAGCTTGAGAGGTACGGTTGAGCTGTGAGGGTGAAGTATGCTTCACGTTACCCCAGCCCCCATGTGCTATAGACAGTTCTCACGATGGACCTCTCTCACTGGATGCTACATCTTTCTGGAAAGTATTGTGTATATTCGCTTACATTACTATCCAGCATTACAGCGGAAAAGTCGTAGTTCAATCGGCTCTGTTTGGAAGTATATCTGCATTCTACAGCTAGTTACTCTGTAACAGTCTTTGACAGACAAGAGGAGATACCACGGCGAGAACCATCTATCCACATTTACAGTAGACGTCCCCTTGCAACAGAAAGCGAACAAAGGTGAGACTCGAGAAAATTACTTATTTATTCTCGCATGAAGATACTGGTTTGCCTCCATGATAGTAAAACTGTTGGATACAGAGAGAGAAGACTTTTTCCTGAGCCTGTAACGACCTGCTGCAGCCACCAGATGCTGTTCTATCCTCTGCAGTCACTTTCAGAGTGACATGAGCGCAATGTGATGGTCCGATCCAGCCGACATCTGATGAACATCGGTAACGTGGGTGCACTGCAGACACTTAACACTCAGACTCGTCTTCCTCTTTGATCATCTCCGAAGTCTGTTCGTCCTCCTGATCAGGCTTGATGTTGTCAGAGACGACGTTGACGTTAGTAGCAGCAGCATCTTCATGTCCACCGAGAGTCTTGCTCATGGCGGTCTTCGTGGTGGACTTGACTGGGGTCTTGCGAGGACGGCCGGCCTTCTTGGGACTCTTGGTAGTCTCCTCTTCGTCTTCGTCCTCATTCTGTGCCTTGACGATGNNTTCTTGGCAGCCTTCTTGCGAAGAGTCTTGGGGGCGTCGTCGTCGTCGTCCTCATCCGTACCGGTGTTCTCTGCCTTGCGCTTGGGGGGACGGCCACCTTTGCCTTTGGGGATCTTGGGTGTCTTGGGAGTCGAAGGGACAGAGCTGNTCACCGCCAGTCAACAGAGCAGTGACACCAGTCTTGCCGCCGGCCTTCTCGATCTTCTTGAGGGAGTTGCGGTAAGAGACTTTCATGCTGTCGACACTGGCGGCGCCGTAAGCCTGAGTTGCCTTGTCCCAATCGACCNNTGAAGTACACTCTAGATCAGTAGCTGGAAGTGAATGGCATAATCAAGGATTTGGTTAACGCACGTCGTTCATATCATCAGAGCTGAGATACATGGCAAGGATACGGTCCTTCTCGACTTCGCTAAGGATAGCCTTGGCTGTGGCGTAGGAGTAAGACATGACCGGCGAAGCGTTGTGAGGAAGAAAAGGTTGAACGGGGACTGATGAAGAGGAGGGGTGATAGGCTTAGAGAAACTGTGCAACAAAAAGATACTGCGCGGTTTCTAGAAGGTGTTGAAGTGTTGGTGTTAATTGGAAAGGCACTGAATGGCGCGGATCTTGAGTGTCACTTTGTGTCTGAAACAAAGTGAAGTGGAGAAGAGGTGGGGAGAGCAGCAGAGTTACAATCAAAGGACCGTCTTGGTTTCGAGATCTGACACGGAGGGGAACCATGAGTCGAATTTGGACAGGTTTCCGAGACGATGTCAAATTTGAACAGGTTTCCGGGACGATACCACACATGAGCTGAAAAGTGAAGTCTGCAACACTTACTGAGCATACTACCACAGCTCTACATCAGACGTATCTGCATAATCCAGACACATCTCCAGCGGTTTCGAAGAGAGAAGATATTATACCTCTCCAGGTGCTGTGATCTCCTACCTCTGGCCATCCTCGTACTACGAGTATGCTTTGTAAGCATTTGGTCACGCCCCAACTACAGACGTGTCCAAGGAGAGTATGTAAATCGAAAACTTCCGGGAGTCGCCGCATGATGCTTACACGAGAGAGAAGTTCGTAGCATCGTTTCTTTCTTCTCTTTTTTTCTTTTTCTTCTCTTCTTATCTTTCTGCAGAAGGTTCTAAGCGCGTCGGCCTCGCTGAAAGCTTGAGAGATCAAGATCTAAGTGGTAGTAAGAGACAAGCCAGATCATTAGTAAAAGATGTTGCTCGTTCGTAGGGTGGTACAACCGTGCCAGAGATCATTCTAGCTGGAGGAGAGTCCATGAGAATCCAGCACAATAGTCAGACGAAATGATTTGTTCGTTTCCTCAGACGGGTGTCTCGAGATGAGCACATCTGTAGAAGATTGGAACCCAGGGCAGTCGATTGTGTGCTGGATGAGTCCTGAAGGGTTGTTGATTGTGATGGAGGAGTGCTTGACGGAGACACCTAGAGACTCAGACGTCAGACACAGTGGGGGCATTCAGCCCTCATCCGAAATCGGGGGTCGTCGGAACGGCCATTCAACGCGGTTTGTGACTCTTCGCTCTGTAAAACAATACCACCCTCTAAAGACACAAGCATAGCAGTAACAAGACACCAACCACCCAAAGTCCCCACCACCTTCACAATGGCCTACACCAACGGATTCGAACAGTCAATACCTCACCAGCAGGAAAAGAACCTGCCCGGCGGCGGCAATTGGGTTGTGCAAAAGTTTGGCGGTACCAGTGTCGGCAAGTTTGCCGTCGACATTGCCCAAGACATTGTCATGTAGGNNTCGCATGCCCCCTCTGACACGTTGCCGCGTACTGACGCAAACTCTAGTGCCAGCCTCAAGGAACACCGCACTGCCATCGTGTGCTCTGCACGTAGCACCTACACCAAGAGCGAGGGCACCACCAACCGCCTGCTCCGCGCCGCTCGCGAGGCCGAACGCATTGGCTCGCGCAAATATGTCGATATCGTCGATGTCATCCGTGCCGACCATATAGTCGCTGCAAAGGACACCATCGCCTCGGCCGACATTCTGGAAAAGTACTCGGACTGCGTCAATGCCGAATGCGACAGCCTGGTCAAGATCCTCGAGTCTGCCCAGCACTTGACCGAGGTCAGCAAGCGTACAGAGGATAAGATTGTTGCCAAGGGCGAGAAGTTGTCCTGCCTGTACATGACGGCCGTCCTGCAGGATCGTGGATGCAATGCTCAATACGTCGATCTGAGCAATGTCATTGACTTCCACGTTGGCGAACGTATCGACGACAGCTTCTATCGCAACCTGGCTGCCTCTCTCGCAAAGGCTGTCCACGCCTGTGGTGACGCCGTTCCTGTCATTACTGGCTACTTTGGCGACGTCCCGGGCGGACTCCTTACCCAGATTGGACGTGGTTACACCGACCTTTGCGCCGCTCTAGTTGCTGTCGGTATTGGAGCCTCGGAGTTGCAGATCTGGAAGGAAGTTGACGGCATCTTTACTGCCGACCCTCGCAAGGTGCCCACCGCTCGCCTGTTGCCGTCGGTCACTCCTTCCGAGGCAGCCGAATTGACCTTTTATGGATCTGAAGTCATTCACCCCTTCACCATGGACCAGGTCATCAAGGCCAGCATTCCTATTCGTATCAAGAACGTCAAGAATCCCCGCAACCAGGGCACCATGATCTGGCCCGACCAAGCCGACGATCTTGGAGAGAAGAAGCCCTCTCTTTTCCGTAACCGCAGTCTGGTCAGTCTCAGCACCCACGACGGTCCCAAGCGTCCCACCGCTGTCACCATTAAGCGCGGTATTACCGTGCTCAACGTGCACTCCAAGAAGCGTACGCGTGCCCACGGCTTCCTCATGTCCATATTCTCTGTTCTCGACAAGTGGCACTTGTCTGTCGACCTCATCTCCTCGTCTGAGGTCCATGTGTCCATGGCCTTACACTCTGAGGTCGCCCTGTTGTCCGGCGCTGGCCCTGACTCTGAAGAGATTCAGATCGAGTCTGCTGCCCTCAAGGGTGCCGTAGACGACCTCAGTGTCTGGGGTGATATCGACCTTGTCCCTGGCCTGGCCGTCATTAGTCTCGTCGGCCGCCAGCTGCGCAGCATGGTCGGCATCAGCGGTCGCTTCTTCAGTGTTCTCGGTGAGAATGGCATCAATATTGAGATGATATCTCAGGGTATGTGTCACGTCCATCTTCACCTTTCGCAATTGCTAACAACCCTCGACANNGGTGCCAGTGAGATCAACATCTCTTGCGTTATCGAAGAGGCCGAGGCAAACAGGGCTCTCAATGTGGTCCACACCAACCTTTTTACTTTCCTCGATTGATTTAGCGTTTAGCATAGCGTCGCTGTTGCATGTAGACAACAGGTAAAGGAGCGTCAAAAGTCCGTTCATGCATACATACTCAGATAGATGAGCCTCAATGAAGTCACGTCTCTCTATACACTCACGCTGATACCATACGACTGTCGTTCTCTTTGTCTGTTGTCCTTCTTTGAGCACGATTTCAGAGGACAGGGTGCGCACGACGACATGAACCAGTCAAGATCTAGCCTATTCAGGTAAGCCTAATCGCCAGTTCTCGTTGCAGCGAGAGGTCGAGTTGTCGTGTCACCTCCCAAGGCGTATTTCATGATGAACACACAATCTAGATAGCCAATCAACGTACGTGCCAGTGCAGTGCGCTGTCATTGGTGACCCCAGTCGAGTTTTGCTCTTGCCCAACTCTTGTGCGAACCGGTAGAGACATCCGGCAGGATACAATCGAGACTTGGGATAAAATTTATTGTCGGTTCTTGCTCTTCTCTAACAGCAGATAGTTGGATATACTCCAGACGATCATCGTGTGTTGTTCCGAGTTGGAGAGATCCAACCTCGATGAGGATCCTAGTACTAGCTGAGCCTCCCCTGTCTTGACTTGCCTTGTTTCTTTCTTTTTTTTTCTCTTTTATAGATAAGCTTGGTGTTAGTCTACAAGCCCGTACAGTAGTGGAACGATAGCCCATGCCTGGCTGCGCTGGAATGGTTTGTGGCCGGTCGCATTGGCATTCTTCAAGGATCCGGTTGATGCATCGAATGATTTGAACGGTAGCCCGTGTTCTGGCGATAGATCATTTGTATTTGTAAGTCGAAGGTTGGTTCGCTCCTTACTGTGTTTAGTCTTCAGATCACGTTGAGTGGTATAAACTGAATGTGGAGTTCCAGGTTTGATTTGACAAACGTAAAGTTGATGATCGGTGCGTCGGTGGCCCATGATCCGAGGGCGGGGAAGTTTCTCACCCTCATTCACATGCAAAAAGGTTCATCTCAAACCAAAAACATTCGACCACAACCAGCACAATGCGTACCTCACCGAACATCATCATCACTGGAACCCCCGGCGTGGGAAAGACAACTCACTGCGAGCAGCTTGCATCCAGCACTGGTCTTACCCATCTCAACGTCAACAAGGTCGTAAAAGAGCGCGACTGCGAGGATGGCTTTGATGATGAGCTTAACAGTGTCATTGTCGATGAGGACAAGGTAAGCAATCGCTGATCCCAGAAGTTGCTATCAAGACTGTCTGTCTGACACATGGTCAGCNTCCTAGACGCAATTGAACCTGATCTCGAGGCTGGTGGTCAAATCATTGACTGGCATGCTTGCGACATGTTCCCTCAATCTCTGATTGACCTTGTTGTTGTCATTCGCTGCAACAGCACTATCCTTTACGATCGCTTGAAGGGCCGTGGCTACAGTGACAAGAAGCTCGACGAAAATATGGACGCCGAAATCATGGAGGTGCTCTTACAGGAAGCTCGCGATTCCTATGATGAAGAAATTGTCGTCGAGTTGCAGAGCGACGATCTCGACCAGATCGACGAGAATCTTGAGCGCATTCAGACATGGATCCAGAACTGGAAGAAGGACCACTCTGAGGCTTAAATGTGCCATTTTGTATACGCAAACCGGATCTACGTACAGCCCTGCCCGAAGGATCTTTTACTCGGTGTGTGCATTAAGCCACTCAGTCAACTTGGCCAGAGCCTTGCCACGGTGCGAGATCTTGTTCTTTTCGACCTTGGGCATCTCGGCATATGTCTGGCCTTCGTACTCAAAGCATGCGTCCCAACCTGCAAGTCAAATCAGTTTTCCTGTACACGCCAATAAGCAGAAAGCAAACTTACCAAAATCGGTGGGCCCACGGGCCTCAACAATCTTGCCNCTGTCGTACCAGTCAGCACACTTGTTGTAAGCGAGACTTGGGTTGTGACGACTAACCTTGGTTCTTCCCTGGAAAATGATGGGCTCGTGGCCAGGACCTTCAGAGTATGCGAATGTGCACACGGCCTGCGCACCCTTGTCGTCGAAACCAGCGAGAAGCTTGTGGAACTGCTGAACGCCGAGCGACTTCATGAACCACTTTCTATACGAGGTTAATCAGTCTGACGGAGACAAGGGCTCGAGTTGCGGAGGATCTTACACATATGGGCCTGGGAGTTCATCGAAAGCGTCAAAGCACAAGCATGTGTCTTCTACTAGGACGGGTCCACCGACCNNTGAATCAAAGAGATCAGAATCAATAAACTTTTGCCAAACTCTTTCCAAAGATTCTATGCATACCGTGTCTGCTGCTCTGCGGCATTTGTCCTTTGAAATTTCCTCAATCGTGCCCTGAATCTCAAGCAAGTCTACAGATTGGTTTGAGAGGTCTACGCCAGTGGGGGCGAGGATTGCTTGAACTTCGGCTAGCTTGTTCTTGTTGCCAGTGATGAAATTGAGCTGCTTGGGTGCCATTGCTGCGAAACGTGTTTGAAAGTAATTTCTTTGGTGGTACAACAATCTGAATGGTCGAATTGTTGATTTTATCATCAGACGGGTGATTGTTTCGGCGATGGTTGTTGGTCTTCAAGAAATCTTTCCCTTGCCAAGAAACTGAGAGCGCCGTCGTCTCAAACAAGTCACCGACTGTCAGCAGTCCTGTCATCTCCTTCGACGTTCACTTTTGTTGCGTTCTTAGATTTCCAGTTCTCTTCCAAGCTGGTCTTGGTAGTTGTTGATGCTGGAACCTCTGCAATAAAGCTCTTCCTCCCTTGTATAATTCGGACTCGGCTTGTGACAGGGTGCCCGCCAACGTCACCCCCTGGGAGCTCTTACCGCGAGACAAAGTCGATGGATTCCAATGCCACTGTGACGCCGATTGCCAGGGTACAGATCCAACCGACAGCGTCGCAGAGACTGGATACAACATGGGCCACTGTAGTAGCAGCATTATTGTTCCTAGCTATCACGACCCGATTCATCAGTGGCTTCCTTGGAACCTCGAAGCCTGCTCATAATGGATCCAGGAGTGTGCCGATGCTTCCTTACTGGATACCCATCCTCGGACATATACCACAATTCAGCTTCTCGCCACAGAGCTTGTTAAACAAAGCACGCGACACATATAGAAGTGGTATATTTGCACTGAACCTGGGCAGCACGACTCACAACATCGTCTTCTCACCTTCCATGGGCGGATCGTTGATGAACCAGAAACACTCAATTGCAAACATGGATTCCGTCGGAAAGCATGTCATGACTGCCGTATTTGGTTTCCCAAACTCCAAAGCATCCATGCAAAGATACGACAGTGCCATGACCGGGTTAAATACGTGCTACAAGCATCTGCTCTCCGATCCATCCTTGAGAGAAATGGTCCAGAACACGATCGATGTGACAAAACGTAACATAGCAAACCTAGTCACATTTTCTGAGAGCAGAGTTGATCAGGTAGGATGGGAGCGAACGAGCAATGCCGAAACAGTCACCAAAACCAATGGAGAACAAGTTGTCGAGGCTAGTATGATGCACTTAATCCGGGACTTCATCGCGGCCAACGCCAACCCATCTCTCATCGGCTCTGACTTTGTTGACAACAATCCTGAATTCTTCCTGGATCTTTGGGATATGGACAAGGGATTCAAATGGCTGGCCACTGGACTTCCCGCTTGGCTTCCCATTCCTCAAGTCTGGAGAGCAAAGGTGGCTCGCAGTCGTTGTTTCAATGCCGTTCTTGCATTTGAAAAGGCTATGGAAACAGCAGCGAATGGACATGACCCAGGCCAAGAATGGCAAGTTCTCGAAAACGTCGGTCCTGTTCTTACCGAGAGACTCAAACTTTACCGTCAACTCGATTTTACAATGGACGAACGAGCAGCTCTGGATCTTTCCCTGCTGTGGGCGATGAACGCAAATGCAAACATGCTGGTGTTCTGGATGCTTAACCACATTTACGCAGACAAGGTAGTCCTCGCCCAGCTACGCGAGGAAATTGCACCTTTCGTGCACGCTGTCCGACCGAAACAATTATTCAACATGCCAGAACCACCTCGAATCGATAATTTCGATCACGAAGCCTTGGCAAGTAAATGCCCATTGCTAAAAAGCTGTTATGTTGAGTCTCTACGCTTGGATACGGCACCTTGGAGTTTCAGAGTCATGCAGGACGATCTTGTTCTTCCCACTTCTAGGGACAAGGATGCTGAGAAGTTTCTGCTGAAGAAGGGGACTTATGCCCATATTGCTCATGCGATGCATCATACAGACCCTGCTTACTTTGATGATCCACAGATGTGGAGGGCGGATAGGCATATCAAACGTGAGCAAGATGATGGAGAGGCCTCTGTCAACATGGGAACAATAAGACCATATGGTGAGTCACGGAATACGACCCCATCTTAGTGAAACACTGCTGACCAAAATATTANNGGTGGTGGACATTCAATGTGCAAAGGTCGAGCATTTGCTCAAAAAGAGGCTTTGGTCTTTACAGCCGCTTTCATCAGCATGTGGGATATGGTACCTGTTGGAGATGGTGCTTGGAAATTGCCAGGGTACAAACCTGCTACTGGCGTGTATAGCACGAACGACGATGTCCGAGTTTGGATCTCGCGTCGTGAGGATTTGCCTCAGGTCTAAAGCAACCAGTCTGGTTATATCGAACACACTTCAACTACCAGCCCCATAGTTGCACGATTTGTGATTGTTTTTGGTAACATATGATAGAGATATCTTTGGTGGAAGGTGCTTGATGCTTCCACGTTGAATCAAACCAAATGGTCCCTTCCAATCCGTCACGCTCATGCTCTGCGCCGTGGAAAACAGAAACCGACAACGCCTCGCTGTATAATCTCAATGTCGCGGATAAGAAGAATGCCCCGCCAGCTCCGAGCTCCATTCGTGGTTATTATAAGAATGTATTCCTGTGAATCTTCCGAGTAACAGCCTTGCTCCTGGTTTCTGCCCGTTCTCGATGGAATAGTCAGTCGATCTGGCGAACATGGCTCGCCCCTTCGATTGGCGCCGAAAGTGCGCCGAAAGTAGCAGTCAAGCTCAACGGCGGTTGTATAACTCGCGTTCCCTATCTTGCAACCTCTCGCGACGCTCACGGTCCGGACTCCTGCTACGAGTCCTGCGATCTCTATCTCTTCCATTCGGCGGAGGGCGGTCTCGAGAGTAACCATGATCACGGGAGTTTCGCCTGACGTTGGGTGGTGCAGTGTCGTCACGGCGCGCGGCAGAATAGCTTGGAATGTATGTATCAATGTTCGGACCGCTTCTGGCATTCGCGGGTGGAGGACGGGGTGGGAGACGGCTACCATCTGGTGGCGGAAGCGGGGGTCGAGGAGGAAGACGGTTGTCTGGAGGAGGAGGTGGTAGATGCGAGGATCCGTTCGTATGCGGTGGTGGCAATGGGGGTCTGCGCGAGTCGGAACCATTTTGCCATGCTGGTCTCNNCCTCGCTAGTGGAGGGGTGTCGTGTGAAGGAGGGCGCGAGTCGTAGNNGCTCTCGGCGGAGGAGGAGGAGGGACCCTTTGGTCGCGAGGGGGAGCTNCTGCGGTCGTAGCCGGAATAACCATTAGGAGGACCGTAGTTGCGGCCACCGCCTGCGCCCCAAGCCTCATCGGGGCCCATGCCAACAGTTCCACCAGCTGGGGCAGGAGGCATGGCGGCACGCTTCTCGTGATGCTTTCTGCGGTCAAGCTCGTGCGACTCTTCGAAGCGTGGTAGGTCCTCGGGACGTGAAGGAAGCGGATGAGTCTTGAAGTATGGGTGCTGTAGGGCGTCCCATGCATTGATACGTTTGCGCCAGTCCAGCTTGAGCAGTTCTGCAAGCAAGTTCTGAGCTTCTGGATGCAAGCTGNNTGTATGCGTGTTAGTATCGCTTGTTGTCAATGAGGCGGACAAAACTCACTTGCGGAACCGTTGTCGCAGAGAACCACGTTGAGGCTCGAATTCCTTGACGCCATCACACCCGGGAAGCTGCGACCAGCCAGGCATGTTGTCCTCGTTGGGTGAACCGACCAACTCGAAGATGATTTGGGCCTGGTTGAGATCGGACTTGCCCTCGAGGATGGGTCGTCCCTCAAACATTTCGGCGAAAACACAGCTGCCCGATGTTAGAAGAGAAGACTGCAGAGAAGCAAGGAGCAACGAACCCNNAGCGCCCCACATGTCTATGGCCGGAGTGTATCGTCTCAGCTGCAAGAGAAGCTCTGGAGGACGGTACCATCGTGTCACGACAAGGGTGGTGTAATCGCGCACTGCATCGCCGTTGCCTCGGCCAGGCTGGGGTACAGGGCCATCGTAGTGACGAGCGAGACCAAAGTCGGCAATCTGGAGTAGACCGCGGTTGTTGATGAGAATGTTTGCAGCNTGTTTGGCGTCAGAGGGAGACTCGGTCAAGAGGGAGAGGGTGCGGTAGATGGTACCCTTCATATCGCGGTGCAAGATGTGGCTGTCATGCAGATAGCGCAAGCCCTCGAGCAGTTGTAGCATGTAGCATTTGATCTGAGCCTCGGTGAAGGAGATGTCGGGGTTGGTGGTCATTCCCGAGAGGTCATGGTCCATGTATGGACAGACCATGTAGAGAGTGGCGCGCTTCTTGACGTCTNNTCTATAGTCGGGGTTAGGCGAAGGTAGATCATGGTCGGAGAGGTGTAGCGTACTCTTGTGGCGTTCGACAGCCATCTCCTGGAGGGTCAAGACGTTCGCGTGAGACAACATCTTGAGCAGCTTGATCTCGCGCAGAGCAGTGATGGGAAAGCCATCCTTTTCGTTGTGTATCAAGATCTTTTTGAGGGCGACGATGGCTCCGGTTCGTTTTGCGCGGGCCTTGGAGACGATTCCAAATGTGCCCTCACCCAGCTTCTGCACAATGTCGAAGTCGTCAATGGCAGCGCATCCGCGGAACCGGCGCTGGCTCGAGTCGGACATGGCGATGTTTTGCGGTTCAGTTGGTTGTCATCGCTGTTGGGCGGAGCGCGAGTGCGAAGCGTCGATGGTCGGGCGTGCGTCGCTGTCGAGAGGGATGCGACTACGAGGAGCGGGTGCGAAGGGAGCGTGGACGAAGGAGAGCAGGAGAAAGTGCTGTTGGGTCAGATCATGATAAGGACAAACAAGCTGGATACCTGTGTCTATGTCATTCTGCACAGATGAAAGTGAAAGTCGGCCTGCGCCTGCACCTGCACCTGCTCTCTTGCTGCTGCCAAGCATCCTGCACCGCCAAAGAGAGCCCATCCGCCCATCGACAACGACGTCTAGCACGTCGTATACCAACCACCAACAATCACGTACGCACTCGTCTCGACCACTCGCTTCTGCCTCCTGGAGCTCCTCTCTGACTGCGCGCAGACACAATGGCTGGTCCCTCACGTCCCGCTGGCGCCCATGGCGGCCACCCCATCCACATCCACCCCGTCCGTCCTCTCTACAGATTCGCTGCCACTGGCCTCGGTGCCAGCATGTGGTTCTTCGTAAGCTGCCCAACTCTTACTGTTCGTCCGACAAGTCTGACCCCTTCTCTAGNNTTGATGTACAGAGCCAGAAAGGTACCCAATCCCAACTCACGCGCCCCGCCAGAATCACCCGTATTGACTTTGACTCNNAAGGACGGGCCTGCTCTCCTCGGCTGGAAGCACCCCTGGGATCACTAGACCGCTCGAATTTCGCTTCTCCAATGCTTTTCACATCCTCTCATGTCTATACCACAATATCAACTCCCTCGTCTATGCCTTTTCGAACAAATAGTGGCACACGCCCCATTCCTCTCCGTCATTGTACGCGAACAACTCGGCGCATGCGAGGTAGAATATCTGCCATCGGTGGAACCACGTCAGAGCCTTTTCCTTTCCATATGTCTCCTCCAGATGCGGCCAGAGCGCTTGCCTGTTTCTGTTCATGGTTGACAGCCAGTCNCTACACCTTGTCAGCCTGTTGTCTTTGTCCGTCGAATTTACTTTTCTAATTCTTACCTCACACGTTTGCGCGTAGTTCTTGCCATTGACCCACCACATGCGCTGGCATCTCAGATCATCCTGGAACCAGAGCAACAGGTCTGCACTGGGCATTGTGCCGCCCGTGAAGAAGTGCTCAGTCATCCACCCGTCCTCAAAGTCATACGGACTGTCCTTGTGTGCAAAGATATGTACGAACAGCTTGCCGCCCGATTTGAGCAGACTCGACACCTTGCGCAGCAGAAGCTGATAGTTCTTCATGTGCTCAAACAGCTCTATCGACAAGACACGATCGAACGACTCGGTCAGTGGTGCTTGGAACTCGTACGTAGCAATGTCTCCCGTGACAATCGTCAGGTTGCTCAGGCCTCGCTTGCTGGCTTGCGAATCAATATACTCCTTTTGCGTGCGCGAGTTGGAGAAGCCAGTGATTTTCGAGTTGGGAAACTTCTCTGCAAGGAACAGACTGAGCGATCCCCAACCACACCTGCTTTCTGTTAGCTGTCTTCTTCTAATTTGACCAGCGAAGCTCAAAGTCATACCCNNGAGATCAAACATGGTCATGCCATCTTTCAAATCTGCCTTCTTGACATAATCCTCCATCATAAGCAGCTCTGCCTCGCCGAGACCTTGTCCCGGCTTGAGGCCCTCGTAAAGACAGCACGAATACTTCATGTTCGGCCCAAGCATGTTGTTGAGCACACCAGTACCGACTTCATAGTGCTGCGTGTTTGCTTTCGACGTCTCAATCGCGATCGGCCTCTCGCGCAGCAGCTCAACATACTTCATCTTCGTGTCATAGGCAGTTGCATTCGACGTCGACGCGATAGAAGCCAGTCTCTGGCGCAGCTGCTGGCGAATACCAGCGCGAATGACAGTCGTGGGCAGATAACCGCCATCTAGCAGCTTCTCGAGCATAGTGTCTGTTCTAGTTAGCTTGTGGTCATGTTTTTGCAAGTCTCGCGAGATTCAACACACTGTAGTCCATAATTGTTGTTCACGCGTTGGGTATATCACGACGACAAGAAACCAATCGCTTGCAGACAGAACCAGAGAGCAACTGCAGCAGTAACGTTGCTCCTACGACCCAGCAACATCCACAACACGCTTGGACCTCACCACCAAACCATTGAGCTCGATTGGGAAGTCGACGTCATTGATATCGTGGCTCCATCGGCTTTCGGGCTGACTTTGAAGCCCGATATTTTGACATGTGAAATGAAACTTGTGCATATCAAGTTTTGTGCAACAATCAGCCAGAGTGCTTGCGACCTCTTATCAATTTCGAGATGATTTCTGAGAATTGTACATTCAAAGTCTAACTATACAGTATTCTTAAAGCTTTGAGTTGCGACAGCTGCCGCGACTGAGCACAAGGCTCCGATGAACAAACACACTGCTATGCCGTTGAAACCCTCCGTACTGTGATGCTCATCAGGGTGGGCGTCCTTTGCCAGCTCTGGACTCTTGCCAGGCTCGAGCACTGTGAATACTACCATGGAGATACCCGTAGCAATAAATTGGGGTAGCGTCGTGTAGAGGTTAAGAATGCCGAGATAGATGCCAGCAAGTTCGCCAGTAGCAGAATCATCAGGCTTCTCAGCGTTCCTAGCCTCCGAGCTCATTTCGATGGAGCCGTCAGACACTCGCTGGTAATGATGGCTGCCACGTCTCGAGGTAGGCAGGCTGCTACCGAGCTTGTTGATCTCGACGCCCATAAAGGTGAAGGGAGCCCAGCAGGCAAGTGCCCACGGTATCCCGCAAACTGCAACCAGCATTGTTGCAAAACGCAATGATGTTACGAACGGAGCGAAGACCATAGACCCTGCGAATATGAGGTGTGCCACCGTCCAGGCGGTCAACAAGCTGGGCTTACGCTCCACAACCGTCTTTACAATCGGCGCAATGCTTGCAGGAGGTCTGGGAGTAAAGTCGGGCTTCTCATCTTCAGGAGAGTTGACCATCCAGGGAAGCATTATTGAGCCAATGAATGTGACAATGGAGAACACAATCAACGACATGCTTCCGACTCGGCCAATGTCTGACAGCGGATCCTTGGATTGTTTGACCTCAGGGGGTGCATCGTATCTGAGGTAGATTTCTCCTACCCAAGTAGTGCTGTAGAAGAGGAATGGGAACCAGCCTGTTTGCAATGTCAGATTTAGTATCTAGTGATGCTCCCCTCGTTACATACCAATCCACGACCAGAATTGAATCCAGCAGATCTGTCACTTGGTTGTCAGCTTCTGTTCGGAGATCATTGTTCATTACTTTGCAGGCCCTACCATCTGAATACGCTTGGGTAAATTTCTGGTGGTCTTGACGATCTGCATCAGTACTGCGACCAAGCCGTCGTCCTTCTCGGCTTCCCTGTATATGAATTAGCTATGAGTCTGATGGAAGACAGCACAACACATACCCNNTCTGGAGAGGAGTACTCGCTCTTCAACGGCCCAGCATGTAACTCCGATGGCCACTATGAGAGCGACAGCAGCAATGACAGTAAGCTGTTTGAATTGAGTGTCGCCTATGAGAGTGCCAAAGATCGAACCCAGATCCAGAGCTCCGGCGCCATAACCAATGAGATGTCCAACGGCCACCATTCTACTTGCTNNACAGGACATTAGATTTGTCACTTTCGAACCTTGTTGCGAAAACTTACCCCAGGCCGAGCCCAATTGCTGCTTTGGAATGGGTAGAGTGTCTACAATCAGACTGCGGCATGACGATTGGACAGCGTTGATAGCAAAGTCAAGAGCGTAGATCGACAGGACGGCTAGAAAGATGGTCGCTTCACGCCTCNNTGATGAGTGTCAGGATACGGTTCTCGCAATCGTATATGGCGCTCGGGATTGACCAACCAGCTCTCCTTCTTCGACGAATGCAGCAACAATCTCCTTGGTCCAGCCCAGAATCAGTAGACAAATGCTCACGATGACAGTACCACCAACCATGACTGGTCGTCGCCGACCCCATTTGGAAGTGCTCTTGTCGGCCATGATGCCTACAATCGGTTGCATGATCAATCCTGACAGGGGTCCAGCTATCCAAACAAGCGATAGTTTGCTCTTGGTAAGACCGAGTTGTAATAGATATGGAGTACAATAGGTCATCTCAGTGCCCCAGGTGAATCTGCCGGAATTGTCAATCATCAAGAACACGAGCTTCTTCAACAACGCGTAAACATACTGCAAGCCAATCAAGCTGAATGTCAGTAGCAGCATGCGCATAGACTCGCTGGAGCCTTTGACATTGGCTGTCCCCTGCCATTGCGCCTGTGCCATGGTTGTTCTTCACACCGGTCCCTACGTTGGCATGAAATCTCACAAATGTTTGCGGGAATTGATATCTTATTCAACGAGTAGTTGCTCTATGAGCTGACAAGAGAGCACACGACGCGAAACGGCAAGCCCAAGCCACAGGGTCTCGTCTCTCCTTTCGGTGCACGGTCTTTAGCCACTGGCCAGCCGCATTCAGGCTAATATGAGACTGAGCCTCAAACAACAGAGGTAGCGAACATTACGTATGATTGTGTCAGACACTTCAGAAAGTTGTGAAATAGTTTCTTAGTTTATTGCTATGGAGCGAAGAAGACGAGTCATTAAGTTTCTTTCAGATGCGTTCATGCATAGCCGCCCTTCGTTGCATGAAGATGTCGTGAAGGTCAGCTCTCTACCATTGTTATCCTGCTAGACATGCCTTTGCCCTTGCTCGGCAGACCAGCATTCAATTTTCTTTCATCTCGGGTATATATCGTTTTTGCTTTTTAGAGCTTGTTCTCGGGAAGGTTGCTCCATTGGTAACCAGCAGCGTCGCTGAACTTGTAGCCGTACGAGGAGGTGAAGTCGTCGAGGACGGAGGGACCACGAGAGCCTNNGCAATCTGGATCAGTATTGTTGGTTGAGGTCGGGACGTAGAAAAACTTACCGTAAGGGTAGCCCATGGGAACAATCTCCTTGTTGTCGTCCAGGTAGTGGAGAAGAGGGGTGAAGATTCTCCAACTGGCATCGAGCTCGTCATCACGGACGAAGTTCGAGTGGTCACCCTTCAGGGCGTCAAGGATAAGAGATTCGTAGGCCTCGGGGATCTTCAGGTCAGAGAAGCGGCGGCGGTAGGTGAGATCCAGCTCGGTAACCACGGTCTGCATGCTCAAGCCAGGGAGCTTCGAGTTCATCTTGATGTACACGCTCTCGTTGGGCTGAATGCGAATGACAAGCTCGTTGCGGGGGATATCCTTGAAGATACCAGAGGTGACATCCTTGAACTGGATGCGGACCTCGGTCTTTTGCTCGTTAAGAGCCTTGCCGGCCTTGAGGATGAAGGGAACACCGTCCCATCTCTCATTCTTGATGTATGCAACCATCGAAGCGAAGGTGGGGCAGCGGGATCCCTTGGGAACGGATTCGTCATCCTTGTAGGAGGGCTTGGAGCCGTCGAGCGACTTCTCGTATTGACCAATGATAACGTTCTTGGGCTCGATGGGGGGCATGCCGCGGAGGACGCGAACCTTCTCGTCACGGATGTCCTCGGCTGAGAAGGAGATGGGACGCTCCATGGCGAGCAGGGTCAGGACCTGGAGGAGATGGTTCTGCATAACGTCACGGATAATACCGAACTCGTCGAAGTAACCACCTCTACCCTCGGTGCCGAAAGGCTCCTTGAAGGTGATNCTTGCTGGTGTCAGTTACTTGTCCAGCTCGAAGGGACGATATTCACGTACCTGAACATTGTCGATGTGGTTGCGGTTCCAGTTGGAGCCAAAGAACTCGTTGCCGAATCTGAGGATCAAGATGTTCTTGACCATCTCCTTACCAAGGTAGTGGTCAATACGGAAGATCTCCTCTTCCTTCCAGTTAGGCTCCAGGGCGTGCTGGAGTTCTCTGGAGCTGCCAAGGTCCTTGCCGAAGGGCTTCTCAATNCTGTAAATGGTTGTCAGCAGCAGCCCAGGCTCGTCGAGGCACCAGGTACTAACGATGATGCGGGCAATGCCGGTCTTGGGGTAGCAGTGCTTCTTGAGCATTTGCGAGACGACGATGAAGACGCTGGGNGGCAGGGCCATGTAGAAGATGCGGTTAGTCTCTTTCTGGTTGTCCTTCTTCTCGAGTTCACTGAGATGCTTCTCGAGACCCTGGTAGTATTTGTCGTCTTCGTATTTGTCGCCCTGAAGGTATGTGCAGAAGCTGCAGAACTCCTCCAATTGGTCCTCGACGTCCTTGGTAGGAGTCTTGATGTTCGACTTGACACGCTTGATGAACTCGGCGTGATCCATCTTGCTTCGTGCATATCCGACAATCTTAATGTTCTTGGGGAGGAAGTTGTTCTTGTGNCTATACGTTGCTATCAGTCAAAGCTCAAGACGAGCTCACGCTTGATGCAAGCTTACCAGGCCGAAGAGAGCAGGGAACNNTGCGCGTGCGGTTAGCATAAGTCTCGTGCGGGTCAATTGGCGGTCTGATGAGCTTACGGTCTTCTTCTTTGCAAGATCACCTGAAGCACCGAGAACAACGATGACAGTGTTCTCCTTGAGCTCCATGGTGCCGCTGTGTTCTCGAGTTAGCCATGTTCAATCGCCACTATAAACGGCCCCAGGGTTTCAGAGCGCGCGTCGACATGAGAGCTACGATTGACCGAATCTCATGGCGAGCGGCCGCCTCACAAGTGACGGCAAAGTGATGGGGAATGCCAAAAGCGGGCGGGATCCAACACTTACGCGTTCGACTCGACCTCCGGGGTAATAACAGTGTCAGCCATTTTGTCGAGAGTTGAATGTGTGGTAAGGTCCAAGGTAGTGGGTGAAGGTGGAACAGAGCGAAGGATAAGTGCAGCTGTTTATCGGTTGAGGAACTTTGGCGGCCGAACTTCTGGAGGGGCAGGAGCGATCGAGAGAACGGACCGAGTCCTGACGTAGCACTTGCTTTGAAATGGAAATCGCGTCACAAAACTTATATCGTTCAACAGCTGCTTTCGGGCGCAAACAAAGCAGTGCAAGCAAGACGGTATGGATGCAAGAGACAGACAAAGGGATTCGAATTCCAGAGGTCGCGCAAATAGTCGGAGAATTCACTTGTTTTGAATGCCACTCGACAATCCCTTTCTTCTTCGAGTCCGACTCCGGACAAGCTATCACTCGGTCAATGCACCTCTCGAAATGTCCGACAGCGAGCCCGGTACTCTGCGTCAGTATCTCCGCTGATGCCGAAGCCGCCAGAACGCTAGCTGAGAGAACTTGATACCGAGCGGTGGTGCTTTTTTCCATCCACGGCTACTTCTGTTGTTCTCACAACCATCACATCGTCTGAAATGCCGCTTCGTACGTTGAGCTGCTCAGGAATTACGGGCTTCCACAAAGAGTGAACGGAGGAATTCCCCGACCGTAGCTGGACAGCTCTAACCTCATGCGGCTCGAAAGCTGGGAGCTGATGACATACGCGTTGGAGACACCCCCGAAGACGCAAACGGCAGGTGTCTGATGCTAGATATCTTCCTAGCTGGCCTCTAGACACGGGCTCGTTGACAGTTGCACTTTCTCCGTCAAGCCATTCTTCCTTCAGCCTGATCTTCTGCTGCCATCGGCCATCCATCTCACTCTGTCTTGATACCCATTCTACCGGCTCATATGCTACAGGCCTGGTGATGGCTTGGCGCGAGATTTCTCCGCTTCGGTGAATGCTTCGAGTCAAAGATTATTAATGACCTTTACAAGTTTAGCAACATCTTCACTGTCCACTGCCGGAGGTTTCGGACATCCATCAAGTGAGAAAAAGACCGAAGAACCCACTTTGAATCTCCAAGGCGGCCAGGTTGGGCACAGTAGACGTCAGCCATCTTTAGGCGCTATTGTCACACCCTCTGCCCCCCGGATATTCTTGTAGAACGATCTGACGGTGTTTGTTTTCATCATGGCTACTGTCGTACGGTCTGTCTCAAGGCCTGGTTATGCGGCCATGAGCAAACTTTGAGCACCCATCGAGTTTGATCCGTTCACAAAGCAAACAACTGTCACAATGCTCAACATACTCCATTTCGAGACCAGGCATTAAGGGAACCCTCCCAATACCCTAAGATAGCTCTCTACCATCAGAAGATGGAGAACTCTTTGCAACCCGTTTGGGGCCTGGGACTAAGTCTTTATTGTACTAGTCATTACGGCCTTAGTCAACTGACGAGGAGTACAATACACCGACATGATACGACCAGAAGAAATCATTCGACTCCCTCTCCGAATGCTGATTGCCTTGTTGTCGGGTATGGATGCAGCACAATGATGGGGGGAGTAATGATGTGCTATGGCAGATGCTCATCATTGAATCTGACCAGCAACTTTTTTGCCACATGGCCTCTTGTCGCATATGCGGCTATAGCCTCGCAAGCAAGACCAGGATACTGGAGGAGAGTTGGATACAGTACCTCAATCTCCACACTACTATTGTGGGCAACATCTGCCTTTACTTCTGAGTCCCATCTTTTTTATTCCATACCTGCCAGAAGTCCTTTGTCAAAAACTCCACGTCCAAAGTTACAAACTCCTCAATAAGAAAAGTGTGCAAGCAAACAACCATGTTCTCTCTTAGCGCCAACCACGCATCGGGACAATGTCTTGCTCCCATAACAGCATCGTCATCTGATCAAAGACCCGCTACCGCCATCGAGTCAAGCATCACGACAATGCGACAAGACAGCAGAAATGAGGCATTCACGATGCCAAATTGCCTCGCTACTGCTCAGAAACCCGCGCTCGATATACCAACTCAAAAGAGCGGGAGAGATGTGGTAGACAAAGGATCTCACCCTTGGAGCATCTGCTGCCCAAACACGATGTGTTGATTACAGAAAAGTATGCAGTGTGAAGAACAGAAGCAACAAATTGTTGAAGGATGCGATACTCAAAGAGCTTGAGGCACATCGTGGACTGAGGGTGGGCAATCCATGAGGGGCTGCTTGGGAAGGGAACAGGTAAGAAAGGGTAAACATGTGGCTCTAGGAAGATGATCCGTTATTTATTCTGCTAATGTACTTTGACCAGACATCAAATATTATCAAGCCCACAGACTCTAAAACTTGACCCACTGACCCTCTCTCGCAACCAACGACTTCAACACCTTGCTTGCATCTCTATACCAGACGATACCAACTTTTTCATTTCCCCAGAGTCCATCGACACCAAACAGCTGTGTACTCATCTCAAACCCCCATTTGGTGGCTTGCTGATAGTATATCCTGCCAAACACACTCGCGGTCTTGATTTGCTGCTTTCCCCACACCACACCAACTACATCAACACTAGCACCATAGCTAGCAGCGATGGAAGGAGTTTGTGCCGAAGAAGGGATAGCAGAGGCATTAACGGTATACATGCCGCTTTGCTCTGCCTCCGAGAAGATGTGGGTGTAGTTGGCAGCGTCCGAATAGAGGACCGAGAGGGTCTTGACCACTCCCCACCACGGATCTTGCTGCAGCGAAAGTGCAGAGGTCAAGGTATAGGTATTGATCACCAAGTTACCGTTTTGGACAAACGCAGCAGTGGCAGCGGTAGTCACATCTTTGTCCGCAAAGTACGCGCTGAGGATCGTGATGCCAGCTGCTTCAGAAGCTGTCTGAGTCGCCACGGGGACAGATTTGGTGGAAGAGGAGGAACTCAGTATTGACGACACGGCAGAACTTTTGCTGCTGCTGCTCGTCAATGAACTAGTCGACGCACTCGTAGTCCTTGAAGAAGATGTGTAAGTCGATGTCGTCGCGAAAATCGCAGATTCAGACGAGGAAAAGACCGCAGACGGCACAGCCGTCGATGCAGTCGAAGAAGCAGACAACACAGCTGTCACAGAGGAGGCAGGGGCAGAAGAAGATGCAGAACTCACCTCAGGGTAAGAATTGTAGACGTTGCCGAGATCGCTCATGCCGGTACCGCCCGAGTTCATGAGCGCGCCAGTGGTATCCATAAAGTAGGCGTAGCGGTGCACGTAATCTTGTTCATCCATCCACTCCATCACTTCCTCGAGGAAAGACTGGAGTTCGGCGGCTGTGTAGGGCGTGCTGTTGTCAAGGCCAAACTCGGTGATCCAGACGGGCCGGCCACCGGACATGGCATGAGCAGCCTGAACCTGCTGCTTGAAGTAATTGGCTCCGGCCCACTTGTTCGAGTACCAGTGGATGTTGATGAAGTCAATGTGGCAACCAGTGCAGTTGCCCATGAAGTTTTGGAGCCAGGTGAGTCCCAGAGGCGAGCCGCCATTGGTTACGGCTGGCGAACCGAGAAGAGCTTTACCTGCAAAGGGCTCCATGTACTGCTTCCAGGCCTTGACAGCCGACGGCATTTCGATACAAGATGATCCAGCACCAGGAAGACAGAGATCGGGCTCGTTGAAGCCGAGGAGATATTTACTGCCAGAATTGATGGCAGCCTGTGCATTGCTAGCCCATTGTCCAGTAAGGTCGGATGCATTGCTCCAAAGCATGGGAACATATTCGAGCGCAGGGTTGAAGCCGCTACCAGGTGTCTGGTACCAATTGTAGGCCCAAGAGACTTGGGAGTTTTGACCAGACAGCGAGAACGGCATGGTGTAAGCGGGGTTGTTGAAGGACAGGCCACGCTTGCCAGTATTCTTGACAGGAGTAGCGGTAGCGCGTTCTTCAATNGTCAATGACTAGAGTGGTGTTAGTATTTGAGCAGTCCAGACGGAAAGAAGTATCGACATACCACGACCAGTTACATCTTGCAGCAAAAAGGCAGATGCCAAAACAACAGAGGTTGCGAACTTCATGATTAAGAATTAAGATGGGATATGATATGGAAGCAAGGTATAAGTGTGGGCGGCAGCAACGCACCAGGCGAAGCTCTGAGTATGGACTGTTAGCGAATGGACAGGACAACCTGAAGGAAGAGATCTCATGGTTAGGAGACTTCATGCTTATATATCGATCACAACAGATAAAGCATAACGAGATGATACAAGACATGTTGAGTGTCCAGGAGCTTCTCGCCGGTAGACGTTTAGTTCGAGCTGAATCAATCTAAGCCCAGGCACGTTGTTTGCCTCATACAAGATTGGAGAGCCAGGGTCGAATCGTTGTCGAGATGGCACTTGGCCAGTAAGAGAGTACATTTTGCCGCGACCGTTATAGACGTTTGTGTTATCAGCTGTGTATCGAAACGGCCATATCAAAAAGTCCACGCAATTGGGCGTGGGCAAATTGGAAACGGTTAGCTCTTGGCAAGATGCAAACGCCAGTCGTTGAATGTGTGTGATAGCCCGGCAGCCAAACACGTGTAGGGCTTGTATGTAGTTGCTTCTGGAGCCCTATATTGACGTCCTGGAGTAGCAAGATTTACCTATAACAAAACGTTATGACTCGTCACACATCCTGATTGACAGGTTGTGGAGCAGTCGTTGTGATGTCTGAATATGCGTGGTCCCTGTGAAGCTTAAGCGACCAGCTTGACGAGAATACATGGTGAGTTGTCAGGAACATGTTGCGACCCTAAGTGTAGAGACGCATTGGGCTTAGAGTCGTCTTTGTCAGAGAGGTGGAAGAGCTGCAACGATCAAGAGGTACGAGCAAGATGTTGGTTGAGAAAATGTTGAGAGAAGAATACGAATGTAACAGCCGGCAATGTTGTACCTACGCCAATAACTCCTTGATAATGCCAATGCTCTGCAAGATATGAGATGCAAATCGTTAAGCGTCAGACGACCATGTTAATCATGGTTGTTGTTGAGGTCGGCGAGCAGGCTCAGAGATGATGGGTGGGCTTGTCAAAGGGGAGATGACGGCAGGACTGTGAGGTGTAGGTGGTTGGTGGTGAGTAGGTGACGATTCAGGGTGGGCCAGTTGACGCTCTACAAAAGGGTCATCAGTACATGTCGATATCACTCGTGGATATGACTTACCGAGTTCACGGATGCGGGCCTTGAGCATTTGGTTCTCTCGGGTCAACATCTGCGTCTCGGCTTGGTAGAAAGCGCTCTCGTCACGGTTTGCGCCGAGCAGCCAGTCTTCGCGCTGGGGGTCGTGTGGTGAAGCAACGGGACGCAGGGCAGGAGATCTGCTGCTGCTGCTTCGGGGACCGCTGGTGACGGATACGGCCTGGGACGAGTGTCGCGACAACGAGACTGGACGTTGAGGCAGTGGTTGCTGCCTGCTTGAGCTCGATAGGGTGCGCGGCCTGGTGTCGGAGTCCGAGGGTGGTTGATCTGCGTGCAGCTCGTCGATCTGGTCCTGCTGTAGGCGGATCATGTGCAGCAGTCTATTGACTTGATGTTCTTGTTCGTTCTCGAGCTCTTGGTGCATCTGACCCAGGCTAGGGGCTCGATGGTGGGAATCTTGCATCTCTCCAGGACCAGGCATTTGGGCATCATTGAGATGCAGGTTCGTCATTAGACTACTTCTTCGGCGTTGGGTGGCGCTGGCGCGTGGAGAGTTCGAGTTGCGCATGCCGGCATTGATGGCTGCAGCGGCCTGGAGGGACGAGAGCGAGGGCGAGTGCGGCGAAGGGTGCGTGTCGGTCGTGGCCGTCATGTCGTCTGGTGTGCGTCGTAGGGTTGGTGATGGAGGGAGCGAGTTTAGGTCTGGAGCCATTGCATGTTTTGAGCAACAAGTGCTGGTGATTGACCGCTCGCTCAGAGCTGGCCCCGCCGTGTCGCCTCACCAGATGTCAAGACAAGGTCACTCCACTTTCTACGTACATGATGTACCCGGTGTGCTAGCACATCTTCTCTATTCCGAGTAGCCACATGTGCAAGCCGCTCACTATTCGTGCATTGCTTCAACCAACATGTTCGTGTCGCATCACTCGGAACGTCCAAACGTCAGGCCTCTCAGGGCCGCCGACTGCTCATCCATCACGGTTCATGACTGACAGTTGGAGCCTCCGTCTTCTTTAGGCCTCCGAACCTGCGTGCCCACGAGACACTGCCCTGTGGCGATAATTGTATCTGTGCATCCAAGGCCTGTCCGTGGCCCTGCCCTCGGCCTGTTGCTCTCTTGCCAACCTCTCCAGCGTCCATTCTTCACACTGCGACCTCGTAAAATAATTCACTAGAGCCTAGCCATATGCTTGCTCGCCTGCAAAAGCAAAATCTTGACGACAAGGTTGGAGCCAGACTCCTGTAGCTGACCATGTCTTCAAACGCTTTCTCCTGCATACGGCCACTTTTGCATGCGATAATGCTATGACCTTCTTTCGAGCAACCCACTTTCCGCCTTTCCCCCCTCAAGTCAATATCTTGCTGCACCATCTCTGGTACACTCCCGATAACCTNNGCTACCCAAGACTCTCTCTACAGTCCATGCTTGATGCTCGNNAATCGTAGACGGGAGATCTGGCGCGCCTTCCGCTCCATGCTATTGACGCGCTCCGTCCGCTGGCGTCTGGGCGTTGGCTCCCNNGGCCATGCAATTTACCTTCGTTTCAGCATGCCCGACTNNGCCCCTCGTCCACGCTCGTCCCCTGNNCCCTCAGCCGAGTTTCATCTGCAACCCACTGTCCCGGTGTCGATTCCATCATTCCGTCTGCAAACTTGCCCTTGCCCGTCACAGTCCTGTCTGCAGCTTCAAAACCCACTTCCTCTTTCGTGCTGTAGTGCGTGTCCCATGGCCCTTGTTTGGGTGCTTCGGACAGNNACCTCGACTCGATCTTTTATTGCCAACTTGCACGCCACCTCCANNAGCACGACCTNNGCTAATGACTCTCGACCAAATCCGCTTGCGTGCGCGGTCCGCATGGTCCGCCTCCACTTCCTCGTTTGCTTCAGATAGAACTTTGGCCCGACCAAGCCCTCGACATCCCAATACAACATGGCTAATCTAATTCTGTCTTCCCTTCATTTTCTTTCCTTCTATCCCAACCTCTCCCTCGTCACATGCAAATGCCGTAAACACGCCTCTCGTGCTTCTTTTCTTAGCCTTCCGCTGATCTTTTCTTTTTTCCTTCCATTGTTCTTCAACGTTCCACTTCAATTCATCTAACCTCGACTCTTTGGATGTCTCGAAGCCTTCAATGGCTGTCGATCAGAATGATGCCCTTGATGCTATCAACAAGAGCAAGTTCAAGGATCTGCCTCCAATACAGACTTCTTTCAAGGACAAACCTCTGCCGGCCATAAAAGAGCCTCCTAAGGATAGTGGGACAGACCACACTACCTCGAACCGAACGGGACGTGCATGTCGACGACTGAACCCAAAGTCTAGTCTGTTCAATCTATTCAGCAGACCAAGAGTTGAAAGACAGAAAGGATTCAACGAGTCTGGATATGCTGTTACTCCCATCATTGAGCCTGGAAGAGCTACACCAAGTCCGGATCTGATTCAACGCGTACCATCACTTCCCTATACGAATGGATCACACGCGCTGTGTCCTCGACCCAGCACTTCGTTATCCATTCACGAGGATCGTCGAAACTTGGCCCGGAGCCGTACAACAACTTCTTCTGATTATGTCAGAGAACAGGACGAGACGCCGACATTGCCCACACTGTTCGATATATATTCAGACTCGAGCAAGGTTACCATCGCCCAAGCCATTGACGAGTCTGGTCAATCTCGCCTGACTAGGCCTCGAAAGTCGAACGCGTCACACATCATTCCTGTACACATCCACGAAGAGAGAAGAGGCAGTGTCGATAGTATCAAAGGCGAACACAAACCCCAAAATAGGAGCAGCAGGAACTCTCTCACTCAGGGACCATTTCAGAGAAAGATTTTTGCGCTTTCCAACGATGGGATCATTCTCCAATATCCCGAGAAGGGGGGTGGTGAGAGACTACCAGAACGCGCTCTCCAGCTGAGTCCAGAATCTGTCGCCTTTGCTTGTGATCTGGTCCCCGGAAGGCCTTACGTTCTTCAAGTCGACCAGAAGCCGACCGCCATCTCGGAACAACATATGGCCCCTTCTCAGACATCACTCCTCACAAAGATTGGACTTAAAGACAACCTCCCGCGCTTGGGCGAGCACAGTATACTCATCATTCTGGACACTGCTGAGGAGCTCACTTCTTGGATGAACGCAGTAAGAAAGCAAATCCTTGCCCTAGGTGCTGTCATGGGGGATAGTCTCAAAACGGAAGGCCCTGGGAAGCTAAGCACTACAGCCCCCAAGTTACGCGTTAAGCAACGCATATCTTTTCACGAACAAGACCAGCCAGCTTTCACCAACTTCTCATTCCCAACGACTAGTCCTGAGAGAGGCACCATGGGCAGACTGAGACGTGATTCGAGTAATGCAGTCGCACCGACTACTCAGCCTGAAGTGACTGAACTGCACTCGTACTCAAGGCGAAACTCCAATGCGGCAATCCCGCGCAAGTCTTTGCTAGATCACGACAACGTTGAAAGACTCAAGAAGATGGCATCTTTCGACACGAACGACTCGCCTCTGTCTGTCACTACTCATGACTCTGCTGTCAGTTTCGGCATGAGCGCAGGGAAGCGCATGATCCGCGACAAGAACGCATCGCAAAGGTCCTCGATAGGGTCATTGCACGACCAGTTCGACACCGACAGCCCTGTTCTTCCAAGATCAGCAACGACCGGCCAACTTCAACGGCTAAAGCCCAATCCCAATCCCATCCCCATCATCGGGAGACCTCGTCCGGATTCTTTTGTTGCAGACATGCCTTTGCTTTGGCCAGCACGCAAACCTTCTGAAGGAGCCACACAGTACAACAACCAGCAAACGCCCTCGCCTCCAGTAAAGCGGTTACCATTAAAAGTCAATCCGTATTCCAACAGCATGTCTCTACCCCGCCAAAGACCCTCACAATCACCACAGCCAGCTCCTCCGCCTACAAGAGCATTACCGGCACTACCAGCAATGCCGTCCAGACCTGTTGAGAATTTCTCTCGCAAGCCTCAGCGCACACCTTCGTTCAAGCTGTCGCTCTTCCCTACCACTGACATTGTGGCTACAGCGACTTTTGCTCCCTCTTCTGCTGTGACACTTCCACCTTCACCAGCGGACGACATGAAGAAATCTCAAGATCGTCCTCTTCGCCGACCAGCCAGCATTCAAATCCGTCCCAACCACGCTCCATTCCTTGCTTCAATTCGTCCCAAGACAGCTGTGAACCAACCTCAGCCCTCAAGGGCTGACTCAGTACCATGTCTCAGGGACGAAGGTATCCTACCTCGAGCCCCCATGGTACAGAAGCCATCCTCATCACCTCCACCACCGCTTGACTTGGGTCTACCACCTCTTGATCTGGGCATGCCCATCGTCGGTCTAGCGCCACCAGCACCGCCTCCATCGCTTCCCCTACCCAAGCTGCCGCCTGGCGCAGCGCAGCCAAAGGCATTAGCAGTTTGATAGTGCTCTATCACTCATGTCCCTCTGCACCACCTTATCCAACACATTTCTAATGATCATGGGTCTTGGGTAATGTCTGTTCTTGCACAAAAACCTTTGTTTTCTTGGCGCTCAATGGATTGCTGGCATTTCTATTTTGAAGCATATTTATGAAGGATTTATGATATGGGTGGTCACCAAAACTCTTGTTCCTCTCTACTATTCTTCTCATTCTCACTAGAAACTGTAGCTTCTGTAGATACTTCTTACAGATAGATGGCTTTCTTTTCAATAAACACATCGCTGCTACAAGAATGAGGACTGCACACGACAGGAGTCAGGCCACCACGTGACATGAGTCAGATATGTGAACTTAGCCAAACCCTGTCTGGATTTCGAAACGGCCGAAGCTTCTATTCTCGAAATCGGCCCTCCGCCAATGAATTGAATTTGATTGCCACCACCACCCGTGTTCTTTCCACGATTGATTACTGTTTTCATGTATCTCTCCCTTGCTGGACATTATCACATCACAGTATCGAACGTTGAACACGATGAGTACAGAGACACAAACCCGTCAAAAGACCACCACCACTGGCATTCGGAAAAAGCCGTTTGCTGTCCCTCCAGTCAAAGTAGCATGTCTTTCCTGGTGTGTACGAAGCCTCGACTTGGGTATTGTACTGCTTGCTGATGATTGTCATTAAAGTCGTTCCTCGCGCATCCGATGTGATGGAAAAGAGCCATGTTCAGGCGTAAGTAATATAACCCCATCTGCGCCTGTCACAGTAACTTCGCAATCTGACTTTTTGCGAACAAGTNGCAATCATAGAGGAAAGGAATGTGTATATATTCAAAGTCGCAGAGGAGGTGCTCGCGTGCCACGAAACAAAAGGCAGGAGGAGGAGTACCAANAAACGGATTACGTGAAAATTGCACAAGATTGTAAGCATCTTTTGTAGATGTGATTCGATATCCAGACTGACGACTTTTCTAGGTNNTTTGATGAGGCGGTACCGACGATGGTCAAGCCTGGTGCTGGATTGACACAACTGGATCTGGGGCTTGACAATACGGATACCTTATTCGACAGCATCTTTACAGCGGTACCTCAGACCCTTGGACTGGAAAGTCATCGACGAAGTGGTTCGGTAAGGAGGTATAGATCAAACGGCGACATGTGAGTATTTTGCCCGCTCTAGACACTTTACCAATAAGCTCACACGATTTGCCCAGATNTGGATGCATATTATATCTGGCTACACCCATACTTTCCAATTCTCNCCCCATCGAAATCCTCTCGACCCAAGGATAATTCGCATCTCTGGTATCCAAATGATATAGAACCCGTCTTCGAGTCTTTATCGCCAGCTGCCCTTGCAATCTCGGCAGTCTTGGCTTTGGTCCCTCATCCAGAGGAAAACGCTTCTTTCCAAGAAGAAAGCATCAAAGCCCGCAGGGAAACTGCTCACTTCTTCGCCAAACGAACGTTAGAGAGCATAGAAAGTGATTCTGAGATACCAAACTCTTCGATTTTTCCGGCACAAGCACTGCTAGACGAACACTCTTGCATCTCACGGCCAGCTTTTCACCCACAGGTGCCGATTGAGGCTGAAAGTGTGGTTGCGTTGAGTATATTGAGTGTGTATGAGTATGCTCAACGTGGAAACATTACCAAGATGAGGGATCGGGCTGGTCAGGCGTTGTTGCGGGCAATGGATCTCTCGCTGCATAATCAGGGCACAGAGCTTGATGTCTTTGCCGAGGCGCGGCGTAGGATCTGGTGGATGACTGTGGGTAGCCTGAGATGCGACAGATGCTAATGAGGTTGTGCTAATTCGAGGAATGCAGNNTATATCTGTGCCTGCCAGGCTTCAATTGTCAGCTCTGCGGTAGGTGTCAAGAAACAGGCGGATATGTCTTGGATAGTGGCTGACAACTCTCAAAACAGCNCACCGGCAATACCTCTGTTCGACTCCCGCTTCACTACTAGCTTCCCTCAAGCAACGGACCCAGAGGTAAGAATCACCAGAATCTTAGCAGGAGCGCAATTTTAACATGCTCCCATCAGGNCATGGCCTNTTTTCATAAAATCGCAACAGACCATCCTTCTAGCAACCCAATTTGTCTCTGCAGTAGGCCGTGCGGTAGACGGTCAAGAAGACTGGACAGACATCTCCTCCCGCATGCAAGATCTGCACAACGCAATCGAACCACTGATTAGCCAATCGGTTAACTGGACAGACACGAAACCGACGACCAACGACCCCGAAGTTCTCGTCGCATACTCGTTGAAGCAAATGTCCAAGATCAAGTTGAACAGGTAAGAGGCCGATGTTTGAGAAGAAAAGAAAGAAGGATATCTGCTGACAACGGTAAACAAAANNAACAGTGCAAGGATAAAACTTCACCGCTACTGCGCCTTTTTCGATATTCCAGTGTTTTCAGAAAAACACTGCGATCTCAAGAAATCTGGACCTCTGCCGAGCACCGATCCTTTGGAGCAAATGTCTCTAACGCCCTCGCCTGGAGGATCTTGTGGTTGCTCCTCGTCTCTACCGACCCAGATGCCCAGTCTTACAACGTCAGTCTCACCAGCTTCCTCGTCAAGCACAGCAGATTACTTTCACCCGTTTCCCTTCAGCAACCACCTGTCGTCACGATTGTGCTTAAACTCTGCTCTCGCCATTGCTTCTGCATTCGAAGCTTTGCCATTGCCATCTTCGTCCTCCCCGCTTGCTCCTCGCACGATGCCGAGTTTTGCTTGTTGTGCGATGCAGAGTGCCTATGCGTTGCTGATGGTATACCATCGTACGTGGGTGCTCGCGCAACGGGACCATGAGCTAGAGGCACAGAGTAAAGCAGGGCAGTTATTGGGGAGGTGTGAGGAAGGATTGAGGCGTGTGCTGCAGGCGTTGGACAATTATTCTGTTGCATTTGAGGCGTTGNGGGGTATGAGAGATCAGATCCAGGCTGCGGTTGACTGTCTTAGTTTGGCTGAGTAGGTAGATTTAGTGTGTTAGTAGGACAAGGGGGTTTCCATAGAAGTTTCGTCATCTGTTTGGTCAGTCGAGCGGGCTGGGTCTAATTTCTCACAATTCACGTCGTCTTCATGTGCCAGGCTTCATCAGAAGAGCAAAACGGCTTTTCACAAGCAAGATGGACGAAGCCGAACCACAGCAAATTTGAAAGGAGATGGTGGAGAGGTCTGTTTGCCCCGGACCATGATTGGCATCTCCACACAATGACAATATGGGGCCGCCGAGACTAGCTAGCGAACGACGAGATAGATCTCGCGAACGTGTAGAGCTGCATCCGGCAAGACGTGCGAGATAGAGGTTGCAAGAGCATGCTCTTTTGTTGCCGACACATGTGATTTCCAGCAACATACATTCGAATTGGAGCCGTCAGTCAGGAGCTCAAGATGTGGCATCAGAGGCGAGGTCCGGCTTGGTAGTTCTGGCTGTCAAGGACGTCAGCGTTCTCTATCCGGATGACGCTTGCCCCAGAAAGTGGATATTAACCTCGGCACCGAGGCAGGAGACAGGGTCCGTGTCTACTGCAACAACCGATGGCGCAGGGATAAGTAACTTACAATGCAGCGATCATCACCTTGATTATTTCCCCCTCCTCCCAAATCACACATACCATCACAATCATGGCACCCACTCCCTCATGGGTCAAAGACCTCAAGCCCGCAGGCGTCCAAGGCACCGAGCTGCTGTCGCAAGAGCGAGCAAAGTCCAACGTCAATGTTCAAGCATTATCGACCTTTTTGTTTACACAAGAGGGTCTTGACCGCAAGCACAGGATCTTGAAGATTCTGACGCAGGAAAAGGTGTTTGACAAGTCGCAGAACTACTTTGCCGGCCGCATTGATCGCTTCGAGACGGCGTTGGCGAGGGCAAAGAGGCTGCGACAGCTGCAGGTCAAGCACAACTGGACCGACCAGGACAAGCAGATTGCCAATGAGCTCATCAGTGAGCCTGGTCCATACGGCCTGCACGAGAGCATGTTCTTGGTGTGTTGTGTTCCGAGAAAAGAGGTTCCACCCAGCTGCTAACTAGCCGTCCAGATCACCCTCCGTGACCAGGGCACGCCCGAGCAGCACGAAAAGTTCCTCAAGCCAGCACGAAACTACGAATACATTGGCTGTTACGCCCAGACAGAGCTCGGCCATGGCTCAAACGTGCGAGGACTCGAGACGACGGCAACATGGAATGCCGAGGACAAGACTTTCATCATCAACTCGCCCACCCTGACCGCCAGCAAGTGGTGGATTGGTTCTCTCGGCCGCACCGCCAACCACGCCGTCGTCATGGCCCAGCTGTACATCAACAACAAGCCCTACGGCCCCCACCCCTTCGTTGTGCAGATCCGCGATCTCAAGACACATCAGCCGCTCGAGAACATCCACATTGGCGACATTGGACCCAAGTTTGGGTACAACACCATGGACAACGGTTTCCTGCTGTTCAACAAGGTCAAGGTGCCGCACATCAGCATGCTGGGCCGCTTCTCCAGCGTCGACCCCAACACGAGCAAGTACCTGCGTCCTGCTTCTCCCTCGCTCATCTACGGAACCCTCACCTGGGTCCGTAGCACCATTGTTTTGCAGTCTGGCAGCGTCTTGGCTCGTGGTGTCACCATCGCCACCCGCTACGCTGCCGTCCGCCGTCAGTTCCAGGACCGCGATGCACAAGATCCCAAGTCGGACGAGAACCAGGTTCTCAACTACACAACTGTGCAGATCAGACTTTTGACTCTGTTGGCTACCTGCTACGCCCTGCACTTTACCGGCCGTGGTATGATGCAGCTCTACGAGGCCAACCAAAAGAAGATGAGCCAAGATGCAGGCAAGGCCAGCAGCGCAAAGCGCGGCGCCGGCCCCGAGGAAGTCACCCCAGGCAGCGATTTGCTCGCCGACCTGCACGCCACCTCGTGCGGTCTCAAGTCGCTGGCCTCGTCTACCGCTGTCGACGGCCTCGAGGTCTGTCGCCGTGCCTGCGGTGGCCACGGCTACAGTAACTTCTCGGGCATTGGCCCCTGGTACGCCGACTACCTGCCCACGGCCACCTGGGAGGGAGACAACTACATGTTGACCCAGCAGGTCGCCCGCTACCTGCTCAAGTCTGCCCGCACTGTGCTCAAGGGCAACGAGCCCACCAACGACACGACCGCCATCCTCGCCAACTTCCTCGCCAAGTCCGAGACGGGCGCCGCCTTCAACATCATGGACAAGGATGAAGATCTTGTTGCCGCCTTTGCGTGGCGCTCCGCCTTCCTCACCTTCGAAGCCCTCAAGCACCGCGACGAGAACAAGAAGGCGTGGAACGATTTGCTTGTCGACTTTTACCGTCTGTCGCGCGCACATTCGCAATACATGGTCGTCAAGAACTTTTATGAAGCTCTCAACTCGTCATCCATAAACTCCGAGTTGGATCCTCCCACCATCGATCTCATGCACAAGTTGTTCCGTCTCTACGCCCTCCACACCCTCGAGTCCGAGGCTTCCGAGTTTTACACTTCGGCCGCAGTCACCGTGCGCCAGATCCAGCTTGCGCGCACAAACGCAGTCATGAAGTTGCTTGCCGAGATTCGTCCTCATGCCGTCCGTCTGGTCGACGCATGGGACTTCCCAGACTGGCAATTGGATTCTTCGCTGGGACGCTACGATGGCAAGGTCTATGAAGACATGTTCTACCGTGCGAGCGAGCTGAATCCTCTGAACGCTATTACGGTGGATCCGTACCCGAACAGCGAGGTTCTGTTCAAGACGAACGATAGTGGCAAATTCAAGAGCAAGCTCTAAATGGAGGAACCTCTTGCTTTTCCTGTAGACTAGGGCCGCGTTTCGCAAGATCTTTATGAAAATGATGTCCTTGTTATGTATTACCTAGCAATATATGAAAACCTTTTTACTTTTCAAATAATGCATTCACTACCATATGCCTTTCTATCAATGGTCGACAAACGGCATATATGCTTCTCATTCTAGTGATGCTAGCAGTCATGTCCCTTGGCCACTCGAGCGTGGAAGAAGATCTTAAAACATGACTCCTTTCAGCAATGAGGATGCGGATCAATAGCTCTATCGTGGAAAGCGATAAATTTGCTTAGAGGAAACATATAACATTCAACTTTGTTTCAAACCCAGTCATTGGGAAAGTCCAGTCAATGATATGACAGGGATCTGAGTTGTCCATGCCAGAACACATCAAGATACACCACTTGCTTCTTTCTTACATATCGTTCCCTCATCATCAAGTCTCCTCAATCACTGTATCGTCCTGCAAGGCAGAGAGATCCACATCGCTGAGCCGCCACATGTACCACATAAATAGACTTCTGNNTTGCGGTCTGTCAGCAAACATGCAAAACTGTGAAAAAAGAAAGCACAGCATATACCGATACGGCGAGAACTTTGCAGCTGCATCCAACATGGCCTGTTCGCTGCCCATGTACTTCCACTTTCCTCCTCCTTTGGCTTTGAGTTTGTTGACGTCTCTGCCTGTGTAGACTGCTAACCCACGTNNCTGTTGGTTTTTTCCATTAGATTTACCATAATTTTGCTGGGACATACTGGTGTATGAGCAAGGCAAGACAAAGACTTACTGAACACCCAGATCACCGGTTGAGAACACGTTCATGCGTTTCAGATCAAAGCAAGCAAACATTTCCACCGACCATTTGCCCAGCCCACGCACTGCAATCAGTTTTTCCATGACTTGGGCGTCGGTGGCTGTGGTCAGCATTTCCGCAGTCAACGTGCCGTTGGAAAACTGCTCGGCAAGTCCTTGGATATACTCTGCCTTTCTCTGACTTAATCCCGCCGTCCTGAGCGTTGGGATGGGCATATCCTTGACCATCTGCGGAGGAGGAAATTCAGGCGGTCCTGGATACTCGTATGCAGCGTCTGCGGCAAACAGGTTGATGAACTTGTTCTTGATGCTGGAGGCAGCAGCGCCAGAAACTTGTTGAGCAATAATACCAGAAGCCAAAGAGCGGAAAGGGTTGATTGGTTGAGCTAAGCCTTCTGCGTCAAAGACTTTGCAGTGGAATTTTGCTAGGAAGGGTGCTAGGCGTCCGTTGGAGTCGTTGGCTTTGAGGTGTGCGAGCGCAGTATCTAGAAGTGAATTTGTGGTGCTGAGGGCAGGCCCAACAGTATCGCTGCTCCAGGTTGAGTATGCAGTTATTGTTTTGTTGGAGGTTGGTGATTTGACGGGTGCGTTTGTGATGTGAGGTTCTGCGGGCCTGGGGATTGGATCTTGCGATGGTTCGTTCCCATTTACGTTGAGACTATCGCTTGGTACAGAAGCTGTTGTCACTGGCAGGCTAATAGCTGCAGATGTTGGCTTTGCTGGCGATGCGTTATTGATCTTCCGACGTTTGCGAGGCGCTTCTTTGCTAGAAGAAGCGTCTCTTGATGTAGCCTCTAGTTCTCCGTTTGACGTCGAAAGTGGTTCTTTGGTAGATTTTGACGGTTTAGATTCTGCAGCACTTGGCTTTCTCTTGGTTACTTTGAGCTGAGAAGTCAGCGTGACTGTAGTGTTAGACAGCGCCTGAACGCGAGCAGAGCGCCTGAGAGACATTCTGGAGAGATGGGTTGCGAACAAAGTAGCAGGAGCCAGTTTTTACAACAGTCGTCGCATATGACAGAAAGTCGATGGGCGGAGTCATGGGTGGTCGAAGATACTCGCTCGCTAAAGAAGGTGGTCGAGGGATGGAAGACGGGTGACGCAATGACGCATGTGGGAGTTACGATTTCACCAAGTTGACAGCCTACGTACAACTTTTGAATGTGCTGAAGAATCTGCGAAAACATTGTACATTTTCAAAAAGGGAGCAATATCTCTCTCGAGAGAAGATCATCATAGGGCATCTTTAGGAATACATTTCTGTTCGGATAGCCATTGCGGTGAATGTAGCTACATTAGCACAGAGGGAGGTGGAAATTTACCCAGAAGATCTCCCCACCAGACAGGAGCTGACTACAACGCACGAGCGAAAAGAGTTGTGACAGACAAATGACATTCGAGCATGAGTGAAAGTCACGTCCAGTGGTGGTGCAAGAAGCACAGACCATGAATAGAAACGCGTGAGGCAAAATGGTTCGATGAGTAGTCAAAGCAGGGCATTTATGGCTTGAACATCTCGATACGCCCCAGCGTGACTTGGTTGTAGATGACCCTTGGCTATCGAGTGTTGGTAGTGCATCCGTATGCCACAACCGACGAGAACTGCGCGATAGTACTCGTCTTGTGTTGGAAACGAAGGCCCTCTCGAACAAGATGATGAATGGAGTTGTGCTCGTCAAAAGGAAAAAGGCGATTTTGGACATTCTAAAGGTATAGAGTACATGAAAGCGGGCGGCGACTCGGGGGGATGAGCGAGTTTCGGAGAGTTAGGGCGATTATTTCTTGATGACCATGGCGTCGAGATCCATTCTCTCTCTTCTCTCGGACTCGATCTCCTTGATGATGGGGCTCAAGTATGGGACATCCTGCAGAGTGTGTAAGCAATTGGCTCTTCAATGTTACAGAGAACGGGTGTGTTGTTGGGGACGCACCTCCTCGGGCTTGGTCTGCTCGTTCTTGGGGAGAAGCTGGTGTGAGATGGAGCACTGCAAGGGAGTGTTAGCGCTGTGCGGTGTGGATTGAACGCAGTGTCGAGGTTCGCGGACCTGGAAAGCGCGGCGCATGCGGAAGACACGGTCGTAGGCCTCCTTGGGCGGGAGACGCTTGAGGGCGAGGAGGACGGTCTCGGACTCCTCGGGGATCAGGTCGTCGGCTCTNGCAGAGGGATGTTAGGAGAGAGTCGCAGGGCTGCTGGCAGGGGCGACGGACCTCAGGCCCAACTTTCTGTAGCCGGCGGCGTCGGTGTACCAGTTGGCGAGAGGGGTCATCCAGCGCTTCAACCAGGGGCGCTTGACAATGAAGTTGGTGAGCGAGGGCTGCGACATGATTGCGGTGTGTGAGGTGGTGGTGGACGGGGTCGAGACTCGAGAGCTTCAATGGCGACCGTCTTCAACGACCAGGCTTGATCTCTTGTCGTCCGACTTACAGGTCGACGCTGATTGGCTGCTGACCTTGGACACGCATTGCCCAATCAGCGTCGCGCCCAGGGCCCCCACTTTGAGCCGGCCGCGCGCGACCGCCGGCTGTTCCCTTTGATGCTCGCCGGAGGTTGGACGTGACAGCGACGGCATTGTCGACACCAAGAGACACTGATCCGCCAGACACACGACACAGCCAGCCGTCAGACCACCTCCACCCTCAGCCATTGTGTGCAGATTCATGGAGACGCACAATCGCTAACCAAAGCTGCTTGAAAGCGGTGCCGGGCCGCGCGCGCATCCAACCACTCCCGTATCTACCACTCACTTCCTCACCTCACCGTCTATCTGTCCGAAAGACGATCCGTCCGCCCGATCTGTCTATTCATCCGCTCTCAGTCCGTCCCATCTGCCTCGGGCCTGAACATGCGCAGCTATTGAGGCGTACCCATCCGAAACAATGTCAGCCCCGGCATCCAACACCCACGATCTCAAGTCACCACCTTCAACCGTGACTCTCTTGGCTCAAAAACTGCCCAAGCCATACATCAACAGTCTCTGTGGTGCTGCCGCCGGCGTTGCTTCGGGCGTCGTTACCTGTCCGCTTGATGTCATCAAGACCAAGCTGCAGGCCCAGGGCTCTTTCCGCCATCAACAGCATAACCAAACCTCTCCTTCAACCTCCCAAGTCTACCGAGGCCTCGTTGGAACTGCAAAGACAATCGTGCGCCAGGATGGTCTCAAGGGCATGTATAGAGGTCTCGGACCCATGGTTCTTGGTTATCTGCCCACCTGGGCTGTCTACATGAGCATCTACGACATAGCAAAGACCAACTACTCGGAACGGATTGGTAAGTCGACCCGATCTGAGTCCTGCCTATCGCATACTGACCTGCGCCCAGAACCCCAGTGGTTTGCTCACGTCTGCTCATCCGTCACGGCCGGTGCCTGCTCGACGCTTGCAACGAATCCCATCTGGGTCATCAAGACTCGTCTCATGTCGCAAATATCTACAAAAGCCGTCGAAGGACATCGCACCCCTTGGCATTACAACAACACTTGGGATGCCGCCCGTCAAATGTACAAGGGCGAGGGCATCAAGGCCTTTTATTCCGGTCTGGCTCCCGCATTATTGGGTCTTACACATGTCGCCATCCAGTTCCCGCTATATGAGTACCTAAAACTCAAGTTTACCGGTGTCGAGATGGGCGCAGCTCCTCCGAGCCAAGGCACAAACTCGGTCGGTGTGCTCGCTGCGACCTGCATCAGCAAGATCTGCGCTACCACTGCCACATATCCTCACGAAGTCTTGCGCACTCGTCTACAAACACAACAAAGAGGCATCCCTAGCTCTGATGGCATGATCAACAAGCCCCGCTATCAAGGTGTCATCAAAACCTGCAGACTTATCCTATACGAAGAGGGCTGGACTGCCTTCTACAGCGGCATGGGAACCAATCTCATCCGAGCCGTCCCTGCCGCCATGACCACCATGCTCACCTTTGAAACGCTCAAAAGTGTCATCGTCCGCATGCAAGCCGAGGATGAAGAAGCGCACCTTCCTGGAACCCTTTAGAACCATTCTACATCCGACAAAGCCTTTTACTCATGCTTCTCCATCATATTCACGAGCTACGCCCAAATGTATAGAAAGAATCTTTACCCTCACAGTTTTCGCTTGCACTCAACCACCACAAACTCTTCAGGGGAGCGGTCTCAGTTATCTAAATCGACCATCACGGTATTGCTTTGCATTTAAACCCCGGTTAGGGTGTTCACAGCAAGGCGTTCAGGGGTTTTTCTTCGACATGCAAGATCTGGCTTGCATGGGTTTTGTTCTTTGTTTTCTCTCGTCGCCGCAAAAATGAAACAATGTTAACCTTTCGTCTTTGCTCCTCTGTTTTGAATACTGGCACCTTTTGTTGCGACTGACATCTCGGAATGTCTGCTAACCTGACTTTTCGACGACTCGCATGTCGTACTAATCTCATTCTTCAAACATCATTCACATACGGCCTTTACGCTTTGGCTCGATTTGACAACGAGATGGACGGAATTGTATTTCGATGAGTATCTGCCAGCGACATGTCAAGCATGTAAGAAACAAGATGAAAGAAGCATGGATATCCAATGTCGGTCACCACTTCCTCAAAGCAGTAGCCTCCTTCCAGACTGCAGTCCGCTCATCCGTCACAGTCGTACCCACACAATCAATCAAATACGCATTCCAGCCGTCCTCTGTCAAACCCGCAAGCCCTCTCCTAATCTCTGCATCACACTGCGTCACCAAAAACCACGCCGCTGATGCAAACCCCCAGCGATCATTGTTGACAAGCGCCAGCACTTGAACTGGACCTTCTGCTTCCGCCTCTTGCACTTGCTGCAATGATAAACCTGAATCTGTCCTGTTTGCAGCCAGCCACTGTGCGTATTTGAGGTTAAAGGCTGGGCTTTGCATGTTACGGGTGCCTTGACCAGGAACACCAGGATAATGATTGGTGTTGTGTTTGAAAGAGGCGGATTTGTAGAGTATGAGTGCGAGTAGGGCGGCTTGTGTGCCAAAGTCGTGGATGGAGAAAGCGGTAAAGGCGAGGTTGATATATGGTACGGCGCGTGTGGTTGTTGCGCATTCAGCAGGGTATGCTGCTTCTGTGCATGATATACTGTCGGGGACGATGATGGCGACGTCTGCACTTGCGAGGGGCGAGGTGTTGCAGGGAGGAACGGGTGTGGCCATGCAGGTAGGCAATGCCAGTGAGAAGATGACGAATAATGCTTTGAGTCTCATGTTGTTGGCTTTCGATGACCATAGCTATGAAAAGCTGGCGAATGTGTAAGAAGACGAGCAGAACACAACATTATCTATGAGTCGTAAGAAGAGCAAGGAGAAACAACAACAAGAACAAGAAGCAGCAAGACTACCAGAAACATCAAAGATCCTACAAAGACCATGCCAACTCTGAGAACTTACCTATCTCCATCTAGCAAACCTGTCAGTGTGAAACTCTCCACCTTCCTACTCTATCAAAGCACCAAAGGTCTTTCTTTTCGGCAGTCAGCAGAGACACAGACATCCCCCAAAACCAAGTCACAGCATTGTTTCATCTCATCCCTCCAAGCGCAGCGTGCGCCACGCCGTGCTCGAGCGCGCGCAAGGAGGAAGCCTGCCTACCTCTTTGTGCGACAATCACCTACGCGCCTGGATATCTCATCCCTCCCGCCATCACAGTCCAGCACACCGAGACGTTCACGCACGCGGTTGCAACCAGACCAGCTGTCGTCCGTCATGGCCAATGGCAAGGCATGGGCGACTTCATGCATTGCACGCGTCACCCAGCACGGTTACCAGCAAGGAAAATCGTACGACATGTTTGATGGGTTACAGGCGGGTTCGAAAACCAGGTTTCTCGTGTTGATGTGTTGATGGGCCAGGCTCTGTCGGTGCAACATGTTGTACGCGAAGTTGATGATGGCGTCTGAGTCAGGGTTGCTCCCACGCCAGGAAAAATGAGACATACTGTGCCTTTTTGTGGCCCTATCAATGTCTCCAGTGCATACTCGAATCCTAATGTTTCCTACGATATTTCTAGTTGCCAAAACGGAGCTTCCATCAAGTCAGAATGCCTATTCTCACTGTCAAGGGGTAATATCAACAAGCATCTTGTGATCAGTTCTAACTCGGAGGAGAGACGAGACGTGAACCATTTACGACTTCTTTCATTGCTACAAAGCCCCATCCTGTCTCGTCTGATAGCAAGGCTCTTTGAACGTAAAGCGCCGGCCTAAGAGACCTCATCCCAAAATGCTTACCTTTCTACCTGGAAAAACGCCATCGCTAAGAAAAAGGGTATATCAATCGTGACGACGCTCCATATTCAGATTTCGTTTGAGTTTCAGCTACCACTCATCGCATGACTCCATAGCGTCTTGCACGCTCCTGCGTAGCTTGCGCCTTCATTCTGTTAGCGCTCAACTATCAGAGACTACAAAGACATAGTATGCCTCAGGTTTCACTTACCTGTACATCTTCTTGCCATTCTCATCACCCCAGAGCAGAGCCGATGCAGCAGGATTTACCAATGCACGAGGATCATATGATGGTGTTTCTTCGATGATGGTCGCCATGATGCTCTCAATGTGGTTCTCCACGTCGTAGAGTTTGGTCGGGAAATAGCAGAGTGCTTTAGTAGTGGCACTAATACGGTGATGGAAGAGGGGCGTAAGGACCGTAACTCGTGGCTGCCCTTCCGGAAACTCGAAGGGGAAGTGTATGCGAACGTTGATCGTTGCGCCGTACAGATCTGACTCATTTGGGCCGAAGAACGTGAGAATCCAGACAAAGGGGTTTGCGTCAACGAGACTGATTTCGACAGAGGGCCCATTGCTTTGAGAGTAGTAGGAGCGTAGCGATCCGAACTGATGCTGGAGGTTCAAGGCTGTGCCATGTTGATCGGTGAGTACCTGTTTGCCATTTTCGGCCCAAGTGTCCTTTTCAGCTTCGAGAGCCTGCCAGACGCGTTGAAAGCGTGTTCTGAGCGAAGCATAGGCGTACTTGCCGCGCATCTCGTTGCTGCTGTATTCGAACGGCGTGTGCTCGAAGTGCAGACCGTCTTTGACCTTTGTTGAGGCATCGTCAATCGACTTGATATAGGCGTCATAGTACCAGAGAAAGCGGCGCTTGTAAAGATCGGTGAAGGGACAGAAGTCAGATTCCGTGCTTCCATCCTTTTCATCGGCCGAGGGGTCATACTCTTTCACGCCGTCATCGTCGTAGTCGGTAGGTGGTGTGTTCACAGCCATGGCAGTCGTTGTGTGATCGTCACCAGAGATCTGAAGCAGCTGCTCGAGGCGTTGGAGCACCGTTATTCTGAGAGTCTCGTGGCGNTATCTACGAGCGAATGTCAGCGCTCGCGATTACTGATTGCTCCAGACACAACAGACTTTTTGCGCATACTCTTCAGCCTCCTTGTTTGTGAGTTTGATGGTCTCGAAGCCAGGCTCGTTTTCATAAGGATTGCAAGACATGAGCGATTGTATACTGATAAGTACACTCTCCAATCCTTGCGCGGTGCTCCATTGTTCGCCTCGCTCACCACGCCATGTGCCNTTGATTTGATTAGCCCTAACATAATGAAAGCGACGACAATGATATGTACCGAGAATACTGAGGCATACTTTCCCAGACGCGTAGATGTTGGGGTTGAAGCGACAGCGACCATTGTTAGTGGTCAAGCATCTCACGGACGGAGGTTGCACAGGATAGGCGGGACCAATTTTGACTTTGAACTCGAAGAAACCGAATTCGTAGGGTGTATCGGAGGGGCCGACGATGAGACAGCGCACATTACTAACATCGTCCTCGAGGTGAGCGACGGCAAGGGCTAGNCACGGTCAGCTCAGTTGTCTCGGCTGGAAGAGTTAAAAAGCAGACGTACACAGATCCGAGCCAGTCTGGAGTTCCTTTATCTCCTGGATGAAAGGTTAGACGTCTGGCAGGCACAAATGATGATCCATACTTGCTCTCAGGATGCGGATGGTTGACGAGTTGTTGGCCATTCTGGGCGAGGAGGACGTTCAGGACAACGAGCAAGTTCAGTGAATGCAAGATACCTTGGGATCGGATTGCTAGCGAGATGGCATGTCAGATGGCAGAGTTGAAGCGCCAAGAGAGATGTTCTTTGCAAAGTTGCAGTGGTAATGCTGCAAAGTGTGTGTATTGGTTGGTGGGATGCTTGCTGCAAGCTAGTCACAGTCACAGCCGACAGAAAAGAGCGTCGCGCGGGGCAGAGGCACGGCGCTTGCTCAGTCAGACAGGAGTTTGGGATGGAGAGTGAGATGGAGGTAGGTATATATGTCTCGCACGCACACGTTTGGCGCTTGATCTCTTGTCAGAGCTGCGACAGAAAAAGAGACGATTGTTCGGTGAAGTGACTCGTGCTTTGCGATTGAGAAGCGACGGGCAACGGTATCGATGGGGCTGCTGGCTGAAGCTCTCGTTGCTCCACACCGCCTTCGTTGTTGTCGACAGCGTCCAGACAGCTCGAGCTTGACTTGCTGTTAGTCGCGCAATCACCATGTAAGTACAGGAGAGACTTTCAACACTCGATGGACTATCACTGACCTCTTTCTGCAGGGTCGTCTTTGCTCTGCTCGTCATCAACAAGGCCGGTGGACTCATCTACAACCGCAACTTTGCGCCCGGTCTCCAGCAGCTCAACTCCAACGACTATCTCATCCTGGCCGGTACCTTTCACGGCATCCATGCCATCTCGCGCTCTCTGTCCCCCGTCGCACCCCCTCCTGCACCGCCGGGTAATCGCGCAAACCACGCCACCGGCATCCAGTCGCTCGAGTCGTCGCACTTCCGTCTGACCTGTTTCCAAACTCCCACCGGCACAAAGTTCCTGCTCTTCACCAGCCCCGAGCAACCCAATACCGATCAGATTACTCGCAGATGCTACGACATCTATGCCGACTACGTCATGGCCAACCCCTTCTACAGTCTCGAGATGCCCATCCGCGTCGACAAGTTTGACAGAGCTCTGGCCGCCTATCTCGTCCGCCCTTGACCGCCTGCCACTACCCACGAACCTCTCCTGACCACCTGATACTCGACCTGCGCACGACCTTCTTGCTCTTCGCCGACGTTTCTACTGCGCCCACCACCATCGTCTTGGCTGCAGCTCGCCTAACAATGCAACCACACCCTCATGACCACGGTCCTCTGCTTGGTAGCCACATGGGGCCCTGACCCGCCGCCGTCTCCTGCTCGCTCAACCCGATACGAGATTAACGACCCTCATGTCGCGGTCCATCCCGCACTGAGTGATGCTTCTTCTGCACGCCAGAACATGTCACGAACCCACGTGTGTAACAACCAGTGTATCACTATCAACAAGACAGCAAAGATGTGTCCACGTGTGTGGGCGGCCTGGCCATAAGGCTGCCTGTCTCTGCTGTCGGTCAATCTCCACCCAACAACCCCGTGTTTGATGGCAACAAGAGACCCCTGTCACGTCCGTGTTCTGAATCATGAGTCTGCCCGATCATGCCCGAAGCGTTGGTGTCTTGACTCAACGGCTCTGCTTAAGCTTGAGTTCACCATTCGCGATTAGAGACAACCGTATCGGCGGTCTAGCTCCTTGTCTGTACTTAACTACTCCTGCCCATGTGGCCACAACCAAGATTGTGGGCCAACTAGACCAGTTGCACCTCGAGCTAGTGATACGCTCATTCGAACGGTATCAACGTCATCAAGTATTCTCCATCTAAACATAAACATATCGTTTTTACTTTTCAGCCTGCCCGTTGAAGCCCTGATCTTTGGTAAGGTGCTTGAGCATGTGTCTGAGCTAGACCGATCTCAGGTGTGGAGTCCGGCCTTGACCGATAACCTTCGACCAGCCTGAGCTATGTGCTGCGGCTGTGGCTTTTGTTGTCTCCTAAAAGTCGAGACAGATTTACCACCTTCTGAAAGCGGAAAAAGAGAGAATCCATTCTGCAAGGGTGCAAACGTTTAGTGGCGGGAGAAAAGCCGATCCGGGTTTGCCTGGCCGAGCTGTTGAAGGAGCAGAGGTGTGAAATAATAAGAGAGTTGGCGATCTCGAGTTCCCGCCGGTCTTGTTTTCGGGCATGTGGCTGTTCGCCCCTTCGCCGCGTGCGGCCCACGTTGTCCATGACTTAGATCGTGCTTTTATGGTGTTTGCTGATCTCTTGCCTAAAGGCAACTGCTTGTATCATGACAGAAACACGAGCCGTTTCTGCCGCCCCGATCACGTCAAGGGTAAAGGATCAAAAAGCATATGCTTTCTCCATGCATATTTTCTAACCTACAAGGGGTCCTGTTGCACGTCAGTCAGAGTCCATCTCCGAGGCCGTATCGAGGCGTGCCATCTGAAGGTCCACGCGATTGTTGTGCGACACGGCCGGAGAAATGCTCAGCGCCCAGACATTCACAGAGTCGAATTGCTTTGGTAACTTTAACCACCCCATGATCTCTTGAATCATAAGCTTTACCGTGACTGGCCGAGGAATCCAACACCACAGGTCCGATTGCAGATGACGTGCATTAGCTCGCCGCAGATATCTCCATGTATCTGTAACACAAGGCAGGGTGGAGATGCCTCACCAAAACGCCTGCAATGGCTCAGCAGCAGAGCGCACGGTTGATGCTGCTCTCTTTGCTCTGCCTGTGACACGCTGTCTCTCTTCCGGCTACCAGGATGATGAAGGATGGTCTGCAATGCGTCCTGTCGTGACCACACAGGCGCACAAGAGTGGACCGTCGCCCTCCCTATCCTCAACCCGCAACCCCTGGCGTGCGTTGGGTCACAACCGGGCTGTATTCTCATGCTTTGTCAACGGGCAGCAGGACAACAAGACGATTGATGAACAGATTTCCATTATCCAATCTGCTCGGCTGACGCGGAAGTAGATCTTGTTGCGCAACCCTACCGATTGGTTCCCCGTTTCCGACGCTGGGGAAGGCGTCCATTCTGCGACTGAGGGACGAATGATCTTTCTGGGTTGCCTGAAGGTGCCGCAGCTGCTGCGTTCTCCCTGTTCTCCTCTGTTCCTCCTTGGCCTTCGGATAGGTAGAGCCGTCTGATCGGCACCAGGCAGTAGAACCAGCATCAGCAGCAAAATTCTCCGCTGCAGCACCACTCGAGACTCNTCATTTCCTGACGCCGCGAGGAGTTGCCATGCTGCATCGTGTGTCGGCTGCAACGAGCGCCAACCTACATGTACACAGGACATGCACACTCCGCGAGATTGTCGGGTTCATATGGGGTATCGCGTACTGTCGAGAACTTTTGTGTGTAGCTACAGAATTGATGTTGAGAGAGACGAAAAGACGCCAGCTTCCAAATCGCCAGTCTTGCTCCTGTCATGTAGATTCCGTGCACGCTGCGATAATGAGACATGAAAGCGGAGCCTCGATATGTGTACGGCCGAATGGTTTTAGGAGCCCAAGAAAACCCACACCTTGGCCCTTTTGGTTCCCGCTATTTTGCGCGGGCGCAGGGCAGACGGGGCTAGAGCAGAATCCACGTGCAATGAGTTTCGTTGCCGATCCCAGACAGAGACCATTCCGAGGTCTGCATAGTTTCCTCTTTCCACGCAATACACGGTTACAACTCTTGCTCACCTCTCCCGGCGTAACTCTTGTGAACCATTTCTCCCTCTTCCCACTCCCAGGACTTGCCCATCGCCCCTTCCACCCCACCAATCTAACCGGACTCCGCAGCTTCAGACGGTGCCGCTACATCTCGAGACTCAATTGTTTCAGCTCCCGCAACACTCGACTCTTCCTTTTGGCGCGTTGCGCAAGTCGGGCCAGCGTCGAATGCAAGGCACGCTCTGACGGACAAAGGCAGCACCCCCTCACACCACGCTCTAGTCATCCCAGCACCTGGCCAAACATTTGACAGCACGACGGAACCCCGTGTATCCAATCGCCTCTCCTTGTCAAACGGCACCCGGAGTCTGATGCTCTTGCTGCCACTTCTGCTGCAATCTTCTTTTCAAGCTCCGATCAGCGCTCCGTGTGGATCAATTGCACCTCTCAATTGTCTCTGACCTCGAGACCTTTCGTCGAGGCGGTTTCTGATCTGTATTTCTTCATTTTTTGATTCTCTCCGGATCCCCCAAGGGAACCTCGAAGGATTCGAAAAGGCATCGATCCAGCTAGCTGAACACCACCAAATCGGTTTCGGAACCAGCGTTGGCATTCTGTCCATGAACGCCTATTGCAACACCGTTTAAAAACCGCCGCATACATTTTCTCTTTGCGTGTGCACACGCCATCTCTGCAGCCACATCCGCTTTTGAGGATCCTCATCGACGTCTCCACGTTGTCGGCGCCTCCACAACTCTTCCTCATCTTCCTGTCCTCACCCTCTTATTCTTTGGATTTTCCATAAAGGTATGCATTTTCTGTTCTATCCTTATTCAATTGTTCTTCTATTTCGCGGGTGGAGCACGTGAGCGTTTATTTGAGCAGACCACTTACGTTCTCCAGGATTCTTACTGGACAGCTTCACAAACTGCCTTTGCTTCGTGACCTCGCTACTAGAGTCACTCTCAAACTACCTCAAGCAGGTGACCCAGGGCTCCACTGCACAAAAGCAGATTTTGATTTCGTCGGTTTTCTGTTGTCCACCCGCTCGTGAGCACCATCCTTCATAACGCTGCTCGTGAATACCATTCTCTTTCCCTCACGCTTCGACGTTGAACACAAGCTTGCCATACGAGTCCCTCCTGGCATAAACATGGCCGCTCCGAAAAACGAAAACCAGCAACCTCAGCAACCTTCACCATCTCAGATGCTGCCCTCCATTGCATCTCTGACAAACGGTCTACCCAGCTCCAACCAGTACTCGCCTCCAAACCGTCAGCCTTCTCACCTGCCCTCGAGAGACTCGGGGACTTGGCCGCCGATAAGCCATCCTCAGATGAAGCGTAAGTCACTTATCGTCGCTTGAACATCTAGTTCCTGCACATCAAGACCACTGTCGATATACCCACACGCACCTGCCAGAGCTGTAGCTACAGCTCTTGCGGTTTCCCCCGATAAACCTTAAACCGGCTTGAGCAACGCTGACTTCTCTTAGNCTGTCGAGCCCCACATGAACAACCAGGCACTTCAAGTATCGACCCTGCTGAATCCAGATGACTCTCAGTCAAGAAGCTCGATACCAAACACACCGACATCGAACAGACTCTCTCAGCACCAACAGCAACCAAGCGCGATCTTGCCGTCGATCAACCAGACCTTCGATGTGGGAAACCGAGGAAGTGTGGACTACCACCAATCGTTCGACTCGCGCAGAAGTAGCATTGACAGCCGTGTTCACAATGGTATCTCCAACCTGGGTCTCAACAATCCCACGTCTCCCTACGAAAGCCAAAATGGCTCTCAAGTCTCGTTGGCTGCCAGTCTTCGACGACCCAACAACGGAAACCCAATGTCACCCATGAGTGGTCGTGGTAGCATCCGCGGGCAAGGACCAAGAGTTGCGCCTCCAATCGTTGGTGCCTCCCGAGTTCCCGGTGGTCCTGACCCAATGGCTTCCAAGCCAACTCCCGGTCATGCCTGGGCCTTCCCTGACGATCCGATAGCTGAAGAATCAAGACGCGAATCAAGCAGCGAGGACTCTCAACGTCACAGCATCTCCAGAACCAACAGCTATGCCGCATCTTCCATCAGAAGCAGCATCTTCTCTCAGGGCGAAGGTCTCCCTTATGGCCAGAGAAGATTTGATGACGATGCACCAACCCACCATCACCACAGCATGAGCCAACACAGATTGTCTGCACTTCAGAATGAGGCCAACATGTCAGGTGGTGGAAACTACAGCCGTACGCCAGAGTTGCGCATCAGCCACAAGCTTGCAGAGCGCAAGCGTCGTAGTGAGATGAAGGATCTCTTCGAGGAGCTTAACAGAGTCGTGCCAACCAACGGTGGCGCAAAGGCTAGTAAATGGGAGATCTTGACANAAGGGTGAGTTCAGCTGGGATATCCTCGCACAGAAGTTGCTAACATAATGGCAGCCATTGAATACATCAAGACCACTCAGAATCAAGAAAGGGGACTGATGAGCGAGTGCAATCGTCTCCGCGATGCTTCGGACTACGCTCGCGACGCACAATCGACAATCAAAAATCTCCAAACAGAAATTGCCGTCATGCAAGAACGTCTCAGATTGGTGGAGCCTGGCAACCCACACATCTACGGTGCATACACCTCGGAGATATCACAAGCTCATGCCCAAGCTCAGGCCAATGGACAACCTCGTCAATTCTCTCTGCCATCGATGAACGCTGTGCCTCCACCTCCGCAGCACTACAACGCGTCCGCCGCGGCTGCCCAAGGAATGCAAGGTGTAGAGTACGGCAACGCTGCCAGACACCATTAGGATGGTCAACCTTCGGCCTCAAGGGTGAGTTGTTCTCGGGCAGATCACGACGGAGACGACGATGACGATGGGGCGCAAGATGGAGTCTAATGCTTTTTCGGATGGGACGCATCTGGGGCCGACAATAAGGATTAACATAAGGAGTTTTTCGCATACTGGGGTGTATTCATATCTAACATACGGGTGGTATCAGCAGGCACGAAGCCTCTGAGGTAGACTTTTTCTTTCTCTGTTTTCCTGTTTCCTATCTTTTGTTTGATGGACTTGCTGGGAGTTGTGGGCGATCACTTTCTCTCTTTTTATTTTCCGGTGAACAACACTTCGGGCGGCGTCTCACGACAGTCTTACATGCGAAATCAAGATTGGGGGTGGATTAGCTGTGTGTTCGTTTTAGCTACGATAATGTCTCGATAAACGCGCAAATCATATCTCAACATATCCACTTTGCTACCAATTGCTTTTCTATGTCCAGGGGAACAATACGGCCGCAAATCATGGGTTAGAAGGGTGTGTTACGGCGGTGGCCGCGGGAGCCGAGTGCGAGGCTTGGGAAGTCCAAGGTCATGAGAAGCGTGTCTGACAGACAGGCTCGAAGCACATGTTTGATGTTTCGTTTGACGTTTGGAAATGGAAAGGTCTGGGAGCGTCGATGTGGCTTGGTAGCTCAGCTCAGCGTGGCTCGGCCAGCGAGTACGACGTATACTTCATCTGTCAAGAAAGTTAGGACGAACGGGCTGGCAGATGACAGCGAGGCATTTTCGTCAGCTTGTGTATATATGGTGAGGAGTCCTTGGACGTCGAGGCTCACTTCTCATTTTCCATCAAGTCGTACCTACCCGTACACAAAAGACAACAACAAGCAAACTCAAGCTTTCTTCAACCTGCGAACAAGCGTCATTGTAGACCCTTAGCGCTTAACACAGTTGGAACCCGTCTCCGCACCGGTCCAAGTCAGCAGACAAGTCGACGATCGCTCTCCATACAGGAATCGCATCTTCCTCTCGATCGGCTTCTCTCACCTCTTTCTTGACAGATAAGAGCATCGCTAGGTGAGTCGCGAACAAGTGTGGCGCCAAGGGGCTGTCGCCGTGTCGGGTAGCGGCATTCCAAGATCGTATTGGCCCAGCACGTACAACGAGACGGCGGCAGGACGCGTACTCCAACCCATCTAAAATCAGGCGCCGAGAGCTGACGGGTTTCGACTTTCTTTGCGCCACAGATCTTCTTGCTCTTGACATTCTCGCCTGCAATCGCACTCTTGCCAACTACTACACCCACACAAATCGCATACAAAATGTCCAACTACTACCCCCAGCAGCCCCAGCAGGCGTAAGTCGCAGCAAGCCGTCGCATCGGTGTGGACGCCGGCTGACCGAGTCACAGCTACTACGGCCCTCCTCAGGGTCAGTACGGTCCTCCTCAAGGACAGTACGGTGCTCCTCCTCAGGGCCAGTACTACCCTCCCCAACAACAAGTATGAGTTGCTTCACTGGAACAAATCATCATGATGCTGATGCGATGTACAGATGGGCTACCAGCAAGGACCTCCCCCATGCAGCAAGCACCCCAGAAGAAGGATCGCGGATGCTTGGCTTCCTGGTAAGAGTGCCGGCATGACAAGAAAAATGAACCAACACGAACTGACACGATACTACAGCTTGGCAGTTCTGTGCTGTTGTTTCGTCTGCGAGGAGGGTTGCGAGTGCTGCGCCGACTGCTGTGAGTCTTGACCGAACGGCCACCGGAGAAGAATGCAAGGCTGACAATAACGATACAGGCGAATGCGCCGAAGACTGCTGCTAAACGCACGTCAACAATGTAGCTGAACATGGCAGAAAGTCACGACATGGACATTCCGGTCCCCAAGCCCGTACACCAGAGGAAAGAGCAGTGTGCATAATGCAAGCTAGAGCATGTCGGAGGAGACACAGCATGCGCACGTCTTGTCCTTCCCGAGGGCATTCCGCCTTTTCATTTTCGTTCACAGTCAGCGACCTATAATAGGGTCCTCGTCGATTTCCTTTGTCCTTGACGAACTTATGCTTCTTAGTCTAGGCGAGCGCCAGTAATTGGTTTAGTAACAGCCACCGCTTGACGCGTCGAGGCGTCTTTTATACCACTTGTTTTCTCCCTGCGCGGCTCCTATCAAAAGTACCCTTTCTTTTGTGCAAATCGGCTTCTATCCAAGAGGGATGCTGCGGCAATTGGACGGCTGATATGGCGTGTCCACTCAGGTGATGATGGCACAGTGTGGAGACGAGCCGGTCAAGCTGCTGGACCCTCGAATCAACTTTTTTTCTACTTCGAGTTTACATTCAATCATCCACATTACACTCGTCGCAATGGTCAAGAGAAAGCACGAAAGCACCGGCGCCGACTCGAATGCATCCGTCAAGAAGACGGCCAAGTCGCAGAGCGGCGTGCACGCAAACTTTGGCGACAAGCTGTTTGACCACGATGTCGTCACAAAGTACCGCGACGACTATGCGAAGAGCGGACCGTACGTCGCATTAACCGCTTACTCGTGACCTCGTTCTGACAGCATACAGCNNTACCTCCATACCGTCGTGTCTGGCTTGATCAACGACTCCCTCCTCCGTTCCGTCCGCCGCGAGATCATCGACAATGTCCACTTCACCCCCAAGGAAACCGACATCTACAAGATTCACCAGTCTGGCGACCTTGCCAACCTTTCCGGTCTCGACCCTTCTGCACTCAAGCTGTTGCCTTCGCTGCTCACCCTGCGCGACTCGCTCTACTCGCCCGAGTTCCGCGCATGGGTGTCGGAAGTCTCAGGCGCTGGCTCTTTGTCGGGAACAAAGACGGATATGGCTGTCAATGTCTATGCACCTGGTTGTCACTTGCTGTGCCACGACGATGTCATTGGCACCAGACGTGTCAGCTACATTCTCTACTTGACCGATCCGGACACGCCGTGGCAGGCCAACTGGGGTGGCGCATTGCGTCTCTACCCTACCGAGGAAAAGACGGACAGCGATGGCAAGAAGGTCAGAGTGCCACACTACGACTTCACAAAGGTTATCCCGCCAGCCTGGAACCAGTTGTCCTTCTTCACTGTCCAGCCAGGCCAGAGTTTCCACGATGTCGAGGAGGTCTTGAAGCGCAAGGAGGGCGAGAGCGAGCATGATGGTGGTCGTATTCGTATGGCCATCTCTGGCTGGTTCCACATTCCGCAAGAGGGAGAAGAGGGTTTCGAGCCTGGACTCGAAGAGAAGCTGGCCGAGCGCAGTTCTCTGCAACAGCTGCAGAGCAAGAATGACGAGTTTGACTTGCCTCAGGAGCAATGGATCGACCACGAGGACATGGCAGACAAGGCCGAGAATGCAGAAGAAGAGGAGGTTGAATTTGACGAAAAGGACATGGACTTCCTCATCCAGTACATGACGCCGCAATATCTCACACCAGACACGGTCGAGGAGCTGTCCGAGCTCTTCGCCGAAGAGTCGAGTTTGCAGCTCGCCAACTTCCTCTCCAAGAAGTTCAGCGCCCGTCTGCGCAAAGACATTGAAGCCCACGACGGCAAGATCGAGCCTGCGACCGATGGCTGGGCCACGGCGACACCTCCCCACAAGCACCGCTACCGCTTCAAGCACGCCGACCCTTCTGCCACCAACACCTCCTCCGCATACAACGAACTCCTCAACAAGTTCCTGCCCTCTCTCGCTTTCCGCAAATGGCTGAGCCTGGCCACCGGGCTGACCTTGGCCAAGAGCAGTATTCTGGCCCGCCGCTTCCGCAAGAGCTTGGACTACACATTGGCAACTGGCTATAACAAGTCCGAAGCACAACTCGAGTACTGTCTCAACGTTACACCGTCAAAGGGCTGGGGCGCCGACGAGGAAGAAGAAGAAGAGGAGGCTGTCACGGGAGGCGAGAAGAACGGAACAAAACAAAAGGGCAAAGCCACGGTTGCCACAACAAAAGGGGAAGAAGATGACAATGTGGGTGGTTACGAACTCTACATGGCCGGCGACGACGACGATGAAGACGAAGACGACGACGACGACGATGCACACTCCGACCACGGTGTCAATATTCCCNCTAACGCTGCTTCTGCGACAGGTGCTGGCAACCGTCGCATCGCAAAGCACAAGAAGAAGGCAGCGGATCCTGCAATCTATCAAGCCGGCAACGAAGAAGACGACGGCATTCTCTTCTCGAATCCGGCAAATTGGAACACGCTATCTGTTGTCCTCAGAGATCGCGGCGTGTTGAGGTTTGTCAAGTACGTTAGCGAGAGCGCCAAGGGTGATAGATGGGACGTCATTGGCGCTGTCGAGGTGATTGATGACGATGAGGACGAGGAAGGTGCCGACGAGTAGAGCGAGATGATACGTTCTAGAGGTTTCATGCACGTATATGCTTTGATGATGGCCATATAGACAAAAAGTGCCTATTCTACATGAAGAGTGACTTCTTCAGACATGTTCAGATCCAGGTCTATGTTCTATTCTTGATGTGGTTTTGTTCTGGCAGACTCTCCACAATTCTCCGAGACTCAATCCTTTGACGTTTCGTTCCGAGCACTCACCACTCACCGGTTCGGATGCCGAGCCAGGAGATTACACAGCATCGCGTCAATCGCTTGAGATGCGGTGTTCACAAAGGACATGCGCTAGCTGATTAATCACTCAAGCCTTTATGTGCGAGCTGAATGATCACCCAAGATTATGAGGCCGAATCCAAGGACAGTCGGCGTAACCATCGATCCTGCTGGGGTGGATCAGCAATGTCGTGCTTTATTGATTACAAAAACTCCGTAGCCAGGTTTGATATCGAGGTCGAAGTATAAGAAGCAAGACAAGGTAAGCATCTTGATTTCTCAATCATCTGCTCTGGTATCCTCAGTGCCCAACATCAGCACCCTACAATAAAAATGTCGCCTACAACCACTATCCCCGTGCCTACTTCTGCAGTCCTTAAACCCGGCTCTTCGGTTTTCATCACTGGCGTCACTGGCTATATTGGTGCTCACATAGCAGATCAACTCCTACACCGAGGCTACAAAGTCCGTGGCGTGGTTAGAAAGCCGGCGGATTGGTTGAGCCAACTCTTCGAGTCGAAATATGGAAAAGGCGGTTTTGAGACTTATTTTGTGGCTGATTTGACTGATGAAGAGGCTTTGGTGGAGGCTATGCAAGGTATGACTCTAGCCTAGAGTACATGGAAAGAGGCAGACAGTGCAATGGAACACTGATGGATATATGACANNGGTGTAAGTGGTGTAATTCACGTAGCCAGCGATGTCAGCTTCTCCCCCGACCCAAACATCGTCATCCCCATTGCCGTCAACCTCGCAACCACTGCTCTAAAAGCCGCTGCCAGAACCCCTTCAGTCGAAAGATTTGTTCTTACTTCCTCGGCAGTTGCGGCGTCAGCCTATGCAGCCAATACCCCTCGCACTGTAACCGCAACTTCATGGTCTCAAACCTACATCACCGAAGCCAAGCAACCAGGTCCGTACACCCCAGACCGTGGGATATCCACCTATGGCGCTTCCAAAGCGTTGGCCGAGCAAGCCATCTGGGAGTGGAGCAAGCAAAACACTGCTTCGAACATGACAATCAACACCGTGCTCCCAGATCTCAACCTCGGGCTCCCCGTGTCGGCTGAACATCAAGGATGGCCTAGTAGCACGGGCTTTGCAGTTGCACTTTTCAATGGCGATATTGCCACTGGACGAATGCTGCCTCCGCAGTACTATATCGCTGTGCAGGATACCGCGTTACTTCACATAGCCGCTTTGCTGCATCCTGCCGTCAAAAGCCAGCGTGTTTTTGGGTTTGCTGAGCCCAAGAATGCGAATGCTATTTTGAAGGTTTTCAAAGAGTTGTATCCAAACAGAGAGTTTGCGGACGAGGATCCAGAAGAAGGAGAGGATCTGGCGGTGATTGAGGAGAAGGACAACGCGGAGGAGTTGTTGAGGTGGGTTGCCGGCAAGGAGTGGACGAGGATGAGGGAGAGTTTGAAGGAGATTGGAGATTATCTGGTTGAGCATGAGAAGAGTGGTTGAGACCTTGTTCAGGACACCGAAAGAGTTTCATTATCTCGGGTGATATGGGGGCTATATGTGACCTTTCCGACTGATGTCTACATGAACGTAGATACGATCAGAGCGTCTATCCTGTCATATCCAATCATATCATATCGTTTATCCAGTAACCTTATCGTCCTTAGTGGCTTCGGTATAAGGGCCACAATACGGCTCGAGACAGGCAGGCTTCTTGCCAGCATTGCAGACGCTGTCACCGTAGATGTTGTCACATCTCCACTGGCAGCCCTCGCAATAGTAGTATTGGGGAGCAGCCAGGGTGGTAGGCTTGAGCGTGATCTCGAGACGGACGCACCAAGGCGAGTCGTTAACGTCCTCGGTGGTGATGTCGTGGATAGTCATAGGCTTGCTGAGATCGACCTCCTGAAGCGAAGCAGGGTAAGGGTAGGTCAAAGGGTAAGGGCAAGCCATCCATGTGTAGTGCACAGAACTGGGTTTCGAGCGGATGGTAGGGGCACCCAGAGTCTCCACAGTGCTGTTGTCGAAGATAATGCTGGGATGCGAGTTGCGAGCAGTATCCCAGACACCGACACCTCTGTCTGCAGCACCCACGGCTGTGTACTTGAGCGGCAGACCACCGGTAGTGGCGTCGAGACCGGCAGTATCCATCTGCTGGCCACCTTGCTGAAGAATTCCCATGAACCAGTACGAGTTCTCGGCAGCGGAACCATCTCCGTTGACGGGACCCGACACGATTGTGGTGTTTGCGGCCGGGCACTCGGGGTCGTAGTCGGGGCAGACGGCGGCAGCGTCCTTGTTGACCCAGAAGTAGCCACTGTCGGCATTGATGGGCTTGCCGTGAATCTCAGGCACGCTCTCGTTGTAAGCGTACATGGTCCAGGCAGGCGCTGCCACTGCAGCAAGAGGAGAGGCCAACAGGCCAACCAGAGTAAAAGTCTTCATGATGTGATTGATTCTTGGTGCGACGAGTATCAAAAAAGCAGGAATAAAAACCTACTGATGGCTGCTCGAGCACACTCTTTATATCTCGGCCGTGGATGATCTTCATTGCGCAGCAAACCCACCTCTCGAAATAGTATCACCTCGTCTGTTGTTATGACGCTCCGTTGCAGGCCGGCATGAATCACAGAGGATGCGGTTTCCCGTCTTGGGGTATTAGCTTCGTATTTTGCACAAGAAAGGATTCTTGGAAGAAAGCTTTGACTGTTCAACGATCGCTTCCCGCGGGAGCGTAATACAATCGAGGTTCAGGCTCCATCACGTGTTGAAGATGAAGGAGCGAGTGCCTAAGACGTCAGGTACGCATGAGGTTCATGACTGCAGAGTCGTATATTCGTTTTCCTGTACCAATCAGCCAATTTTTGGGAGTGTTGTCTCAGTGATCGAAGGTGGAAAGTGCGCCTATTTTGTGGCCCGTTGAACCTTGTGCCTGACGCAAGAACCTCGGTTAAAGCAGCCTTTGCGATGATGATCCACCTTGCGCTATCGCCTATGAATGCTATTTGCAGAGCATAGTCTCAGCGAACAATCTATAATCTCGCACTCTCGCAAGCTCGCAAGCTCGCAAGCTCGCCGTTGAGCTGCAGCACTCGCATGATCGAGAATGTGCTGAAAAACTGCCTGTGGAGAGGATGAGAAATCAGGTCCGGGGTGATGGATTCCATGCTCCTTCCTCCGGACCTGATTACAAGCTATATCCGTCGACCAAGAGGGTATAAGAAGTTGTGGAATGATAGCAAAACCAGAACAACAGATCTATCCAGAAACACATTCGCTTTGCAGACTTTTGCTTCACCCCATAGTACGTCGGCTTCATATAATGGCAATATACCTCATTACTGGCGCTTCCAGAGGCATCGGACTCGAGCTTACCAAGCAATTGCTCGAGCTACCGGCCTCCCAAGTCTCCAAGATCTTCACCGTCGCTCGCAACATTGAGAGCGACATCATCAAGCAACTTGTGCAGGAACACCCCAACCGCGTCTACCCAGTCTCTGCTTCTGTCGATGACACCGCCAGTGTGCAAAAAGCAGTCGAAACCATCAAGGCCAAGCTTTCGGGTCAAGGTCTCGATGTTTTGGTCAACAATGCTGGCATCAGCGGTTTAACTTCCGGTTCTGGCTCAATCAAGGACATGGAACTCGACCAATTGACTCAGGTTCTCGATATCAATGTGGTTGCGGTACAGAGAATGAGTGCTGCTTTCATGCCTTTGCTCGAGCAAGGTACGCAGAAGAAGATCATCAACATGTGTGTATCTCACCAGATAGAGCTGCATATGAAAGCTGACAAGAACAATCAGANNTCTTCGGGACTGGGCTCCTTCGCCTATGCTGCTCACACTGCATCGATGCCTACCGATGCATACATCATTTCCAAGACTACCCTCAATATGCTTACCCTGAGATGGGCGCTCCAGTATTCGAATGCTGGGTTCACCATCTTTGCTGTCTCCCCGGGCGTAAGTAGCATCTCAGTCAAACATATAACACAACGTTACTGACAATCCATTGCAGNNTGGTTGAAGACTGACATGGGCTCTACTAACGCAGATCTGAGTGTTGAGGTGGGTGTCGCCGAGGTCAAGAGACTCATCTTGGAGAGCAGCAAAGAACAGAATGGAAGATTTCTGAACATCAAAGTACCCAAGACTGATGAGATGATGTGGGAGTATGACGGCAAGGATATTCCCTGGTAGAGTAGAGCAGACGTGCAGTTGTCGAGCGAATTTCGTTGCGGGAGATGAAACAGTATACCGACTTCTGATATGGTCCCCAGCTTCTTCAGTATGTGACTGGTGGACGTGGGCGTCAAATGGCTACCTCTTTATGTGGTTTGGTCGGTTTATGTTTGTTCTTTGAGCGTGTCTTCATCCGAGAGCCGGTATTCTCGATTAGTGGAAAGGTACAAATTGAATATCGAGGTGATCTTCGCGTTATACGAAAAGCGATGAATGCCTCTATTTTTGGGGGTTGGGAAGGGAACGGTGGCCGCCATCGCGACATGACTTCGTGACCTTGGCGCAGCACAACAGAAATCTATGAGCTCACTCGTGCAAGTTGCCTTCAGGTGTTCTGTTGAGTACCAGTCAAGCATCTGTCATCTGATTCTGCAGGTTTTGCCCAGCATTCGAGAACAACGGTCACTTTGGTGGGACGCTGGCTGATCGGACACGAAAGAAACATCTTTTACTGCATCAAACGATTGTTTGGATGTTTCACTTTCGGCGAGACTCAAGATTCAGGATATGGATCTGCCAAGGATACCCCCACGGGCGAAATGCTTTGCGTCGAGCTGATGGGGTCCAGATCAACTGCTTGTCTTCGGTCGCCAGCGGCGCATCTCGTTGACATCGTCGTCGATGGGCGATGCTCGATGTGTTCGAGTTGGTAAGGATGTTCGTCTGACACGCGTTCTCGGCAGGAGACCGATGGGCGGAAAGGGAACAAAACCGCCGCCCGGCGCGCCCCTTGTTTAAGTGGTTGGCTTAAAGTTTTAGCGTCTCTTCTGCCCCGCGTGCTGACCGTAGGTTCGTATTTTGTATTTTGGCCAAACACACAGAGATGGGCTCCTGGTCTCTACGACGAATTGTCAGGGATGAAGTCGAGTCTCAGCAGTGTGCTTAGAGGTCGTGCGGAGCAAAGCAGAAACCGAAAATCAAACACCGACGCAGATCTAGAGGTCCTTGAGATTGTTCTTTTGAAGTGGCAGGGCTGAAACGCACCGCGAGAAGGCGGCGACGGATGGCGGATAATGCTGGTGCTGCGATGTTTCCCAAAATACCTGCACCCGATTGGCGTTAGCTTTGTAGGCTTCTCTCTCTCTCTCTCTCAGAGTCTCTGCCATCCATATTCCATCTTCCTCGAGCCGCCACAGTCTCGTGTGATTTTTTCCACGGCATTCTCTAGTTTCGGGTTTTTGTTGTCTCACCACAGCCCGACATCAATCGCTCTACAACCCTACCACGGTCGCTTCCTAGTGCTGGTCTCTCGTTCAAAGGGGTCGGTTGATATTTCGACGACCACTCTCCGGTGAAGCAGCACCTGGCCGATATGGCTGTTCCTGCTCACGCTCAGGCTTCGCTGCCTGCGCTCCCTGCACATCTCCAGGATGACAGCCACCTGACGGCACACCTGGCCAGCAGATTCCATGTCTCGCTATCCACGGCCCAGTTGTCATCACACGCCATCATCGCCCTCAACACATACACATCGTCGGCAAAGGGTCCCGATGGCTCANAAGAAGGTAGCGCCATGGGCGCCGCCGAGGATCTGGCTTCAAGGGCGTGGACTCGTCTCGGAGCTAGACAGGAGAACCAGGCCGTCGTCTTTCTGTATGTGTCCTTCCGTGCCTGTGACACAATGCCCACGTTCTGCTCTAACCTGTGCACAGCGNGTGAAACCGGCTCAGGCAAAACCACTCTCCGCTCGCACCTCCTGTCTGCCTTGTTGAACTACACATCGACGCCACTGTCCAACAAGCTGTCCTACGCGGCCTTTGTCTTCGACACTCTGACCACCACAAAGTCCGTCACCACCCCTACCGCTTCGAAAGCTGGTCTCTTCTTCGAACTTCAATACGACACATCCTCCAGCCTCCATCCAACCCTCGTCGGTGGTAAGCTGCTCGACCACCGTCTCGAACGCAGCAGAGTCGCCACTATTCCCCCTGGCGAGCGCAACTTCCACGTCCTCTACTACCTCCTGGCTGGTACCAGCCCGCAAGAGAAGGAGCATCTTGGTCTTGACCAGGCAGGTCCTGCCACTCACAGACATTCGCTCGGTAATGCCGGCGCAAAGAGATGGAGATACTTGGGACACCCCAGTCAGCTCAAAGTCGGTATTAATGACGCCGAAGGTTTCCAACACTTCAAGACTGCTCTACGCAAGCTTGAATTTCCTCGTGACGAGATCGCCCACATGTGCGAGATGCTTGCCTGTATCTTGCACATTGGTCAGCTTGAGTTCGTCACAACCCAGTCGACTACACCTTCAGCCGATGACAGTGGTGGTTACTCGCACGAGGGAGGCGAGGACGTCACTTCGGTCAAAAACAGAGAAACTCTTCACATCGTAGCAGCTTTCCTTGGTGTTTCCGAGAGACATCTGGAAGAGAGTTTGGGATACCGCACAAAGAAGCTTCACCGTGAGCGCGTTACCGTCATGCTCGACCCCAAAGGTGCTCGAGACAACGCTGATGAGCTTGCGCGCACCTTGTACTCGCTTTTCGTCGCCTACATCATCGAGCGTATTAACCAGAAGATTTGCTCGGCTGAGGATGCCATCGCCAACACCATCTCGATCGTTGACTTCCCAGGCTTCGCACAGTCTTCTTCCACAGGCTCCGTACTGGACCAGCTGTTGAACAACGCAGCATCTGAGTCGCTTTACAATTTCTGTCTGCAGAGCTTCTTTGAGCGCAAAGCTGATCTTCTCGAGACTGAAGAGGTCAGTGTGCCTGCAACCAGCTACTTCGACAATACCGATGCCGTCAAGGGTCTGCTCAAATCTGGCAACGGCCTTCTCAGCATTTTGGACGATCAGATGCGTCGTGGTAAGACTGATCAGCAATTCCTCGAGAGTATCAGGAGACGTTTCGAAGGCAAGAACCCTGCTATCGAGGCTGGCGCTACTACTCAGACTCTTCCTGGAAACAACTTTGCTACCCGCAACGCCAATGCTGCATTTACTGTCAGACATTACGCCGGTGAGGTCGATTACCCTGTCGAGAACCTCCTTGAAGCCAATGGCGAGGTCATTTCTGGTGACCTTATGAACTTGATTAACACGACCTCTAACCAATTCATCAGCGACCTCTTTGGTCAGGNNGAAGCGCTGAGCAAGGTTGTCCATCCCAAGGATCGCTCTGCTGTCGTGCAAGCCTCGGTCGCCTCGAAGCCTTCAAGAATGCCTAGCATGGCTAAACGCACCGGCGAGCGTCCTGCAAGACTTGGTGCCATGAGGCAAGACAGTGATAATGGCAACGGCAAGAGGAGTCTCTCTCGTGGANGGCAGGGCGAGCCTGAACAGCAACAAGGCGCTGCTGCTCAGTTTTTGTCTTCTCTGGACAACATCACTAAGTCGTTGTCCGATCCTCGCACCAACCCATACTTTGTGTTCTGCTTGAAACCCAACGACCGCAGAATTGCCAACCAATTCGACAGCAAATGCGTTCGCACTCAGATGCAAACTCTCGGTATCGCTGAGATCAGTCAGCGTCTGCGCAACGCCGATTTCAGTGTGTTCATGCCTTTCAGTGAATTCCTGGGCGTCGCTGAGGGCGATGTCTCGGTCGTGGGCACCGATAAGGAGAAGGCAGAGATGATCTTAGACGAAAAGATCTGGCCTGGCAATGAAGCAAGAGTCGGCAGCACGGGTGTTTTCCTCAGCGAACGTTGCTGGCGCCAGATCGCACGAGTCAGTGATCTCGATGTAGCTCCTGTCGGCATGCACGACCAGACTCCTTACGGGGAACAAGAGGGTATGTTGTCTCCGGATCATGCTCGCAACGGTCGCAACGACTCAAGCCTCAACCTTCTCGGTGCTGGAGGTGTCACTCCTTCTCCTGGTGCCTTCTATCACGATGACAAGGTAGCAGGCTACTTCGGAAGCCGTGATCTCGACGCCAAGTCGGAAGCTGGTGCTTCAGCCTTCCATGGAGGTGACATGTTCCAAAATCTCGAGACTCGCTCGCAGCTCGCAGAAAAGGGAAACGAGGCCAAGGTAGCAGCAATTGACGAGGTACCCGTTACAGGTGAACGAAAAAGATGGTTGTTCCTTGTCTACCTCTTTACCTGGTGGATTCCTGATGTGTTCGTTCGCATCATTGGCCGCATGCCTCGTCCCGACATTCGTATGGCTTGGAGAGAGAAGGTGGCCATCAACTTCATGATTTGGCTTGCTTGTGCCAGTTTCTTGTTCCTCATGATTGGTTTCCCCGCACTCATCTGTCCGACACAACATGTTTATTCGGCTGCTGAGTTGCAATCGCACAATGGTAAGGATGGCCACTCTTCTTTCATCGCAATTCGCGGTGTCGTCTTCGACCTGGGCAACTTTGAGTCAATTCATTACCCTAACATTATCCCGACATCCGCTCTGGAGAAGTATGCCGGCACTGATGCGACCAACCTCTTCCCGGTCCAAGTATCTGCTCTTTGTCCCGGTACAGATGAGAATGGTATCGATCCTGCTGTCCAGCTCAACTACAGGAGCACCAACTACACTGGTCAAGCTTCGGCTGTCAGCGGTACTGATTCTCATGCCGTGTACCATGACTTCCGCTGGGCCACCAACGACTCTCGTCCAGACTGGTTCGCGCAGCAGATGAAGTTTTTGAACCAAAACTACAGAAAGGGCGCTCTTGGTTACACTTCTGGCTATGTCAAGAAACAGGGCAAGAAGCAACAGTCCATCGCCATTCTCAACGGAAAGATTTACGATTTCACCGACTACATCGTCGGTGGTCGTGCTCCCAAGTACCCCGCTGGATACGACGTTCCTGACACTGTACCGAACTCAAATTTCATGGATCAGCGCGTGGTCAATCTTTGGCAGCAACATGCTGGTCGAGATGTGACTGACAATTGGAACAACCTTGGAATGACTCTTGACTTGAAGAATCGCATGCAGATCTGTCTCGACAACCTTTTCTACGTGGCCGATGTGGACACCAGAAACTCGACCAAGTGTCAGTTCGCCACTTATCTCTTGCTCGGAATCTCGATGTTCCTGATTGCGGTTATCGGTGTGAAGTTCCTTGCTGCCCTTCAGTTTGGTGGCAAGAACGTTCCGGAGAACCTCGACAAATTCATCATATGTACTGTGCCAGCCTACACCGAAGACGAAGACTCTTTGCGTCGTGCCATTGACTCAGCCGCCAGAATGAAGTACGATGACAAGCGCAAACTTCTGCTCATTGTCTGTGACGGTATGATTATTGGTCAAGGCAACGACCGTCCTACTCCTCGAATTGTCCTCGATATTCTGGGTGTTCCCGAAACTGTCGACCCTGAGCCATTGAGTTTCGAGAGTTTGGGCGAAGGTCAGAAGCAGCACAACATGGGCAAGATCTACTCTGGTCTTTACGAAGTCCAAGGTCATATCGTTCCCTTCATGGTTATTGTCAAGATTGGCAGACCTGCTGAAGTCGGTAGACCTGGTAACCGTGGTAAGCGTGATTCCCAGATGGTTCTGATGAGATTCCTGAACAGAATCCACTACAATCTGCCGATGGCCCCTATGGAACTCGAGATGTACCACCACATCCGAAACATTATTGGTGTCAACCCAACGTTCTACGAATTTTTGCTGCAGATCGATGCAGATACTGTCGTTGCACCCGATTCAGCCACACGATTCGTCGCCTCATTCCTCCACGATACACGCCTTATCGGTGTTTGTGGTGAGACGGCTCTTACTAACGCTAAGTCCTCGATCGTTACTATGATGCAAGTCTACGAGTACTACATCTCGCATAACTTGATCAAGGCCTTCGAATCGCTCTTCGGCTCAGTCACTTGTTTGCCTGGTTGTTTCTCCATGTACCGCATTCGCGATGCAGCATCAGGCAAGCCTCTTTTCGTTTCCAAGGAGGTCGTCGAGATGTACGCCGAGATTCGTGTAGACACGCTCCACACCAAGAACTTGCTGCATCTTGGAGAAGACAGATACTTGACGACTCTTTTGATGAAGTGGCATCCCTCTTACAAGACCAAGTTTATCATGCGCGCTCACGCCTGGACCATCGCGCCCGATACCTGGACCGTCTTCATGTCGCAACGTCGTCGTTGGATCAACTCTACTGTACACAACCTTGTCGAGCTTACCTCATTGTCTCAGCTTTGCGGTTTCTGCTGTTTCAGTATGCGTTTCGTCGTCTTCCTTGACTTGCTCTCAACCATCATCCAGCCCGTGTTGGTAGGATTCCTGGTGTACATCTTCGTTCGCATTGGACAAGATCCTGGTGGTGTCTCGACACTTGCCATTATCATGTTGGTGGCCGTTTATGGTATGCAAGCATTGGTCTTCATCATTCGTCGCAAGTGGGAGATGGTCGGTTGGATGATCATCTACCTGATCGCTACGCCAGTCTTCTCTATGGCGCTTCCTCTCTACTCTTTCTGGCACATGGACGATTTCTCGTGGGGTAATACTCGTGTCGTCACTGGAGAAAAGGGCAAGCAAGTTGTTGTTTCCGACGAGGGCAAGTTCGATCCAGCCAGCATTCCGAAGAAGAGATGGGAAGAGTACCAGGCCGAGCTTTGGGAAGCGCAGACTTCGCGTGATGACGACGCCCGTTCGGCAATTTCCGGCGTTACCGGCGTGTCGTACGCGACCAAGTCAGCCTACCCCGGTATGGGTGGCTCCGTCTATGATTACCCACCTTCGCGCCCCATGTCAACATTGGGTGTGCCTCAAGGTCCCTTCGGCAACCAGTCGCGAATCAGTCTTGCACCAAGTGAGATGGGTCTTATGGCTGGTGGCTACAGCCCTAACTCGGTAGAGATGACGGACATGCCTCTTCCCAGCGACGATGCTATCCTCGCCGAGATCCGCGATATTTTGGCCAAGACTGATCTTATGACTATTACGAAGAAGAGTGTCAAGTCCGAACTGGAGAGACGTTTCGGTGTGCCGCTGGATGCTAAGAGAGCATACATTGGCTCCGCCACAGAAGCCATTCTTAGTGGACAGTTGTAAGAAGATGGGTGGGGGTAGCATCTGCATTCGGTGGCGTTTTGCATCTCTTGCATGTTTGGGTCCGTTCTTTACAATGGACCAGGTTTTAGCTAGCTTGGGTATACGTGGGCGCTTTAGCATATAAAATGTTTTGATTGTCTTTAGTATCTTTTGACCAGGAATTTGATATACTTTCAGGTAATTGACACATACTACTTCCCTTCTGACGACTCTTCGACCAGCGATAACTACTAATCGAATAGATACGAGGATGCAGGGTACCCGGCAGTCCAGAATCTAGAGTAGGTGCTAGGCATCGCTGCAATCGTCAACTGGGATCGATACTAAAAGCCATCACCAGGGTTATGAAATCCAGAAACGCCTTTATCTAGCACTGCCTACAACATGATGACATTTCACATGACGACCAAAGGGTAAAAGTCGTGTAACGCATCACTTGCTGTTCGCTTGGCTGTCGTTGTCCGGGAGTGCTTTCAACGGTCAACGTCGTCGAACAGCCAGCCAACGCAACGCTCCCTCAGACCCTTCCACGAATTTATATCGACCACCACGCTCACTCTTGTCGCTCTTTCTTTCTTCAACTTGCTCTGCGTAATTCTTCTGCAAACCAATCCTCATCATAATATCCATCAAGTTCACCTTTGCTGAAATGATGAAGAACACTACTATCGCACTCCTTGCGTTGACCGCTGGAAGTGCTTCTGCGCAGTTCTTTGTTCTTTACGGCAGAGACACTGTCGTCTCACGCATGGATCCCATCGTCTCTCCCGGAAGCATTGGCATGCATGCCCACGAGTTCATGGGTGCCGGCAACATCAACCAGAACTCGGACTACGATTCACTCCAAAAGTCGACCTGCTCGAGCGTCGGACGTGCCAATGGTAACCCCATCGTCGAGGACAAGAGCGCCTACTGGCATCCGACTCTCTACGTCAAGGCCACCAACGGCACCTACCTCAGAGTCNCCTGTAAGTCAACTGATCTCATACAAAATCAACACGACTAACACGTTCTGTAGACCAACGGACACCAGATCTACTACATCAACGCCGGCACTGGCCAGATGCGCGAGCCTTTTGAGTTCCCCAAGGGCTTCCGCATGACTGCTGGAAGTTCCTACATCCGTGCCGCGCAAGAGCATACTCCTACCAACATGGACGACATCACTCAGTGGATCTGCCACGAAACTCCTTCGTGGAACGAGGGTACTCAAGGCGGCTTCCCCAAGGGTGTTACGTCTTGCTCCCAGTACCCCTACTTTAATGGCGCCATTGAGTTCCCTCACTGCTGGAACGGCAAGGACTTCAACCTGAATTCTCCCTACTCTCACGTGGCCTATCCCATTGGAGATATCAGAAATGGAGCTTGTCCCGACACTCATCCCATCAAGCTCCCTCATCTCTTCATGGAAAACAACTACGACCTGTCAAGCATCGAGGGAGAGTTTGAGGTCGACTCGTTCGTGCTTTCCAACGGAGACCCCACCGGCTACGGCTTCCACGCCGACTTCGTGAGTACATCATCGAGCTTGAATCAAACGCATTCTAACAGTTGTATAGNNTTCAACGGCTGGCAAGAAGGTGTTCTGCCTAACCTGCTCACTGGCTCCAGCGCTTGTGCATCTCACGATGTCGGCGACTGCTCTGGCGTGACCTTCGACTCCAGCATGAACTGGGCTCAGTGCACCACTACTAACCAATTCCCTGAAGATCTCAACGGCCCTCTCTCTGCTCTGCCTGGTTGCAATCCCATCACCACTGTCAACCCTGCGCCACAATGCAAGCCCTGTGCTGCTGGTGTGGTGGGTGGACAGTGCAATGCTGCTGCTGCTGCCGCCGCCAGCTCTATGACCACTAGCACAAAGAAGGCTCCTTCAACCCTCCAGACAACCACAAAGCCCGCCTCTTCAATCATGCAGAGCTGGATGACGACCACTACGACCACCAAAACCGTGACTTCGACGACCACCGAGCAGTCGACTACCACCGTAACCAGCGACGCTCCCAAGAGCACCGAATGCGACCCATAAGTATACCGATGACCGATGTAACAACGCCGCTGTGTCGGCTAAGGACATGATCCCGGTCGCTGGACGGACGGGTGAGTAAGCTTCCGCTGCTTTCGCTAATCTTTACTTTCTAGGCCTTTGAGACTGCGTTCCAAGTAAGAGCCCACACACCGTTTACCCTACCGTTTACGCAAGACTTCCAATCCCAATACGAACACCCCTCGCTCCCGTACCGATGTCGAGCACGACCGAGTGCATAAAACACGCGACCGCTTTGCGTCGATAAGCTTATTACGAACGATCACGACTGGGATGAGGAGGAAAGACTCCTTCGAGCGGAAAATGCTTTTTTAATGTTAAACGAAGTTGCTGAGCAACGTTTTCTTCTCTTTCGCAATCAACTCACTGCTCTAATCCAAGTCAAATACTTGTCGGACTTCAGACCATTCCCTACCGACCACCGTACCGTGATACTATTGTGCCTTCTCTCCACTTGACATTTGTTCCGGCATGAATCACACCTCCCCGTTGTGGATTGATTCCCTTTCACCTGCTTCTTCTGTTGTCAATTTCTTTTTCTTTCCTGTTTCCTTCCTGTGCCGCAGTCGGAACAGCTCGTGCGAAATATCGTTGATCGGCCACCACAACGTGGTATACTTGTTGACTTGCCTTCTTTTATTCTATATAGTTGTCGTCTGCGCCTGTAGATATCAAGTTCGATTGCTTTGCTATCTAAATCTGAGTTCCCACCTTGTGCTCACGTTTAATACTCGACATCATTGATCTAATTTGTGCCCTAGGAGAATGGCTTGCAGAATTACGAAAACACGATTATCTCACCTATCGTCTTGTTGTGTACCCCCAATACCCACAAGATAACTTCATATATGCTAAAGAACTCGTCGCTGTATGTAAAGCACATCGTAAACAAAAGTTGACAGTAGAGAAGATGAATCGATGCCTTTAAGCCTTGTATTAGGGGTGACCCTGGTCCCACACCCCGGGGAAACCGTCTCGAGTCTGTATCAGCACGTCAGCAAGCCTGACTTGGCACTCGAGAAGTTCTACAAAACAGCTTTCCGAGCCGAGCTGAGAGAGTATTGCTTGAGGTAAAGCATTGTTGTCCGAGACTGTATCGACAGGAGAGCATCCCTTGTACTGAGGAAGGAGCAGTATCGGGGATTACGGATATAACTTCATGAAGCAGTTGAAGACCGAGCCGGAGACTCGAGACCACATGATTCATCACGCAATCTGACACCCCTGACCTCTTCTCCACCTGTATACCAGTCCCCTGTACAGTAAAAGCATACGCTACAACTCAGAGCCCAGAGTATGGATATCATTCAGCAGCAAGCGACTCCTCCGCCAGAGAAGAGCAGCTCATCAGGGAAGGCACCGGATCATCACCCCGCAATCTCCCAGCCACCGGCTGCAGGCAGCTACTACCAACCACCTGAGATATCAACTGTTTCCCACTTTGACCAACTTCCCTTGGAACTCCTTAGGATCGTCGCACAAGAAGTTGACGATCATGGCGGCTGTAATGCTACGAAATCATTACGTTGTGTTTCCAGGAGGTGTGCCGACGTTTGTACCGGACTGGTCTTCCGCAGTTCGACGCTCTTGCTAAGGCCGAAGAGCATCAACAATCTGAGAAGCCTGCTTGAGAAACCGAATCTGTATTCTGTTGTGACGCAACTCACGATCGATACGGCGGAGTACACGGATACTTGCATGGATACGTATGATTGGGAGTACCGTGACGAAGAGCTGTTGCAATCCTTTCTGGCTGTCTTGAAGAAGCTGGGGCGACTAGCCAATCTACGGTCTGTAACATTGGAATGCAGCAGTGAGTGTGTTGGTCCACAGCAGCGACGCCACTGGTGGGCTCGAAATGTACCAGAGAGTATCAAGTTCAGGACGGATGTGCTGCAAAGTCTGTTTGCTGGCTTGAGTTCCAACTATGCAATGCCGAAACTAGACCACCTCTGTATCGAGAACTTGCAAGGCTGCGGGAACGAAGTAGTGGCTCGATCAAGAGATTTTAGAGCGGTCATGTCGCGGATCCGAAGATTGGAGCTTCAAATCACTACCGAAGATGTTGACGGTGATGGCTCTTTGCCTGCGAACCTCGGTAAGAAAGAGCTTCATTCGTTCTTTGGAAAACGGCTTGTGCAAGAGTGGCTCGAGCCGATTCGCAACAACTTGACACATCTGAAGTTGTATTCGCGAGACATGTATTTTGGATACCTTCCAAAGTGTCATCTGCCCACCTTTCCAGCTCTGCGATCTTTGATGCTTGGAGGAATGAGTTTCAGTCATGATGAACAACTGAACTGGATCTTGGCACACAGCAGTACTCTCGAAGAGCTTGTTCTTGACAATTGTCCTATCGTTATTGGTGTGCGAATACCGTCGACGCTGGACTCGAACAATTATCCCATTGAGCCATTGTTTAACTCGAGCACTACTGGGTCAATCCTTTCGCCATCAAGCTTTGTGTACCCGGCACGATGGCACCACTATTTCTCTCGCTTCGCGACTGAACTGATCAAGCTACGATCAATACGATGTGGTTTCGGTGATTGGTATGACAACACTGCGTTTCCGAAATCAAAGGAACTTGGTACTGGACTCTGGGCACAAAGGTATCGAATTCTGGACGATGGGTCATGGAGGAAGCCTCCGTTCGAAGATGGTTCTTATGATGGCAGTTGGAGTGAGCCCCCAGTGTACCCTGATTGTACCGATGAAGACTGGATCACATTGTGTGAAGTGAAGACTGCAATCGCATTGCGAATTGGTGGTTGATACTACTCGTATGAGTCTCGGTTCTACTCTAGAGATATCGAACGACATTGATCACTTGCACAGAAGAGTCTTGAGTCTGTCTACCCCTTTTCACTTGCCCATCTACTCGCATCTGGGAGTTTTCACTCGCGGCCGCCGTAACTATCTCGAAGAACGTCGATACACACCTGATCCAGCCGACGCTACCAATAATTTCACTCAGGAGTATTACGACGAGTTGTAAGGTCCAACCACTTCTGCGGGACACGCTTGTTGACTCAACAACATCTTTGTCGATACCAAACAAGGATCCACAGTCTCTCGGCATCGAACGTTCACTATTTGGCCTCTTTCGACACACGAAGCAAGTTGCGTTTGTCGTGAGCAACAGAATCAACGGAGAAACAAGCACACATCGAAAGGATTAATCGGACGGACCAGCGGTTTCCTCGCTCGAGTATCTTTGACAGCTTTCACATTCACCGAGTCGTTACCTGGGTACCGCCGCGAGCGCTCACAAGGTAGCCGGTCTTGAGTCGACAATTCGACACTTCCCGCAACCGACGCTCAACTTGAACAATATCCTGTCTTCCGACAGGTTCTTCTTTCCTAATCAAACTGTTCTCTGTCAACCGACATTTGAACAAAACAAACAAACACACGGAGCAGCGGTTCACTTGAGTGTCGATTACCCCTTTCACAGCCGACGAGTCGTCTCGCGGGCACTACATCGAGCGTCCATTGGGTCACGACGCGTCGTCGATCGATTTGTGCTTCGTATACCTGACTACCTAATTGGAAAACTTCTTACCTTCCGACAGTTTCCTCCACTCGCCAGTGACAATTTGAGAGTCTCTACAGGTATACACACTTTCACACCCGAGTACCGTATCTCCGGATCGCGCCACTTCTTCAATCGATCCGTGCCTTCGACACTCCATCTCTATAACATCATTTCTTCCGCCGGATTGATCTCTGTTGAACGACAGTCACGTACACTTTCACACACCAATACCACGTCGAGCATTCAAAAGACTTCGATCTCTCGTCGACGAGTGTGTGCTTCGTGCTTTCGACACTTCGCTTCTATAATAACCTCTTTTCCGACAGCTTCCTTCTTTGTTTAGGGACGACTCGAAACCCTCGACTATCACATACAAGTCCAACATCGATACGCAACATGGGCTCCTCAAAGTCCCCCGCCCCGCTGGTCGAAAAGACAGACATGGCCTGTGATACCAGCACAGGTTGGTCTATGCAACACTCAGCCGACATGATGCCCAATAACGGCCAGCAGTTTGGCGCCATGCCCATGGACTTCGAATTCAGCGTGACTGCCCAGAGCTTTGGGTCTTTGCCTGAACACTCCATGCTCGAAGATGGATTGGCCGGCTATGAGTACAGCAACATGGCCAACATGAACGGCAGCGACATGGTATCCATCAATCACTTCAACGGTGATTTCGAAGAGACCATGAATGCAAAGACACCCGGCTACCACGGCTTCGATACCAACACTGCTGATTACCACTCGTCTGCCATCCACAACTCTTCTCCTACTCAGACCGACCACACCCACCAACCCTACGGCGCACACACTCCCTTCGACCCTTCTATCAACACCTACGATGCCAAGACTCCTTACGTCGCTCCCAACCCTTATACCTCGTCACCTCACCACTCATCTACTGGCTATGCTGGAGGAATCCCTGACCTCGACTTGGATCAAAACGTCGCTCAGCCATCTGAGGACTTCTTCCCCGGTCCCAGCCCCATGGAAGCAGCATTCCCCCTTTCGAGACCTTCCATACNNCCATTCCAGAGCCAGGACCCGCCAGGAAGACGCCTACTCCTCGCAAGGCTAAGACAAAGGCAAAGGCAGCTATTGCTGGCGACGCAGAAGATACTGACGAAGGCCGCTCGCTGCTTTCCGCGCGTGGTAAGGGCAGAGGCGAGGGCAAGGGCAAGGCGAAGGCGGCTGTGGTTGGCGACGAAGAAGAAGAGGAAATTGATGAGGATGGAGAGAGCCCTGCTACAGGCTCATCGACCAAGGCCAAGGGCCGCAAGAGAGCTGCTGCCCCTCCCACACCGAAATCCAGCACACCCTCCAGAAAGTCAAAGGCAGGCANCTGCTACCAGAAAGTCGACCAAGAAGGCTACATCCGATCCCCTGAACACTATGGGTCATCAGCGCCTTCGCAAGGTAGATCACTTCCACAGATTGGTCGCCGAACATGTACTAAACCATAACCNNAAGGCACCCAAGAATGGCATTGCCCAATTCAAGCCCATCCCCAGTTCCTTTGAGGAGTGCGACATCGCCGACCAGACCCTGATCACCATGCGCGATGTACGTGTTTGTGCTCTTCTTTGATCAAGCTCACCTCTGACTTTTTCTGTAGNNGCTGGTCATTCATGGGCCGATTGCAAGGCCCGCTACGCTGAACTCGAGGGTATCAAGCACGGTAGCAGCACTATCCCCAACCGCTACGAACGCCTCAAGACAGCCTTCGTCAACATGGTTCCCGAAGACAACCTTCGCCTCTTCAACATCAAAGCCAAACTCGAAGACAACTTCAACAAGAGGAAGTGGGCCTTGATCGCCGCCGAAATCACCAAGGATGGTGGCGCCAAGTACGACCCTGATGACTTGAGACGTCGCTTCAAGCAGCTCATGGAGAAGAGCGGCTTCGCTGTTGAAGACGGCCTGGCCAAGAAAGACGTCGACTTCAACATCAACGCTGACGACAATGACGAAGAAGACGAGGGCGAATCTCCTGGGCTCACCCGCAAGCAGCCACAGATCACCTGGACCGGCGACGACGATGACGAGGACGATACTCTGGGAGGAGCCGAGCAGGAGGACTACGAGGATACTTCATACCTCCAGCACAATCGCCGTGACTCGCGCGAGTCCGCTCGCATGGACGTCGACGACGATGAGTATGAGGGTGGGGATTCGCTCGCCTACTAAGTAAAATGGCGAGGTCCGTCGCGCTCGATCGAAGGGACCCGCGTGTGAGCTGGATAGTCTCTTTGGAAAACAATAAAATCGAATCTCGCGCTGCGCCGAGCGGCGCGTGAGTTTTGGTAGTTTGTATAGCAGATCATAATGAACAGGCCCGCGAATCTGCTATCTCTTTCCATACTTCTCTCTCAAAAACAGAACAAGCGAAACTCGCGCTGCGTCGTTCGGCGGCATCGATATTGTTCTGTACTTTTAGCAAATAAGAATGGATTTCTCAGTAATGTGCCACTCTCACATACCAGAACCACAACCATAGACGTCTATAAAAATGTACAACGTTTTGCAGAGTACGAGGCTTTTCCAGTGAAAGAGTGTACTTTTCTTGTGTTTCTCTGGACATTACTTTATCTCCATATTCCTATGTGCATGTTTAAAAGGAACTTTTTGGTGTATTATTGTGATTGGGGATGTTGTGGTGCTTTCTTTGTCTCCTTGGTAATATTGTGATTGATATGCATCTATAGAACTACAGGAATGTGTCCAGAAAAGAGAGATGTCCAGAGAGAGTTGAACTTTTGATGGCTTTCTGTGGAGGTAAGTGGATTTCTGGAAAGCATTGTACATTTTTGTATGTGTTTCGAGGTGACGGTCTAGCGGAGAGTGAAGGGCAACAAGTACTCTCCAATGTTGAATGATAGGATGATCAGTGGCTGTAGAAATGCATGGTGAGTTTTTTTTTGCAGATGAGAGCTTGTCCAGTGAGAGGTTTGTCGTTTGCTAGGTCTCAATGGACATGAGTAGAAAGCTGGAAGACTTTGTGCAATTATAGTCATGTTTTGAGGCGTATGGTAACATGGAGATGCGACAATATGTTTTCAACTTTGCTTGCTCTCGGTGGACATGATCGTATGAGAGATGACTATAAAAATTCACAATGTATTCCACACTAGCAGAGATGTCCAGAGAGAGAACCATGAGTTGCTCGCTCTCAGTGGACATGGTCAACTTTATGAAACCCACTGTGCATTTTTACAGCCGAATATCGGAGAAATGTGATGACCAGAAAGAGAGAGGCATCTATATGAACAACTGAAGATCCCGTAGATACTTGCCGTTATGGGTCGCCAGAGCATTAATCTTCGCATATTGTTAATCTATTATTTCTTGATGGACGGCCACACATCCGTCACGAGTCACGACTGCCTTTTGGATTGTTCGGCACTTGCCTTTTGTGCTTGCCTCTTTTGCGCCGCGACGCCCGCCGGCCAAATGTGACAAGGTTGCCTCCACCTGCTGTCAGAAAACGTAGATGCTGCGGGAAGAAGAAGAATTAAAAAGAGAAAAGGGAGTAAAAAAAGCCAAGAGATGGAAAATATGCAGGGCGCGGGTGTCGCCCCGAGCCAGGACAAAGACATGTCTTCTTTCCCTTTGGTGTTTTGCACACAACCAACATACCTTGAACAGAACATCTATGCTCTCTCGGATTACCGACTCGCTAATCGTATTGGTCAAATCATATATTAACAACACGAATCTCCCTTACCTCACGTGTTGTGATTGATCAAATTTGCTCGCATCTTCTTTTGACAGACGCCAGCTCGGGTGAGTGTGGATGAGCGTTGGCTGCCATGAGTCGGCTGCGAGCAACCATCATCTCTGCTGCCGTGAGTGCGACTCGTGTTGCAAACAATCAAACCGCAAAGTGCCGGGCGGCAAGAAAATCTCAATAGAGTTTTGTTGTAGATGGCAAAACAATGGTGCGTGCTTTTGTAGATGGGACCCTTGTGTTTCGTGTGCTTGGGTGTGGAGAAAGGGGATGGAGGGTAGATCCTAGAGAAGATGGAAGGAAGAAGCCCGACTGTAGATTGGAAAAGTTTGTTGCAGTCACGATTCGAGGTTGCTGGTTTCGAAAATCGATGTGAGAGGTCGTTGTGTTTCAGGTGTGGGACTGAGGTCCAAGGATATTTTGTGTGTTGAGGTTGAGGTAGAAGGTGCTTGCTATGCTTGATTTATCAGAAATAGAAGATAGGTAGAGTCAGGTTTGCACTGCGCAGCATCAGTCAAGACAAGCTACTCTGCATCATAACTAGCTGACAGTGTACAGCTTCAACGGGCGAAAGGAGCGCAACATTAAGAGTAACATCGATACTTCCACTGGACATGCGTACAGGCTTTACCGTGATCAGCACTCGCAGCTTTCCATAGGTCACTCTATGTGGCACAGTCTCGAAGGAAGACACCAAGCAACATGAGCGTACGGGAACAGTGGGCTGTTCGAAAATGGTCAGGAGAGATCGTTTGGGAAATCGCGCAGGAAGAATGTCGGCAGAGCATCCATCCCTGATCTCCCTCATCTGCTTGCCTAGACCGAACTACGCGCAACAGTGGTGATGTTATCAAGTGGATATCACATCATGATGTAGTGAGACACTTGAAGCTGCCAGATTGCAAATCCAAAGGCCGACCGAAGGATCAATGTACGTGGATGAGGGGCTGGTTTGTTTTTATTTGAAGGCCGGTTGGTCACCTGGCCGAGGTGGACAGGCGACGGCTAGTCCAACGGCAGGCTGTTCTGATGTCCTGAGGCAGGAAGATGAGAGATGTAAACAACGAATCCGACTGGCCTGCCGAGACACGAGGCAGGTTAACCTTCTCCAGCATGTCTAGAACATGTTACTCAGATGCGACAACGTGAAAGTTGATGGATATCGTCGTGGGAGATGGACGTGTTTCTGAGCGGGTAAGGATAGACAGCAAGCTCAAGCAGGGAGAAACATGCCAGACAGAGTTCATATCCGTGTACAAGAGAAGACAAGTCATACTCCGAGGGTTGCTCCCGAGTCTCAGAGACCGCGTGCGGGCGAGCTGCCCGTGAGACCAAGACATACCTTCGCATCTAAGACAGAAAAACCACTGGTTGTAACTGCTTGAGATTGTAGCCCTTGGTGACTCAAGCTGGAAACGGACAGCAGGAGTGAATACCAACCTCCTCGCAGACTCTGCTTCGCACGTACAAGCGGACCTTTTCGTTGTGTGTGTCCCCGCTCCTCTGAGACAAAGCGTTGCCTGATACGCTGCCCTTGGCTCGTCGTAGCGATTTGCGACCGTTGGCGATCTCTTTGAGAATTCCTCGCGATGGTCACGAGTGAGTATTGGCTAAAACGGTCGCTCAAAGAAAAGTATGGTAGATATCCGGATGTGCCGTCGGGTCAACCGACGCATAAACGGGGAGCGAGGAGGGAAACAAGAGAGATAGAGTTCTGGAAGCATAGAGAAGAAGCATGAGGCTCGCGATGGTACCAACTCTGAGTTGGTTCAGGAAATACATCGCGTTTACACGACTTACCCGAGTACGACAGACATCCACTTACCTTTCGGAAGCAAATTACCCCTATCTCTGCCAATGTTTGATGTCCTCTTTACCAAGAAACCAAAACGATGCAGTCGCTGGTAGCATTACTTTTGCCAATATGCCGTTAGGGTAGATAGCTAGTAACCAGATTGCTGAGACAGAGATTCCACGAGCTGGATCGAATCCAGCTGATCGGATAATGCTGTTGCAGCTTCTCCGAAGGATGAGTACATAGCCAAAGTCCTTGTGTACCTAGAGTCGCCAACCTGATCCGGAAAGGTCTGGTCAAGGTGAAAGTCGTTGTATGTATAGTGGAGCAGCAACAGACTCCGTTGGCCAGAAGTCAGTAGTCTAGTTGAGTCGACGCGTGACTGGCCAGAAATTCTCTTCGCGTTCCTCAGAAAAGTATGGCCCAAAGCACCACACACGTGCTGAGCAAGAGGGCTATTTTCTGAAAAGAGTTGATTGAAATCCATAGTAGCTGTCGAATAGTTGCGGTATAGGTATTGAAGCAAACGTGTGCAGTGGAAGATGTCGTGCAGGACGTCAATGATCCCGACGGTAGGGCGNCCGGCACCGTTTTGATGTCAGACGTTGCGATAATGCAGCAACGGTGGTATCGATATTGGCTCTCGTGTAGAAGAAACAGAAGAAGCTGCAGAAGGACCGGCGAACCTATCACCAATATCGATAGAAGGATTGCAACGGGCACTCTTGGTGCTATCGAAGGCCGTTTGGCGCATACAATGACCGTTGTAATTGCGAAACAAGTGCGCGCGATTCAGGGAGGGGTGGCTTCAATTCGGCGTTTGCGAGGCACTCTTGATGACNTTGGTCGAGTCGGTGCCTGTTTGCGACTTCTTTTGCTTGGGAAATGAGAAGGGAAACAAAAAAGGAGAAGGTCGTGTAAAGTTGCGATCGGCCAAGATGACAGAGAAGCCCAGTGCGCGCATCTTGCTTACGTCGCAGGCAGATTTGGTCGCAGTCGACGGTTGAAATTTGAATTTGTGGAGATACCAGCTAGAAAGAACCGGTAGGACGAAGCGGTCGATCTCGTCCCGTTTGGGACGCTATAGAGTAGATCGGCGCCGAAGCGGCAAAGCTACCGCTACACAGCCTCTGGCACCAAACCTCTTCCATCGACAATTCTCCTTGCTGGTGCTTGGCCAGTGTCAGAGGCAAGGGTCAAAGAAAAAAGCACTCAGGGTTCTCTGCGGCGGACGAACCGTGCAGATCACTCTGTATGCAGGAACCAGCACATCTACAGCATCTGCTTCCCAGCTTCTGTCGTCGCCGCTGATCGAGGTATGGGATAGATGCCTCGGCGGACGCGTCAAGCAAGGTCCACTCAAATCGTCAATTGCGCTGCGCTGCTTCCCAAGGCTAAGATGCTTCTTCGGCCAAGAAAGAGGCCTTTACTTTTGGGCCCGACCAATGCCGTTTGTCCGCCGACGAACCACATCTGATATAGCTGATGACCAGAGCGCGCAGCCGTTGACGCTCGCGCCCGAGAATGGCCGAGGGTTGGAGTCGACAGCCAACACATTGGTGGTGGTCCATCTCTGTATTGCGAAAAGCAGTTGCAGCTTTTTGAGGTGGCCGTTGACAGGTCGAAACCGTCGTGATAAAGTTGCTTAAGGTTTCTGTTGGAATGCAAGGGCAGTCCGGCGCACCGGCGCGCGCGCAAGCCCAAGACCCGGAATAGGCGGCGCCCACAGGAACCTCCTCTCCTGGCTCTAGCGCTCCATCTGTCACCGGTTAGAACGATTTGCGGGAGCTGCTCCAAGCTCCCCGTCATCCACTCAGCGGCCGATGATGCGCTCCAATGGCTTCCACAAAATGCACTGATACCGTTCGGTGCCCTTCTTTTTAACATATCACTATCCCTCCTCTCCGCCTAAACCCTCCTCTCTCTACCCGACTTGCTGGCCATCCACCCCTCTCGTGTGCAGCATCCCAAGACCCGGCAAAGGGAGGCAAACTCTCACTAACACCGCAGCAACATCTCTCTCTCCACATATCTCAAGAAGAGAGTCACGCTCCACGCTGTCAACCAACATTTTTCCAAATCGCACCTGCCTCTTGCGAGACCTGTTGAAACACCTTGACTCAAATCCGGATCACGGCTGCGTGCATAGCGACCCAACCATCCATACTTTCAGCTACTTCCTATTCGACCTTGCATATACTTGGATGGCCAACTTTTAGCCAATAATCTATCAACCCCAAGACATCAAACTAATACACACACCCCCACACACCACTGTCTTCATCTTGCGCATCTACTGTCGCACATAATACCAAAGGACCGGATCCACTCAGCCTCTACTTGAAATAATGTGAGTGCTATCCTGAATGTCGGGACATGCTTCTTCAACCTCCTTGCATGCTTGCAACGGCGCCGACAGACTTGATCAATTGTGCAAAAGCTAATCGCAGGCCAGCCTAGACTTTAATATTCATCGCGCCATCCGGTTCACTCCAGCTCGACCATTTCTTTGTCCAAGCGAAACGATAGTCAGTATTCCCTTTCCTACCACGACCTTGAGCTCTGCTTCATCACGCATGTTGTCTTGAAAACATTGCCCAATATCGTCAAAGTCGGAACGGGTACTTACCTTAGCCGTGTATCCAGAACCTTGGGCCCATCTTCCGAAGACACCTGCAATCTCCTGCGAACGCCCTCGCCGAGTATTATCATTGACAATCCTTGCAACTTCAGCTGGACTGTCTCTTTTAATAATTCCATAGCGAGACCTGACTGGATCTGCGGACTGCATCTTGTTTCTGGCTCGTATATCCATTAACCATCAAGCATCGAATTCCGCGCGTGCAAGCCATCGACGGGTTCTTGCTTTATTACTCCAGCAAAAGCGTTCGTCAGGTTTCTGATTCCCAGCCCACCTGACGCAAGTCGACCTTCGTCGCGGTGTGCATTCTTGAGGTCGCTCCGTGCCTCGTTTTGACTCTCTTCTCCGCTACTTTGCAAACCTGGCGGTCAGCACTCTTATGCGCCTTCAGGTTCGTCGACCATCTCTTCTTTCTCAACTATTTTTTTGCCTGAGCATCTTATCCTGACTATCATTCCCTCCTTCGCAGACTCCTCTGCAGCTGAAAAGTGCGCCTGTCATTGTCGACGACGAATCCGCCATCCCAGAGTCAGTCATTATTGCCTGTCAGGAGGCCCAAAAGGGTGGCCTCCTGGCCTCTTCCAACTACGGAAATCTACTCGCATCAATGTCGGGTTACGAGAAACCCCAATCTTATGGCTACGGTATGTTATCAACGTTATTGGTGCTTCCAAAAGAGACTCTCGGCCGCTTAACGGATCTACCCGAGGGTGCGAGGCTTTATCATGGCAGATGACTGACCAGTACCGAACTAGGCTACGGCATTGCCACACGACCTGATCAGGCACCTGGCTATCCCGCATACAACCAATCACAGTTCAACCTCTCCTACTCAAATTCACACGCGCAGGTCCCATCTGGCCTCCCAGATGCTGCTCAAATCNCCTTGCTGACTGAAGAGTCATACCAATCCCATGACTCGTCTTATGCTCAACAAAATGCACCATCCTATCCTTCTTACATGGCTGCCGGGTCCCGTACCTTGCCTGAAATCGTCTCGCTTACGCCACAACGAGGTCCTGCAGGAGGTCGATTCATCATCTACATGAACGCCACTGAGGACTTGGAAAGCAACGGAGTCTCTTTCATCGTGTCCTTCGGTACCAAGCGCTGCGAAGGTCGTCTTACCACCTTGCCCGGTTCTGGCCAGCAACCAAACTTTGCCATTCTCGTTGACGTGCCCGCATTCGAGGCTACTGCATCGTCGAGCACTGCAGTCACCATCTACCTGGAGATGGTAGACAGTAACAAGCAAGCCTTGAATGTACCTGTCGAGGTCGGTCAGTATACATACACGGATGCAACACCTTATGCCATCTCGAGTCCCTCGCAAGGCAGCACGCGCAAGAGGAAGATGTCAGAAGACGCCCAGTCTCCGAACAAGCGTCCTTCGTCGCAGAACCTCCGCGACTCTCCTCTTCACAACCCTGGTGAAGTCAAGTTCTCCCCACCCTCATCCAACATGGTCGACCCATATTCCTCTCGTCCTCAGACGGCTTCCAGCGCAATCTCGTACGCTCGTTCTTTCAACGCCCCTGCACCTGCCCAGTACTCGCAGACTCTGCAGCAAGCACCGACGTACAGGCTGGCTCCCACCNCCATCGGTATGCCTCAACCACAGCCCTTCAACTCGTACCCTTCGGCGTATATGACCAGTGACCGAGCAGCACCTACTGCTCAAGTCACCAACGTCTCCTCGAGCGGTGCGAATCCCNCTCTCATTCGCACGACTGCTTTGCAGCCGTCGCCTACTGGCATGTCACCGAGCCAACCATTCAACCCATACGCCATGTACCCTTCGAACATCAAAGCTGTTCTCAAGCTGGAGGGTGATCTTAACGGCATGGCTAACGACTGGAACGCCGACGAGGTGTCTGCAAGACGTCGTATTGTACGCTTCCGCCGCAGTCAGAATGGTAGTATCATTTCTGCTTCCTTCCAGCCCGTTACACCCGAGGAACATGCACAAGCGCCTGGCTGCATCTACGTCAACTGCATCTGGTGGGAGGAGGAGAACGGCTGCTACATCACCAGTGTCGATACCATTCAACTCTTGGAGTCCCTGGTCGCTGTTCGCTTCACTGTCGAAGAGAAGAACCGCATCCGTCGCAACCTCGAAGGCTTCAGACCTCAGACAGTGTCAAAGACTAAGACCAAGTGCGAAGAGTTCTTCAAGATTATCATGGGATTCCCAAGTCCCAAGCCACGCAACATCGAGAAGGACGTCAAGGTCTTCCCCTGGAGAATCCTTGCAGGCGCCCTCAAGAAGATCATTGGCAAATACGTGAGTTCTACAATTTTGTTATCTGCATTCGCTTCCTCTGTACTAACGTCAACACAGTCTGCAAGTTACTCCTCGACTGCTGGCGCCTTGCCCTCTCCAAGCTCGGTCGCACCACCCAGACATCAGCTGCACAGCTCATCCCCTCCTTCAGTCACAAGCAACACCTCCATGTCATTCCCTACCAGCATGACCGCAACGAGCATGCCTATGCATCAATCAAACATATCAGCAGGTATGGGTGCCATGTCAGCTGGACTTGGCGACTCACGCCTTATGATGCAGCAACAGCAGCCGCAGCCGCAGGCGCAGCAGCAGCAACAACAACACCAACACCAGCAACATCAATACCAGCCGCAGCATCATTATCAGCATCAAAGTCAACAGCCACCACTACACCAATCCCATGCCCAAGGGCCTCAACCCGGTGTCGGCTGGCATCAGCCATCGACTCACTACACAACTGAGCCCATTGTGCCAAACCGTACAAACAGCATAGATTTCGCTACTTTGTGGGAGACGACCAACCCGCAAGTACCCCAAGGCCACCAACAGCAGCGCATTCCATCAATCAGTCAGTCGTTGCCTCATTTGTGGCCGCAGCAGGACTGGAAAGATTACCGCACGACGCAAGCCTAGGCACATCCACCTCTTGATCTGAGCAGCTTTTTGCGAATGCATAATGCGGAGTTTCAAGTCTTGCGTGCATGAGGCTCAGTCATGTGGTTTGACAGTTTTGGTTTCCTTCACACCCTATTTGCTACTCTCTTTTTTCTTGGCGTTTGGCGTCCTGTCACGCAGATGATCGTCAGGCTTGTGACTGTCTTTTTGCGAATCACACGCCTTGACGACATCATCAATATCTTTTGTCGCCTTGCTCTTTGCGACGAACAGATAGCATCATCGGCGGCGCACTCTGATCTTGTCCATCTCGTGACGTCCCATCCGCTCATCACGTCTCTTGGAGTTTTCGTTTTTCTCCGGCTTCTGGAAATACACCTTTGCGATTAGATTTCAAAGGCATGTCTCTCGCGAGACTGGCGGGCGTTTGATACCACTTTGTCTTTTTTGTTTACCGTCAACCAACACCACCACATCTACACCAGCATCCTTAATCCACCATCAACACTACACTTACACTTAATCGGAAGGAATCAACACACACAAGACAAACAGGCTTTGACTGGGGCGGTGCATCTGGGCGTTATCTATTTCTACTTCTCTTTCGGTTTTCGGCCTTTGCGCTTCCAAGATGGAGCATGCTTGAGATACCCCCTTTCTTGTTGCTATCAGCTATACCATAACTCTCGCTTTTGAGTCTTTTTTTCGTTTTTGCCTAGATAGTCACCCAATTCCAAGAGAGCCGCAAAGTTGGTCGGTCCTCGTCTTTTTAAACATTTTGATTCTCACTTTCAAGCATTACCGTTTCTTGGGGTGTCTCTATCTTGTGAAGCTGTAAGTATTTGGACGTCCTCGAGACTTCTGCCAGTGAGGAGACCACGAGCCTCAAAAAGACGTGACATGTAGTCAACTTTGAGGCATGTGGGACCCACGGCACGGTAAATGCAAGTGAGCACAAAGTCAAGGCCCGAACCCAAAAGACTGTTTCTGGGTCTTGCATGGTGCGATGGCTTTGCTGACAGGTTCTGGAAGGCTTGCAGAGAAGTGGGCGAGGTGCGCCAGCGGGCCGCTACCCGCAACCCTTATTTCCCTCCTTTGCATGTGAAGACACAGATATGGAGCTGTAGGGCCCGTAGAGAAATGGTGATGAGAGAAAAAAATGAGAAGAGGAAATGGAGTTTGGCAATGTGTTGGTTTCTTTTCGTTTTTTCCTAGGCTCTCGAGTCTTTGTTATACGCGTTAGCATGTATGTGTCTTGGGAAGACCCCAAGCCAATGTAAACACCACGATCAGATAAGACCAAAGGCTCGCAATAAAGTTAAGAAGCAGGGAGGAGAACCACAGGAAAGCCATACAAAAGCAAATCCAGCAAGGTATGGAAAAACGGCAGTAACAATCTATTAACAACAGAAGAATACGAAACATCAGTGGTTACAGTAGTTCGCCTTGGAAAGTTATGTACATGTATGTGCGAGAGAAAGCTTGTACAGACAAACACGAAAGAAAAGAAAGGCTGATACATGTTGTTCAGATGGCAACATGCTCGTAAGCGGCAAGCAATGCTCCATGTCTGTGCTTGTTCATCTCTTGAGATCCTCCTTGTCGCTGCAGGAGATCGATCATGCGACGCACGGCTTCCTTGCACTTTGTGTAAAGCTGGTCTTTTGAATTTGCTTCGTTTGCTGGTAGAGTGGCCAGTAGATCGGTCATAGTGAGCNNTATTGTCAAATGTTAGTCGCTATTCCACATCGTGATGATTAGATATCCAAAACTTACAGCTTCCTCAAAAGCTCGGTGTTGGAAAACCCACCATACCCCAGCATCACCTTCGAAAAAGTCATTGAGCTTGAAGTAGGCCCAGATTGCCTCATGGGCTGCTTCCAATGCGCCGCGGAAGTTGAGTTCCACACCGACCTCTGCGTCTTCGAAGGCTTGAATGATCATCAGGCAGTGGTAGTAGTTGCTTGTGAAGAATAGATTTTGGCGAACCGCGCGACCGCTATTCTGAGCCATCTGACGCAGAGTCTCGTAGTCCGAGGTTGTGAGGAAGGAAGGTGCAGATTTCCAAATCTCACGGAAAGAGTTGACCAGGGTTGTCTTTGCTCGAGGGTTTTTAGCTATAGGGATAGACAGAGAGACTGGAGAGCAGAGATTCTCCTGGACTTTGAGTGCCAATCGCCACAACGATTTGACGTACAATACATCTGCTTTGTCGACGTCTTCGGTAATTCTCTGATGTGGTAGTATGGGTGGTTCAGGCTGCTTGGGCAGGTCTTGAGGAGGTGCAATTACGCTGATGCTCATAAGGTTCTCGATGCGAGCACTGCTGCCTGTGTACCTCGTCGAGTCTTGAGCTTCAACCTCTGTCTCGTTAGTCAAAGAGTCGATTGACACGTCGCTGTGAGTGGCTGTTGGTGGCAGCTTGAGTAGCACAGTGAGGAACGTGTCCTGATGAAGGACGGCCTGCCAGAACCTTCTTCGGGTATGTTTTTCTACAGGTGAGATGTTTGGGAGAATAATGTCAGGGTCGCGATGGATTCGCAATGCATAGGCCTGTCGCACAATGATACCGGACCAAGCATACGCATCTGATGCATGATTGTCGTTCATCAAAAAGTAACATAGCAGAATCTGAGCACCAAGAGCTCTGAGCGATGATCTGTTCAGATAGGAGTAGATGCGAAGTGCCTGGTTGGCAGCAGAGGCTGTTGATTGGTTAGTGACGCGTTTCATCTCTTTTATCAGTAGTCAGACTTGCCCAAGNAATTCGGCACTCGAACTCTTCGCATCATAACTTGCGAGATCCATGAATTGAGTGCCCATAGCATATAACGCGAAGTGCAAAGCAATCAAATCAGCATCGGCATTTTCGCGTTCTCCTTCCGGCAAGGCCCAGAATCGCTCGTATGCCACGTAAAAGGTTCGTCGATGCAGGAAAGGGTATACAGGGGCCACACACTCAAAATATTTGGCAATCAGAATATCAGCCTGCTGCTTGCTTGGCAACACTGCGAGGACCTCAGGCAGACCGCCTTGACATGTCCAGTAGTTCGTGAACGGGTGAGAAGATCCGATACCAAAGATGTTGGATGGTGTTTGTTTAGAGAAGGGAACCTGTGATTGCAGGAAAGGTGACCCAAAGCCGACAGAAGTTTCACGAGGTGAGCGATGATGGAACTTTGAGAACAGATCAGTCCTTACTTGCTTCATGCCGGAAGCACTCGTTGGAGAAGACGAGGAGCCATCGAATGAGCCATTTAGTTTCCTGATCTTGGCTGGTGATGGCTTCACCATATGCCTTTGCTTATCAATTCCGTTGTCCTTTTGGCTTTGGTTGATGTTAGCATGTACACCTTCCGTTAGAGTCGCGATACTGTTCACATGCCTTGCATCAGCGATCAGATTGGCGACGTGAGTGTATCTACAAGTCGATTGCCTTTTGATGCAAGCCAAGCATCCCGGACGTCCTCGGTCGCANCTGTGAGTGGCTCGTCAGTATATGCTAGTCATAGCCAAGTTTCGCAATTCATGCAGATATGTCTCTTTCCAGGTTCATCAAGACAGAAGCAGCTGCGGTACAAAGAGAGACGGAAGAGCACCAACCTTGGTTTTGCGCTCAACACATTCTTCACAGCTCAGCGTAGGCTTGTTACGCTTTTGCTTTGGTTTCGTACGTTCACCATCAGGTGTGTACGGCCTTGAATCCTGAGCTGGTGACTGGCTGGCACTGGTTGTAAGTGGTGGGCGCAGTGGCGCAAATGCATTGACAGGCGTCACAGGTACAGATCCATAAGTCGAAGCATGGTATGGCGACTGTGTGGCGAACTGTTGCACTGGCGGCAGATGAGGTGGTTGATGTGGTGGAAAGGCCGATGACTCCGACATTCTTGTCGACTCGGGTTCCTGCAGTGCTCAGCGGGTGGGAATAATCGTGTGGTTGTTTCCTTGACCCCACGCTATTGCGCGTTCTTGTGGGATGGGTTGGGGAAGTTGGCAGATCTTCGTGCTTCGAAACCTGCTTCTTGGTGGGAATAATCTGACAACGAGCCACTTGGAACGAGCCTCCGGGAATAGAGGAAGAACGCGACTTCACGTCGAAGACGCCGGGGCGGCCGAGGATGTCATGACTTGGGAGGAAAAAAGCCAAGCCCTTTTTCCCAACATCCTCGGAGCCGTTTGCCATGTTGTTGAATCAAGCACAGCACTAGCAAACCTAATGATGGCTAGCCTTCATCCGATCAGATGCATTTGGAAATGCGTACACGTAACCACTGAGATGGTATGCAGGGCTGAAGTGGCAGTGCAGTCTTCGGGATAGCCGCGACAATCCTACGGCACATCAAGAAAGCTGGGGAAACACTGCCGCCGAGAGGAACTATGCCCGAAGTCGGCGCGTCGAGCGCTTCGAGTGGTAATATACCTTTGATCCGCAGAGTCACGACGGAGGATTAATCGACAATGTCACGGTAACCAAGATGAAGGTGAAGCTGAAGCTGAACAGGGTATACATTTTTCGTTATGTCTCGCGAGAAACCATCAAGTCTCGTGGTTGAGCGTCTACTTGAAGTTGGCCTCTTTCTCCTTCTTCATCTCGTGTGTTGCAGGACGGTTCGAGATCTTCTGCCACCATGCCCAGTAGTGAGGAAGCTCCTTCTCGACCTCGGCGTGGAAAGCATCGCTCTGGTCTCCGAAGATGAAGGGCAGGAGCATTTGCCAAGGAATGAAAGACAAATCGGCGTAGGTGTACTTGTCACCGACAAGGTATTCAGTACCCGACTCTTTGAGGTGCTTGTCCAGGACTGTGAGCACACGCTTGATCTCCTTGCTGTATCTCTCGATTGCGGAGTCGATCTTGGTGTCGTGGTATATGTTGAACCAGACGCGCTGGCCGAAGTAAGGGCCCTGTCCTGAGACCTGGAAGTGAAGCNNCTGAGCAGATTGTTAGGCGAGCTTCCTCAATTGTGTATAGTTGCCAGCTTACCATTGCTTCAAGAGGTACTTCTCGGGAGTGGAAGTGTATGTGAACTTGTTCTCCTTGTCATACTGCTCGATCAGGTACTCGACAATGGCACCAGACTCCCAGAGGGTGATGCCGGTGTTGGGGTCCTCGATGGTGGGTGTTCTTCCGTTGACACAGAGCTTTTCGTACTCGGGCTTCTTGAGGTCAGGGAAGTCCCAGAGCTTGTGCTCATAAGGGAGGTTCAGCTCCTTCATGAGCAGGACAACCTTCCAGGGGTTGGGGCCACCAGCATGGCCGTGGATGAGGATGGGCTTGACAGACATGGTTGTAAGAGTGGTGATTGTGAGAGAGTGTTGGAGGAAGAAGGTCAATTGAAACAATCGAAGTCAAGACTCGGCAACCCCAAAGCACTTTATATATACCTTCTAGACCTTTCAGGCTAAGGGATACGTTGGCCTCTTGCCCCACTCACCGTCCATCGAAGCTTCCATGATGTCGCTCCTGAGTAAAGTTTCGGGTTTCGGTCTTAAGCATAGTCCTGGCATGCTGCTTAGAAACACATGTTTACCCCTCTTGGAAGCTTCATAGCTGTTGGCAGGCTTTATAGACCGCTTGAGTTCATTGTGCGAGTCTGGCAAACAAGCGGTGAGAAATTTGCAAGAGGAACGATGGCTGCAGGCACAAAAATCACAATGATGGTTGCATCTGATTCTACCAGGTACAAGATCCTGGTGGGGCTGATGACAAAAGGGTTTGCGGGGTAATCTATGGTAGTCAAGCTGAGATAAAAGGCAGTAAATTATGCATCATTAAATAGAACGATTAGATGTTTCTGGATCAGGGTATCTCGCAGCAACAAAGGAAAAAGAACAGGCAATGGGAGGCACCGTCGAGACCGTAATTCATAAATCATCATTTGACGCCCATGGCCGCCATGTTGTTCCAGTAGTCCCAGAGGCCGCGTGAGTCGGGCTGCCCTCTATCTTTGCGGCGACGGAGGGCCTCCACGTATGACAAGCTTCTTTGGCTTCTTTCGCGAGGGGCTTTCTGCGTCTCCTTTGACGTTGTTTGGCTCGACTCTTTCTCCTGAGATCGGACTCTTGGCAATGGTTCTGCTGGTTCCATTGAATCGTCGGACTCCGTATCCGTTCTCTCGTCGAGTTGAGTCTGGTGGTGTAGGTAGCTCAGACTCTCGTTCTGAGGACTGTCCGGAGTCACGTCTTCGTTCTCCATCGGGGAGTCGCTCCGCGCCCGCGTCTGCAGAGAATGATCGTCGTCGTCTGGAAGGGGATGTCGTCAACTTGGATGCAGGACCTTGAACTCATTATTATCCGAGTTCTGAGACGCGTGGAACGACAGAGACAGGGGTTGAGTGTCGGGCAAAGAAAGACACGGGGCTAAGTACCTTTNNACCTTTGCCATGCTGACGAGGAGCCGGGTCTTCGTGGTATGCAGCCTGATCCCCGTCTGTTGGGTCGTCAAANAGCATACCTCCAGTGCCAGCCTTGATGGCATTGACCATGTCGACTGCAAAATCAGGGTTGTCTTTGAAGCAGTTTCGGTAGCTCTCAGCATTCTTTTCGCTGTCTGGATCCATGATCTGTCGCGCAGCGATTTGGGCCATCAGTTTTCGGAAGGGCGAGCCTACTGGAGAGCTGCGATAGATGTCATTGATTTCTTCAGCATCGGGCACGAGTTGTGCTTCGAGCAATCCCTGTCTGTATAGGTCGATAGACTCGTTCCTCAGGACTGGGAGATCGAACTTGTTGCAGAGCAGGTACAGCTTGTGGCAGGCTACTGAATAATCGTATTTCTTCTCATCCGTCATGTCGGACGTGTCGTCCAAAGTCCCTTGGTACAACCATTTGACAAGCAACTCGAAGCCGGCGGGATCTTGATCAGGCAGTTCGAGCTCGGATCTCTGGGAAGATTTGGTCGTCTTGTCGGCGAGGAACTCGGACTCGAAGTAAGGCGAGTGGTGACATAGTAGATTGCGATGCAGCGACCAATGCCGACGCTCTTCACCGACGTAGAAGTCGATTGTCGGGCCAGAGAGGAGNCCTTTTCCACAAGGTCTTAGCTTCGTCAGGCATTTGCGCCAACAAAAGAAAGCGGACAGAGCTCAAGTGCAAGCAGTGCAGCGTGGTGGAACGTACTCGGCAAAGATCTTTGCAGTAATGTCGCTGACGTTAGCTCTGGCCATGCGAAGGACTACGGGCGCGTTGTTGGCATACGCAAAGTCGCGCGAGTAGATTGGTGGTAGGTATCGATAAACTTGCTGAAGCGCTTTGTCAGGCCATGAACCCATGCGGTGGAGCGAGTGTTAAGTAGGGTATGTGAGAGGTAAGGAAGCGAATCATGACATTCCACAGACGATGCGATCGGATTGGAAAGGGGGCACGAAGGAGTTGGAACTTGGGAAAGGTGGGCTCCGTCATCGTCCATCGAGGGGTGACAAGCTTTCGGTACATTCTGCTCGACCTCCTGTCAACTTGCGCCATTTTCGAGTGGATCTCTACCACCGTCGCTGACAACCGCACATCTTCCGATACGCAAACACCGTCCTGTTCAATGATACTACCTACCTACCAACTCTGGGTTGTTCAAGCACACATCCCATGATGCGGGCTGCGGCCAATCAGCAAAAATGACGCGTGATCTTGGCATTTACGTGCCGACTCTCAAAGCCTGTTGCCTCGCGACGCCAAAACTTATAACCTCATAACCTCCTCCACCTGTGACCTGAGTTGGTGCGCCAGCCATCTGTCTTGCTTCTATCGATCTTTCGTTTACACGCATGTTCTCTAGGTGACACTCCCTTCCTTTTCATCCTCTGAGTCAGGGCTGCTCCACAAAGCCCGGTCGGGTGGTTGGGGTAGGTTGAGGTCAGCTTCAGAGTCGCTCGCGCGTTGACTAGCAGAATGGTGGTTTTCGAAGGCAGGCCATCATTTCGAAGTCCAGTTGCACTCTCGGGTGCTTCTGGGGTCTGTAGGGTCCAGTCACCGGTCGTCGAGCGGGGTCACAGACCAAGTTTCAACGAGCAGATCAGCTGGTCTGATTTGTAGGGGCTGGAAACCGACTGTCGAAGCGATTGTCCTTGCTAGTCCGCCTTGCCTTTGTATCTCTGGCGAGTCAGGGCTGCTCTCAAAGCCCGGGTGGGAGGGTTCTGCGCTTCGTGCGTGGGGTTCCTCATTGTTACTTACTTTGATCATTGCTCTCGTTGCTTGTACCTGACTGACGGGTGCTCCTATATAGCCATACTAAGTCAAATGGAATCAATTGTTGTCGCCTCCAAAGCGTTCGTTCAGATCTGTATCCCAAAGCAAGATGGCTCGAAGTCGTACCAATACGCTATGGACCTGATCTTTGAAGGAAATACATTTCACTGCAAGCTTAGCACAACTGCACGATTGATCAACACTGCCAACAATGTCAAGAAGGCCTTTGTGTATCTGTTTCTCGATGCAAGCCACGTTCAAAGCTTGGAGGTCTGTGACAACGACGAAGGAGCTGTCCCTTCCTGTGTCAAGAGTGCCTTCGTTAAGCAAGCATTCTGCACTTCATCAGACAGCATTCTAGGACTTCGTTTTGTTCTGAAAGGCCACGCACCTCTTGTTACCCCTGACTCGATGCTACAAAAAGACCATCTGCGTGCCAAAACATTGAAACTCTGCTGCGAATAGGCCACTTCGAGACATTCACTGTCTACGTACCGTCGAGCGCAATCAAAAGGGAACATCTTTCGCGGCTTTGCAATGCGCTGGCCGGAGGGTCTTTGAAGCCATCCCCAGTGGGTGTGATCAACAGCCTCTACACGACGACCAACAGCAAGATCGTGACGCACCTCGACGAACTGTGGATTAGAAACCCGCTTGACAATCCACCACCCCTTATGACCCCTCGGCGGCTCCAGGGACCAGCAACGATGAATCGACAGGTCCACAAAACTTCCGAACGTCAAGTGACTCCAGGGCCCTTGGGAAGAGACGGATAGCATCTCCTGCATTACATCAAACACCTTTCAAGCGACAACTGCTGGCGGAGAGGTCTACCCCTGAGCCTTGGGAATTAGCAATCGCTGCCCAGGGGGCTCAAATAGCGGCTCTCCGCGCAGAGCTCTTGAGCCTACGTGAAGAGATGCAGCAGTACCGTCGCGCCCCTGTAGTCAATGCTGGGACACAGACTGAGCCCCCTGTCGAACACAAATCCGACTCTACTCCAGTCTCGGAAGCATACTATATATCTCCCAGTCAAGCCAGCACCGTTGAAAACACTATCGAGGATCGTCTTCTGATAGTGGAGGACAATATGGTGGATGAACAGAAACAACGTACATTGCTAGGAGAAGAAATCGACCGTAAAGACAAACAGGTATGTATGCAAGATCACCCCAGGTCTACAGTCACTAGATGGTACTTGATCCGATCCCACTCTGTTGCCTGATGAGACCTTATCCATTGCATTGCAGAGTTTCATACATAGAGCTGGCGGCGATCACAGAGAGTTAATTTTTGCGCAAGTGGTGGCGTTCTCCATGGTCACTTGCTTGCTCTCAGATCATACTCTGCAAAGCGACAAGCTCGATTATTCTGTTGGCCTTGTGGTAATGTGTGACGTCCATACAAGACAATCGCTGACTTGACTCGCACAGATCAGAAAAGGAGCTGGAAACGGAGTGCTATGGTCTAGAGGGTGCGGTCGACATGCTAGGGTCTCGAATGGATGATCTGGAAAATGGGCTTCAAGACGATCTTCGGCAAGAGTTTACGGAAGGTCTCGAGGCGAAAGCACTAGACCTACAAGTCAAGCTGGAAGAATTCATCGAGCACCGACTCGAAGACATTGAGGAAGTTGTAAAGCACGACGTCAGGATGGCATTTGAGAACTCGTCTTGCAATTTGAAGATAGATCTTGGTTGGGCAGAGTAGTCAGATGTCTTCTACAGAACGATGCTCAATACTCTGGTGAAAACATGTGCAAAGTTATGCAACTTTATGAAATGCCAATCAAACGCGTGCAATCCACGTCGCGTCCTTCTCCAAGAAACGCTTGAACAGGCCGATGTTTGTCAAGGACAGTCAAAAGAAGACATGAGCATACGAACCAATGAACATTGCTGTTGAAGAGCCGACTTTTTCAGACGATATAGCAGCACTCTACGAACAAGAAGCAGAAACTCGAGCCGACAACAAACGACGTGGAATCGTCATCCAGCACCGAAGCTGGCCTTTGGCGGACGCTTTTCGCAGCGAAGACGACCGCTCTACTTGTATGATCTGGTCGAGCATCTTGACAGCTCTTGTCTTACCAGCATACAGATATACCTTCGAGCCAGCCTCTACACAAACGAAACCAAGATCCTCCGTCAAGTCCACCCGCTATGCCCTTCATGTCCTCGGCCGTCGCAAGCCCGCCAGCACCAATGTCGCAAACTCTAGGAAAAGAGACCGTCAGCAATGTCTTCATGGAAGACTCGGATAGCGAGGACGACATGCGGCTACCACAACCGCAATCGAGTTCAAGACCAGTCCAGGCTCAAGAGCAGCCACTCTCAGACACCCGACAACCTCTTGCTACCCCACTACCTATACAATCACAAGACAGTCAGCAACCGCCTAGTCAGAGCCATTCCCAGGACCTGGGTCTGTCACTCTTCGCCAAGCGTTCCATACACAACCCCTTGATCTCATCCACCAACACTCCTACCACAACAAGAGTCGCCATATGCACTTCCTCTGGCAAATCGTTTTCCGTGAAGAAGAAGCAAACGGCCGAGGGTCTGTCAACAGAAAGACTAGCAGCATCACGTTCCGAAATCGCCGAAGGAAGAGCTCAAAGAAGTTACTATGGCGTCGACATCCACAACCTGGTCAAGGAAGCCAAGGCTCAGCAGGTCATCGACCAAGCAGAAGCAGAACGAAAAGCCGCCATGCCCTCGATTGAACCTGATCTGCCTATCGACAGCGCACAAAAGAATCAACGGACGTTGATGTGGACGGAAAAGTACAGAGCGCGCAAGTTCACCGAGCTTGTGGGAGATGATCGTACACATCGTTCCGTCATGCACTGGCTCAAGCGCTGGGACGAGATCGTCTTCCCGGGCTCGAGCAGAAAGCCCAAGCATCGCAAGAATGCTGAGAATGCCGAGCCAGAAAGACCACATCGCAAGATATTGCTTCTTACTGGCCCCCCTGGTCTTGGAAAAACGACTCTGGCTCATGTATGCGCTAAACAGGCTGGCTACGAAGTTCAAGAGATCAACGCCAGTGACGAGAGAAGTAGAGATGTGGTCAAGGGACGTATCAGGGATATGGTCGGCACTGAGAACGTTAGAGGTGTCGATCAAAAGACTGCTGCGGGTAAGATACGTAAAGCCGGCCGTCCTGTATGTGTCATCGTTGACGAGGTCGACGGTGTCGTTGGCGGCAGTGGAGGTGCTGGTGAAGGAGGCTTTATCAAGGCCCTGCTTGATCTGGTCGCTCTCGACTCGCGAAACTCGAATAAAACTCGCTCACAACAGCCTCCTGGAAAGAAAAAGGGCGACAATTTCCGCTTGCTGCGACCGCTTATCCTGATCTGCAACGATGTTTACCATCCTTCTCTCCGACCGCTTCGACAAAGCACGGCTGCTGAGGTCATTCATGTTCGCAAGCCGGCCATCAACTCTGTCGTCTCGAGGATGCAATCTATCTTTGAGAAGGAGAATATTCCTTATGACGGCGATGGTGTCCGAAAGCTGTGCGAGGCATCTTGGGGCATGACAAACCGCAAGGAAGGTGGCTCAGGCAGCAGTACTGGAGAAGGTGATATTCGTGGCATCTTGGTTGTCGGCGAATGGATCGCAGGCAGACTCAGAGCCACCCACGATCCAATCGCGAACTCAATCCAGAGGCTGACTCGCCGATGGATCGAGGCCAATATTCTAGCAGATCTATCTCATGGAGGAGGCTCAGCAAGAGGCGTAGGCCGCGGCGGGCCAAAAGAAGTAGTTGAGCGTGTTTTCAAGGAAGGTGCTGGTTTCTCCAAACCCAGTATGCTGGCAGCCCCTACCACCACCGCCTCAATCACCGGCATGAAAGGCGTAGCAGAAGCAGGAAAACGGCAAGCCATGGATCGTCTCCGCGAAATGGTCAACACATCCGGCGACATCGATCGTATCATGACCGACTGCTTTTCTGCGTACCCGGACCAGCCATACCAAGACGACAACTACCTCAGTAAACCGGATGAAGCGTATGAGTGGCTTAACTTCCACGACCAGCTCTCTTCCGCCGTGTTCAGCCATAGCGAGTGGGAACTAGCCACCTATCTCGCCCAGCCAGTCCTCGCTTTCCACCATCTGTTCGCCACACCAAACCGCTCCCATACCAATACTAACAAGTGGAATGAACAAGAGACCACCGAAGACGGCGAACTTCCCACCCCCTTCTCTGGTCCTCAGGCCTCTTTCCAAGCCCACGAAGCCCAAAAGTCCAACCTCGAGATCTTGCAAACGCTGCAGGCATCTTTGTCGCTACCACTCCTTCGCATGTTTCCCTCACCCATCGCCATGTCCACCGAATTCATACCTTTCCTGATGCGCATGCTGAACCCCAACGTCTCGCCAGTAGTGGTCCAAAACTCGGGCATTTCCACCGCCAGCGTCCGCAAAGCCAGCGAGAAACTGCTCGTGCAGAGGTCTGTCAATGCGATGGCGGCCTCTGGTGTGCGCTTCGATCGCATCCGTTTGGACTCTGAAGGGCAATCGCACTCCGGACCTCAGACATGGGTGTATCGTATGGAACCCGCCATCGACGACTTGTCCGTGTTTGAAACTCTGGATCTAAAGGCAGCAGGCATGGCAGCGGTTGATCGCACGCGCTTTGCGGTCAGACAGGTCCTCGATCAAGAATTCAACGTTGCATCTAAGAAGCAGCAGGAAGCGGCCAGAGTAAACAGAGGCGGTATCTTGACTTCTTTGGGCGAGGCAGTGGCCGGTGCTTCTGTGCCTTCCCTTCCCAACGACCACAGTAAAAAGCTCAAGCGAGATTTCTTTGGCAGAGTTGTTGCCGNNAGGAAGAGGAAAGAGAACCACAAGAAGGAGATACAGAGGAAGATAGCGAACTTGCGGCCAAGAAGAAAAAGCAAAAGANTGGAGGATGCGGGAGACAAGGAGAGGGTATGGGTGACCTTCCACGAGGGTTACTCCAATGCAGTGAGGAAACCCGTGTCGCTCAAGGAGTTGCTGGCAGCCATGTAGTCACATCAGAATAATGAGAAACCATACCTGTAGCTCTTGCAACAGGCATTCACTGTCCCTTGCCTATGGAAAAGTTATAGGCCCAGCACAATGACTATAGTGTACTGTGGGAACTACAATAATACACGGAAGAAATTTGATATAGAAGTGTATGACTTAGACGAATCTGAACTGGAGTCGGATAGCTCTCTCAGAATTGCATTAACACAACTTCACAGCTACCTGATTGCCCGGGACTGCTTGACGAAGCTCGAATATGCACATTCCCAGGTCTAAGCACAGCTACTAGGTGACGAGATACATTCATTGCTCTCGATACAAGATCTAGGAGAGGCTTTTACCAGGGCTTCGGGATACGATCACCAGGTACTTCGACTACTGTGGTTCTCAATACGCCAGACACATACCTGACTTTCTTCGAGCTTGATCATTATCGTTTCGATATGGGCCGCCATTGTGAGAGTGCTCCCAGGTTTTAGAGATACGAGCACGATGAATGCCAACAGCAAGACCTGCTATCCGGTGCTATCTGTCCAGAAGCGCTGTCAGCGACGTTCCAAGAAGTTGTGCGCCCACATGCTATGATTCTGATCAGCAGATACGCAAAGAAACAATCATGTGCCTGTCGTGAGTGGCTAAAAAGTTGAAGAATGCTTGCCTGAGACTGTTGTTTTCCTTCTCTCCGTTGTGACGCCTGCCCAAAGTTCGAGCTCCTACCTGTTCAATCCCTTCGTCAACCTGCTTTCAATTGGAAGTTGGTATACAGCACGAATATTACCATGATATCGACCAATAACGCCGAGAAGAGCACACTGATGCGACAAGAGATGCCCGGTATCCAGACTTCCGGTTCAGAAGCTCCCGTCGCCAAGAATAACGACAGCCATATCACTGTGTCCGACATTAAGACCATAGTCCGGGCTCTGAAGCGCAAACGGGTCGATAGCGCAGCTACATCAAAGCTGAAAGAAGGGTCCAGCAAGCGCCAGCGTGGCGAGAAGGTTGGCTGCCTCAAAGTCGGCACATACTCTGCTATCTTCGAGCAGAAAGACCTTGATGAGTCTGTGACGTTGAAGTCGCTCGTGAACAGCAACACCGAGCTTGAGCCGGAAGATGAAGACATCTGGAAAGTCGAGGATGCAAAGATGCCAACAGTGTGCCTGAACACACACAGGTTCACCGGAGCCACTCTGCACACAGCTTGGTTGTTTCTGCGTAACGGCAAAGAACCCAACATGGCCACGTACTCGATCAACCAGAAATGGGCTGTTGGTGAGAGATTCAAGAGATTCTCCAAGCTGTTTCCAGACCGTGGGCAGCTATATGCTGCAGCCACACTCTTCGATCTCGCTCTCGCGATGAGATGCCCTAAGCTTCAGAGAGTGGCATATGGATGGTATTCAGAGGTCCGATCAGGTGTCTGGAGCCCAAAATGCTTTGCAAACCCTTCCTTCTGCAAGCGGGTAACCGAGAAGTTACCAGAAGAGAAGTACAGGATGACACAGTACTCGGCATGGTTAGAGGTACTCAAAGAGCACGATCCAGAGATGATGAGATTGAGAGAGGCCATGATCGAAGACACCGATGCTGGATCTCCTGGCTTGGCTGCAGACCTCCCAGAGCTGGAGGTGCTAGAACCTTCATGGCTCTACGACTATCACTTGGGTGTAGGGACCTCAAGAGATGCTGCAGGAGTCGACATTGGAAGAGCCCCGGACGAAGAAGGCACTCATGTTCCAGATGCTGAAGATGAGCAATCATACAAAGAAAGCGAAGATTGAGAGACAGGGAGAGCAAATGTTGCCGTGCTCGATCAGCTTCGGTGGATTCCTGATATTCAGGAAGAAACTGTGCATTTTTACACCATGTACAAAACACACGAGCTGTATCGACGAGGTAGCAATCGCTGGGACCTTGATATCGTTGCGGAAGGAGCGGGGGACAGCACGACGTTCGACCATGTTTGACAGGTAACTTGTTTGGATTGACGAGTTTGCTCTACTCATTCACAACAATCTTGCCTCAATAGCACTATGATTACATGTCAGCAATTGCAATACAAGATATGTTTGCCAAGATGACATTCTTGTTTTGTCGTTGTGCATCTTCCGAATGGAAAAAGCATTCGGAAGAAGAGCTAAGAGCCTATCGTGAGCATCAGAAAGAGTATCCAGATAGCAAATATTGTCAAACGATGCCGATGTATGAGTATAGCTTGGTCGACTGCAATACAAAGCAATGTTGCTTCGCAAACAAAAAACGAATCTTCGCGACCAGAAAGAGCCTGGGTGACCTAAGCGTCTACCATACGTAGGAAAGAAAGAGCAGTAGTGCCATAACAAGCCATCAGCATATACTAACACAAAAATAATCCCACAACATCGAGTTCAGGAAGGACAGTCACTTGTGATGGAAGAAGCTCATTCGTGGCTCCGAAGTTCAGCCGTCATGGAATCGTCACTTCAGCTTGCGATCTACTCTTCACTTCTACCCATCACTAAACGAACATCGCGAAATTGGAGATGTTTGTCGACAATCATCTGTACAGCCATTGGAACAAGAAAGGGCTACAAAGCCGGAATGGTAGGCATACATCTGAGATATGGATGCTAGATAAGATTTTCTTCGACTCCTTTCTCTAAACTACAGCTAGAGGTCTTCTGTTTTGTTCAAACCAAACGTAGAGGTATGATGTCCTGGATCACAACCACATTAGAACTGGGCTAGGTGTCACGCTGGACGAACAGTGTACAAAGATGAATCTAGAGTATAGGATACCATACATGTGGTATATGTAGGCCACGGTAAGGTAGTTTCTCCTTGTATCGCTTGCAGAAAGACAGAAAGATGGACCAGATTTGAGCGAGAAAGCAAACTTCATAAGTGCTTCTTCTTTCACTTAAGCAGAATTAATTCTAGATGAATTGTCGCTTCAGTACGCCAGGCGTCGCCCTTCGTCGAGCTTCACGCGTCTGCCCCCGCGACATCTACCACAACGTCGGTCTGCTTTCGATTACTCGCAAACGACCTCATCGACGCGGCAACATGAAGTACCTCAACCGACTAAGCGACAAGATCGCTCGCAGGCCTTCCTCTAGCCATCTGACCGACGACACCGCGCAGCTTCTCCCCTCTCCCACCAACACTTCTAGCAGTCCCGCGCCCCACCACGCCTCTCTGCCTTACGGATTTGAGTGGTCCCCTCGCCCCATATCTCACGGACAGACCTGGATGATGTCTTTCAACACTCTTGCTCTAAGCAGAGACTACAAACAAGCCGCAAGCATGGCTTTGCTTGACAAGTAAGTGCCTGCCACACCCATCTACACGCAAACACACAACACAGCTGACTGGTGTGTTTGTCAGANNATGTGGGAGAGCCGCGAGCTCGGTGACGTCGACTTCCGTATCAAATGTAACAAATGTGTCTGGAAGGTACACCGCGGTATCTTGGCCGCCAACAGCGAGTACTTCGCCGAGCTTTTCTCTGCTCCTCAGCCCAAGGTACGTGACATACCGCTTGCGCACAAGCAGAACGCTGACAAGTTCAGGNGCACTTATCTCACCATGATCGAACTTGAGCGCTGCGATGATGAAGACGATGCAGGCCGCATCGATCGCTACAACCCCAAGTACATTGAAGAAGTCCTCCACTTCTTCTACAAATTCACCATCACTCGTCGTGTCCAGGAGATGCCCGCCTGCGAGCGCCTCTTCTTCCTCGCCAAAGTTCACCGCACTGCTACTCAGTTCCGCGCTCCTGATGTGGTGAAGGCGCTGACCGCCATTATGGGCGATTGCCTTCNNCCTCGATTCAATGGCACTCAGCAGCAGATCAGTGGTCCTAATCTGACCGACTTCGCAAAAATCTGTCGCTGGGTCTTCGATCAGACAGACTTTCCTGGTCTTGTCTGGCAGTTGAAGCTGTACCTGATCAAGTATTTGAAGGAAAATGTCGCCTTCTTGCTTCAGTCAAAGGAGATGTGCGAAATGCTGCGTGACTGCATATTCAGTGGTCTGAACTGTGAAGACACAGTCTCTGAGCCTGTTCCCCTGAACAGTGAAGACACAGCCCCCGAGACTGTTCTCAACTAGCGCTTCACTATTGTCTGAAGCTGCATCATGTACCAGGAGAAACGTACGTTTGAAGGATGTTGGACCTCAGTTGAGAGCAATGGTAATTCGGATAGACAAGACTGATTGCACACTCACTTGAGCAGGTTGATGTCGCTGGGTTAATTCGACATTGGTAAACCATCGTTGAATCTTGACGTCTCTTACTTTGTCGTCCTGTTTCACTCAGTCCTCGTCTTCAATTCTCAAGATATCTTATGACTTCCATTCATCTTTTAGTCTTCAACTCTCCACTCACCTCTCATCGCGTACTCATTATCCAAGCTACTCATATCTTACACTCTCACTAGTCATCTTCCAACGGTCTGTTTGAACAGAACCTTACAGACACTTCCAGACTTCCACTCCATCCTCCCCTCAACTCTTCTTCTAAGTAACATACATCTGCCGTCGACACCAACACTATGGTACCCGCATCGCCACCGCGCTCGCGCAGCTCGTCCATCTCATCATTTGATTGGTTCCATTCTGACAAAACCGCTCATGGTATGTTGACTTGGGCCGCCGATATGTTCAAAGCTCATGTAGGCAAAACGATTCTTCAAGAGTAAGTGACCGATCGCAATTATTCTTGCTTACTGCTAATCGAGTCTAGGTTCTGGGATGATCGTGAAAACGCCGATTTCGAAATTCAGTGCGGTGCGGAAGTCTTCAAGGTTCACAAGGCGATTCTTCGTTCTCATTCTGAAGTCCTTGCCAAAATATGCGACAGCCGCTCTTTCAAGGTATGCTTCTCATCTCGCAGTGCTACTATACTAGTCATCTAACTCAGAGATAGGNAGGCACTCTCTAGAGTCCTTGTCCTTAAAGCACACCCTTACCATGGCAAGATCGACAACCTTGGCGATGGTGATGACCCGGAGATCGTTCAAGAGATGATCCACTACTTCTATCATCTTGAGCTGTCGCCCAAAGCTAGAGTGATCTCGCCTTGGATGTGCGAGGTTGTCCACGTCGAACCATCCCTTGTCTATCTCGCCAGAATCTACGTGCTGGCCGAGAAGTACTTCATCGAAGGATTGAAGACAAAGGTCATGGAAGGCTTTGATAATAGTCTGTGTCGCGAGCTGAAGCACCCTGAACTAATCGAAGCTTGCCACATTATCTACAAGAAGACCTTGGAGCCAGCTGGCGAAAAGGGCTTGAAAACCATTGTGGCAAAGTCGTTGGCAGAGAAGTTGGAGAAAGTCAAGGAGTCTGAGATGCACGACAAATTGTTCCAAGAGATCCCAGAGCTGGCTTTTCGCGTTCTGAAAGAGGTTCCTAAGCCCAGAGCTGAACCAAGTCCTTGCCCTTGCCGCAGCTCCTGGCGCTGCTGAGGACGAATCAAGACTGCACTGCAATGAGGCATATCATTGGGTCAGAGGGAGGTTCTTCGTGGCTCGATTGGAGGAGGATCAGATGCAAGAGAAGCTCGTCGAAGAAATGAGCTCTTCTAAAGCTAAGCAGGTTGATGCGTCGGACATGAGCGTTCGAACGCCGAGAAAGATACGATAGTCCACTTAATACTATCACTGGAAGAATGAGCTTAGACGATATCATTATCAAATTAATACTTGTGTTCTCATGGTCATCCAGAACCAATATCGCTGCGTATTGCGATGTGACCAGGGTAATATGTGGAGAGACTTTGTTAACACATATTCTAATCTTCAGCTCGATCAGCTCTTCCTCGTTCTTTACACAAACACTTCTTTGTGTCGGATCACGTTCAAGCCATCACGATGATATAAAAAAAAGAAGGAACGAGGTTAAGTCACGGAGTCCTGCTTCGGCAGCCTCGGGCCGAATAATCCTCCGTGCCCGTCTCCTTCCTAATCTGACAAATCAACTTGTACGCCATCTTTCGGTGTACCTGCTTCTCAGGAACTCGATGCAAGTCATTCTCTCTCAAGCAAGCTCGAGAAATTTGTACTACAGAAACACTGGATCGTTTTCAAGAATACTCAAACCATTTGACAACTTGGAAGTCATTGTTCGCGGCTAAATTCCCACGGCTCCTTGCGTCATCGATATCCGCCAAACTCTCGAGTCAGTTGTTTATCAAAAAGAGCCTTAGGAAGGTCGGTTCTGGATGACTGCTATTACAAAGCCAGCGGACGAGCGGGCACCGCTACTTGGTCCACAACCGAGCACGGTAGACGCAAGCAACGAGTATCTACCCGAAAGTGAGATCGAGGATGATTCGGGTCGTATCTCTGTAGCCAGAGCGGCAATATGTGTTGTTGCATTGGGGTCATTGATCTTCCTGCAAGGTGAATACTACGGTCAATATTCAAAAGGTGTACTAACACATATTANNGCAACTAACATCTCCCTCCTAACTACGACGCAATCTACCATTGCAGCCGATCTAGATGCTTTTGAGAAGACCAGCTGGTTTACATCAGCATATCTCATCGCCGTATCATCTACATCACCATTGACTGGCAAGCTGAGTCAACTCTTCAGCCCAAGAAACTGCATCGCTGCCAGTGCGATGATCCTTGGATTGGGTGCTCTTCTCACAAGTTTTGCCCAAACCTTCGCCAGCTTCATCGTTGGACGCATCATTACCGGTATTGGAGCTGCTGGTGTTTTCACTGTGTCCATCATCGTTGTGCTCGAGCTCAGTGGACCCACCAAGCGTGGAGCTGTTATCGGTCTTCTCAATTCTGGATTCACCGTCGGTGTTGCGGTTGGAGCTACAGTGGCAGGTGCGTTGGTCAACAAAGTGGGCTGGAGAGCGCTTTTCTGGATGCAAACACCACTTGCTGTTGTTGCTGGTGCAGCCCTCTACTTTGCAATCCCGACTCAATTCTCTGCTGCTAGAGGCAACAGTAAAGAGAGCATCTGGAAGAAGCTAGGAACATTGGATTATCTTGGTGCTCTTACACTGACGGTCGGAATTGTGCTGCTTCTTTCAGCACTCTCGAACCCTCGCCGCATTCCCATCTTGCCAATCATCTTCAGCGTCATCGCTCTAGCTACATTCGTCCTCAACGAGATGTATCTGGCTACTGATCCTATCATTCCAGTAACGCTGCTCAAGTCTCGAGGCATGGCCTTTACCTGCTTGGGCACGGTTGGCTTCATGATGGCCCGCTGGAGTGTGCTCTTCTTCACTCCAACCTACACTCTGGCAGTCCGTGGCTGGGCTCCCGCCGCAGCAGGTAGCATCCTGATCGCCACAAATGGAGGCTTTGCGCTTGGAGGCATTCTCGTCGGCGTTTTCCACATCCGTCGCCAGGGCAGTTTCTATATCCCCTGTGTGATAGTATACCTCTTGTTTCCCTTCACCCTTGTCGGCATTGCGCTGCTCTCGACTGCCAAGGCTTCTTCGTCGCTGTACATTCTGCTCCTGTTCCTGAACGGTCTTACCGTTGGTGCCGCGATGAACTACACACTTGCTCATCTTCTGCATCTGACGCCAGCTTCGACACATTACATTGCTACCTCACTCATTGCCACCTTCAGAGGCTTCGCTGGATCTTTTGGCTCAGCTATTGGAGGAGGACTGTTTACTCGCCTGCTACGAAAGTCGTTGGAGGAAAAGTTTGACGACAGCGATGCAGATCTCGTTCGTCGTCTTTTGGGCAGTCCAGCTATGGTCAGTTTGTTAAAGGGAGCGAAGAAGGCCAAAGCTGTCGCTGGTTACGAAGATGCATTGAGAGGGTTGTTCTTGGCCGCCGCTGGACTTGCACTTATCATGGTGCTCGTGCAAGCGGCGACCGGTTGGAAGGGTGTGGAAGACGAGCCCAAGACTCAGGAGGGAGAGGAGGAAGTCACGCAATAGGATAGTCACATAGCATATATAGTCTTGAGGCAATCTCGCACAATCCCAATGTAGTTATAGCCCCTTTCATGTAGCTTGTATAAGTCAACATGCTATTGGAAAGAGAACGTTCTCAGTCAAAGGAAGTGTGCATTCAAATCTCGGGAACCAAGCTTAGAACGGAACGATGGCTGTGAGATGATCACACAGGTCAAGAAAAGTATGTGGTTTCGCATCAAAGTGACAGTCAACATAGTGCAGACATCAATCGGAGCCACCGAACCTCATCTACTCTGTTCATTATAACCGAATTGATCATCTTTTGGACTATGAGAAGGTCATCAGGCTACAGTAGTCGTGTTTCCAAGGATTGCAATTTGTCAAGCTATGTATCTCATTATCTTTGGACATTGACCAGCGGCATTTCACTCGCCGCCATCTTTGGTGGTTGGAACGTTCGCCAGAACTTGGCATCACCATCACATGTCCAGGGAGCCTCAGAATGCCTAATCCACCTAACATGTTGAGAACTCGCGATGCGTGTACATGCAGCGGGTTGTCAGAGGAATGCGAAGATGCTTCGGTGTCTTCCATGGTACTCGACCACTGATTACACCGCCTCGACTAGGCTTCGATGAGACTGGACCAAGGCGACTGTTTATGAGATGTATTAGTAGTCTCTAAGTCCAATACTTGAATCCATCGGCAGAAAATCGAGATCTTGCATGGCGCGACGCGGTCGTCTCAATAGCCTAACTTGACCTCAGTCCGACCCATCAACTTGTCCCAAGCTGAGAGTTGACCGAGTTTCTTCAAGGTATACACGAAATCCTCAGAAGGAATATGTTCTGTTCTATGCAGTACGGTTCCCAGAAGCTCATCGTCTGACGATATTCTTGCCACTATTCTATCCCAGCTGTCACTATTTAGTGGAGGGGCCGTGAGTTCTACCAGAATGTCATGAAGTATTTCTCTTCTAGACTTCTCCTGTGATGTGGTTGTTGAAGACTGTAATCCTGATGCCTTTGTGCGGTATTTTGGTGAAGGACGAGTCGAATGTGTCGACAGGTCTATCAAGTCATATCCTCGATGTCTTCGAGGCCATGAATGGAACGTGATCGAGGACAAGCCAGATTGGGGGCCACCAAAGTCGTTCCGACAATGGCGATGAAGCCGGTATGCCTCTTTCGCGTACGCAGCAATCTGCCTAAGGTGATCACCATTCTCAGTCACGAGCTTGTATGGGAAACCGAGCGGCGTGCCATCTTTATAAGTACCATGGTCTACTTCTTCGCTAAAATCCAAGCGATTAAGGAAGGAGATGGTCATATGGCAGTCGCAGGTTATGCTTATGTGCCAAGTAGCAGTGTCTGGCATCGGCAATGACATATTGAGCCAGCTACCATCAAGCGTAAAATCCTTGGGGGTGTGTTCAGTAGTCGAGAACCACATGTCGACAGTCACCCGACGTCGACGAAGTTCACCGATAGTGTTGACGACGTCGTAGGTAGAGACTAATAGTGGCACAGGAGCATTCTTTGGAAACATGATCCGCCCAGTGTTCATAGAAAATTGCTGCGAATGCCTCAGCCAATGTGGTGCTGAGGTAGCGAGATCGAGTTGTTTCTCCACATAAAGCAGATGTGGGTCTTCGCACTCTTGAAAAGGCAGGTCCATTCTCACAGATGCAAACGATTGCTGGGCAGCATGTCGAATAGAGCGGTTGACAGCCAAGCAACATGACATATCATGAAAGTCATCCAGGTGAGCGAAGATGGCATCAGCCAGCTCCTGCACAGCAAACAGTTGATCGCAGGCAGTATTGGCAGAACTGGCACAAGGAATTGATGAATCTTTGGAACGAGATCGACTCTGATCATGCCAGTAGGATATGGACTTTTTGTTTGACTGTTGCAATGATAGTTGAATGCGACGCCTGACATATAACCTTGTCGTCTTCAGTATGTTCTCGGCAAGGAGTTGGTTGCGAGGAGTGAGTCTCGGTTGGGTATCTGGCATGACCCGCTCGGGACGGCGGTTTGTCGACATGGCAAGCTCACATTGGAAGCAGGGGACGGAGACATGTCAGAGAGGAGAGTGTTTGGAGAGTTGTCATATAAGGCTTTGGCATGCATGCAAATGCAGTGTGGCACAGATGGCATGCTAAAGCCAAGATTATTGATGGAAGGAACGAGGGGAACCAAGCGAGATGGCCCGGCTATGGACGGCTGGCTGAGCGAGTTGATAGAGAACGTTGACGTCTTGCCGTTGAGCACCTGGATTATTTGTCTCTCTCAGATGGTCCGGAAATGTATAGAAGTAGAAGCCCTAAAGTTTGATACACCGAACCAAGACTGACAGTAGAACGCTCTGTGTAAGATGTGATGTGAGTGTCCACTCAATAACTCCAAACCATATGTCCTCGTTGATGCATAGGTAAGATAATCGAGCTTGGCGTGTGTCGAACAAGAAAGGCTATGCGGTGGATAGCAAATCGATCGAGCGGCCGCGGGACAGCGTCATATGGCATTTGGTTAGACGTTGAATACTACCAAGTACGTCCATCTCTGGTTCTCACGCAGTAACGCCGTCTCAGCGTGGCCGTCGACTCTCTGAAGACGCCCTCGACCTTTCTAGACGTGCAACCAATCACCCATTCGCATCGTCCACTTCTGGTCCTGCTTCTCGGACTCGCCCTCTCCCCTTGATCGCTTCTTGACACGCCGTCAAGCTGTTGCGCCTTACACGCTCCCGCGACCTGCAATAAACACTTCTTCCAACTCTTCACCACGGCAGCCTGCCAGCCATCATGGCGTTCCTCGGCGTATACCGCGCCATCTACGACTATGCGCCTCAGGCCGAGGGTGAATTGACCCTGACTGAGGGCGACTTGCTTTTTGTTTTGGACAACGATTCCGACGACGATTGGTGGAAAGCAAAGAAGAAGGCCATGTCTGACGAAGAGGACGAGCCAGAGGGCTTGATCCCGAGCAACTACATCGAACAAGTCTGTCGCCGTTGAGCCTCTCTTTCTTGCTAGCTCCCACTGACCATTCTCCAGGCGCATCCTCTATGCCAAGCAAAAGCCCTATACGACTACACCAAGCAGACGGACGAGGAGCTCTCGTTCCCCGAAGAAGCTCGTTTGGATGTCTACGACACTTCGGATGACGACTGGACGCTCGTTGGTCTGAATGGTCAGTACGGCTTCGCTCCTGCTATTTACATCGAGAAGGCTTCGGCCGCTGCAGCCTCGTCTGCTGCCCCCGCTGCGCCCGCTATGCCTGTGCGACCACAAGTTGCCGAGCCTGAGCCCGAAGAGGCAGAATGGAACGAGTCCCCGCCAGAGAGCCCGGTGCAGAACCCTGCCGCTGCTCTCGCAGGCATAATTGCACAAAAGACTGGTCAATCACAAACTCAAGCACGTTCATACCAAGCACCCATGGATCGCGGTCTGGCTTCTCCGCCCCTGCCTTCGCGACCTCAGTACACCCCCGATGAATCCGAAGATGAACCAGCTCCTAGCATGCCTCCACGACCAATCTCGGCCGTCTCGCGCGAACCCGTTCGCTCACCTATGTACTCCCCGGTCGAGCGCGAGCCGCAAGGTGTCAACACATCACTTCCATACAACAGAGCGATGGCTATCGACGATGAGGAGGCTGCTCTCAGGTCACCTGGTGGTTTCCGTCTTTACAATATCTCCGAGGTCGTTTCACATATGGGAAAGAACAAGAAGATGCCTATCACTCTGGGCATCAATCTTGCAAAGGGGTTGGTATCGCTCTCTCCTGCCAAGGCACGAGATGGTCCATCTCAAGAGTGGTCGGCCGATCGATTGTCCAACTACTCAATTGAAGGCAAGCATGTCTTCATAGATCTGGTCCGCCCTAGCAAGAGCGTTGATCTTCATGCTGGCGCAAAGGACACTGCTCAGGAGATTATTGGCATTCTGAGCGAGCTGGCTGGTGCTTCAAAAGCTGAAGGCCTTCGTGAGGTTTGGGCAGCTAGCTCTGGCACTGGTGCTGGCGGAAAGAAGAAGGGCACAATGCTTTATGACTTCATGGCCCAAGGAGAGGACGAAGTCACAGTGGCCATTGGTGACGAGGTGGTTATCTTGGATGACACCAAGAGCGAAGAATGGTGGATGGTCAAACGCCTCAAGAACGGGAAGGAAGGAGTCGTCCCCAGCAGCTATGTTGAGATCACTGGAACTCTGCCCGAACCGTCCTCTGCATATACTGGTCTCAATGCCGCTCGTTCTACTGTCGAACAGAACAGACTCGAAGAACAGCGCCTTACGAGGGAAGTAGCTAGGTCTTCAACAATACGCGACACAGATGACGGGAGCAGACCTGAGCGTCACAGCAGTCTGGCCAAAGAGGACCACCGCAAGAGCAGGCACAGTAAAAGTGATAAGAGCGACAAGCCGAGTAAGTCTTTTGAGTTTGCTGCTATGCATCCAAATCTAACATTATACAGAGNNCCAAATGCAGCAAGAGTGCGCACCTGGACAGACAGAACTGGCTCTTTCAAGGTTGAAGCCGAGTTTATCGGCTTGAAGGATGGCAAGATCCACCTTCACAAACAAAATGGTGTCAAGATCGCCGTTCCTGTCAACAAGATGGCCATCGAAGACCTGGAATATGTGGAAAGAGCGACTGGTGTCTCCCTCGATGAAGACAAGCCACTCTCTGAGATCAAACGCAGAAGCACTGAAAAGAGAAAGGACCGGCCAGAACGACTTCAGCAATCCGGCACCGCAGGTGCCGTCGTTGAACAGAAACCCGATTACGATTGGTTTGACTTCTTCCTCGGTGCTGGCGTCAACCCACAAATTTGCGAGCGTTATGCTGCTGCTTTCAGTCGTGATCAGATGGGCGAAGAGATTCTTCCTGAAGTTGATCCCCAATTGTTGCGTACACTCGGCCTGAAGGAAGGTGATATTCTTCGTGTGATGAAGTATCTGGACAATAAGTTTGGCCGCACGGGACAGAAGAAGAACGTGAGCTTCGGTGAAG